CACAGGACCTACTTATATGTTTTCTTCATATTGATCTCTCGGTGCCAGCGTCTATTTGAAAGTGATGCTTAGTTGATGAGAAAGTGATGCAGTGGCGCGGTCATACCATAAGCTCGGTTCCACTATGTGTACTAGTTCCATTTACATATGAAGAAAAAATACCACTCCTAGTGGTGTTTTTTCTTCACATTTGAATGGAACTAAAGGGGAAAATATCTTTAAATAAAAAACAAATATCTTGAAAGAATAAAACAAGGTCAATACATAGATTTTTGAAATAGTTATTTTATAACTCCAAATGGTCAATGATCCTTCCATCATCAGCAAGATGACATAACGGCTCCCTCCCTCGATTTCTCTAGGATTATATCATCATCAGATCCTGATTTGGTGGTAGTGGGACCACCTCGACCACATTCGATTACAAAAACAATTTAAAAAATCCCACCACACCCCTACAATAAATACGGGATGCGAAAAGTGCGGATATAAATGCTTGTCTCGAGATTTACCTGTATGGATAAACAAGTAAATTAAATATCTAACTGGATCTTGTTGCCGAGTACTTAAATCTTGCGATAAGCTTTTATATAATCGTATAATAAAAATTGTGTACTGACGTTATAAGTTGATAGCAAAAGTTTTAAAGGAAAAGTTTATTTTATTATTTTTAGTGCATTTAAATAAAAGCTTGTTTTTAAAAGGTTTTTACTTTCAATTTATCTTATTGTCACCCCACTAGGGAGAATAGGAGTAATATGATTTTCGTCCGAAAATCATATTACTCTTATTCTCCGTAGTGGGGGGGACTTAGCTATGGGTCATAGTTAAATATACTTGATATTTTTGAGGGATAACAAATAATAAACAAATTACTATGATGAATGTAATTTTATTTACAAATTAAATTAAATTAAAATATTTTATTTCAAATTAGGCATCTGAAAACACAATTAATGAAAAAAATCGATACAATAACATATTGTGGTTTTGACGGATTAAGAATACAGTGTCGCCACCTCTATTCATGCCGTGGGTGTCGTAAGAGGCTAGTAAGGAACCGAGTTACGCAGGACGACAGCACTGCAGAGAGAAGGAAAACTTGACACAAACCCTATAGCAACCCGTCTGGCCAGCGTGGTATAGCAGGCCAAAACCTCCTTTCTAAGGAGAGACTTATGTCCAGCGGTGGACAATTAAAGGTTGTTGATGATGACGATGATGACGAAAGCCGCTTTCGTAGATATATACTTATTTTAATGTTAGAAGGGAGTTTAATAATAATAAAAATAAGCATAGAACTAATATGAAAATTAATGGTATATTTTACCCAAAAGGTGTTTACGGTGTACTCAGCATGAGGATTACCTGCCGCTTAGGCTCAGAACTAACAAACGGTTTGCTGGATTCGCTCGATTATTATTTTTTCTGTTTTTCCTTCTAACAAGCTCGCAAATCGTGAACTAGTAGCGGAAAAACACAAAAACAATATTTACATTGTTAGCATACGAAGGAACACGTGAACCGTACAGTCCCGGGAAGGGAAGTGTGATAATGTGTCCTTTGAACTTCTTAGTTGATTTGTTGTGTTTATGTCTTGGTAAAAACCGTGTTCTGTAGGTAATTATTATCAATAAGTTATTTTCATTGGCAAATATTTTTCATTTGATCTTTCGAAACGTATAATCTTTAGATTTAGTCACTAGTAGTGACAAACCATGCCTAAAAAAGCTTCATCCACGAATCCTTTTTTGGTGTAAGATTCTGTCGTCGATTCACTCACTAATGAATCGTTCTGTCGGCTAAACGTTCGTAGTGGAAATTTTTCGTTTTAGGTCTTTTATAAATCGTTTTGTCGGCGAATTGTTCGTACTTGAAAGGTTCTGACGGTGAACAACTCATAAAAGAAAAATTCTGTCGGCGACTCATTCGGCAGCGAAATGTTTGTCGAAGTTTAATTTCAGAATCATCTTTAGAGACAATAACCAGTCTTTTTATCGATGAAGGTGTTATACAATCTGATTAAAAAAAACGCTTCATGCAGTGGTATGTGCTTTTTATGTAATTTTCTAGACAAATAAATATAACTTGTCTGTTTGTAATGTCAAAATAAAACATTTTCTTTTTTAATTTCTGTCTTTTTCTTAATTTTCAAAACGCCTGTACCGATTTTGATGTATCGGATAAACGACGTGACTGTTTTATTTTATACAAGTAATCGCTGCCGGAGGTCATGGGTTCGATTCCCACAAGGTCCTTGGATCAGAAGGCAAAATATGACGCTAAATATCAAGCAGAAAGAATATGCTCCTTTTCATTCATTTATTCACTAAATACTTGGCATATAATATTGACCATAGTAAATCTTATGAGCAAATTCTGTAGTCCTTCGATATGAATATGCAAGTTGCTTTATATACTTTAACGGAATTAAAGAAGTTTTTGATAAAATTTAGAACCGACGCAAATTGTGAGGAAATTATAAGTAATGCCATGAAAATTGCCGAAAAATTAGATGTAGACCAGACCTTAAGACGTCGTAAGACTCCAAAGAGATTTGATTATGAACACGAAGACTACACTATAAATGATCCAAAAACCGCTTTTAAAATTAATGTATTTTTTAATATATTGGATCAAGCTGAACCAGCGTAGACGAAAGATTTAATTTATTGAATAATCAAAACGAAGTGTTTAATTTTTATTTAAACTAAGTGATGACCAAGATCAAAGTCGATTAAGAAGTAGCTGTCATCGTTTGCAGGAAAAACTGTCAGCAAATAATTTATTGGATGTTTGTGTGAAGAAATTATGTCATGTCAGTCTTTTTTCAAAAAATTAAATATTGATGTGTTGGAAATTTTCGAATTTATATATTTAAACAATTTGACAGCTGTATGCCTTTGCTTTAAAGTCAAACATAAGCGCCCTTGAAACTTTGACCTTGACAGCATCAAACGTTTTTTTTTAAGCGAAAGCGATTACCGCTGCCCTTGAACGCCCGCAACTCAGGAGTCACAAAGGCTTTGCCGGCCTTTTAGGAATTAGGAGGAGTACGCTCTTTTCTTTGAAGGTTTGAAGATCGTATCGGTCCGGAAATACCGCAGGCGATAACTTGTACCACAGATTGGCTGTGCGAAGCAAAAAGTGTCTTGATGATGTGTGATATAAAAAAAACTGAGCGAATCAGTTATAAATCAATCGATACATCGATTTCTAATCGATTAAAAAAAGAATTAAGGATCCAACATGTTTTTATATTTTGGTTCTTGCAATAATTTGAACTGTTTTGTCAGGCAAAATATAATAATATAAAAGCTAGTTAATATCTTATTAGTTTTGAAAAATAAACTCCCATGAATATCTAACATTCTGATGGGAGAGTGACTTCAAAAATAAAGAAAATAATTTTGATATTATTTTTATCTCTGTGCGTGAGAAAAACCAGTACCACAAATGGTCATTTTCCTTTTAATATATTGTTTTGGCGATTAAAAATTCTTAAGGACTGAATGCAGAACAAATTTCAGTATTATTTTACTAAAACTAAGTTCTACGTACCTTTGTATTTATCGTTTCCATTACACAAAGTTTAGTCATCTAGTGGCGAATAGATACAAGAAGCTATATATCAACACTATGAGTTTTCTAGAACTATTTTAATAAATTAAGTATAAAATTACTTACAAATGATATGTGATGCCATCCATAGTAACAAAACGTATTATTTGCGATTTTGCGACACTAAGTGTACTAACTTTAAGCCACGTCCACTCTGATGATGTCAAGACCTAGTTAGAATCACAGTGCAAAGTTGCTTAGGCCCTCTCCTCTTGTCGGGGCACCAGGGACTTCCTTTCTAGGGTATACCTGGTTACCCGGCTATTAGTAACCGAGACGGCGTGCGGTTTTAGTCGGTTATAGTCCGACATGCTACCGATAGGTGGTATCCGAGGGGATTTCCGGACGAGAAAAAAAAAAAAGGCCCTATCCTCTTTGTATTTGCTCCATGTACCACAGTAACCCAGTAACCGTAACCCAGATATTCAAACTAAAAGCTATTAGTAACAACATACGTTCGTATCTAAGGTCACCAACCAACAACGTCATTCCATTTTATAACAGCCAGTAAATTCATGTTGTTTCAAATCTACCCTCAACTTTAGTAGCTACTAGTTTAAAATATTTAATTAACTATTTATATCTTTGTTCAAATACTACACTCATTATTCCATTAATTAAATGTAAAAAAGTTATTCTGAGGTTGCATGAGTTTTGAAACGGCGGTATTTGCATCAGAGTCCACCGCACCGTCCCGCCAGAGGGACAGTTAGGAATTACGCATATACTCTGTGTATGTGTGTGGTGTACGTTTATAGAAGAAGGTCGTAAGTCCTACTAGTTATAATACTATAACTTTGTAAAAGTACTACTAGACTTATGACCGCGACCGTAAATTCTATTTTAGTTTGTTTTGTTGTTACCTTCAATATGATACCAAAAAGAAAATTCTACGTTTAGGCTGTACAGAGTATATAATGCAAGTTGTTGGTCACCATATTCTCCAGTATTGGAACAGTTCTTTTTGTTCAGTTCGTCGAGAATATGGATTTTTAGAAGTCAAGACTGAAATATTCCGTGTGGTTTAAGAACACAGAGTTTCACCACCCCTATTCATGCCGTGGGTGTCGTAAGAGGCGACTAAGGGAGCAAACTACGCAGGACAACAGCACTGCAGAGAGAAGGAAAACTTGACACAAACCCTATACCAACCTCCTTTCTAAGGAGAGGCCTATGTTCAGCAGTGGACTAGTAAAGGCTGTTGATGTGAAGTGGTGTGAACTGAAACAACCGACAGCATGATCACCAAACATTTTTTTAAGAAATTAATAAAATGTAAAATACCATATTTTTATTAAAATAGAGATACTTTATAATTTGACAATATAAATTAAGTTAAAAAAATTGGGCATATCTCTCAATTAATTATATGCTCACCATCATTCAGTTACGTGGTAAAATCTACCTCCAAACCGTGGCGGATATCGCGGAGCATTATCCGGCAAAGAAGGTGTCGGATCAGGCACGACAGGCTCGCAGGGGCATGGTTCCTTTGGTGGCTCTGGACGTGTCGTTTTGTGGACCCGCCCTCGACAAAAATATCCAAAATCGGGTCTGTGTACTTCCAGCTTCTCTCTCATGCAAGTGTCAAAAATCTTTTGCGTTCTACGGCAGAATCTGTATGACATATCACCAGAGCTTTTGTCTATGCAATTAGCGTATTGTTTGAACTCTTCGAAACATTCTTTTTTAACTTTTCTGAAAACGTCCATAGCACAAGAGGTGACTTCCTTACCTACTGCTACACAGGCCCGAGGATCTTTGAGTTCTTGACGACATAACATAAATTCGTTGTTCACGTTTTCACAGAGCTTACCGAGGTAGGGAGCGGCAGTCATGAGTGTCGCGTATGAAAGATTAATTTCTTCCACATTAAGATCCGATTCGGGTGGAAGAGTTATGTCCTTCGTTAAAACCATAGCAAATTTTAAGTTGTTTCACTAAGAAAATTTAAGTTACAAAAATCTAATTTATGATGATTTAATATTAGTAAAGTCGACTTCGTTTAAATTTTTTAGTAAGTATAATAGCTTTAATACAATCTATACAGAACGAAATATATTGACATGAAAATCAAAAATAATATTTGACAGCTTGTCTGTTATGTCATTCAGTTGATATAAGAGCAATATGATCTACCTTAAACTTATTCATGACTTGAAAAAAAAACGAATTATGCCAATTAAATATTTCTTTTGTAACTGCAATTAATATTCACCCTCATAATAAATATGCTAATAGGCATTATCTTCATTGATATAAAGGAAATCCTTAAGAAGGACCTCCTTTAAAAATTTACCTTGTCCTTTATTTTAGAAGTTGGAGCACCATCATTGAACACTTTCTTATGTTTTGTCTGAGTAAACACAAACACTTGACCGTTGTGTGGCCACTGCCCACAGAATAACGTGAACGGCTGTTTCATTTGTAGTGGTGATAAACAAAATTCCCATTTTGGGGCTAAATCCTGATTGCATCAAGGCGCGATAGTGCCGATTGGCGTATGAAAACTTGCGGCTTCCTCCAAGAAAGACATGAAGTTTGATAGAAATAAAAAAAAAAAAACCCATCACATACTTATGGCTCCTACTTTATCGTGATATCGTGATGGCGTCCTCTGGGAGCTGATAGAAAATCCGAAGAAATTTTAAACCTCGTCACCAAACAACAAATAAAATGATTACTTATCCATGATTTAAATGCAGTGAGCCTCCTCTCAGCACTAGTTTGAATTAAGACTGTAGGATTGGAGTTGTTACGGTTTCTTTACGCGTTACGCTTTACTTACAATAAACTATAATTTGTCTACAGTGGCTGGCCAATCACTTGTCTGTCCGGCAGTCCGCACAAGTAGTGGCTGGTTGGACCTTTTTCCCCTGCCGTGCAGAAAAAACTCAGAGTGCCAGGTCATGGGCAACCAACACCTTTGTTGTAAAGGTTATTGTACTAAAGGTGTCCGAGCTGGCGGAGCTCTCCAGCGGTAAGTTTTTTTTTTACTAAAATTCAAGAATTTGTACACGTGCATTATGGTTATTAATCATTCATTACACCACAGAATAGTGAGTAAACATTGGAAGTGCGAGCTACGGTAAAGCAGAACTATCAGAAGAGTTCCGTCGTTCCATTCCGTGGTTTCCTATCTTGTATTACATAATATTTTGTGATTTTTTGTCAATATTACTTAAAAACAAAAGTTTTTAGACCTACCGATTATATGATGGACTTGGCCTTTGGACAAATTCCAATCCTGGCTTCGTTTTCAAGACGCAATTATCACGCCACTCGGCATAACGATATTTTTTTTATGGAGCTGTGTTTCCGTCGAATGGAATACGAGAGTACGAATGTTTTCAGAGATGCACGCACGCTTGCTCGTGACTCTGGCGCCTGCCATTTCTAGTTTATTCACTGTTCTGTGCATTATACTCACGACGCTTTTATGCTTTTCACCCTACTATGTTTTCACCGCATTAATCGTGTCCTTTTAGAAGTATCTACAAATTTCACAACTTTTTTTTACGTTAGAGGGGGCAGACGAGCAGACGGGTCAAATGTTTACAAACTACTTGAATAAGTATTATTTAGTGTTTGATCTGAACAATTAATTTTGAAAAAACTTATATACGTACTCACATGACATTTATAGTAAGGGTTACTTTAAAAACAGTTGTAAATCGAAACAGAAACTAACACCAAATGGCAAACATATTTTCAAGATTCTACTTAGCTTTGTATAGATATTACAGGGTGTTCAACTCTCGCTTGGGTGCACATTCAGCTCTGTGACGCCAGCAACGCAAAGTCAGGCATTTTGCATTTAATAAAACTTCTTCTTTGGGTCTTTTAAGGTGCCAAGATTTAGAATTAGGTGCTCAGAAACTTTCACTGCACTGTACTATTGAAATTTGCGTTGCTAGCAAAATATCAAACTAGAAACGTAGTGACAATATGAGTTTGCAATTAATACGAATAATAAGAAATTAAGTGCTATTGGTTATATTAAGTTTGGTTGGCTAATTTAATACGATTTAAAGGATTCATAACCACAAACATTATACATACTTAACTAACTAATTATGTTCTGTCTTTCTTAATGCCATACAATTAAGTGCTAATTGAATGCTCACCCATTATCTGGTTACAGACTAAAGGAACAATATTGTTACAACATTTAGACGAACTTAAATCTCCGTAGCATTAATCGTACACGTGTAAATATATTTTCTCTATTTTAATGTTAAAATTTAGTTGCGCAATTCGTGTAAAAAGAATGGAGAATACAATGACTATCCTGAAGTAAGTAATAAAAATCAATTTAATAACGCTAAATAATTAGGTGCTAAATACCTATTTAAGTTGTTAAGTTAAGTTAAGTTCTAAGCACTTGCTTAGCAATAATATAATTAGACTAAAGTTAGTAACAGTAATGTTAGACACTTAGATGACCGAATATCCCAACAGCGTTGATACTAGAAGGTGACAATATTTTTCTCTTATTAATTACGAGCTCGCACTTATTAATTAAGTGCTAGTTGAGTACTCTTAGAATATTTAGGTCTAACAATAAAGTCTAACAGTACTAATATAATTTACAAAGACTTATTTCGGTCACAGTCTAACTGTAACCGAAATATGTCTTTGTATATTTTTAAGCACCTGATTAGCACTTAATCATCTGGCATTAAGAATTTGAGTATATTATTTACTTTAAGGTATAATTCTTGTAGTCTCAGATTTTATTCTCTTCACACAAATTGCGCCACTAACGAACAATGGCGACGCGAATGAGCACTTAATTAGCACCTATAATTCAGGAATGTCATGAATCTTTGTTCGATCACAAGTTCCTTTTTTTATTTATATTAGTAATTTTGGAATCAGGCAACTCTAGTTTCTCTTTTTTTTTCTATGTTCAACCGAATCAATTCCTGTTTTCGAAAGCGCCTTATTAGCACTTAATTATTAATTTCATCATATAGATAATTTCAATATCATTTTAACTTTTCGAAGACCTGATTTGACCATTTGCTTTGTTCCAATTAACACTTTTATTGTTTTGGTATCTAGTATCTAATTCTATGTACTTGGAGCAGTTTATTAGCTCTTAATTTCTTACTATTCATATTAATTGTAAACTCATTATTGTCACTGCGATGCTACGTTGATATTTTACTAGCAACGCAAATTTCAATGGTCCGGTGCAGTAAAAGTTTTTGAACACCTAATTTCACATCAGCCTACTTGGCACCTAGCACTCCTGGCGTCACAGAACTTGCACATTCTGCTTTTATGCTACACGAAGGCTAATCTTACCCTAGTTTATTAAGTATCTAGGACATTATTTTATAATTTTAGTATTAGTTGCATATAATATTCACTATTCACAGAAAAAAATTATTTACTGCTAGAAAATGCCCGCTTTTTAGGGTTGCGTTTTGGTAGAAGCGTCTGCTCGCGATTTTTGCATAGGTATAGATATTAATCAGAATAATATTTAATTGAGGTGTGAAAATTAGGGTCAAGTGCAACCCACCTTCATTGCAAGCTACTCTGTAAGCAAAAAAATTAAAACCAAGATAGTAGTGTTCAGTGTTCACGGATTTATAAGGTAAATTATCAAATCTAACTTAGCTCTGCTACTCGTACTTTCAGCGTAATTATCGCACACCTTATAAAATGCATCTTCTTGGAAAACTGCACAAAATACTAAATCCTCCGGCAAACATTATTAAGACGAAGTTCATGCGCGTGGTTCGACACACACTGGGTTGATCGCAACTACAGCACAGGCAGCTCACACCATAAAATTTAAATTGTAACTTATAAATGTAAAGGGTTTCGTACGAGATTCTTATTTAAGCTTTATGACATGTTTAATAGATATTATTTCCACATGCGAAAAGTGAATACGAATAGATTTCAAGTACCTATCACCGAAAAGAGCGTAACTATAAACTACTCAGACTAATCGTACCCACCCAATCATGTTTGTATAAGCGTAAGTTTACAAAATATTTAAGTAACCGATATGGTATCCTCGTTTACTTTCGAACTTTATTAACTGCCCTTTAAACTTATAACTCAAAGCTATAGACATAACACAGGCCTTTTAGATATTTTATGTGTCTAAGGACACAAAAAGTATAAATTAGGTATAGTAATGTACAGTTTATACTCAGAGTCATTAGAAGGTATATAAAAAAAAATACTTGTACAAATCTGACATTGTTTTTTTCATAGTTGACCATAAATATCTTTTTTTATTTTATTTTATAAAATTTCCATTAACTATTGCACAATTATTTATAATTAATTATTCATCTGAAAGCATAACAAGGAATTATCACTATAATAATGATGATAAAATAAAATAATGTCAAAAGTAACGTTCTAGGTAAATGTTGACTTTATTATTTTTATAGTTTATTTGTGCACCAATAAACTTGCGAAGTGGTAATGGACTGGAATCGAACTCACGACCACGACTCTTGGTCGTGAGTTCGATCCATGATAAGTAATTGGGTGATGAGCACGATCATTTGCTGTGTGTCTGGGTGTAAGTTATCATGAATAAGTATTAATTTAGAAATATAATTGTTTATCATAAGTCTAGTCAGAGATTAGACGGCGGCATGTACATTTGGTGGGTCAAGTTATTGTTATTATTCTTAGTATTTATTAAATAACATGAAAATCACGAAAACAACATTTACAATGGGCAGCCGTAGGTATTGCTAAAAGCCATTTCTATCAGACAATCTGTATTGATTGTTGTGGAGGAGAGAAATGAAGAGTATTATGGTTGTTTTTATATCATTTTTTACTGGTGGGGTAAATGGTTCGTGTAATATTGTTGTTATAAAATAATCTTTACAACAGTTACAATAAGTACAACGCTAAGAAAATTTACCAACACTTCGTTTGGTACTGGACTTGTTCCTCATAAGAGTAATGAAAAATTGCAACCTAATCATGACAATTAACCGATAGTGGCTGTTGCAATTGTAGAGAGATTTTACATAAATACTTAAGCCTTTTATGTATGTAAATACAGGTCCATGAGCGGAAGATCAATGTTTTTTTTGGTGTGAGGTAATGTTATCCGCTGTAGCTCCGCCGACTAACTAGTTTATTTACATACTAAGAACAATATTACCATATATATGAATATATGTACTCGATAATAACCAAATATAAATATTAACATACTCGTCAATATCCTGAACGTTTAAAAGCTCTTTGTACTTTTACATCTTCCAATTAATTCAAATCAAATAATTTATTTTGCGAACATGGGTATACATATTAAAGTTTAAATTATGAGTAAAACAATGAGCAGCCACATTCTACCTCATGGCATGCAAAAAATAGTTACATTTAAGTCAGTTTATACAACAAAACATATAGTAAATATAGGTATGTTATTTCAATTGAATAAAAAGGTTAAATTAAATTTGCGTAATTGATGATAGATCGTTTAACCAACTAGTCTTAGTAATTTTAAGTTAGCATTCATTGAAGTCAATCAAATTGCTACTTGAGCAAGTAGCTGGAATGAAATGGTACATTTACCGCGTCAACAGGCCTAAAGTGTATGTGATTTTTTACCAGTTTTACCTACAAGTAGTCTGAATAAAATTGTTTTCGTTCCCTGTACTGCTATATTAGGTGCAACATTCGCGTCCTCTACTAGTTTTGGAGGAGGAGGTATAGCATAAATTAACTCATCGGTAGAAATCACACGCTGAAAAATCATGCTTTGATCATTTAGAGTGGTTGAACGTGGTGGTTTTATTGTAGACCGAACCAGAGCACGAGTAGTGTAGTCACGACGAGTAGCAGTAGCCCAAGCACCACTACATCCACTTCCACCAGCACCACCACCACCACTACGACTACTACAACAACTACAACAACTCCAAGTACCACCAGCTCGACTACGACAACGACCACAACCACAACGCCTCGACCTACGACTACCACTACGACTGAAGCTCCTCGGCCGTTCCTGCAGCTGCTGCCTATACAAGTTCAAACCACGCCACCCAACGCGCCTGTGAAAACAAGTAAGCACTCTATTTCTCTTGCACAATAATGGAACACCTACACAAGTTTTCCTTTACATACATTATATATATTGACTTACTGTCTTAATGTCCTATATCCCCGAAATAAGGCAGAGGGCCTCCGCAGTAGTCCTCCATCGCGTTCGGTCTTCGGTCATATGCTTAGGGTGACCACGCTTACGTTTTCCGAGAGTATTCCAACGATTTTTTCGAACCGGGGCAGAAACTTAATAATAGCGCCCCCTCTCTAGCGTTTGAGGTAAATAACTTTAAAAAAACTCACAAATATATTATGATGGTTGGCATTTTGGATGTTATGCGTCCTTGAATATACATTAGGTAAATACAAACAGTCAGTCTCTCCCCAGAAACAGAGAGGGGAGGGGTTGGGCTCCGATAACCTCATCAACTCGCATCCGTAAAATTCAGTTCCACATTCAAAATAATTAAAAAATTGAATTACCTAGATTTTCACCGAATTCTAATGAAAAATAAAAAGATATCCAAGGTTGTGTTCTTGATAATGTAGAACATGGTCTGCCGAAGTTCTTGCATAATAAAGCCTTAATACCAATTTACAGTTAAATCCGTGAAATATTACTTACTAGTTTTTGCCCTCGTCTCCGCCCGCATGTATGTCGGTTATCGCGGTAAAAAGTAGCCTATGTTGCTCGCTGATTATGTAGCTTTCCATTGGTAAAATAATTTTTAAAATCGGTTTATTGGTTAAGTCGTGAAAGCGTAACAAACAAACAAACTCACTTTCACATTTAAATTATAAGTATGGCAGAATGGATATAAGTATGGATTTATTTACTTTGTTTACTAAAGAGACTAATACTACGACTACTTTATATTAAGACCAACGTATTTAAATAGCTTAGCGAGATAACTGTCAATTACAAAATTTGAAGATTACATAGTATCTAGTGATATGGTAGTGATATTACTGTTCTCTGTGGACTACTCGTGTAGTTACTTTCCTCCATGCTAACACAAAGTTATACAACCGGGGATATAACGCGAAGTGTGAAGTATTTAAGTCTCCCTAAAATCCTTGCTTCAGAATTGTACAAATATCCTAAAATTATTTCAACTGCAGTTTGATAAATGAATCTGCGTTTTTCGTTGCTTTTGTAGTTTAAATGTTGACGGAAACTAGAAACTAATACTTTTAGAAATTTTCACATAGTTTTAGGATTTGTTGCACACTATCGAAGTAGATATTTCGTTTCGTTAGGTACTTAACTGCTTTCTGATTAGTATTTTCTTAATAATATTGACTAACATTTGTCTGAAAACAGAATATTCGCTTATATTGATACTGGTATTATAATAGGTTCAGCAAATGCACTGTATTACTTACCTACTATATTAAATACGAACAATCAGTTTACAACACATGATTACACTAACAAACAGGTTTAAACCCTTCCTGTCTATCAGAAAATACAAACAAAAATCAGTAGATACTACATTATTAATGCATTACACAATTATTATATAACAGTTATTAAGAAAATATAAAATCCTCATAGTGAATAGCAATGTTGCGTAGAATTGCATTGTAAAGAAAATTTAGCAGTTGCAATCCCACCAAGTCATTCGTAACTGTGTATCATTTATTTTATAACATAAATATGATCAGTTTGTATATCGCTGTTAATGTTAGCTTATTTAAGTAAGCTTACATTAGATATCTGTTAATAATAGACCAGACTCGTATTGTTCGTAGGCAATTCTGTTACGGGTGACATAAATTATTCACGAACTCGCAACTCTGATACATTTTACGAGTATAACGTGGATTACTCGAGCGCAGGCAAGACGCAGAAGTACGTGTGCCCGAAGCCTGGTCAAGCCCCGGTGATCCTGTTTCCGATCCTGTGCCAGAAAAATTCTCAATGTCGCGCCACCGGCGGGCCAGATCAAGTGTGCTGTGAGGGACGATGTGTTAAAGGTGTTCCAGCGCCGCGGCCAACCTCACCGCCAATACCACATCAACGTATGTTTTATACAGTGCAGTTTTTAAAAAATAGGTTATAATTAAACTTTTTTATGGCATAGGGACAAACGAGTAGACGGATCACGTGATGGTAAGTGAATACCGCCGAGGACACCTGCGAGAGTCACAAGTGAGTTGCCCCCTTTGTGTCCTCTCGCCCAAAATCAGGGGTCAGGTGAGTGCTTGAGGTCATCGGAGCTCAAATTTCCCCTGGGTTTGGGCTTTGGCTAACCTCACTCACTTGGTGAAAAGCAACGAAAAAATTGTTTAATACTGGTTTTCTGGGAGGCCGTGGTATCACTCCGGTCGAGCCCGACTCATATGTACCGAAGTATGTATGGCTTTCACATAGTCATTGGCGTTCTCCCCTACAGGTTTTCATGTCTGATATTAAACAGCAAAATGGCACCTTCGGCACAGTTTACTGTTCTGTTTGGGTGCTGTGCTCCATCCAATATCGACATACTTTTTACCTACATACTTTGTATAATTTATATATTAAAATTTGGTCTTAAGAGCGTGGCCCATGCATACCTATGTGATCTGGCACTTTCCAGACCTTCTCAGACAGTCGCCTCCTACATTTACTCAACAGTTCTGATTATTTACTGCTACCCTGTGAAATCTTTTTTTAACGAAATATGTAGTATCTGTATAAAAAAATTGCATTTGAGTAGGAAAAATAAACGTATTTTTGACCCTATAAGTTGCTGTGACATTGTTCTCCTTCGGATTACATTTTAATATTAATCGTTGGCAATTGTCGTAAAGTACTAAGTATATTATTTAAATCAAGCACGTGCCATAACAAAGATTTAATTATTTCTGTTTTTTTTTTTGTAATACTAACAATGACGAATTAGAATTAAAAATATCACAAGTTAAATATACTATCATAATAAATTAATACTATTATTACATATTTTGCAACTTTCATAATTTTATTTGGGGTCAAAAATCTTTAAGGCATTTTCTTACATCGCCAGCCCCCTGCCTCACACTCCTTAGGAATGTAAGGAAACCTGATAGGGCGAGAGAGCTAGGATAAGAGATCGCGCAAGAAGTCTCAAATGGGAGCATACGCATAAGTCCGTACTGTGACTAAAAAAGCCACTTGGGCAGGGACTTGATTAGATACTTTTCATTTGACAATTAAGGCTCTTTTAAATCTAGGTTTTAAATTGAAATAATACTTACTTTTTCTTATAGCATTATTAGGTGTTATTCCACGAGAATGCCCGGCAACCCCACTGGGTGAACTACTATTCGAAGTCCAGACTTGCAAGACTGACGCGGATTGCTGGCCGCGGATTTGCTGTCCCGATGGCGTTCGGTCGTACTGCCGCACTGCACGTGCAAGACTAGATCTAGTACCGGTTGCAAATAGGATCGAAGCACGTAAGTTTGCCTTTAATTTTAGAAGAGTATTGTATGTACTATGATCAATGTCCGGACTACATCACTGACCCCTATATTGGTTAAATCAAGTATCTTTTTAAATATTTATGATTTCAGCGGTGCGGATGTTAGAACAGTATCTACAGTGCACGTCACCTCCTGAATACGACCTGTTTCCTCAAAAGTGCAGCTCTACTGTAGACTGCTTCCCTAACCTATGTTGTGCTGAAGGTGGCAAGAAGCACTGTAGACCCCCACAGCGTAGTCTTTTAGCGCTTCTTGCTGGAGTCGGCCAGGTAAATTATCGGGTATTATTATAATAGATAGTAACGATTTAAGTAGCAATTACCTATGTACTTTATATTTTTTACACCCTTTACCTACCTTTCTACCGTATTTTTTTAAATTATTTATTAACCAAGAAAAATTGGTATTGCAAGTCTAAAAAACGCTAACGTGCAAACGAATAAGAAGAAAAGTTTTGTTTTTTAATACTTTTCGAGGAGAAAAAAATGGATTATTACAAAGTAAAAATATATGTAGGGTCACATTGTCAACAGTGGATTACCTTTTTTTAAATGAGTATATTTCCGAAATTAAGTATTGGAATCGATTGAAAATTTGCAGATCCATAGAGAATATAATGACGATTCACCGTGTTTAACTTAGTATGATACATGATTAAACCAATAAAAAAAAAGTTTTGAAACGTGTACCCCACACGTTGAATCACCTAGTGGTACACAGTGGACTTAGGAGAATTTAGAAGCACACTAAGGTCAAAATAAAAAATAAGGTTGAGGACAATCACTCTTTCTATTAGAAATAAGTAACAAAAACGTTTTCTCTTCGTAACAAAGCAAAGAATTTTTTGTTTTAATTTAGTATAACATATGTATCTATGGGAGGCCTTCGTTTAGCAGTGGACGGCAATAGGCTGATGATAATTGTATCTATGATTAAATCACAATCAGTTTCTGACAGTTTTCTATTTTCTTAATTACCACCAGCACCAATAATATTGCAAGTAGTGCACAGAATTCTTTTATCACCACTAGCGACTTTACAGATATTTTATGTGCCCTTGGGAGCTAATACTTTTGGCGCCGTGTGGACAGTAGTAACTCTGAACTCTCGCCAAACTGCATGATTCAGGTTTAAAAAAAGGTCAGGATGTCTTTGCCGAAACCCTCTTAACCAGAATATGCCTGCCATTTCTATTACAGCCCAAGTGTGAGGCATTTTGATGTTGTTATGAAGCGCGCTTTAGTTGATAGACCAAACAAAAGTAGCGCACATTTTCGATAATACTGTTGCAATATATTTTCTTGCCATCAGAAAATATATTATTTGGGGCGTCATTTTCAGTAAACCTTTGTCCAACTCCTAGGTAATCGCTTTCTTTCATAATGTTAAAATGTAACCTATGCAAAGTTGTTTAAGATATATTGTTATGGATTGCGGCTTTTCGAATGCCTTTCCTTCCCTTAAAGCAGTTTTTATCTGATGGTCAGGAAAGGAACCCACTTTTCTTTTTTCCAACTCCTTGTCTGGGCATTCTGAGACAAAGATATAAAGATAATAAGTCCATACACGGTTCACTATGTACCCGATCCACAAGATCCTCTGTGTACCCGATCCATACAATCCACTATGCACCAAACCGTTGAATAATTAAAAAAAAGAAATACAAACAAATGTTACAAATATACAGTTATAATTGTTAAGACTTCACGCCTTTTTAACCAATTAACAAAGTACACCGGAACAAATAAGTAATATAAGTATTATATCAGAAGACAATTTTTTTTTCCTTTACGCTCGACAAACGTAAATCTCACATGTCTACCGTGCTGCGAAGTCGCAGACGCACGGGGGAAGTAGGGACGCGGCAGGACGATTATCGTTTACCCGCTCATAGCTCAACAGGGATGTTAGATGTACCAATTTCTTGGTATACTTACCATTTTACAGGGTCTTGTACCATGTACCAACTAAATATATTGTGTTGGTACGCAATAACACCAACTTTCTACATTGATCATACATGAGTTTTTTTCGTGTATCTAACAATGTATAAAGTTACAACATTGATAATTCTAAAAATTTACTGTTCATAATGATATTTATTTTTGACCCATTGAGTAACTTACTTCAGATTAACTTTATCAATCGAGCGAATTATCCATAGATGACAGGTATGATTTTGTCAGAAAATACTAAAAAAAATCGGTTAATGTAACTCACGGTTGATTTTTATTGTTTTATTTTTTTCCAATTATGCATTGACATTTATGAGATTTAATAATATGTGCGTCTCGGGACGTCACAGAAGTGATAACTTAAACTAATCTAAGTTGAACTATTTAATATTGAAATTGTTTAACTTGTGAAAAGACTAGGTTATTACTTAAATTGTATGTAAAGCGTTTGTCGAAATACTGCTAGCGCTGTGGGTTAAAGTGAGAGAGGAGGAGCCTGACTACCGTTGCCGGATGCGTGAGAGAAAGGAAAGCCAGACAGACTAGCGCCGTGTAATGAAGCGGTTTATCGTCCCATAAGTTATCACTTCAAAACGTCAACGAAAAATGAGAATCTACCTAATCCCTTTTAACGAGCAATATATCGTCATTCCGGATATTTTTTTATCACATTAGAAGAAACATTAAAATTAGTTTACCGGGTATGACTGAAATCCGTATATTCATTTAAAACACCTAAATTTACTCAACTATAGATTGAGTGAATTATAGCTAAGTAATCCATTGTGTAGGTCATTATTCTGCTTAAGGTTTTTTGTAAGTATTATTTAGATAACCATTTCTAGTCTTATATAACAAAAACTAATTTAAACCATTTGTTACAGAGAGTAGGATCCACACTGGTCAATTTCCGACAAGCGCAAGCTAATTCATAATTTATAGAAATTCTAGATATTAGACAAAAATTATATGATTTTCCTAGATTTTTATACTTTTGTACAGTTTTGTAAAATAAAGATTTTTGTATTTATATTTACTTTTTTAATTATATATTTAATGTATATGAAATAATAATAAATACGATTTTTCCCCTTTTTCTTTTTTTTTTCCGTGCGGAAATTCCCTCGGATACCACCTATCGGTGGCATGTCGGACTCGAACAGACTAAAACCGCACGCCGTCTCGAGTACTAATAGCCGGGGAACCAGGTATACCCTAGAAAGGAAGTCCCTGGTGATGGAAGTCACTGGTGCACGATTTTTCCCCTAAATTTTAGTAGGTACCTATATAGTTCTTAGTTTTAGCCCCTTCTCATAAGGCTCAACCCTTGGCAACGGGCGGTTGTATATCGGCACAGGCATATAATAGATTGACTTCATTTTGCTAAATATATGTATTATGTTATGTTGTTGGTTTATAACTAAGAAGATTTCAAACTACTTATAATTTTATTTTTTTAAATAAAGATATTTTAAGCTTTATAAAGTAGGCCAAAACTTCCTTTCTAAGGAGCGGCCTATGTCTAGCAGTGGATGATGATATAGTTTTTTTTTAAGAATTTGGATGGTAGCTAAGGCCAAAAATACTAATAACACCACCAAGAAGAAACCTTAATTTAGTGGTAGGAGTAGTGCAGTAGGGTCACTACTAGAAGCTGACAGTTAAGAAGAAACCAAAGATTGCAGTATAGAGGTAGCATTGCGACTTCCATGCTTCCTTATATGGAAGGAAATGGTATGACGGAATATTCTAAGTACCTATTTCGGCTCAGCTTTCCATTGACGTCCGTCGAGTTAGGGGTTGATTTTTTTTACAGAAAGGTTACATTATTATAAGGAGACGCGTCTCCGCATATGATAAAACAAATACATAATTTAAAAATGACGTCAGTTTTACGTTTCGTTCCACAAGCCGGCAAAAACGCCAAACACTACACATTTTAATAGTTCGTAATGAAAATTATGCAGTAATTTAATATATATAAACTGTTAAATATATGTGTGCATAAAAACTTTTGAAAAGAGTACAAAATATAATTATTTACGTAAGATATAAAATAAAATGTTACCGAACGTATGATAACCTAACCGTAGGTAAAACGAAACGTTCAATGGCGAGAATTCCAAATAACCTGTGGTAGGAATTGACATACATATTGCAAAAATGATTGATTCAATTATTTTCTTCTCAAAAACTACTTGTCTCCGCATGTTGAAACTTTGCGTGTGTGCTTATCACAATGTAACCTTTCTGAAAAAAAATATCAACCCCAACTCGACGGACGTCTATGGAAAGTCGTACCCCTTTTTTTTACGGGGTGAAATCCTCGTGGACTACCTCCGCCTGGGGAAAGGCGGAGGAGCGTGCCGGACTCTTACCGGCTAAAACCACCCCGGTGTCTCACTCGTGCGCGCGGGACCGCGGGAATCCAAATTCTTCCGCAGCCCCACACTAGTGCTGGCCCGGTCTGTCCGGGCCTCAGAGGCGCACACACAGCCTACAGCACCTGCGTCACCCTAAACGACAGGGAGCCGTGCCTTCTCGCGAGCCATTCGTCGAGTACTGGCCGGAAACTCGTACCCCTATTTCATCATTGCTAACTGCCTACAGACCTATTATATGAAATTTCAGGCCTCAATAGTGTCTGTACACCTGCTGTTTATTTGCTATAATGATCATTCTGGTTTGGTATTTAAACTTTTGCAGTAGAAATTCACCTAACATCATTTCTATATTCCTTATTTTAAGATTGTACAGCTCTTTAATGGTATTGGGTTTGTACATGTATCTTACATTCATAAATAAAACTGTTACATATATCACATAGAACATATCTGCTAAATGGTAGAGGTTGATCCAATAAAACAACATTATAACTTAACTTTAAGTTTATTGACTTAACATTTTAGTCCAGCTGAAACAAAAGAAAAAATATGTTAGTACTTGGACATAATATTTCAAACCCGTTGCCAGTTGAAGTTGAGAAGAAAATATAAAAGATGGTCATCACAGTCTTTATTCATGAAAAATGGGTTGGATATACTAAAATTACTTTTTTGTTATTACATATAACACTGGACCAGTTGTTGTAGCAAACCTTAGGGGATGCCTTTGTCCAGAAGTGAAAATTATTTTTTACTGTTGATTCAGACAAGCTTATTTTGATTATCTTTTACTGTATAATTAAGTAGTTCAAGTGTCTTTACCTAAAGTAAGCCAATTTTTTTTAACAAATGAAATAATGATGGTAGTTGGTAATGAAATCAATTGTTCAGGCCTAAGCCTACTAGGCCTCTGATCCCTCTAAGTTATTATGTAATAACATGTAAGTTTTATCTTCATGGCTTTATAAAATATTAGTTGACCCCCTCCATTTTTTCAATTTTGAACCGGTAGTGCCTGACATTAGTGCATTTAACGAAAAAAACTAAATTTGGCTTGACAATATTAGTATGCAAAAGATAGTTACAGTTTAAATTTCAACATGTTTTAGTGATTGTTTGTGCTGTGTGAATATGTATAGTGCATTACACAAGATATTATTATATAGCCTGTTGAGAGAAAAGATCCAACTATCTCTTTCTTTGTGACATTGGGTATTTTTGTCAAAATTAAGATTTTTAATTAAGTTTTATTTAGTTTTTAGGAGAGGCCTATGTCCAGCAGTGGACTAGTATAGGCTGTTGATGATGATGATAAAGTTTTACAAATTGCACAACAGATCATGCAAGTTTGCCTACATTTTACCACAAATGTTTTGCAGTGTAACAGAACGTGCATGATACTTATATAGCATGTCCTAATATCATGTACAAATCTGTTTACACTTTAATGCATATTTACAATAGTGAGGTATATAAGCATTCTTTAAAATTTTGCTTCAACCAAAACAGTTGTCAAATCGATTGCAAAATCGGTAGAAAGCAGCAAAATATGTAACACAAACATACCTTTTTGAAACCAATGTCATGGGCATATTCCCTGAAGCACTGTCTGCAAATGTTTAGTCCATATTTGCGTATAAGACCATGTCTGTTAGAGCAGGCGCGGCTGAAAATGCAAAACGAACATTGTTAAGCACGTGTTCTAACCAATTGGCGTGTAATTCAATACAGGTGAATAAGACTTCGAAATTAAATCTTACCATGAGCGGGAGCCCTGGCCGTATCTACGAGGGTGAGAATACCAAATATTAGCATGACCCATGGCGCAAATATAATTTTAGCGCTGCACAACGGTAAGGAACACGTCCGATATGGCGACAACACAGATAAAAGAAGGCAAAAAAAATAAAATGAAATGAGTTTATGGTTCCGGACCACAGGTTAAGAAAAAAAATTTGGAAATAAACAACGGAATTCCGACGCACCGCACGCTGTGGAAAAAGTATTAGGTTTTTAGATAACAAATAAACTTAGTAAATAAAAAAATATAATTTTTGTGAAAAATAAATCTAAAATATATTCTTTCCAATATTAATTAAATATTCTGGTATAAAAATTAGATAATGAATAGATATGTATTAGATAGATAGTAATGGAATATTCAAATTATCAAATTAATATAGCTGTTTGTCATATAATAATAAAATGTTTCAAGTTTGCGTAATCAAATCAAACTAATGCTTCATAGAATTCTAAAGGTTCCAGTACACATTGGCTAGTGTTAGGCCATCATCGCGTAGTTCACACAATGGTGCATTAGCTCATTATTGCCTGGCGAAACATTTGCGATAGACGTGGAAGTAATTACGGTCTTAGCTATTTTCTTTTTTTATTTACTTATTGAAATTTTAATACAGAGTCGTTACTAACTTCTACACTCGCCGAATTTTACGTTTGATTGCGAGAAGCGCTCTTTCACATAACAATGAAACGCCTTATACACATCAATAAACACAGTAGTTAAACACAGTAATAAAATTTAATAAAGAAATGTTTAAACCTATGAAATATTGTTATTATCTTAACTTTATGACCTTATAGATGTAATTTTAAATATATTGATAAATAAATACCTACCTACCACTTTTATATTATATCGCTATATTTTAATCTACTACAGTGAAAAAGTGTGCAATACCGTCAGCGATCGGTGAAGAATTAAACAATGGGCGATTGTATAAACACCACTGGCCAGACTACACCACGATTTCTTTGAAGTGTGCCCAAAAAATCGATAACATTCCGATTGCTCGCCACGATGGCCAATCATCCGCCACTGTATGTCATTGCCCCATGTACTCAATGCCGATGGCTTATGTGGGCCAACTTGGGCCAATGTGTACTGGGCCCTTAACAATTTTCACTTGAGGGTGTTCAAATACTTTCTTCGATCATCGTGCTCTGGATTGAATTTTCAAGTATATATTTTTAAACTAATGTTGCTTTACATGTGCAGTCAATTGTTTACTGCATTGATTAATCAGAACGGACTCCATACAATAATAATATAAAATATAATTTCAGGTAAGTACATAGTATGACTGACTTGTTGGTCTAGTGGTTAGTGACCCTAATAGCCAGGGTCTCTAACCACATAGTCACCAGCCGGAGATCGCGGGTTCGATTCACACCCAGAACAAATCGGAAATCGCCAGACAGTAAAATCATTGCTCCTCCAAAACATCTCGAGTCATCCCGTAAATCTTTCAATGTTCGGTTAAGTGCTTCTAATGCACGTTTATGCGCCATTGTGCATTCATCCCAGATGATGATTTTCGATGTCGATAAAACTTTGGCCATTGCTGAATTTTTCGTAATATTACACGTTAGTTCTTCGACAGTTTGAAGATTTAACGGTAATTTTAATGCTGAATGGGCCGTACGGCATCCTTCTAACAATGTGGCTGCTATTCCAGAAGAAGCAACTGCAACCGCTATGTTGGATCTCGCACGAACAGTGGCTAAAACTACTGACATGAGGAATGTCTTACCTGTTCCACCAGGGGTATCTAGGAAATATAAACCACCATTTCCATCATCGATTCGTTCCAATTCTCGATTAAATGCGTCATTCATTTTACGATTGGGCGCTGGCATTCCTAACCTGATTAATAAAATACCGCACATGAGGTAACACATATCTTCGATCAAGAGTAAAGCACGATTATGTATCTCCTCATTCATCTCAACATCGTGATTTCTGGAAGTGATACGAATTTGATGTAAAATATCTTCTGACATTTTATCCTTATATTTATGCCACAGGTTACATGGGTTTAATGGAAAGCATGTCGAAATTATGATAGCAAATAATGTGCGTATCTGACTTGGAGATGCAGAGATAATGGCTTCAGCGATTGTCGTATCCCAATGGGTATCGTTTTCTAATAAGTTCAGTTCTTCACATGCAGCACGATATGTTGGGAATATTACACCATTAACAGTCCGTAGTGTCTCAAATGACGTTGGCCCACGCACATTTACCATCAACAACCGCAAATAGAAACATTCATCATTCTTTGGATGAACTGTATACATACGACCAAGAGCATCAGTAGAACGCACATCCGGATACCCAGGAACCGCATCGCCTTGCTTCCGTCTTTGAAAATTCTTCGATGAAGCATTCCAAGTATAATAACGTGTCATCTCCGAGTAAAGCAAAGTTCGTGCAAACTTTGTTTTTTTTCTTTTTTCGGAATAAATAGTATCCTATGTCCGTCTCCTGGCTCTAAGCTACCTCCTCACCAATTTTCAGCCATATCGGTAAAGCCGTTCTTGAGTTATAAATAGTGTAGCTAACACAACTTTCTTTTATATTTATAGAAATCTATGTATTTAGAAATCTTCATGACTTGAGATCTTAGTGGCTTTTTCTAACGCTTTATAAAAAAATGAGCCGAAGCAACTAATATTTTTCACAATCAATTTCTTCGTTAATAGGTTGCATTAATTAATATTAATAAATTAAGACTTGAATTCACTTGAATTTAACATCTAGAAGGAAATGTACCAAGTGTACCAACTAAATGATTTAGTAACTTATCGATACCTGACTGACACTGATGTTTAACTAAAATTGACAGTTGTCTCTTGGCTGTGTATTTAGTATTAGTTCATTAGTTCGTTTGATCTTGAGAAAAGAAGAATTTTACCTTAACCAGGAAATGGTTTTTGAACCGTGTTTCTGAGGTCATCCATCATAGGTGTTGAATTAATTTAAGGTAATTCTCTACTTTACCAGATTAAGGCTATTGTTTATGTTTATGTGTTACGAAGCCCCTTAATACAATGTAAAATCGTAAACGTAGTGGTTTTGTGTCATTCTGATTGTAGCTACTCTATAAGTGGAGCGTTTAAGTAGGTATATACATAGATCACTTATAATATAATTCATTTTACTCGTGTGCCGCTTTAGTGAAAGTATTTTTTTTTAATTTTGTCTTTAGTCATCAGCCACGTTCATGTACTCGTTGGCGGCTTCTTTTTAATCGTAAGCGGTAAAGAAGCTTTTTTTTATCATAATGTACAATTGATTATTTAAAAATTGTGTTAGATTAAAGTTAATAAGTTTTATCAATTGTTATCAATGACCTTTGATTTATTACGATAAATTTAGTTTTTTAAATTTAATATTTTGCCTTTTGCAGGTGTTATACTTTGCAAAATGGGGTTCATTTTTAATTTCATAACAAGAATAGTAAAGCTATTTATAAAGTTATCTTTGTATTTAGCTATATTTGCTACCTTGATTGTTTTAATACCGAATTTACCTCCATATTCAAAGTTCACAAGCATTGTGTAAGTATCACTTTATAAATTAATTTATTAGTAATGATTCCATTAAATATTTATTGAATATATTTGCATATAATATAATTAAGAATTGCACCTAAGCTAATTTTCGTTTTAGGCAAACTCCAACACAGCCAAGAGTTGGACCTTTAGCACCAAATGATGCCCTTAACAATGTTGAACAAAAGTACAAGGGTAAACTGGTGGGACCTGAAGCCTTTCAAGTGTACAATGGTGAACTATACACCAGTCTATCCACAGGAGAAATTGTCAAGATTTCACCAGGTGGTCATATTACTTTTGTTACTAAAGTGGGACTACCTTGCAGTAAGTAAATTATTTAAGTTTTGTCTTAGCAATAACATACACACTAAACATAGGTAATCTTTATAATAAAAATAAAAAGTCTTAGTGAACAGATATTCGCCTTATTTGAGCAGCATTTTAAATGTTTTGACCTTAAACAACAAAGTACTGCAAAGTTATATAACCATATCTTAAAGTGCCAACTGCATTCTGATGTTGGTGAATGATAGGAGTTATTTAATTATAAATAAAACAATAACTAGTAACCCTGATAAGATAATGTAGTCATACTTGAGTAAACCAATTTATAAATAAACATGACAAGATGTACTTAAATGTACTTGTCAATTCAATGAGATGGGGGAACAATGTGTGCAACTATGCACCCTTTTATCTTACTACAGGATCGTCTATCTAATGAGATGGAAGAGCAACATACTCTTCACCTATGGAAAGCCCCCTTTCACAACATGAATGCATGAATATGAAAACAGATAAACACTCACATTCTCAATATAAAATATTGATTAGGGTGGATATTAATATTTAACCAGAGATTGGGAGAGCATGCCTCTGCACTTAACCTCTGATATGATGCTACACTGTACAGCACCTTACCGGTGAAAGGCACTGTACAGTGTAGTGGTACATGAGGGACTAAGGGTTCGACTTGATAAGAGTGATACAGCCTCAAAGAAAATCAGTGTTAAGCCAATCTCTTGTTGCTTTTACCAAGTGAGGTTACTGGAGTCTAAACCCACTAAGCCCCTGTTAATGGAGGGCTTCGAAGGTGTCACACTTGTGACTATAGTTGCTGGTATGTGACTACCGCAGCCCATGGAGACCCATGGGCTGCTGTAGTCGCATACCATCAAATAACCCATCTACTTGTTTACCCCATCCCATCCCATCCCATAAATACATCAGATCAATACATTTTATATGCATATTTTATTTTTTTCTTATTATATATTATATATTCTTATACCAAATGCCAAGATTCAGTTCATTATAGCTCAAATGCATTTGAACTGAATTTTGGACCCGAATTGACCCGAATGTAAAACAAATTTCGGCTCATAGCTAATATATATAAGTTAACACTGTGGTGTAATTTTTTTTTTTACAGCTGGACTCATACAGGAAGATATTTGTGGAAGACCTCTAGGTTTTGAAATAGACGATAAAGGTAAAACCCTCTATGTGGCAGATGCCTATCATGGCATTTGGAAGGTAGACATGAAGACAGATAAAAAGCAATTATTAGTTTCACCTCAGGTTGAAATTGAAAAACGTTTACCCAAACTGTTTAATTCAGTTGCATTGGACAAAAATGGAGATATTTACTGGACAGATTCTACCAGTGACTTTAGCTTGAAAGATTTAGCGTATAGCATGACCACCGATCCATCAGGAAGGTAATATATAATAAAATCATACAAATACCTATGAGTCACGCAATTAATTTTCTTGTGTTTGCCTATTGGTATTTCGAACAATAAACACTGACTTTATCAATAAACAAATTATCTATAATTATCTAGAAAAATGCTCTAAACAGTTGTTTGTAAAAAATAAGGTACTGCTAGGAAAAACATTTCATTCACTTTAATAATACCATTTTGATGGCATGTAGACCTGAGGCTTATAATATTTCGATTAAAAGGAAACTTACCTAATGACGGTATAACATGAAATATGATTTATTGCATTCTGATAGCCATGGCGTGTGGTCAGGGCACAGTATGCAAATTGCAGCATGTTAAACTACCATATCCATTGCGGATTTCACCTGGTCGGTCCAGCTCATAGGTGCCTTGCCTTGGAATCTGTTTCCCTCCACCTTTACCTGCACCACCAGTCGCAGGAAGCCGGGAAACTTTAAGCTGGCTTGTTTTGGCAAGCTGTCTGTATCCGACAGTCTGCTAACAGGGAGAGATAGCGGGAGATTGTACGAACAGCTTTGTCCGCCTCTACAACCGACGAGGACATCTCAACATGACCACGCCAACGTGCGACACGTCAGAGAAAAACAAGAAACTACCTTTCAAACAACCGGCCCCTTTAATACCACTTTAGTTGTTGAATTAATTTCAAATTCTAAAATGCTAACTACTCCACACTTGTTTGTGTTTTTCTGTTATTTTCAGTCTTTCTCCACATAGGTTATTTTAATGATAAAAGTATTTTTTTTGCCGTTTTTCTAGAGTCTTCCACTACAATGCTGCCAAAAATGAAAGTAAAGTACTTGTTGATGACTTGTGGTTCCCTAATGGACTAGTTTTATCGCCCAACAACGAATTCTTGGTCATTGCAGAGACCTGTCGTTACAAACTGTTGAAACACTACATTTCAGGGCCAAAAAAAGGACAAACAGAAGTATTTGTTGATGGATTGCCAGGTAAATATGACCTTTATACAAAACCGAGACTGTAAACATATATATTATCGGATCGAATCGAATTTAAGTAAGCAGGGGTCTTTGATTCATTTATCAGGGTATATTGGAATCTTAAAATATGAGATCAGTATGTATTATTAAGATTATTAGGAATTCTATTTGTTTAAATAAGACTACACTACTGCCCTAACAAGACTGCCCTAAAGTACATAAGCAGAATGTTATCTGCTTATGTACTTTAGAGCTGTGTGTACTTATAGATAGATAAAAAGGTTTCTAGGCAGTGTATCAACATGAATTATGAACCAGGTTTCAAGTTAGACGTAGTAGATAGTAGTTTTGATGAATATATACAGACAAGCAGAAATTTAAAATAAAATGTCTGCCACTACTCCTGTAAAGAGCACTTATATTACCTTTTTTAATTATCTCCAATGTAACAAAATGGTAACTGGTCATCAACAAGTTAAATGTATAGATAGGTAACTAATTAAAATTCAAAATGCTTGAATTTTTTTTATTTTTTTTTCGCATATTATTTGACATATTTCAATACACAGTTTTATATCCAACACAAGGACACTTAAATAAATTCTTAATTACAAAAACTTGTATCATCCCGACAATAAACATTAAGGTTATCTGGAGTCCTGACCATAAATCTACGATGAAAGTGTCTTCAAACGCCATGTAGCTGTCCCGCGATTTAGTGGCACCATAAATGTCTAATAGACGACGCGCTTTTAACACTTGCTGCAATGTTCTCGACAGAGAATCTGCGATGAATGCCACCTCCAAGTAATACGTTTCACCATCTTCGTCAGTTCCCGCCCACTCAAGAATTTCTTGGTCTTTTTGTTCTTCTCCCTCGGCTCCCACGATGGCCACTTCTGCTTCTTCATCTCCTTCTTTCTTAGTTTCTTTTTTATTTTCTATAAGAATGTACACGAACACGAGCTTAGAATTAATTAAACTGTACGTATTGTCCAAACAAAACGCGTAGTCTCCACTAATTTCTACGTCCATTATGATAGAATTTTGAGATTTTTTATAATCCGATACAAGTTTTTTGGCTTTCGGGTCGATTATATCGAATGAAATATCCAATTCTCCATGTTGGCCATCCAGAACTTGGTAATATACTTCCATCGTTTGACCGGCGTTTCCTTTTTGAAAGATACAAGTCTTAGAGCCAGGATCGACTCTAAAATTCACGTCACTCTCGTATATCTTTAGTGTGAAACATCTTACCGTTATTACGGCTAGTAAAATAAATATTGAGCAATACATTACTACAGCAACAATGTCGATACTGTTACAACTCCAACTGGCACATAATTTACATACAAAGCTATAAAGTTTTACTATTTACACAGCTGTACCTTAGTATTAATTCAACGTGTATTTATATTCATCATAAAGTTGTATATGACACGTAATACTCATTTCGCTCTTTTTTTTTTACACAGGTGTTCCCGACAATGTGCGCGCGTTACCTGACGGGTCTGGTGTCCTTGTTGGTTTGTTCACAGTGTTCGATGACGAACATCCTATGCTTCATCGTTCGCTATCGACCGCACCACTTGCGAGGAAGTTCTTAGCCCGCTTACAGCGACTCATTGAAATTCCTTTTGAATATCTCAACAGCATATACCCACACGTTATATTTCAGGAAATCGTATACTATGTTAGTATAACCTAGATTAATTCACCTTAAGTTTATTTATTGACTACTTCTAGAAATCTCTGATCGAGTTAAATAAGCAGGCAGGCAAAGCAAGTACGACCTCATTTTTTTTTGTTACAGATTGGTCACTGTAAAAGTGTATCACCAATATCACCACCCTTATCTGGATTGGTACAAATTGATTGGAATGGGAACATAGTGGCCGCTTATTTCAACAACGATAAGTCCATTGGACATATCAGTGACGGTATTGTATACAATGACAAACTGTACTTGGGCAGCCCCCATGTTCAAGACTTTATTGGGTCAGTACCTGTACCACCGTTGCTAAAAAAAGCGTTTGAAACTGTAAAGAAAAGTGAATCACCCAAAGTAGAAACAAAACCTCAGGCTAAACCAAAAGTAGAAGAAAAACCAAAATCCAAGGTAGAAGAAGTAAAGTCAAAGGAGGAATCAAAACCCAAAGTTGTCCAAAAACCCAAAGTAGAACAAAAACCCAAGATAGACCAAAAGCCAAAGGTTGAAGAAGTACCCAAAGTAGAACTAAAAGCCAGCATTGAGTCTAAGCCTAAGGTTGAAACAAAACCTAATGTAGAAGAGAAGAAAAAATCTCCTAAAGATGCAAATGTAGAAAGGGCGCCTCCTCAGCAAAATAAACCCACTCAGGCCGTAAAGGATCCACAACAACCACCAAAAACAACTACTCCATCACCTAAAACAACCGCACCGACGGCAAAAACTACAGGTCAGCCACAAGCTACTACTACTCCAAAACCGGCAGTTAAAACCACCCCACCACCATTAAAACCTGCAGAAAAATCAACGCCTCCACCTCCAAAAACAACTTCTAAAAACCCCGAACAACCTAAAAAAGTACAAACTCCGAAGCCATCCCAGGATAAAGTTAAGGAACAAATTCCCATAAAAGAGGACATTCCCTCAGACACAGCGAAACCAGCTAGAGACACTTTAAAAGTAATAAAGAAAGGTGGAGTAAAAGCAGAGATCCCTGTTCCTAACAATCTTTAAGTAAAACAGGTGCATGGAGGGTACTTGAATTGTGAGTTATTGATATAATGGAGTCGAGATCTCTTAAAAATGAACAAAATTTAATGTGGAGAGGAGAGTAAAATTGGTTGTGGTACTTTTTTTTTATCAAAACTTCCTTCTCTGATCTGCTTGCTTGATTTATCATATTTATAAAGGGTATTTCGGGAATTTCCGAACCTTATTATAGGATAAAGCGAGCTTCCGCGTCGGTGAATTTATCATGTATGTGATTCTGATAAGTAGGTTCATTAAAATAATTATAAGCCTCGTCAATCATTCCGTTGTTACTTAGTTTAGTGTATGTAGTACGTACACCGCATGTAGCACACAAATTCGTATCCTTTCCTCTTTGAGGATTATATAGGATATTACACTAAATGTGTTATATCAATATTTTAATAATTCATAGATCATGTTAATCAACGTAAAACTTTCATTGATTTGTTTGCACTATTTATTTTCTACTTTGTAGGGAAAATTTTAATATTAGGCACCCCACATTCCTATGAAACGTTCATTTTTTGTAATGTGTTTTAATTCCAATAAGCTCTTATATTGAAGGACCAATTTATATTTAGGTGTGTCGTCACGAGTTATACAACAATACGCATAACTAAAATAGTTTTTCTTACGTTTTAAAGGACTTTTGAGATGATTATGTTCTGGTGTAAAAATGTAGGTACCTACCTTCTTTGTGACATGTTGTTGTACTATTAATCGTTATTCAAGTTACCAATCACTTAGTGCAATATTTTCAGAGCAATGAATGTTCATCGATTTAATTATTTTGTTGGAAGAAAAAGTTAATGTTACATATACAAACGTGCAAAATGAGTGAAATAATCGCTATTTCTTTAGTCAGCCACTTCAATCGTGGAACTTGAGGATTAAATATAAGACTTTTAATATACTAATTCGTGTTAAAAGGTTCTATATAAAGTACACAATCGTTGTTTCATCTCATTTACAATTTCATTAAACTGAGCAATATTTGACTTGTAAGCAATAGAGTATATTTTAATACATGTGTACATTTATATATTAAAATATTTTAAATTATAAAATGACCCTTTTACTACATGTACTTCATGTCATGTCTCCGACAGCCGTAAAAAAGCAATAAAAATTGCAACATAAAACGGAAAGCAAAATATTACGGTATCCTATAAGAAAGACTGTTTTATTAATCTACATACTGTATTTAAACTACTGTTACGACAAAGCAGTGCACGATCAGCACGATGGGGATTCCTTAGGGTTTGTTACCTGACTAGGTCCCTACTAAGGTATGCATTGAATTAACAAAATCTACTCTTGACTGAATATTTTTGTACGTGGTATACTCCTCTGTGCGGCGATCCCATTATCCAATAGGATGACCATAATTTGTAGAATATTTTCAATGTTGTCAAATAGCCTATTGTCATTCTTTTTAAGAAAACCAAGCATCCAAAACTGTAATAGGCTTTAGAGGCGTCGAGTTGCAGACGTAATAGTTCACTATTTGTTTTTTGTAATTTGTAACTGACCGACAATTTGGTTTTCGCCGGGGTCGTTCAGCTGGTGATCTTCTCGTCAGTCTAACACACCGGCGGGCACAGGCGATCGAGACCAAAGGAGTAACCGGAGCGGTTTAGACATAGCGAAGGCCTTCAATCGGGTCTGGCATAAGGCGCTTCTCTCGAAGCTCCCTTCTTTTGGGCTTCCCGAGAAATTGTGTAATTGGATCACCAGTTTCCTTGCGGACAGAAGCATTAAGGTAGTTGTCGACGGTGCATGCTCCGACTTGAAATTCGTAAATGCTGGTGTCCTACAGGGCCTTGTGCCACCCACATTGTTGGTTGCATATCAATGACATGTTGCAAACTAGTAGCATCCATTGCTATGCAGATGATAACACGGGCGATGCCCTTTACACCGGCCGCCCCAATATTTCTCGGGAAAACGTCATCGAGAGTCGAAACAAATTTGTGCCTGAAATTAAAACTTCAATAGCGGAGGTTTCAGATTGGGGCCGGCTAAATCTAGTCCAGTTCAACCCAAAAAAACGGTCAGTTACGAGTTGAACTCGTGTGCCGAGGGTTCCGTACCTACCCAGATTTTACGTACATTTTCGCGAAAATTTGTAAATACCAAAATTCATTTTAATTTTCAACATTTTTTATTTTTTGGAATTATTTCTTTATTTGTGCTATAAGACGTTTCTTTTTGCCAAATTTCGTGATTCTAGGTCAACGGGAACTACCATATAGGTTTTCGACCCAAAAACTATAGGGTACTTCCGGTTGACCTAGAATTGTCAATTTTGGTTAAAAGCAAGGTCTTACAGCACAAGTAAAGAGAAAAGTCAGAAAAATAAAAAAAATAAGGTAAATTTTGGTACTTGCAAGTTTGCGCGAAAATCTAAATTTGCCCATATCTTTTTATCGTGTTGACTCAGGACCTTAATTTTTATATATCTGGTATAAATTTTAACTTGTTAGGTAGACCTAACAAGTTAAAATTTCCTGTTCCGTTCCTGAAAAATTCGGTGGTGACACACGGGCAGACGGACAAGAAAATGATCTTATAAGGGTTCCTTTTTTACCATTTTAGGTACGGAACCCTAAAAAGAGACAGGTCTGTGTGTTCACCGCAAAGAAGATACCATTTGTCGTATCACCTCGGTTTGAGAGCACCTCCCTAACTGCCTCAGCTAGCATCGGAATCCTAGGCATCGACATATCAAGCGAAGTCCAGTTTAGGAGTCACTTAGAGGGTAAGGTCAAATTGGCCTTGAAGAAGCTTGGTGTGCTGCAGTCGATCGATGCAGTATTTCACTCCGGCCCACCGCCTTCAGCTCTGCAAGTCCGGCCTCATATGGAATCCTGTTCTCATCTCTATGTAGGGGCACCCCAGTACCAGCTTCTCCGTCTGGACCGCATCCAACGAAGAGCGACTCGAATCGTCGATAGCCCACACATCTACGATCGGCTCTAACCCTGGTCGTTACGTAGAGATGTGGCTTTACTCTGCATTCTCTATCGCATATATCATGGAGGGTGCTCCGAGAAATTGTTCGGACTAATACCAACCGCAACTTGCCGCCATCGTTCCACAAGTCAAAATTTTCATCCTTATCACCTGGATATTTGGTGCTCCACTACTGTGCGCTTTTCGAGGCACTTTTTGCCCCGCACAACCAATCTGTGGAACAGGTTATCGTCTGCGGTATTTCCGGACCGATACGACCTTCAAACTTTCAAGAAAAGAGCGTACTCCTTCCTAAAAGGCCGGCAACGCGTTTGTGACTCCTGAGTTGCAGACGTTCGTGGGCGGCGATGGTCACTTTCTATCAGGTCACCCGTCTGCTCGTCTGCCCCCTCTAACATTAAAAAAAGGGGACTAGATTTTTAAGAGTGACGATCCAAGTCAGTACCACATCTTGAACCATATAATTAGTCAGATTGGATCTAAATCTATCAAGATGCATAAATCATAATTATATATTTTTGTTCGGTTGTATTATAAAAGTTTCATGGTGTTGTGTAAGTCCCTCATATAACCAGGTCCTGTGTATGGCCGATAGACCCCCTCGCAGTGCAGTCTCTACGGAGCAGTTGGACTAGACGTTCTTAAACGAAGACTATCCTAGAGGAGGGAATTTCAAAGTTAATAATACAAATGAGAATGTTTATCCTTTTTATTTTCTGTCAAGGAAAATATTAATAAATGTGATTACATTACAAATTGAACAAAAGTCACATGTAAGAGATGTTTACAAACTCATGCAAGAGAGCACAATACTGTTAAATGAGTTTAAGATGCTTAACACGTAACTGAAATGGAATGTTAGAGCTTGTCAGCACAGCTAACCTATTAGCAAATAATATCTAGTTAAATATTAATAACTTAATGCTTTGCCTCGTCTTGAAGTTTTACTAAAAAGTTTAGGTGATTTTAGGGTTGTGTCAAATAGATACGAATAAGGAGTCACGTAGAAGAAATATAAGGACTCGTACACCCTATTTAATACTTTTTATTTTCAGTAAATATTACTATGTACATTGAAAATATAACTATTGGTGTCTAATTCACCAATTGGTGTTTTATTGCATAAAATATTCAATTCACTTTTACTTCTATCACCTAGTATCTACATTACATATATATTCGCCTGAATTACCCGATAAGTATTTAACAGGTACACCAAACAAACACGTCTGTAGGCAAACTTTTATATACCCTTCGGACCTTGAAGGCTCAAACGATTCAAACTGGCAACTGAGCCCTACTACAACATCGTGCAAATATTTTATTTATATCATAAGGTAAATTGTAACATGTTCAGTTTAGTTACTATACATCTGTTCAGGGACATATTCCAATAATCTCATAAAAACTAAGTGTTCCAAACTTGATAAATTTACGTAATTGATGCACGAAAATTATATATTTATAGTTTACTATACATATTATTGTTTAAATATGTTTTGGTTAGTGTTCGAAATTTGTCAATACGCGCTTTGGAGGTGAGATTATTGTTTTATGTTTATCTTGTCAAAGTTATTTCTTGATGAATAAGTTAACTATGTACCTCCTAATGAACTTGTTTTGTGTACGAAAATGAGATTTCGCAAAAGAAGGAATCCTTCTAGAAATTATATACATACATATATTTAATCTGTCTAAAGTTCACGAATGGCTTATTTCAAAGTAATTAAAACCGATTTGATTAGAAATACGTCAAAATAAATTAGAACTTATTTATTATTTTAATTCATCAACAACATATCTGCGTATACGCCTTTATTTATCAGATATTTCCTTACACCCATTCACAAACGTTACTAAGTTTCGTAATGTATTCGTAAGACGCTTGCGGTAAGCGATTTTGGAAAAAAGAGGTAACTTATATAATCATAAATATACAATCGTAAGGAGAACAGTAACATCTGTGAATGCGAGCGATAACGTTTATCTAGCTAAGTACGTGAGCGAGGCGAGGGCGGTAGCTAAATAAACACTTGTTCAGCGGCCAGAGCGTCCGCGAACGGCTTCACGGCCCATCGCGTGGCGAAGTAGAATATCAAACCGAACGTTATGGAGATTGGCAGCGCCGGTAGCGCCTTTTTCAGGATCGCCAGCAGAAGCAGCGTTAGGCACAGACCCTGCAAGACAATATATTTATGACTGATATAAGGATATAGAATATGCGACACACTACACAGGCGTATATTTATTTATGAGTACAGAAGAAAAAGTAATTTTAGATCGAGTATGAAAGAGTACTAATGGGTTTTAGATTTGCACTGCACGGACTGCACGGATGGCGTAGTGGTCGCCACGCCGCTTCCTACTACGCCGAGTGTTGTGGGTTCAAACCACACATGGGACGACACTTTGTGTGATCCACAAATTGTTGTTCTGAGTCTGGGTGTTCTTTGTGTCCGTTTCATGTATGTTTGTAAAGTCCCCCGCGACACAGGATATATTCCTAATGCTGGAGTTGTCTTTTTTAAGAAAAAAAAAGATTAGATAAAGAATTATTTGGCACTCTTAGCATAACTATTAATAAAAATCCTAATGTTGAAAAGGTTCATATCATTGTTTATCGTAAATAATACTTACAATCAATATAGCTACAAAACACGCCAGTGTTGTGTTCCAGTCTCCATATGAGCTGGCTTTACCGACCAACACGCTATAGAATATGAAGTCACCTAAGCCAAGTTTTACACCCTCTGTAAACAAACAAAGCGATATATTAGATATTAACTAACCAAGTACTAAAAAAGTTTAATGTTTTCACTTCGATAACATCCTAAATCCAGAAGTAATCGTTAGGGTTGCAGATTTATATGCCTTCGCGGAAGGTGCAATCAATTATGACTTTCATCTGTAATGCCACTAAATTGACAATTGATAATAATTAACTAAATGATGTGCATATTACTGCATAAAATACATTATTTTGCGTATTTTTCTTGTGAGCCACAATTAATCAAAGATAAGAACATTCTTAAGGCAACCGTAGTGAGTCGATAGCTAGCAGGATAACGCTGACAGTATGTCGAGAAGAAAATTGCAACAAAAATAATTTAAACCGTTGACCGCCAAGGACGCATTAGAGCGTAATTCCATAACTTTATCGAGACGCCAATGACTTCTTAAATCTTAAAGCCTCCACTGCATTTCATTTTTTTACGGACGCATAAAACGTGGATTTTCAGAATCAGGAATATTAAGTAAGTCCATTCTGAATTCGATTTTTTTGATCATGCATTAAAGCAGTGAGATAGAGAGATAGAGATTGCCCAGCAGCACCTCGTGTTGCACACAAATATAATCCTACATCAGCAGCAACTGAACAAAATAAAAAAAGGTTTTTCGTTCAATATATTTATTTAGCATAGTGTTGTAACAGTACTATAGCATATATGTTTAAGATGGATTACACTATGGCCACACTACTGTGTCATTCATTTTTCGCCTGTTTGTGATTATAATATAATACTAGAAAAATCAAGAACTCATTTTATTGACAAGAATTTTTATATCAATCGGTGTCGCATAAAAACATAACTCATGGTACCTAGTTACTAATTAATAGTTATTATCTTTGTTTATAGTATAACAACACTACTTAAATTAATTTTAAATGTATATAAGTTAGTTTTCTTGTCACATTATGGTTTTCCATTTACATACGTAAATATGAACAAGTTATTCAAACATCACATACTTTTCTGTGTCACGGTCGGCGTTGACGACTTAAAGCGTATGCCTATGTCATAGGCGAGTGCGTTAGTTGTAGCGTTGGGATGTAACGGTAGAAGCTTTTTATGCAAAAATGAGAGACGTAATTGAAACGCTCAATTCCGAGAATTGTTTAATAATAATGCAGGTTGGCACAGAACAATAAGTTTTATATCAACACACATAAGATCGAAAATAGATTGTCGCGCGATTATTTTATTTACATTTGAAACGAATTTGTATTTCTCAGAAGCGGGCGGTTTTCGTAGGGATTGGAATTTGCTAGAATTATCCTTTACTAGTATTATAAATATGGATACGTCTTCGTTGGGGTCAGTTCAGTTCGAGCTACAGTGCGATAAACATCGAAGCGGATTGAAGAAGTCTGACCCAACGACCTCGACATTCTTGCCGAACTATACTTTAGTGTTGTTGAACGTTTTTAAGTGTAGTGATAATAAAATCTTTTTAGTCGTCAGAAGGATTATTATTCCAAATCAACGAACCCTCATACGTAACAATAGCGTCGCGAAGTGTTTTGCCAGTGGCCAGTGAATGTCGTCACAAAACAAGATTACTCTGTCATTTTCAAAATTAAAATTGTTCTTTTACTATAAAATCTGCTGATGATTTATCGATATACTTTTGCCCGTCACTGTTATTTTGTAGGTATGAAACTAAGAATTCATTGCTTGGCGTAGAGAGCACAGTTTTTCGTTATTGACGTGGCGGTGAAAGGGTTATTAGCGTTTTAACTTTATGTTCGATACTGCGAACTTACGAAAATGAGTTAATTTTCCATCGAAGAGGCACTTTGGATGAAGCTAAATAAAAGAAAGATGTTCTCGATGACCGTAGGGGAGTGCAAAAAATTGTAGGGTTTGTGATCAGGTCATCAATGTTCTAGTTAATTTGTGTGTTTTAAATAGTAGAAGTGCGTGGCAACTCACTCTCCTCGTCGTCGAGGGGCGGGGGCTGCGCAGGCATGGGGTGACGCTCGACGCGCGTGGTGTAGTGCGGCGGCTGCGTGCTGTCCACGCGCAGGCTGCGCTGCTCGGCGGCGCGCGCGTGCCAGGCCGCGTCGAAACCAGCCGCCGCCCCGCCGGTGCCGCCGCTCGCCCTGTCACCGCCCTCCGCTCCTTGCCCACCTAGCACATCACTATTAGTATTACCACCGCTTCATTACATTAGAAGAAATAAATATTCTGACTTCAAAAATCTAACTTCTAAATGATGATGATGAAAAAATCCTCTTCTAATTATTGAAAGAATTTTTGAGTCAGGTATATTTTGTAACATTAAATAATCTACTAAATTGGCTAGGTAATGAAATGATTTGATACTGTACAAGTAAACGATAGCAGATAAAGATCATAACTAAAATGCAAAGTAAAAACGCGAACCGTGTGGATTGAGAGGGCGCAACTCCCGGGGCCGCTGCTCGCCCTCCCCGGCAGCACCCGGCGCTGTAGTCGCCGCCAGGCAGTACATCACAGTGGCTAAAACAAAATCCTTTGGTAACAACAAGCTTAAAACTCTTTAAATACATAAACATAATAAACAGTGTATTATGAATGAATATAATATATATATATACAATACATTGCCTAAAATTTAAAACCACCAAGTTCTATTTTCAGAGCTATGGCTTAGTTTAAAAAATAATTTTAGATTTCTTGAACCTTTCATTTTTATCACGTTTAAAATTCAGTACCGATCTACTCTCGGTCTCACAAATGTCAGCAAAAATTAAGGTATTAAACATCCAACATTGACGATAATGTGATTATGTATCGTGACCGAAAGTTGAATCGGTATTCTGTACTTAGCTAAACATTACTAAGCATTAATAAACATTGAACATGACTTACATGAATATATTAAGGCAGGAAATATTGGCTCATTACGTTCTTGTGCAGTTTCTACCAATATTCGTAGTGGACCCTTAGGTGTTAATACCGCTACCAAGTCTGAAAGAATACGATTGTAAATTCTTATGTAACTGTAACACACTTGAAAAGACAGCTTAATGTGAAATGTCTAGTATTATATATTACCCCATATTGATATAACAGCTAGAACGACCCAGGTGGTCCATTCAGGAAGGTACTTAATAAATACAAGCGCCATCAACGCTGCTATAAAAATCAGGTACGCTTGTTGCAGTCGTAACGGGCCTTTCCAATGAATCACAATCATGCCCACTACACCAAAGTTCCACATAACAAATGTTAATGTTATGTAATCCATAGGTATATTATAAGCTCGTAAGGCCTCCCTGAAATAGAAAACATATATTTATTCTGCATTCCTAACAAGAAACTGGGGTATCATCCTAGGGGACCTATCCAAGGTCAAAATAGGGAAAGAATATTTTTGCCTCGCACACCGTTTTGGAGAAGCATACAAAATATCGCGCCGCGGCTATTTATTTGTATGCTTCTCGCGCACCAGAACGAATAGTACAGTTTTTTTTAAATGCTGCCATCAATGACTCTTTCTTTATTTTAGTTTAAAAATAGTAATTTGAATGGAGTTTGCAATTCTAATTCATGCATTATTAACGTCTGCAAGAAAGTCAGCGATGGTATCAATCTAACTCCTAAGGATAACCCACAGTAACCACATATATCTCTTAACATTTAACTTAACAAAAATTTAATTATTTATAAAGGTTTTTAAAGCATTACAGGTTCAGTTAGCTCTATTGGTTTGAGAGTAATAATCGCTGGATTTATTAAATGGTAAAATTAGTACAAAAATAGTCATTTGAAGAAAGTTGACATTGCTACTTCTTTATCATGTATAGTAATAGTAAACTAGGGAACCATACACCTTGCCTGGTCCAACAGCCATATGACTAGTTTTTTGTACACTACAAAAAATCAGCCAGACAGGGCCTCAATTCTGTCATGGTCACTCCATCGAGACGCTATTGAGATGCCATTGACATCGAAAAAAAACGGTATTCTACTAACATAAATTCAGTGTCAATAGACTGTCAATATAGTAATATAGGTAATCAATGGTGATATCACCAATATTATCACCATATCTGGAAAATTAAATATTTCATTTCCTAAAAATTTAAAATGTACAGTTTACCAAACTATTACAAAGTCATCGATGGAATTTGTATCAGTGGCAAGTCATTGGGAGGCCATAGTTAGTAAATTGAGAAAGTGCAAAACTATTCCAACAACATTCCAGCAACAGTCTATTGATACAATATTAAAATAGCAGAATTGAGGTCCTATGTTATTGTTTGTAAAACAGACTATTATAAGATAAAGTAGTTTTTAAGAAGTAACTGTAGTAGGTCTACATTTTTCTTCATCATTTTCAACCTTTATTAATCCACTGCTGGACTCAGGCCTCTGGTTAGAAAGGAAGTTTTTCCTACTATACCATGTTTGCAAGCCATATTGATAAAGGTTTTGTGTCAAGTTTTCCTTCTCATTGCAGTACTGTTGTGCTGCACAGTTTCCTCTCTTAGTCAGCTCTTACGAAAACCACGGGATGAATAAGGATAGTGACACTACATATTCTTAATCTGTCACCACATGGAATATATTTACTTGAATGCATCTAATTAAAATAAAATGTACACTTACTCTACATACAAATAGGAGAACAAAAACAGCAGCATGAGTGAAGAGAGTATCAACCATCCATGTATGATCTTGTAACATCTCTTCTTGTAGAGGACTATCAATAAAACTGTCATCAGAGCTATCACACTGAGGAGAATTAATGAATTGGCAATCGCATTCCACACTTTGGTTACAGCATATGGACTCTCTTCATGAAAAGGTGTGTAAGCTCTGCAAGAAAATTTTAATGCATTATTAATTATTAAAATTACAATTCAGTATGAGGTTTCTACAACAATTTTGATTTTGAAGTTTTTTTTTATAAATGTTGAAACTAGCTTGATTAATACATACAAAGCAATTTAAGATTAGGTAATACTTATCTTTGAAGTTAATTAAAAAAAAAAAGCTCAACTACAAATGTGCAGTAGATAATGACTGCCTAAATAGTGGGCGATTGAAAGATAAGATACTCACAAATAAACTCCTTTAGTGGAATAGAATGTTATTGATGACATTGTAGCAACAACCACTATCATACATAAGGTGACAGGCACAAACAGCTTGATAACATGACGGGCTCCATATTTTAACTCTAACTCTTCAATTTGAGGTTCTGATGGAGGTGCTTGAGGTGGCACAGGAGGTGTTGACCTGTGAACCACCCCAGATCCACTACTTTCTGACTGCTCCACACTCTAAAAATAACAAACTTTATTAAAGATGTCCCCTTTATCATCATCAAAAGTGCAGCCTCCCTTAATGACTTCCAAGTGCAGTTAGAAGCTGACTGCAATATTAAATATTTCTTATATTTGATTACAAAATGTCTTTTCTTTTTTTTTTTAAAAGACAACTCCCGCATTAGGAATTAGTATGTCCTATGTCTGTATGACTTTACAAACCTACATGAAACAGACTCCCAGAACAACATTTTGTAGATCACACAAAGTGTAGTCCCATGTGGGGATCCGACCCACAGCATTTAGCGTAGTAGTAAGCGGCATAGCGACCACTTAAACCACTAATGTGCCTGAGTTAATTAAAATTAAATAAGCTTAGTTCAGCAAGAAGGATTATATCAATAGAGGTAGCATAGATGTAAAACAGTAAAATTTAAAGACACAGCCTTTATCTGTGCCTATAAACATTTAACATTTGGGGGTATGACTTACACACAGATAATATACTACCTACTGTCTTTTTTTAGACCAGCTGACTGATTACTTTTAAAAAATAAAACAATACTGTTTAACAGATCTTATTAAATACCATGTAAAAATAATTACAATACATAGGGAGATAATAGGCACCATAACAAAATGATACACAAAAATGTATTTGTAAAACTTGAGCGCCTAGTGTAAGAACTCAAGTTAGTGGCAAAATTGGAAAGGATCAAATAAAAACTAGTTTCGTACCATTTGTACTATAACATTAATGTGTGGTGGCATCAATTACTCCATGACACATCAATTTTAGCATCGAAATGTAACAGAAATCAAAAAGTAAACAGTAACAAGGTCTGGATGTAACTATACTGAAGGGAATAAAGCAATTTTAAAACTAAATTAAACACTTTCAATAAACTGAAGTTTGAAACGTTATAACAAGAAACTGCAGTGTAAAACAGGTATAAAAATTATTTTCGAAGCAGATTAGATAGTGGGCGTCAGAATCAGCTTTAGTCATAGCTTTTAAGTGTAAACCTAGTGTCACAATAATAGACATGCGTACGTATGTAATAATTTTACTTACGCCATATGTGCGTTGAGTTTCGGATTTACTCTTTCGTTTCCTCGCTATCGCTACCTTCCTATCAGGGTGAGCTTCTGCTATGTGGCCGTCCATGAGTGCTGTGTGCTCTGTCACCTCCTCTGTATATCTACCGGTATTACTCATTCATAATCTGTTCTGATCTCAGGCATTTTGTTTATAACTTTTATTAGTTTAACGTAGGTGGCCTACATATGAATAAAACGAACAGCAAAAGTTTAACTTGCCCGTACACTTCTTTTGTATTACTATTAGGATGTTATTCCGACCACAGATTAAGTGATATATGTAACAGGGTTGTCATGTCAGTCGCATCACCTAATTATAGTCATCGTTCAAAAATTTGTCCAAAATTAAATCTTATATAAACCATGAACTAACAATAGTTAATTAAAAATTGTATAAGAAAACTAACCTATACACAAAAAAGTTTTAAAGAAAGAACAGACTAAAGTTCGTTGGTTGACAAAGCGGCGTGGCAGCGTCCACTTTTGATTAATGAGTCAATGGTCAACACTTACATACCTGGAAATATTGATCGATGGTTCAAATGGTTTAAATATAGATTAAAAGATACTTAAAGTATCCTCAACATTTTTAGGGTTCCGTACCTCAAAAGGAAAAATGGAAAACTTATAGGATCACTTTGCTGTTCGTCTGTCTGTCTGTCAAGAGTCAAGACCCTTTATCTGAGGAACGCGTGGAGGTATCTTGTCAATTCATCAAAATTCATAGGGAACTTCCATTTGAGCTATAACTCAGAAATAGAAATGGTTAGATTAGAGTCTTGAGCTATTTATAATATGTACCTACAAATGTGTACAGCACCCTCGGTGGGCGAGTCCGTCTCGCAACTGTCCAGATGATTTTTCTTTAAAATTACTTACCCATTCTTTCAAACTACACAGTATAACAGCACTGCTAAGTCACTGCATGTCTGGTCAGAGTGGACAGCGTGGTATAGTACGCCAAACTCCCCCTTCTAAAGAGAGATCTATGTCCAGCAGTAGACTATAGAAGGCTGATGATGATGATTATAAAATAATATTAAACAAATATTGTTTATATATATTATTCCCGGTAAATAAAATATTACTATAAACTAGCTGACTCGGTAAACGTTGTTCTGACATATAAATTATCGTATAGAGCCATCGTTATAAAAACCGATCAATTATATCTTAGAATGATATACGTCAAAACAGCGGTAACAACTAGATGTTCATTATGTACATAATCATCGAGTCATTACCGCATTACGTATCTACGCTAGGTAACAATAAGAATCGCTTGTGACTCTGCTGCGGAGCGTACTCCCTAGCAGAGCCACTCAAAACAAGACTCAATCAGGACTAGTTAGGACAGTCAAAAGTCATTCGTACTGTTCATTGCATACGTGTTGTAAAATATTATTATTAAGGCGTGGTTTTCATTATTTTCTCTTTACTGAATTTTCCTAAAAAACATCTTGTTATTTTGATCTGCCTCATTACAGTATTTTTTCATTACGTTTTAGTAATAACATTGTTTTTTTTATTTTATTTTTTTTCCCCTTAACTAACATAATCTATCTATACTTATATTGAAAATGTGAAAATGTTAGTTTGATTTTAAAAACTCAGCAACTTCTGCGATAACCGACATAAACGCGGGCAAAAGCTAGTATATTATAAATGTGAACGTGACTTTGTTTCTTTGCTACTCTTTCACGCCGAAACTACTATACCGATTTTAAAATTCTTTCACCAATGGAAAGCTCCATTATCAGCAAGTAACTTATCCACCTTTACCGAGCTAACGGACATACACGCGAGCGGAGCCGCGTGCAAACACTACTGTATAATATGTTAGATTTGAATGTTGATATATTGAATTTTGAAACACAGATTCCGGTTCCGATAAACTAACCTTAACATCCCTAGGTTAAATGCAACAGAAAATGAAAAGTTTCAGAATCTGCAGAACAATGTTAAGTCCAAATAAGACAATTTTGATGAAATTAAATAATCAAACTCATTTCACAACATTTATTAATTGAGATAATACGTAAATAAACAACTATGGAAAACTGTTTATAAATATAGACCTTCTGGAGTGCCTTCTTTCTTTCGATATAAAACACTCTCCTTGGACTTCTTGAAATCCTCATTGGTGACTTTCATTCGGCGTTCTCTCAAAGCCATCAAACCTGCTTCAGTACAAATAGCCTGCAGAAGAGAACATGTTTATGTAAATGTACTGAAGTTTATAAATTATCCTTATTAAAAAATAAAGCAAAAATTCTAGATTACTGCAAAAATTATATACCTTAATATCAGCACCAGATAGATCATCCTTTGACATAATAAGTTCTGATAAGTTGACATCATCTGCAAGCGTCATTCTCGATGTGTGAATGGTAAAAATTCTCCTCTTTGTTTTCTCGTCAGGCAAAGGAAACTCAATCTTCCTATCTATACGTCCTGGACGAATGAGGGCTGGATCTAAGGTTTCTATACGATTTGTTGCCATGATAACCTGTTTGAGAATTTAATTAGTTTGATATGGTTTACCGAATAAGTAAATTCATGAATAATTTATCTGAAATGGAACAACAAAAATAATTCAATTTTTAAATTACCTTTACATCTCCTCGTGAATCAAAACCATCTAGTTGATTAAGTAACTCCAACATAGTTCTTTGTATTTCTCTTTCACCACCAGAATTTGAATCATATCTGTAAAGTTAAATTAATTACCTGTGTAAGCATATTCGTTAAGCATATTCTACCAAAGATGAAGTCTGGACATTTACCGTTTAGTGCCTACAGCATCAATCTCATCAATGAATACTATAGAAGGTGCATGCTCTTCAGCAACTCTGAATAGCTCACGTACAAGTTTCGGACCGTCACCCTAAGAAACACATTCTATTAAAATACAAGTTTAAAACAGTATGAATTAAATAGGCTGTATTTCAACCACAAAATATGGGCCAACTGAGCATCCATGCCTGTTCTATTCCTTAGACATTATAGTTGAAGATGCTGTCAAAGAAATTGGTATAAAACTTACCAAATATTTTTGAATAAGCTCAGATCCAACAACTCTCAAAAAAGTTGCAGAAGTCTGGTTGGCCACAGCCTTGGCCAATAGAGTCTTGCCTGTACCTGGTGGGCCATATAAGATAACGCCTTTGGGAGGTTTGATACCCATCTCCTCATAATATTCTGGATGAGTAAGAGGAAGTTCGACAGATTCCTAAAGAAAAAGATACAAAGTAATTAATTAATGGGAGTATTTGTTTTTTCTATAACGAAACTTTGTTTCGCTTAACAGTCAATGAATGATCAGATTTAAGATTTTAAAATTAATTCAAAATTATAAGTTCAATTTAAACAAACCATAGACAACATTACATGAGATGTCAGATGCGTATTGTAATACCATTTATAACAAATGAACAGCTAGACTAATTTTTGACTGATATTTTTTTTAATTGATGAATATCATATTTTAATACTTATTATCCTATTCCGGACGACGACAAATACAAAAATCATAAAATTTGGTCCAGTTCTTGAGTTATAAATGGTGTAACTAATACGACTTTGTTTATTATATATAGATATAAACTAGTACTCAAGCAAATCTCTAATGTATTTACATCTCATCACAATATAAGCCTTTAATAGTCCACTGCTGAACATAGGTCTCTCCTTAGAAAGGAGGTTTTCGCCTACTATACCATACCAGCTCAGATGGGTTGTGATAAAACATAATTATTAAACACTAAAATGTATTCATTATAATATATTATGACGTTCTTTGTCTACTTTCAAAGATAAAATACTCCACATCCCATCTTCAGTCACATCAGTTCTTTTTCTACTTACTCTAACTTTATCCAATAGTATTTTTGGCAGATAATAGTAAAAAAAAAAACAGTAATGTTTTGTGCTTACCTTAATCTCTTGAATCTGAGTGTCAAGACCTCCTATGTCAGCGTAAGTCTCCTGTGGAGCTTTTTCCAGCTTCATAACAGATACCATTGGGTCTGTATCATCTCCTAAAACACCTACTACAGCATGGACCTAGTAAAAAATATAATTGAAAAAAAAAGATTAAAATCCATTTTTACTCAGAAATTTGTTGGGAATCTTTTATAATTTAAAAGATTTCAAATTCATGAACAAGACTTTATAGATAAAGCATCAGTGGATCAAACTTCCTAATATTTTCCTAGGTTAGTTTTGACAATTACTAATTAAATACTTAACAAAAATGTGTATAAAATAAATACTAGATAAAAAAAATACCTTGTGATTCAGCAACACAGAGCAACCTGGCTCAAGCTGGTCCTTGTCCACAAATGACAGAATGCTAACATAGTGCTCACTGCCCACAGATGTGGACACAATAGCATGGTTGTCATCAATGATCTCTTCGAGATTACCCACAGACATCGGAGTACCTCGCAGATCATCAACCTAAAATTTCAGTTTTTATTTATAAAATGTTAAGTGGGTTTATGTATGCTTCAATAAGTTCTGTACCAATTGAGCTCTAATTTTAACATGATATACAACACGCTTCAAAGATGGTTTTTAACTATTAGTTTTATTCCTCATTTTTCATCAATGCCTTTTAATAGATTTTATTACATACCTATACAACATTTTAATATCATACATTTGAAATGAGTTTTGTTGTTTATTTATGTCCTAGTACAAATGAATAAATGTAGCAAAATAAAAACAAGCTTTTATAGAATTTAGAACTTGACTAGATGTATAGACTAGAGAAATCATTGTAACCATTTACAGACATATTTACAGGCATAAAAAATAAAGTTTAAAAAAACAAAACTAGTATTAGTCAAGTAACTGTAAATAAAACCAAGGTTTTACTTACAATTACTTGACTAATATGTACACAAGAGGTGAAAATTAAGTGTCCAGAAATCCAGGCCAATAATGTTTATGTTCAGCCCTTGACTTTAAAATAAAGGATGTCTGATTTCAAAGATAATATTAATATACAAGTGTTTGACATAATAGATTACCTACAGCTGGAATACTTTAAAATTAAACTCTTGTTTTATTTAAGAAATCCAGACAGCAACAGCAACTGAGGCACCACAGTTTTAGAAACAATGAAATTATAAAAAATAAAGTAAAGCAAAGACATACTGCAACAATTTTCTTTTTATTGCTATTGTTAATTTAACCATGCAATTGCATGTCATCCACTGCATGATGCTACAGTACTTGCAGACAATGGATTGTATAAAATTACTAGCTAGGTAATATCATAGTTTTAGAGAAAAGGATTTTAATAATTTACTATACTTTCTTTGGAAAGCAAAGAGAACCAATAAGCTATATCATGTACCTATTCTGTAACTTACCTTCGATCTTTCCTCTTCAATTTTCTCTTCTTGTGGTTTTAGTCTTTCTTGATTACGAATGAATTCTTCTTCCATGAGTAGATAATCCTTGATTCTTTCAAGTTTGAGTAGTTTGAGCCTACATCTTGTGTGTGGTGTCACTTGAGGTAACTTTAGAGCAGCATCGGGGCCCTTCGCCTTACGCTTTTTCTTACCCACTCTAGTTGGAATTGGCGGTTCATACTTCTTCTTTTTATCCTTGTCATCTTTTTTGTCACCACCGCTTCCACCTCCAGATTGGTTTTGACCCTTCACAAGAAATAGTATTTTTTCAATAATTGTAAAAAGAAAATACCGTAGAAACTTTTACATATTATTATAGAAATTCTAAAATCACTTACCATTCTGTATTTATTTTCGAATTCAAAAACAACACCTTTTTAAATTGATTTCAGTGAACGCTTTACAAGTTGAAGATGGATGATTACAAAGCGGATTTTCAGCCACAGAATATGTAAACTGCACAGACAGCTATACCTCTAGTACAAGCTGTATAATCTCCAATCTGACGATATTTTACCAACTGATACTACATTTTATTACCGACCAGCCCGGTCAGTCAGCCTCCAAAATTTTAAGTTTGTGTAAAACATATACATATATATTTTCCTGTTTTAAGTCATCAAGATTATAGTATGTAAACTTAAAAGAAAATATAGTTTTGTTATCCTTCGACTTAAAATAAAATAGAGTAACTAAACGTAGGACATGAATAAAAAAATAATTTGACGTGTCTGTTCGTCGTGTACGCCTGATGTCAATTCAACACATTTGTCGAATGGACCTAATAAAATATACAATACATTGTGTTGTGATTTTTTAATTTTCCATTGGTTTTGTAGATTCAATTACTGTATTATAAAATAGTGAATTAAAATGTCCCAAAAGTGTGTAACTATCAGTACCCGTTTTCGAAAATAACATATTCTTAAACTCAACAGCTGATGCCAAATTAATATTTTAATTTAAAAATATTGAATATTTTTCAAGATGGTTTTAGCAGATTTAGGTCGTAAAATCACCACTGCCCTGCAATCCTTAAGCAGGGCAACCATCATCAATGAAGAAGTAAGCTAGAACACAATAAAATATGAGTGCATTGCATGTGATGTGTTTATTTTCAAAGCATAGTTATTACGAAATACTTGTTTTACAGGTACTAAATTCTATGCTAAAGCAAATATGCGCTGCTCTATTAGAAGCTGATGTTAACATTCGTTTAGTTAAAAATTTGCGAGAGAATGTCAGGGCAGTTATTGATTTTGATGAGATGGCTGGTGGGCTTAACAAGCGCCGAATGATACAGTCAGCTGTGTTTAAGGAACTCGTAAAGGTAAATTGTACATTTTCATTTTATATGCTTTTAATGAAACTTTCTCCTTTTATTTAATCCTTTGAGGCTCATTAAAAGCAGCTTAGAAAAAAATTACTAAGGCATTACAGATCTGTAGCCAGTCTTGAAGTTATACATAGTACAAACTTATTATTGTTTTATGCATAATATGTTAATGATTTTTCAGCTTGTTGATCCTGCTGTGAAACCATACCAGCCCATAAAGGGCAAGCCCAATGTGATCATGTTTGTGGGTCTCCAGGGTTCAGGTAAAACCACAACATGTACAAAACTCGCATACCATTACTTGAGGAAGAACTGGAAATCCTGTTTAGTGTGTGCTGACACATTTCGTGCTGGTGCATATGATCAGGTGAAACAGAATTGTACAAAAGCCCGAATACCATTTTATGGAAGGTTTGTATGATGTTTTAAAGTTTTCTGTAAGCCCTTTTGGTATATTTGTTCTTTTATACATAAAAAATAAGTAATATTGTACTAATCATAAATGGACACAAATCGCACTAGCATGAAGTTTATGAAAACTATTTGTTTTGCATAACTGTTAGCCCAGTTAAATGATTTACATTTCTTTTTTAACATAGTAAAAGTTATAAGAATTATCTTTAAAAAAAGTAGTTGACAGTCTCCAAGGTGTCTAAATCAATATAAATTGTAATAACCTGCATTATTGATCCACAATAATCGACTGTCCATCCCACCCATTACAAATAATAGCTTTTTCTAAAGTTTTGGGTGTTGAGATTTGAGGTAATCTCTTTGTACATAACAATACTGTGGGAGAGATTTAGTTGGGCACTAATAGGCTGGCTTGACCGGGCTGGTACCACTTTAGAGGTATATGCATAGAGTTAACAAGAGCCCCAATCTTGCAATATAGGCAATGAGAGAGATGGATAATAGATAGACCCCTCTATCTCTTTCTAGCCAAGCTCTGTGGTTGGCTGGGGAATATGAGGGGCTAATAAGTAGCCAATCGCAGGTTAGCTAAAAGTTGAGTTAAACAGAGACAGAGGGAAGTATCAGGCATCTATCTCTCTCATTGCCTGTATCGCTTAAACTTACATGCAGCTGTACCATGTTTCCCTCTATGCTTATATCTCTGTGGATACAACAGCCTCATATGTGAAGTTACTGGATTCCAGACCACTCCCTAATTCTGGTGAGAACTGAGAAGTGCAGTCAAAGGGGCGATGCAGTTGTGTCTTTTGAGTTCTGGGTGTCCATGGATAGAAGTCTTTTCCCATCAGGAGACACAAATGCTTGCTTGTCCCCTATACCACAAGAACAGCCATCATATTAAAGATACTGATAGCAAACTGTCATACACTAAATATTTCTTCATGATCACTTCCGCTTCACTAAATAGTGATTTTTGATGGTAAATGCACTAATTACTACAACAATACAAAATCTAAATACCAATTCAATTTGTTTTGACTGGTGGTAATAGCTCACACATCATCGTCATCATCATCAACAGCCTATAATAGTGCACTGCTAGACATGGGCCTCACATTAAAAAGGAGTTTTTGGCTTACTTTACACACATACATATGTACAGGGTTTGTTCCAAGTTTTCCTTCTCTTGGCAGTGTTGTTGCACCACGACGACTACACGACTACACCCATCACACAGCCACAACATGGATAACCTAACAAGTTATGTAAAGTAAATATCACCCTTACTGTTATTTCATTATTGAAATATTTTATTGCAGTTACACAGAAGTAGACCCGGTGGTTATAGCAACAACAGGAGTGGAGATGTTCAAGAAGGAAGGCTTTGAAATGATTATAGTAGATACTAGTGGTCGTCATAAACAAGAGGAATCACTTTTTGAAGAGATGTTGGCTGTAGCTAACGCTATTGTGAGTATACTTATTTTTATGAGCCAATGTCACGAATCTGGCACTCTGCATAGGCTGTAATTTAGGTTAGGCCTTTATGGGTTGTTTTCTGTAACTCCAAGTGCGCTTTTTGCGTTGGTGGGAATGTAATCTATTTTAGCTGCCTAAACTAGATTAGGTTAGGCCTGTGATACTGTGATGCTATTGAATAATATACTGATCAATTGGTTCTTAACCTACCTGGCAGTATTAGTATTAGCAGCTGTGGCCATAGAGATGACTACACATTCGGTCTGGAGTACTGTGTTATGGGTAACTGATGTGACCTTAGTTCGTATGTTTAGGTCCCTCCAGAAGACCCCAGAGCCTGTGCCATAACTTGTTTTAAAGCAATCAGTGAAAATCTTGAGCACCCGAGAAGAATTATCTTCCAATGCACCTTCCTTTTTCATTCTACCGTAGCAGTAGAACGGGCTCCTTTTGCCTCAACAGGCTCAGCGTTGTTAGGCGTGAATTATATATAAATAGTGAAATTTACCGCTTCAAAACGTTTTAATACAAAATTACGCTCGTCTTCGACATTGTCTTTACTGTGTAATTCACGCCTTAGCACTGCTCATAAATCGCAATCGCAGTTACCATTGCTTATAAATGCAGTGGAGCTAGATTGAGCGTGACCTCCAGGGCCACAGTCAGTGCGGTCTTCGTAAAGACCGTATCGCCATGCATGCTAGCATCTGAAATTTATGTAGTTCGCCATCGTAAAATTAACATAGTGACCCTTAAAACTGGGATATTGATATAAATATTATATGAACATTCTGTTTTACAGCAACCTGACAACATTATTTTCGTCATGGATGCAACTATTGGTCAAGCTTGCGAAGCCCAAGCTAGAGCATTCAAAGAAAAGGTGGACATTGGTTCAGTTATAATAACAAAATTGGATGGTCATGCCAAGGGTGGTGGTGCACTATCAGCGTAAGTTTGGATCTGTTAGATTTATTCTGTTTATTTTATTATAAACAAAAAACATAATTTAAAAGATAAATTACTGCTTTCAGGGTTGCTGCAACACAAAGTCCTATTATCTTTATAGGTACAGGAGAACACATTGATGACTTGGAACCATTCAAAACTAAACCATTTATTAATAAACTTTTGGGAATGGGAGATATTGAGGGTCTTTTAGATAAAGTTAATGAGCTCAAACTTGATGACAATGATGAGCTTTTGGAAAAACTTAAGCATGGACAGTTTACACTTAGGGCTATGTATGAACAATTTCAAAATATCATGAAAATGGGACCCTTTTCACAAATCATGGTAAGTAATTATAGAATAAGAAATATACATAGATATTGTGTATATATAATATAAAATATAATAAATAAGATTATTAGTACACCTATGGATTTAATTCATAGGTGTACTAATAATCTTATAGTGTTACACATAGTGTCTCTACTCTTGAAAATGATCCCTTTATCTATGAACCTATATGTTTAAATTAGAATAACTAAATTTTTTAATAAATAAAATACTATGACGTTACATTAATTTGGACTCTCAAGTTTTAAAGAAGGATTTTTAACATAGATGAAACAAAGTCTCAGTAAATATCTGATTTCTGAATGTTCAACCTTATTTTGTAATTTAGTTTACAAAGGGTTATTAATTATAGGTAGTCAACTTTGAGGCGGGGAAATATAAATATGATTTACATTCTAGATCTAGTACGAAAAGTAATATACCCTTTACAGTTAGTACTACAGGTTTTGGCCTACTATACCATGCTGGCCAGATGGGTTGGTATGGGGTTTGTGGCAAGTTTTCCTTCTCTTTGCAGTGCTGTAGTCCTGCATAGTTGGCTCCCTTCGTCCGTCCGTCACTTACGGTTTGTATTGGTTGTACACTCGTAATTCGTATCTTTTTGTAGATATCGTTTTTGTTTTTATTAAGAAAACTTGCTTTGGCCACCTTATAGTGTAAGATTGACAAAACTGCCGATAATTGATTGTTTCCAATTAGGTTACAAATTATCAATACCAATAAAAATTATTGAAACTGGATTCAGTATTGAAAAAACTAAGTATTGATTATATGAGAGACTTAGTACAGTATCAATACTTGAGAAGAAACGCTTAGTTTGCGAGAAATACTATTAACTACTGCTGTGATGAAGTCTCAGGTTCGATTCCCCTGTCAGACCAAATGTTTGTATCTGCAAATATTTGTTTCGGAGTTTCGATGTTTTCTATGTACAAAATGTATGTATTTACAAAAAAATATATAAGTATTCTATCCGTCAATCTAACTTTCATAGTACAAGCTCTTCTTAGTTTGAAAATAAATGGCGTTGTGTGTCAGATGTCCGAAATTTTTAACCTTAAAATTTGATCACACCTTTCTGTAATAGCTTTTATAGGTGTATGACTATCTCACTAAGAATGGTTTTAACTATTTACAGGGGATGATACCAGGTTTCTCTCAAGATCTTATGTCGAAAGGAGGTGAACAAGAATCAATGGCAAAACTGAAACGGCTTATGACAATAATGGACTCCATGAATGAAGGTGAGCTGGACCATCGTGATGGCGCTAAACTATTTTCGAAACAACCTACCAGAATCACGCGAGTAGCTCAGGGTGCGGGCGTCACAGAGAGAGATGTAAAAGATTTGATTGCTCAGTACACTAAGTTTGCTGCAGTCGTGAAAAAGATGGGAGGAATCAAGGGGCTGTTCAAAGGAGGTGATATGGCAAAGAATGTCAATCAAACTCAAATGGTCAAACTCAACCAACAGATGGCTAAGATGATGGATCCTCGTATTCTACAACAAATGGGTGGTATGACAGGACTGCACAACATGATGAGACAATTGCAGCAGGGCTCTAGTGGGATGAATAGTTTAATGGGTGGCAAATGACACTAGATTTAGATTTGCCATAAGTCAACTATATGCTATTTGCGATTATCGAACTGTATTTCAACAAATAAAGAATGACACAAAGTTACATTTCTATTATTCTATGCAAATTTTTTAGTAAAAATTTGTACCACACTACTGGTTGGAGTTATAAACCTCAGTGGAACAGACTTGAACCTGATGTATAAGTGCATATTAAAACTAATGCACCGTTTTTAATTATTTATTTTAAATATCATTGTCGCTTCCGGTCTGTTATGAAAGTATCTCATATTGGTACTGATCGCATAATGAACAAATATCAAAATCACCTTGGCACAAAATGACTGATTTTCTAAATATCTTTGTTTTAGAATGTAGGAAATAAAATTGTCAAATGGATGTACAGTCAGTTACACTTTATTTGAAAATTAACATAAGGCTATTCTTACAATAACATAACTTATTTTCTTTATAAACTCAATATTATTCTTAAACGTTAATAGTAGATCAGGTATTTTTAATTCGGGAGTCCCGATATTCGGTCAGTGTTACATAGGGTACACGAAAAATATGTTAAGGGAAGCTTATGACAGGAGCATGGAAGCTTAATGACTATCTTTTTACTTTATTTCTGTATTCACGTAAAGCTAAATATATTAAAATTCATTTCTTCATAGTCGGTGCGGAAATTTTTAAGTGCACCGATGGCGTAGTGGTTTAAGCGGTTACCTATCTCGCTGCTTTCTATTGCGCTGAGTGTTGTGGGTTCGATCCCCACTTGGGTCAAAACCTGGTCAACGAATTGTTGCTCTGAGTCTGGGTGTTCTTTGTTGAAGTAAAACTTCTTTCATCAATCATCAACACCTTTTATACAAAAAATCATAACAGCCGTTAATAGTCCACTGCTGGACATAGGCCTTTCCTTAGAAAGGAGGCTTTGGCCTACTATACCACGTTGGCCAGACGGGTTGGTATAGGGTTTGTGTCAAGTTTTTCTTTACTTGGGGATTAAGCTGGCGAATGCGTGACGAAAAGTGTGATCGGGCGAGGTGAACGGAAGTTGAAGGGAGATATAAGTTAGTAAAGATAGAAAGAGAGAGAGTTACGTTTCGTATATTACCCTAGGGGCAAAAGAGAGGCGCACTTTTGTTATTTCTCTCTTTCTCTAATAGCCAAGAAGTTTTACTTCAGTCGTGTGGTCTAAGCTTTTTTTGTTATTAATGTTTTTTTCGATTAATGTAAGTACATATTATACGATACTAATTTATTTTATTTTATTTGCTTGTGAATGAAAGTTCAATGGATGTAATGACGGTTTTATTTTCTAACGAAATAGTCTAGAGAAAAAACGCTAGTGCCATGGAACTATAGGTAAGTAAAATTACCTTTGGACCTGGTAATGGGTCCACCCACCGGGACTACGGGTACTTAGCACGTGCTCGTGTCGGCGCCTGCAATTCATACATTTAAAATAAATATTTAAGACTTAAGTGCTCAAATTACTGATTAAAGACATCAGAGAGTATCGTTCTGAAACCCCAGCCAGGATATGAAAGAGTTTTGAGGTAACAAACATAAAAATAATTGCGTAACAAACATTTGTTTATCTAAAGGTTTTGTAATCTCATATATTACTCTTTTGTGCACATGTCTCAGTAATCCAACACAACACTTAACAAATATCTTGAAAGAAAAAAACAAGATCAATGCATGATTAGATTTTTGAAAGAGTTATCCTCTGACTCCTAAAGGTCAAGGTCCCTTCTATCATGAGCTCAGCAACATGACATAACGACTACTAAACGCAAATACCTATATAGCTAGACAAATAAGCTAAAACACGTTGTCGGGGCTGTAAAATTTGAGGGTTTTCCTCGATTTGTCTAAGATCCCATCATGAAAGCCTGATTTGGGTGGTAATGGATCACCTCCCGAGGTGATCCATTACCACCAAATCAGGATAGAAAAACGGTGTTAAGCAATTCTTTTGGTTGTTTTTCACCGGGTGAGTGAAGTTACTGGAACCGTAATCCCGCTGCCCACTGATTCGGACTTCATTTGTGACTCTTGATTTGCAGATGACCATGGGCTGAGATTAAAGACATTTAAACAAAGAGAGAACACGGGGTACAGCTGCCTGTAGGTGTAAGCGATACAGGCAACGAGAGAGATGGATGACCGATATTTACCTCTGTCTCTGTTAAGCTAATCTGTTTGATTAAGAATTAAGAGTATCACCACCCCAATTCGTCCCATGGGTATCGTAAGAGGTGACTAAGGAAGCAAACTATGCAAGACAACAGCACTGCAGAGAGAAGGAAAACTTGACACAAACTCTTTCCCAACCCGTCTGGCCAGCGAGGTATAGTGGGCCAAAACCTCTTGTCTAAGGACAGTCCTATGTCCAGCAGTGGACTGTTAAAGGCTGTTGATGATGATGATGATATTGCAAGATTAGGGCTCTTGTTCACTCAAGCTTATATTTCTATGGCTGAGATGGTTACTTTCCATTAGGTGACCTCTCTGGTCGTTTGCCTTCCTAAACCAAAAATATAACTCCCTACTTTCTGACCTGGTTTACGGACAGATCCATCAATGTCAAATCGAAAACTGTCAAATCTGACAGTTTTTATGATCCTGACACTTATCACAAAAATATTTCAGTTCAGTTCAATGTTGGTACAGTTTAATCGATGTAAAAATTATGTACACGACGTCTTTAAAAATATTAAAGTGCTTTCAATTCTTCCCAAATAGGGTAATTTGACAAGTTTATTCATTATCTATATTTGGGTCAGGTTATTAACTATCGTCACTGAAGAAACTGATAATTTTTTTGGTTAGCAGCTTGAATATTAAACTTAGAATGTGTATTATTTTGTATTTACTTTAGGAATAATCATTTATTATTTTAATGATTTCTAGGGTTATAGCAATAGCGCCTGTCTTGTGCGGAAGAGAACACGGTCAGCGATCGATATGGGTTTAAAAAGTAGAGAGAACCCTGTTGTTCTAAAGCTAGAATCGGCAGAATTTAAAAACATATTTACTCCGGAAGTATTAAAGCTGAAGACATTGTTTGATAAATATCAATATGAAATAAGAATCGCTGGGGGAGCAGTCAGGTAGCTAAAATGACTTTAAATTCTTTAAAATCGCCACTATATTAGCAGTAGACACTATAGTTACTTGTGTATACTTAATTGTAAAAAAAATAATATAATAAGGAAGTATTTGGTTCTAGGGATCTGTTAATGGGTCAAAGTCCAAAAGATCTTGACTTTGCATCAACAGCAACTCCTCATCAAATGAAAGAAATGTTTACAGCTGAGAATATCAGAATGATCAATGCTAATGGGGAGAAACATGGTACTATTACTGCTAGGATTAATGATAAAGAAAGCTTTGAGGTGACCACACTGAGAATAGATATAGTAACAGATGGCCGCCATGCAGAAGTAGAATTCACAACTGATTGGAAATTAGATGCTAATAGAAGAGACCTTACAATTAATTCTATGTTTTTAGGTGAGTTAGACAGTAATATTACTATATTGCTGGCCTGTTGGTCTAGTAATTAGTGTCCGTGACTGCTACGCCAGAGGTTGTGGGTTTGATTCCCACTCAGGACAAATAACTGTGTGATGAGCACCGTCATTTGTTCTGTGAGTCTGGGTGTACTGTATCTATAAAATGCATGTATTTAGAAATATGTAAGTATGTTTATCAGCAGTCTGGTTGTCATAGCACAGGCTCTGCCTAGTTTAGGACCAGATTAAATATTATTATTAGTGAAAATATAAAAAGAATATTATTATTATTCTTATTTATAGCCATTTATTGCCCAGAATCATATTTAAAGGTTTATTCTACAAAATCAAAATAGTATTAGTAGTAAGTAGTACTAACATTGCATTGTTAAGTTACTTAGCACTAATACTGTTACCAGTTCAACCAATAACTATAATCAAGTTGTGTTTTATGTTTTTACTTATTTTCTCTTTTTGATACTCCCTGCATTTACATTGCATATGGTAGCGTTAATGCTACTCTCTCTCTCTCTTCGTCTAGCCTTATCCGCTCACTTGGGGTCAGCTCTGCTAGTCATTCTTCGCCAGGATGCTCTGTCCCGGGTCGTCTCGTTTGCATCTATCATATCTCTGTCTGTTATGTGGGGTAGATTTAATGCTACATTGCATTATTTACCAGTCAACATTTGTGTAATTAATTATAATTAAATAATTGTGTTTGGATAGCGTGGCATCTAAATTATAATTTTTTCAGGTTTTGATGGATCTGTGTATGATTACTTTTTTGGTTATGAAGATTTACAAAAGCGAAGAATAGCTTTTGTTGGAGATCCTAATATTAGAATTAAGGAAGACTATCTGAGAATAATGAGGTATTTTCGATTTTATGGAAGAATAGCAGAGGAGCCTGATAAACATGAAGAAGCAACACTCAAAGTTTTGAGTGACAATGTTGATGGTCTACAAAATATATCAGGGGAAAGAATTTGGGTTGAGCTTAAGAAGATGCTGCAAGGAAAGTTTGCAGGAAGTTTGTTGAAGACAATGTTAAATGTTGGAGTAGGAAAATATATAGGTAAATACTACGATACGGCTACTGCTGATAAATTAGGTTTATGGGTTGTAACACCTCTCATATCATCAGACAACTTTCATTTGATAAATTTGTATATTCTAGAAATACTTACTAATATTTGTCACACTGTGTTTTATAGAAGTAGGTATAAAAATGATTATGAAACAAAAAACTCCTAGTCATATTCACATCAAACCATTCACAAGATTTATATTGTTGATGTTCGAACTTGATGCTAAACCTCTTTTTCATTAAGGGACCTTGTCGCCGTGCGTCCCGTGACATTGTGTCCCTCTCGAACAGCATTTGACGTGTGCGTTGACAGTAATAAGTGCATTAATTCAACTATGCACGTGTAAATTTTCATTTCTTTACACTTTGATTAACGAAAAACTATTAAAATACTGACAACCATCGCAATTCGTACATAACTCGACCGAGTTCTGATGGCTTCGAAAAAGCGGCCGTACAGTATACTAAAGTAATAATCTAAAATGTACAGTATAATACCGGTATTAAATTGGTACAGGTGATTACACAATTCTTAAATAACCATTTATGACCAGGAATCTATGACAAATACTTCGAGCGACATCTAGACAATAATTACGGTAGGTATGTGGACGAGCAAAATGTCTATCGACATTATCGCCGGCGAGTCGCAAGAAAATATCCGGCGACTTCCGCATATGTCTAGCAACTTGAAAAACTTGTTTGTTTTTGTTTGGCAAAGAACTTGCCCTTGTTTACAACATTGTATTTTTGATCTGATAAACATAAGAAAACACTTGGTTTAAACTGATATTCTACTTTTACAAAACAGGCTTGCCATCGTCTCCAAATATTGATGAGTTGGATAGACTCTTGAAAAGAGGTGAACATCTAAACTTACATCCAATGAGTTATTTGGCAGCATTACTACTGGACTTGGATGATGTCACATTATTACATAACCGACTTAAGTTCTCAGGCTATGATAGGGACATGGCTTACTTTCTAGTAGAACATAGAGCAGATAAAGTAGCTGAAAGACAATTACTGTAAGTTTAATCTAAACAACTGATATAATTTTATCTTTATTATACTTTATTTTTAGAGGCTAACTAAAATAATGATAAAATTATTCCAAATAATTAAAACATAGTGTTGAAACATAATTTTTAGTGCATTTAGAATTTCAAGACGAGAAATCTTTTTCAGCCCTTATGAAAAATTAGTCCTCAATAGTAAGATCAAACAAAAAGACGCGATTGAATATGTTAAAGAAGTTTTGAAATATAGAGGTGATGAAAAACTACTTGAGGATTTTAATAAGTGGGAAGTGCCCAGGTTTCCTGTTTCTGGTAAATTATTAAAGAATGCTGGTGTACCACCAGGTAAAATGTATGGACCCATCATAAGTCGCCTCAAGGATATGTGGATTGAAAACGAGTACAAGCAAACTGCAAGTGATCTTGTTAAATATATTCCTGATATCCTGGAAGAGTTTGGAAACAATAAATTAAAACATGCTAAGTAAACGGTTATTTTATTATCAGTTATATACATCTGATTAATAAATAGTTTAAGCATGGTCTGCAGTGTAATTCAAATGATTCCTCTTCGGCAACAATAGCTATGTGCATTCACTACCTATGTTGTATAACTTTATTAATATTCATTTAAAATTATTATATAAAAAATATCACTCTTTTATACATAATATGACTTAATCTCACTTCTATTCAAAAAGAAAACCCGAAAAGATGGGGGACTCTCTACACTCTACTAATAGGTATAATAGTGCTACAATCATATTAAGGTATTGAGATTAAAACATATTATTTTCTTATTAAAACATTTTTATTATATTTGTTACTTTTGTGTTACTCTTAATATATTAAGTTAATTATACAATATGGGCCTATAAAATATTGTCTGTAAATGCAAATACCATATGATTCTTACATTTACATGCTACTGATTTCATGATTTTTTTGGAGCCTCATAAGGTTCATACCTATTACAACCATCATCATCGTCTTTATGCTCTGCAAAGCATCTATGACAAAATAAATATTTGCAGCCAAAACACCGCATTGTAGCATCTTCATTGCATATCTCACAAAATGGTAGTTCATCGTTGGTAGACTGAGGCATATCTTCATCATCGAGAGAAGCTTCTGCTTTTATCTGTAAAAATGAAATATTTTTTGAAGAAATGATTACCTTAAAACTCAGCAGATGGTGGCATGGGTGAAAATTACTGCAAAGTTTGATTTGATTGACAGTCAAAGTTATAGCTATATGACTCAGCCCGCGTTATTATTTTAAAACAGATATGAATAAAAAAAATACAATAATTAGGATCAATTCAACCATGCCAAAAATTAGACATTAAACTAATATCTGTGTTTAAGAAAAGAAATTAATATACCTTTTCCACTATTTTCCTAACTGTTTCCTCTTCATCCTCCGATTCTGCATCTTCTGTAGACTTTACTAAATCATGTTCCTTAGAACTTGATGAATTAGAACCCTTAAGTTTATTCATTCTTAATTCCATGTCTTTCATAATGTCGTCAAATTCGTTTTTGTATTTAGACTCAATATTTGTCTGTTCCATATACTGTTTTAATAAATCATTTGCTTGTTCTTGTTCTGTCCTTGTATCTGGAGCTAGTAATACTGGCTGAAAGATATAGCTGAGCTTAGTTTTGGAGAACTTACTTTAATGAAGGAATTAACTGATAGTTTCAAAATTAAAAATAAATAGAATTATCATCATGTAATTGTTGCTAACTAGTTGTACCCTGCCACTCATCACAGTGGCATATTTGTTTGCATTGATGAAAAATGAGAAACTAATGGAAAAAAAAATAAAAAAAAATTGAAGCAGGTTGTATTTGGTGTCAAAATTCGAGCTCAATCAGTGCAGAACTTTTTGCTTTTTGAAGCATACTCAAACCAACTTAACCTTTTCATATAATCTATACAAATAAATAAAATTGGAAGTCTCTGTTTGTAATATAAAAATAATAGGTTTTATCATGCTCACAATGGTTATTTGCACATTACCTATGCCTAAAAACCAGTTTAATTAATTTTCTCTGTCTGTTTGTTTCGGGTAATCTTCTAAACGGATGGACCAATTTTGATATTTTAATACCATTGTCTATATAAGGAATAACTAAGACTACTTTCCTCAGAAAAACTCTATAAATCTTTGGCCGGTGTGGGAATTAAACCCACTAAGGCAGCGCTTTTCAAATTCCACCCGAAAGAAGTTGCATTTACCAGCTAGGATATTATATATAGATGTGGTTTGAGTGTTCAGTACAACACAAAAAAATTTTCATTTTACAAAAACAAATTATTATTCTTACTTTACTACATAAAGTTTCAGTTGGAACACCTCTTAATTTGGCTAAACGTGCTTGTATCTCCTCATCTGATGTTGATGGCATTTCACCTTTAATAGTCCGAAGGCGATTTTTAACATGTTCATCTGTTGTTGTTACACTGGTGTTTGTCCTGGAATCCTTCAGTTTTTGTAATCTTCCTGCAATTAGTTGATCTGTGGTGTCCATGTCACAGTTAGCTGCTTGGTTACCTTTTTGTTCAACATTCATTGTTCCAAGTCTCCTAAAATAAAAAAATTACGTAAGTCTGAGCAAAACAATTATATAGTTATACCTACGGGTAGTTATCACTTTAAAAATAAAGGCTAGAAATTTCGAACAATGCCATTGATATGTTTAAGTTAAACGTATGTATCAATACTGAATATCTACCTGAAGTATGCATCTGGTGGTTGCACAGCATTTGCAAGTTCATCAGGTTTTTCAGCTAATCTTTTACATTTACAACAAACCTGTAAAACAGAGATTTAACTTCTATGTATACAGACGAAACTTTAAGTGTTTTGAATGTTACCAATGGCCAGTTTTTATAATTATCACCTTTGCTGTGTCATTAATTTTGGGTAGAAATATCTTGTTATCTAAACATTTGGAACAGTAACTGAATCCACAGCCTGGGCAGCCTTTCTAAAAATTAAATAAAAACGTATAGGGTCAGATGGGGTAAATGCGAGGGCCATAACAAAATTTAAAGTTCAAATTTAAACTGTTTATTCCCTAATCAGTTACAAATAATTCACATTTGCAGATGTTATTAAGCACATATTTAGCTATTATTTACTGTATTTTAAGTGACAAAAAAGTATATATTTTAAGAAAAATGGACCCAAACACAGTACAGTGTCTCATTATTACATTTCCCCCCTGGAAAGGGGAAAATGTAATAATCATATCAAATTTGTAAAGAGTGTCTAAGGATTGATTTCTGGGATAAAAGCGAAAAATTAAAAAAAAAAACAAATATTTCAGTTTTTATTTCAACAAAATCGGACAATCACATCAAAAGTTATAAACTTTTTCCTAAAATTAATATTTTACTTATGTTAACTTATTGGGGAATATTTAGGAAATAATCATATTTCTGAATTTAAAATCAAATGTTATTAAACCTCGCTTAGTTATTTCGGGATTAGGTAGTATCTTAATGATGGAGTCAGTCGTAATTTCATCAAGATCCTCCGTTATTGGCCAGGCAAACATACATCCCTTGCGTCTTACAAATTTAACCTCCCAACGAAGCCCCACCTTTTTTTGTACAACACCTACGTAGTACTTAGGTCCTTTTTTCAGTGCATATTTTACTATAACCCAATTGTTCACAAGGATTTCTTGAATTTTGTCTTCTGTTTCTTCCTCTGTTGGGGTTCTCTCAGGTCCTTCTATATTTTCTATATTTCGCTCTTCATTTGCTTTTTCGTGTGATCCTTCCCGTTCAGTTCTTATCTGTTTTTTTGCTAATTCCCTTCCTTTATTCATCCCCACTCTTCCAATTCTATTTTTCATCACAGTTGTTTTTCTACTTTCGTTATTTTCTTTATCAGAATGATATTGTTCATCGTCTTCTCGTTGTTCGTCTTCATCTTCCATCCCTTCACTAGCATCTGATTCTGCATATGACACATTACCTTCAGAACTTTCCTCACTCTCTGTATCGTCTGACTTTTGCTTTCGGTTTAAATTCCTCCTTTCTTTCCTTTTACTAACTTTTTTTACTTTGTTTACGTCACTACCAACCTGTACAGATTCTATGTCCGTTATATCACTATCTGAATTCTCAGTTTTCTTTCCCTGTTTCCTTTTTATTTTCGTTTTGGGTGTAGTTTTTATTCGCTTAGCTGATTGAATTTGTTCTTTGTCCTTCAATACTTTAACAATTTCAGCAGATGTAATAACTTCAGCACCTGAGGCTACTTTTCGTCTCTTTTGTTTATTTGGCATCTGTTTTTGGTGAATAACTGACAAAATTAATTGCTCCATAGATGCGGCTTGAGAGAATTTAGGATTATGAACTGGGTTTTCTTGAGAATGTGGAGTATCAATACTGGAGCTTTGTAGATCTACAGAGTTGACATTCAGTGTCTGTAAACTGGAAGTCTCATATACATTCTCAAAAAACGGCAACGTTAAAAGCGATGGCGATTCACACCTTGCATTTTCAACGTGCTCTATATCTTGAACACCCCTTTCAATTTGTTGTTGGTATCTCCCCCAACGCTCTAAAGCTTCTTTGGAGAAATTCTCCTTTGGAACAACATCAACATCAAACGGGAAAATGCCTGCCTTCTTAAATCCGTTCTTGATGACGTCGTCGCTGACTTTGGTCCAAGTTTCTCCTAGAAATTGAGAAAATAGAGATTTGGGTAGCTTTTTACCAATATGTTGTCGCTGCCAAGTTGCTATAGTTTGGTCCCATTTTTGTTTGTAAGACTTGAAAACCGAGACATCTAATGGTTGTAGAATATCACTAGTGTGGGCAGGGAGTTTTAAAATAGTTATTCTTTGGTCCAAAGCATATTTTACCAAGTCAAGCGAAACATGAGTGGAGTGGCCATCGTATATAACCAAGGCAGGTCTTTCATCACCCAAAGCCGGTACCAGGGTTTTTTTAAAATAATTTTTGAAAACTTCAGTCTCCATCCAGCCATTAGGTGTCGCCGCGTAAGCTGTTCCAGGAAATTCTTTATCCGGTGGTGCCTTCCATTGATCCCACATATTTTTTCCCTTGAATATTATTAAAGGAGGCACTCGTTGACCCATAGCATTACAGGCTAAAACAAAAGTAGTGTTTTCTTTACCCGAGGTGCTTGTAACTCGTGATGAGCTTTGACCTTTCTCTCCTACGACTCTTGATTTGGATGGATCGATACTAAGGCTGCTTTCATCCAAATTCCAGATACGACCAGGCTTGTTCTCTATGTCCAGTTCCACCAAAACCTTTTTTAGAAGATTAAAATATCCGTAAATGTTAAATGGGTCTGTAGCAGATTTCTTTCTAGCAAATTCTAACGGCTCCGGTTTCCGAATGGACAAGTTGTGTCTCTTTTTAAAACTAAGAAACCAGTCCTCCCCCGGAACCCCATTTTTGAAAGGTGTTTGAAGATCGTTTTTTGTCACAAAATGACCCACCAATTCGAGAATTTCTTTCCTGCTAAGACCAAAACCCCACTTTGCTAGAGTTTTGATAGAAGTCGCTAACACATTCTCAATACTTTCAGCGAGAGCAGTTCTCCTTCCCTTTGCTTTTTTAATAGCTCCTCGCGTGCCTTTAATTCTACTATATAGAGTTGAAAACGGAATTCCATACAAAGTTGACGCTCTATGAATTGTTAATCTACTGGCCTGTATTTCTTCAAGAGCGCGGTTTAATTTGTCCTCTGAATATTTGGGTCCAGTCTCCTTTTTTTTAACGTAATTTCGCACCATCTGGAAGAACAAATTATCTTGGGGTAAATGTAATAATTATATATTACATTTGCCCCAGTGACACAAATTTCGGGGGCAAATGCAATAATGAACGTACAATGAAGACGGTACCACATATATCAAAAATACATGTTTAAAAGAACTTTCTAACACATAAACTGTCATACTTGTAGAAAACAAATCAAAAACTTACTTTAAATCCTTTGATGATACTGATGCAAAGTTAAGTTGTGAAATTTGCACTGCACGTCTTCACGATGTCCGACACGCGATCATATGTCACTCCTTTATTCATCGGTAAAACAGTGTCAACAAGCGCTTAGCTTAAAGTTGAAGAAGTACGTATGGTATATCAGAGATGGCAGCACCGATTACTTTAGTATAAATAGGTTTGAAATATCGTTATCACATTTGCCCCGGTATTGCAAATGCCCCACCTAACCCTACACAGCTTTGAATTAAATTTCAATTTTGAAAACTGTTTTGTACTAGAATCCTTTCTCAATACCTCTTTACGAAGCAAAGAAAATCCTTTCGCACACGAATTACAAGCCATTACACCCGTATCTTTTGGTCAACTCTGATAAAATTATTAAATATCCTTAATCCAAATCCACTTCTAATCGTATCGTGGCGCATTAAATAATATTAAGCAGTGTTGCCAACAGTTAAAATGAACTCTCTTTTTACCATGAACCTGTATCTTGAAATGTTTTTACGACTTATACTCTTGTTTTTATATTATTACGAGTATTTCAAGGTCATTTCCGATTTGCTCTATTCTTTGACTTTACGTAGAAATGTAGCTTCATTCTGCACTGTCTATCGTATATATCATGAAGAGTGCCCCGAGGAATTGCTCGGACTAGTACCGGCTGTTTTCATCCCCATTACTTGGATAACTGGCGCTCTACCACTGCGCGCTTTTTAAGACACTTTTTGCCTTGCACAACCAATGTGTGAAACAAGTTATCGTCTGCGGTATTTCTGGGCCGATACAACTTTCAAACCTTTAAGAAAATAGCGTACTCCTTCCTGAAAGGCCGGCAACCGTTTGTGACTCCTGAATTGCAGACTTTACCTAAGGGGAGTAATACCCGTGCCTTGGACCCCCATAGCCATTTTTCCGCATCCTTTTCCTTATTTGCAATTTTGAGCTTAATTTATTTTAATAACCTGTTAGTTATTAACCATGGAATATACAAATTGTCTTTTAATATTCTAATGTGAAATAAAATGTGAGAGATAAACAAGCATGTATAAATGTAACAAGTAGGTACTAGTATGTATAGGTACCGAATTGTTGATCTTTCTCTGCCAGTTTTGTGTCGACGAGAGCAACCTTCCTTGCGTATTCTGTGACATTACTAGAATATTACTTTAATGTCAAGAGAAATGTCAAAATACGATCACCTGATAACAATGTCAATAAAATTTGACATATGATGACAGAAAACAGATGATTACAAAACTGAAGTTGAATCAATGTTTAATTTGATGTTTTGATTTACTAAAGAAGATTTTCAGTTAAATTAGGGAAATATTTAAGTAGGAGTTACTAGGAGTAATAAGTTAATTACGTAATAATAAGCAAGTAAGGGCAGAATCGTCCTTACTTGTACCAATGATAATAAAACGAATTTCCGAAGGAATTTGTGCGGTGGCGAATGTATCGATACACTTTCACCCCGCAGGGTCAGCTGGCCGAGCGAAGCCTGCGCTCAGTGCGTTCAATGCCAGTCGTACCGTCGTTCGATACGCAAGTGTACTATCGACCTCGCCCAAAACAAGGAAAATGGTTTGTTTTGTGTTAAACTTATGTGAGTATTAGTTTCCTTAACTCTTTAATTTTAAATGTGTATTTGATTAGGCAGACAAATTAAATAAAGAAGAGCGCGATACCCTTCTGCAGCCACTGCTGCAGTCTGGGTGGAAAGTACAAGACAACCGGGATGCTATTGAGAAAGAGTTCAAATTCAAGGATTTTAACCAAGCTTTTGGATTTATGACAAGAGTAGCTCTTCTTGCTGAGAAAATGGATCATCATCCAGAATGGTTCAATGTTTATAATAAATTACAGGTATGAACTTAGTCAAGAACTTTTAAAATTTTATATTATAAATATATTTAAGTATTATTCAATGTAACAGGCCTAATTAAAACTTAAGCCTATAGTTATAAAATAACGTCCATTTGTGTAATCTTGAGCAGCTTAAAACAAGCGTAATGACTTGTATAATCATTAAAATTTGTTTAAGTAACTTAATTGCACAACTTATCTATGTGTTCTTCAACCAGTTAATGTTACTTAAGATCTTGCATAAATCTTTCTTTTTATTTACATCCCATAAATTTAAAAAATTACTGTTGTTTTTTTCAGAAATATTTTATTTGAATTCGTAGGTATTGTATTATCAAGTATTGTAACTTGAATTAATTGATTTGGAGATGCAACAATTTTTTTTTCTCAGGTCACATTGTCTTCGCATGATTGCAATGGATTGAGCAAAAGGGATATAAAAATGGCAACCTTTATGGACAAGAATTTTGCAAGCTAAAGCCAAAAAGTCAAGAATTTATTTTATTGTTATTATTATTACAGGCAACCATTGCATGTACGAAAAAAAAAATGTTGTTACTTTTATTTGTATAAAATAAAATTGTGAAAGATTGTGAATAAAGAGCTTGAGAACTCAGTACATTGTAAACTTTTGTATGTGTTCAGTTTTAATATTTTAAATATTTATTTTATTTTGTTTCACTGGTTTTTAAGGTTGATAGCACTGGCACTGAATAGATTCTCTTTTATTGCCAAACACTTGTTACAAATTTCAGAAAAATGATGTTGAAGACGTTTGCCATTCATTGCAAGTTCTTTTTGTCGTCTGCCCCTGGTCAATAGGGTGTATTTTATTATCAAATTACTTAAACCTAAATTGCTTTGCATAAATCATCCTGAGTCATTCTTTTAATTTTTATGAATTTTCTTTTCTCATTTTTATTATTTAAACCAAAAATTTTACATTAAGAACAAGTATTTTAATAATGTATGCAATACTTGTTTCTAGATAACATCAAATAAACTCCAATATAAAAGTTACAAGCTGGGGTTAAACCCATTTTGATTTATATAAAAGCGACTTCAAATAAAAGTCTGGCATTTCTTAAACACAACTTTTTGTTTACCCTCCTCCTGTAAGTGGCCATCGATAGAACTCACGAAACCAAGCACCCTGTGAATACCTATTATATGATACCCATCCACACATTTCTTTAAGAAATTCGTCATCATTCCCAATAAATTTGTTTATATTTTTGAATGAAGTAGGTACATATTTAATAACCAATTTTTTTATTTATTTGTGAATCACCAATGCATAGTCATCAGCAAAATTAAGATATGTTGTATTTTCAAATACTCGCAAACATCGATGACGCTACAGTATACGTTACACTTACACCTTTGGCTAGAGCAGGACTTAAAACAGGAAAAAGACTGATGTTGACTTGTAATCTGTCATACAGGTAGTCCTAGTGCAGACAACATTTGGTTTCAGATTTAATAAATGTAACTACTTTGTGTAAGAGATTTAAAAGAAATCAATTATTATTTTCTGTTGTAAACGAATACAGACTAAGACTTCAAGGTTCAATTTAGACAAATAGGTCTTAAAAAAAGCTAAGTAAAAACTCTCATAAGTACCTACCTCTATTTCAAACTTACTTGAACGACCCTCATCCTAATCACATTGTGAGTTTTATACGTATTATAAGACGAAGAGATCAACACCTATTTTACAATTAAGTAGTCAATCTGCTTTTGCACTTAGTAGGAAGTAGAAATAAGGAAACTGCAACAATAACTTGTTAAGTTTTTTATTTAGTCTTAAAGTGAAGATAAGTGTTATTTTGTTTTAGTAATATCTCGCTAGTTTTTAAGTATTTACAACAGTGATTATACTTTACTGATTTTCCTTGTAATTAATTGTAGATATTTTTCGCAATTTTACTCAAGTTAATCATAGCATAGGTACACCAATCGATACATCGTATGTACGTTCATATTTAAGATCGATAGCAGTCTAGTACATTTCTTTCAAAATTCGCTTTGTATTAATTTATATCTCACTTCTGAAAATTAAACACATGAATTTTCTCTAGTTATGATCTACGGTTGTTCAGTATATGGTGGTTTTCAGTTTTTTTTCCATAATATCCAGATAACCATTTACTAGATACTATTTACTTTTCTTGACGTAACATGGACACGTCCGCTTATCGTTGAATGGTTCACTTTCGAAGATTGCCGACTCAGGGTACGCTCTTTCGATTATTCTCTTTAATTGCAATGAATGCTCCAAATTTTTTGATTCTACTACTATTTTCATCTGAAAAAAAGATTATCCCAACATAAGTAGGCCACTACAAACCAAGGTGTTGAACTAGTGTGTCCTACCCGTATGTGACATACGTAACCGAGACGTGGGCATGCACCGTAGGACTGGTCGTTGAGTAATGCGACAGAGAACTAGAGTACCTAACCGATATCGCGGTCATGTGGATGTGGGTCGGTCATGTCTCCAGTCTGGCATGTAATAGTCTGGCAGTAGCCGAAGTGGCCGAAGACTTGAAGAAAGTAGCTGGTAGCGGATGTATGCGGACTGCCCAAGACCGGGTATACTGGGGATACGGGATAGACTGGTGATGATGAAGTTGGTCTGTAGCAAATAAAGTATAGTAGAGGTACTCAAGGAAAAGGTTGTACCTACATTATTAGGAGTAGTATTTTATATTGAAATAATAACTGTAAGCATATTTTCATGTCTAATAGTTGAGATAATTTTGTACATGTATTCTGTAGTCAGTATGAAAATATTTACTAAAGTATTTACTATGACAAAAATACATCCATAAATACATTTATGTACCTATTATTATTCGATATAATTGTCGGTAAATGAATGATGGATGGTCACAGGGCCTTTTACTAACGATAGCATAAAGTCGTTCTTTATGCTGTCGTTTGTTAAATAAATATCCCAATGACCATTAATGAAACGTAATTCAGGCATATAATAAGACTATTTAGATATTATTAAGTTTCTTGACCTCACTACCCCAGTTCAATGAACCACTGCTGCATTGGATGATAAGATTGTTTACTGTTTTTAATTGAGTCAAAGATTATTTGAGATTAGGAAACGTACCTCAGCTCGATAGGTGTCGCCCTCTGTCCAATAGTTGTCTATAAAATGAGTGATAACATTGAAGCCTCCACTTGCTATTAAATTCATTAAGTCTGATTTTGCACCTTGCCGATTATAGACGCCAACCTATTGATAAATAATACAACAAGCTGATTATATAATTCATAGAAATATTTATGAGTTTTTCTGTATAAGTAAATACATATTTGTATTTTTAAACTCGTTTTGTTGTCGGTACATTAAGTATTTATGATATATTAGTATAAAATGTCATGGGTGTTACACTTAGTAGTTAACATCGGTTATTAAAGTGTGAAAAGAAGATTATTAGTGGCTTTAATTCTTTGAAACTTCTAAGATGAAAAGTCAAAAAGTAATTGCGAAATAAATACGTTTCTACTACGTAGGTAAAGTTGACGCAATTTGATTACGCAATGTCAAGGTCAGCCAGTTAAATTGCAATGCACAAGTATTGCGATAAAGAACGAGTTGGTCAATTAAAAATGCATTGTTTATTCTAATTTTATTAATAATTTCTACAATTGGCTACTTCCAGCTATTGCCTTAAACGGTGTAATAGAAGATGTCCAACACGTTTTGATGGAATGTGTCCGGAACGAGCGTCTGAGAGTATTGTGTTTTGACGGAAACAAGAGCTACTAGTTGGCAATTTTTTTTTTTTTTTAAAGACAACTCCCGCATTAGGAATATATCCTGTGTCGCGGGGGACTTTACAAACATACATGAAACGGACACAAAGAACACCCAGACTTAGAACAACATTTTGTGGATCACACAAAGTGTGGACGACACTTTGTGTGATCCACAAATTGCATGTGGGGTTTGAACCCACAACACTCGGCGCAGTAGGAAGCGGCGTGGCGACCGCTTAAACCACTGCGCCATCCGTGCAGTAATTTGAACAGTATGTTGTCTAATCCAACAACAGAAGAAGTTAGACAGTTAATTAAACTAGCTTATTTAGGTTTTAGTATACAATAATGTAGTTATAAGTCATCGTTACTTATGTTTCGCGGTATTGTTAGCTGTCCATATGGGACGATGAAGTCGGCAGTCTCAGCGACGAAGTCCTTTTAATAATAAAAAGAATAAAAAGCTTTGTTTTATTAAGTTGATAAAACTGTTTTAATAACTGTTATTGAAAGCATTAATGTAAAAATACAGATGACTGAATGTAACCATTCCCTACGAAATAAAACTCAAAACGAGTCAAACGGTCCAGCCAAGTGCTTCGATGTGAACAGCATAACAATATACAACAACATAACATCGAGTTTTGTTTTAACGAACTGTTAGGGGTATATAGCCGGGCCTGAACGGGCACCGTCAGCCGGAGACGCTGTGACCACGTGAAAGGTGTAGGTAAGTACATTGTGATATTAAAAGAAAAAGAAAATACCCTGAATTTCACTAGACGCCCTTCTGCAGCCAAACCTCTCTGTAAGCTGCGATTTAACATCAAACTGTCAATATTGCCTCCTGTGAGGATACAGACCACACTGAAAAATAAAACAACACTGTGAGCAGTTAAGTGCCATGATTAAGATATACGACAGTTATATTCCTATAATATGTTGGGAGTTGATATGTCGGGGTTTTTTATCACTATTCTACCGAAATCTGTAAACGTATTCTTTTAAAAGAAAATTCGTATTTTAAAGATTAAATATTGGGGAAAGGATAATAAGGATCAACTATTAAGGCGAGTCTCCGGGCTGAAACTCAACCGTGAGGCCTGGAGGCAAGAGCTCTTGCGGCTCTGCATCAGTGTCGTAGGAGTTGGGTTGGAATCCTGAGTCTCCAGAAATCGAGGACCATAAATCCCACCTCCACCAGGTTCCCGTGGGGGAGTCGAAGGAAATACTTGGGCAAGCAAGCACCGGTAGGGCCGGATTAACCATGTCAGGGCCCTTGGGCAATGCAATCTTCGGCGCCCCTTTGCACCCGTTTGAAGATTAGCTCTTTGCAAGTCCATGAAGGGTTGTGACAAATAGCATCAGCAGCATTACTTGTCTAATGCTTAATTCCTCAGGAACCATCAGCAAAAAAATTAAATTAGGGCTTACTTCTTCTGCAGGTCTTAATGCATAGGTTATAGATAAATGATGATCCAGGTGTCATTAGGCTCTCGCTGCCTATATGGCAGCTGCAGTATATGAGCTGGCACCGTCTGACGGTCTCATGGTGGAGCAGGAAAGAAGAATAAGACATCGACCCTCATCGCTCACTTTGAGTCTCATCGTCAGCAATAGACTGCAAAGCTGTACGGTAACTCTTGTAAGCTTTGTCAAAAGGTTACAAGAGTACTTGATCTTGCATACCACCTAGTATCGGAGACTTTTTCAAGCACCTTTTTCGAGATGTATCTACAAAATTCCACAGTAATGAGTTGATGCCACAAAAATGTAGTATCTGTACAATTCCAAAGAATGAGGTTGCTCTAACAGAGCTCTCCGCAGCACGTACTCAAGGGAGTGCGCTGCACATAGAACTTAGCGTGCAAAATTATTTCTTTTCTTGATTTAGCCCGTAGACCATTGTAACAAACAGGCTTATTTGACAGATTATCGTAAGTTTGACTTCTCGCATTTTTTATATCACTTATATTGAATATAAAAAAAAAATTAGCGGCAAGTTCTTCCCCTTTGTGACTTACTATAGGAATAAAGGTAAGAAACCTTCTGCTACTTCTCCATTTTATGTAGCGTATCTCAGCAATACAGTTAACTGATCAGTATGAGATATGTCTGGTGTCGAATCGGCGCTTATCGAGAAAAATTTAGCTCCAAAAAATTCATTAACAGTGAATTTTAAACCTTACTTTCCAATTTTTCAATAAGTGCCTCGCAAATCATCGAAGACAAAATATGCTGTCTTCCTTTTCCAACATATTTATTTAGCTAAATGAGAACTAATAAAGTTAGTTGTCGAGCTTAATAGTTAAGTATAATGAGATTCAATAATCATCATTACAAGGAAATGCTAATCTCCCGTAGATTGGCATTTTTTTGTGATAATATGATAATGTGATAATTCTTTATCACTTATTACTACTGTTTGTAAAACTTTCGTCTAATATTCTTCTTCCTTGTTAAAAGTAATTTCCAAAGAGCTGTTATTACATTTGAATACGTTTTCTACTATACAGTCAGTGTCTGTACACATTCTTATGGGAGTGTGTTATTTTCGACACATTTTTTTTTCAATTAGCAAAGAAGTTTGAAATTGCAAAAAGGACACATGGAAAGCAGTATACATTTCCAGTAGTTAGAGAATACATGAACCTCTCCCGTTTAATTTTACCAGTACTTAGTTTAGTTGCCGAAAAAAACATAGATTGAGAAAAATATAAATCCAACTGCAAAATATATATAAATTGCATCCAACAAATTGGGATTCCCTCAATGCATTTGAAGTTCAAGTTCACCGGCTGCATTCCGAATTAATTTTTATACTTTAGGTAAAAAACCCGATACAAGATGGTTTCGTTTTGTAAGTATTAAGCATTTCCTCTACACAGTCAGTTGATCATGGGTCGAAAAACTCAATAATACTGACTGTCTTCAATGTCTAAATGTTCAATGATGAAAATGTATGAAACAATTTCAATTTCTTTTGTGCGCGTGCGGGAGCCCCTAACCGATGCGAGGCTTCTAGATAGTTGCCTACTCTGCCTAATAGTTAAATCAGTCCTGAGTGGCGGGCATGCTTTTCTTGCGGCGATCATATACGGAGCTACCTTTTTAGGTTCTTTGTGCTATGGCACACTTACAGGGGCCGATAAGGCAACCGCAGTCGCTGTCCGTAGCAAACTGTTACAAGGCCAACGACTTGCATTGATATTCTTGTGCAAGGCATATAACACGGTTAGCACCGAGGCTTTGCCAGTGTTGGCGGGTGTGCTTCCTTTCCATCTCGAGGTGCAAAGACATAGACATAGATAAGACAAAGCCATGTACTATTCAACACTACAAAATATGGAATGCAATTTATTGGGCGCACGAAATCGCGATAAAATCACAAGATTAATTGAACAGCAGTCCGATATCTGTAATCACCTCATAGACGAATGGTAACAACGCAGAGACGAATCATCTAAGGGGCGCCACCTTTACCAGTTCTTTCTATCTGTTGTCGAGGACAAGGCTTGTGGTGACCTGTAAGAAATTAAGCGACACAATGATTGTGTCGCTTAATTTCTTACAGCTCATGGTAAGCTTAAGAGCAAACTGAATTCATTTAAATTAGTCGAGGCACCATCGTGTCAATGCTCAACACCTGACTCTAACTATGAACAGTCTGCTCATCATATCCTCTGGGAGTGTCGTCTTTGGTATAATTAACGTAAATTAATGCTGAATTAATGCTAAATAGCGGCATACTATGGGGATTTTGTGTCAACTAGGGTGAATTTCTATGTGTTTATGCAATTCTGCCATACATATTAGGGTCATACTCAGAAAAAATGTACATTTGGCACTTTTTTTGTCCCACTACTTACTTTAATAGCAGATTTAAAATTTGAATATTATGGCACATATTTTTAATCATGTTAACATCTATGTTTAGTCTTTAATAGGATCTTTTTTTAATAAATAATATAATATTTTCGTCAAATCATAGTATAAATAGCATTGGGATTTTTTTATAAAATATCTTCCATACAATTTTTTAATGTCCCAATAACGATTTTTCTTAATAAAAGAGTAATTGTTACGATTATTAGTCGACTTACATAAGATTGACTGTAGTCATTTAGGTCTCTTTTAGTCCATCATTTAAATAGTAATACAATTTATTCTTTAGAACGTTTAATAAAATTATAAAAATTCATATTAATGTTGTCCCAAAATTATTACATTTCGTTACTCAGTGTTAGTTACGTGCGTATAATTCTGAACGCAATTGTTCGAAACTGACGGGAAATAATTTTCCTAATATTGACAACATTGCTGATTTTTATAATTAACCGTACATACAGAGGTCATTTTGTTTTCATCCGTAAACGGGAGTCATTGTGTTGAATTCGCATTTGGTAAAAAATACTGTCAGGGTGATAAACGATTTGAATTTCGATAAGCATACGATACGATTGATTGTACTATTTTATGCCCACGTCTTAGTTATAGTAATATTAATAATTCAGTTATTGTGTATTGTGTATACAATAAGTGGTACTAACAGAATTATTTTTCGGGGTTATAATTTCTCAGAGTTTGTCTTCAGTTTAGTTATATCGCGTTATGTTACGAAACTGAGAAATTGTAAAGCTGAGTTTACGAAGTTACTCTAATTTGAAAAAATAATTATTATCTATTAAAATTGTATTACATTAATTTAGGGGAACAGAAGTGTAATCGTGGTACAATGAAAATGATGGGCTTGATTCCCGAACGTAACAATATATTTCTGTTGAACTAAAAAAAATATGATTGTCTTATTATTTTACTATTTGTGTGGGTACTTGTGCAGAGTAGTCAAGTATTTTGGATATTTTTTTATTTAATTATAATCAATAATTTTATTAAGTTGATTCTTTAGTTACCAAAATATTTAAATAATGGAGCAGTACGTAACGTTGATATCTTTTTGTTACAAATTTGTTTGTTATGGAGATTTGAGACTGATTTTCATTGTGAAAGATTATATCATTTTTAAGAAATAATAGGTCTTTACCTATGAAATTGCCGTTTTGTATGCAATAAGTGAAAGTACTTATTTTTTCAAACTTTTTTATTTCTGTTGTTCGAAGTTATCACCCATGCAATCGACGCATCTTTGCCAACGCATTGGCAGGTTATTGATGCCCTTCTTGTAAAAATCAGCTGGATGGGATGCAACAAACTCACCAGACCTTGCACCTACCGACTATTACTTTTTCCAAAATTTAGACTACTTTTTAGTGGGTAAAAAATTCAAGTCCCGAGAGGCAGTACAAAATGCCTTTGAAGAATTTGTTGCCTTCCGTCCAGCTGATTTTTACAAGAAGGGCACATACATTTTTTCTGAGTATGACCCATTATAGAAATCAAAAAAAGCTCACTTAGGACCCATAATATTTTGTCGCCGTGGTACTTTCCTGTTTAAAACGGTTTATGCCTATTTTACTTTTTTTTAACTCCCGATTTGTTAAGGAGGGATGTGGATTTGTTATATTTCCAACTCCTCCAATTTTCTTCCGATTAATTTCGTTGCGGGTTTCAAGACAGTTGACTTCCCGAGTGTCATACCTCGGTGTGTTCGTGGGTCACTGCTGTGATCCTGGTGTACAGGAGTTACAGTGGTGGGCGTGTGGGAGCGATTAGTCCCAATGTAAAAAAAAGTCTGATCCGCAAGGAGAAAACGCCTGGGTGCCTCTACTGCGATGGTCAGAATGTGGAAATGGCGCTCCTCAAGCTGACAGAATGCCCGGAGTGGGTGGAGCAAAGGTGTAAGCTCGTGACAGTTTTTAGAGTTGGGATTCTCTCGTTCTGTACCATGATTGCCGCCATGGCACGGAGCAAGAGCGCGTGAAACTCCGTCACCTCTTTCTGCGAGCAAGTTATACTTTCCAAGGAGAGGGCGGAGTGGGACCCTGAGAGGTTTAGAACTCTTCCGTTCCACCAGGTCCAGAAACGCTCTAGGGTGACAGGTGGGCCGTCTGTCAACCTAGCAGAAGTAGGCTGGGGTGGCGGCGCAACGCCCTCCGGAGCTAGGGCGGCCATCTGGAAGCTGTAGGGAGCCCGGTGTCCGTAGGGGTACCAGGTATTGCCATTTTAGGTTACATCTGGTTCCCAATACGGCGTGCAGTTTTTAGTCGATTCTAGTCCGATATAACCACCCCAGCGGTCGTCCGGTGGGAAGGATCCAACAGGATATGGGTACGAAAAAAAAAACCTATAGAAACAGTCGTCCTTATCGCAGTCTGCGATCACTTCAAGAACAGCCAGGTACGACTATACTGAAGTACGAAATATTAAACAAAAATATACGTTTTGCATAAATATCTAAAAAAAAACAAATCCATATATACACATATATTGTATATACATACATACATCCCAACAAACAAAAATTGCTCTTGAAGTGACTTTCATGGCCAAAAATAATATTCTTATAGGAGCCGCATTATCGCTAATAAGGGTGCGTTTGGGCACAAATTATAAGGACAATAACTTATACCCCCCTTGTAGTTGCTTTATTGTCAGCTTTCTTTCCTTATACGTGTTATATTATGACAAGGAACAAGGAAGTTGAACTTATAATGGCAAGAAAAAAGCTCCTAAAAAGCCACCTCATACACTTGTAAGAAACATATAGAAGGCGTTAATACGGGCCATTATAAGGTAGTTAAACTCATTGCGGAAAATCAAAGGCTCTTAAAAAGCCGTAGGCCCTTAAAGCCGTCTGTTTATGATTCTGCAATAAGTCTTTTTCTTAGTGATTTGGCATTTTCGCAACAGTTTGGCGAATAAAGAGAAAAGTCAACCATTTTATAAGTGAAAAGTGAACGGTAAGTAATTATTTTATGTATTTACCTAATTTATGTGCTCATTTATAGAGAAAAGTGGATGGGAATTCAAATGCATGATAAAATGTGGTACGCTGTGTGTTGTAGAATCAACGCGCCCTTGAATTTTAGCTGTTTTTGTGCTACAAACGTTATAAATTATTTTGTCATGTTATAAACAGTGCTATTATGAGAGCAAAACGATTCTCACATCGTCTACAAGGAGTCTATGAGAGTGAAGACTTTATAATGGAAATATTTGTTGCATAGGCTATCGCCATTTTAAATATCGTTAGGGTTCCTTTCTCACGAACAAAATCCTGTACCTAGTTATTCTTGTTCCCATAATTATAATTGTATAAAATTTATGTTCCACACTATTTTTGGGTTGGCTGGAAGAGATCTCTTTATAGGGACAAGCTTGCGTTTGTGCACTAATTTTAAGTTTGAAGTATAATTATAATTCTAAGTACTTACACAATAAAGAATATAATTATTTACACAAGGTGTAGTTTTGCATCCTTGTCAAAATTCAGGAGGTTGTCAAAAAATACATAAATAATCAATTTAAATTACGGTACGTGTTCAATAATTAATAAAGCTGCTATTTTAAATTGTTTGTATTTGACAGTATTTCAGATTGAACTAAAGTTATTATAACAAAACAAACATGTATGTGAGTGTCGTCTCGACGGTTGACGCGACTGTCGGCGCGGGCGCCCGCGGCCGCCCGCCGCGCGCCGGCCGTTTTCTAGATACCTACAATACAGGCTACAGTGAACGATAGCTATATTTTATCTAGTTCGAATTCTAAAATCACCTACCTAATGATAATTAACTCATTTTTAAGCATCACTAAATAGCGGAAATCTTACTCATGAAAGTAGTAGGTACCTACTAGACTAGTGCCTAAAGAAAGGTCACGTACCTTACAGACTGAGTACGGTAACTTTATCAGCTGATTAATGAATGATGATTGACAAAAGGATTTAAATATAAGTTACATCGGCAGGTTTTGATTTCCCTTCATATATTCCCACCACGATAGGTGATATATTTTTAATTTCAGTAATGTTGCACAGTACTGGCCAGTACTGACTGCAATATCACTACGAATATCAATATTCTTCAGCTCTTCATTTAAAAATATGTCTATATCACTATCACTATCGCCACAATTATATTCTTCCTCACTGGTTTCTTTTTCATTATCATTTTCTATAAAATAATCCTCTGCGGAACCACTGGCCGATTCGTTGGTATCGGCTTGGTCATTTTGTAGCATCATAGGAGTAGAAGTGGTGGGTGTAATGCTCACAGCCATATTTTGGTAGACTTTTTTTACTTTTCTTCTGTAACCACCGCTCCTTTTAAACTTCTTCCAGTCTTTTGAATCCATTTTTTAAATGTAAATTCCGCTCCGTAATAAATTCACAGAATCTGCTGTACTTTCAAAATGGCGAATCTAGTTATGTAAAACATTTTAATGTAACCCTAAAGAGAATAATATCTTTATAATCACTGTTTATGGGAATACGGATTGCTTTCATCCTTGTAAAGATCATATAAAATGTTAGAATTCGTTTGTTGGTTAGACGTTTTATCAAATGCTCCTATAAGAGAGAGCGTCCTCCGTTAGAGAGCATCATAGTTACCTTATGCATTACTTTTCTAAGAATAATTGACCATATTAAAAGTCCTTATATGACTTAGAATGTAACTAGCCTAAAAAGCAATGTAACTAGCCTCTATAAGAAGAACACATTTCGAACCCTTATTGTAGCCGTATTAATTGGATTTATTAAAAGTATTAAATGTATTAAAAGTAATATTAGCCAAATCTTCTAATAATGTGCCACTATAAGGAACATTTAGCCAAATCTTCTAATAATGTGCCACTATAAGGAACATTGACATAATAAATGCTCTTTTATAACAAGTATAAGAGTTAAGACCTTATAGACTTAATGTTATAAGCTTAGTTTGTTTGTTGGGATATACACACATACATACAATACCTGTAATATCTGTCCTATATAATGTTATTATAAACTTCAGTATGCTAAGGTTAAACTAACAGCCACCTTATCGCAAGTCCGAAGATTTAGCCACGCGTTCTTTGAGTCATATTTAGGCCTCAGAATAAATTAAATTCTTCGTAGTCTCAAGAATAATCCGCAAGAGAATAAAATAAAATTAATTCACAAAGGAATTGATTAATACTTACTTCTTTTGTTTGAGTTCAGGCACAAGACCTCCTAAAACAGCGGCCAATGTGCAAGCTGCCGTGCCTTCCACTATAAATTTCTCTCTTTCAGATAAATGTAACATTGCACGAGCTATCCAGTCCTCTTTTACCAGTAACTATGACAAAAACAGTACGTTAGTAAATGATGACGATCTTTCATCACTTAATTAGTTAATAATATACTTTATATGCATTTCATGATATTCGTTTAAGTTACGTTATAAATAAATTCAAGTTCCCATTCATAATAATAGGTCCATAATAAGAAGTAGTGATACAAATAGTAAATATCAAGGTGTGTAAAAAATAATAAAGTACCTACCACTTTGTCCAGTAATGGCCTCGCATTAGCAAACGCGTTGACACCGATTACATTGACACTCAGCGCGTTGCCAGCGAGGCTGCCTACCGCCGTTTGTGGATTACACACTGGCTCACCGTTATCCAATGACTTGGTCAGTAAACCAATGTTTTCAGACTCGACACCCTGCAATTCATTATTTAGTAAATCTCTAACAACAGCCACAGTTAGAACACAACAGCAAATTCAAATTACTTCACTTATTCAAAAAACCTTTCAATATACCACTTCATTACCTTCATATCTAACTAACTAATTTTTACAAGCATTCTATGATAATTATTAGTTAGATATCAAATTATATTGATTGAAACAAAGGTTCGGTACTGATAAAGCTTACATAAACAAGGCAAGATGGTTTTTTCTGTTTGATGACAGTGGCTACGGCTGCAGCCAGAGCACCCGTTCCTATAGGCACGAGAATGGCATCGGCAAACGGTGCTTGATCTAAGAGCTCCAAAGCTACAGTGCCGAAGCCCGCGAGGGCGTCCGGATGATCACGTCTGCAGTTAAAATATTTTTTTAGTTAAATATAGGAATCAGAAACTATTAAGTTTAATGTCATACATTTCTAACACAAAATAAAAACCTACACGTTAATATAGGTTAGTCCTCTTTCTCTAGCCAAGACACGAGCTTGTTTCAGAGCTTCTGCAAAAGTGGATCCGTGCAAAACAGTTTTTCCACCTAAAGTATTAATCCTGTGTATTTTCGAAAGTGGCAACGTGACTGGTACTACTACAGTGGTAGGAATATTCATCTTCTTTGTGTGGTAGCATAAACCAACTGCTTCGTTACCTGTTGCGGCTATAACCACTCCAATTTTCTTTTTGTCGGCTGGTAATTTTTGAAGAGCATATAGAGCTCCTCTTTCTTTAAAACTAAAAGAAAAAGTACTCCAGGCCATTATAACGAACTTCAAAGTCATCCATAACTTAATACGTAAATTTTGTTACATAAACCATTAAATAACGAAATCTCTGTTAAAGTCGACCTCTCGTTTGCCCCTACATCATAAGAAAATCTAAGATAGCAAATGCGCATGTTTCCACTTAGTATTTAGTGTTCATCTTCGTCCAAGATTCTTAACTGAAGGTGTAAGTGTGTAGGTGTCAAAGTCTATTGAGAACAGCGTAACGTATTTAGTAAATTATTTGTGCCAATTATGGCTTATATGATATGTATGCAATCTGTTCTGTATTCATATTTAGGATGACTGAGAATCATTAGAAGAAATAAATTAGGATTCTTTCTCACAGAAAGAATCCATAAAGACTCACCATCCACTGTGTTGTAAGAAATCTAGTTTATAATGGATGTATATACCAAGTTCTCGTTGAGTGTGTGCTGCCTGCAATCAAAACTGTTAAAAAGTCGATTGCATTTACAAAGCTATGAGTTTCCTTTACCAAATATATTTTTTTTTTGTCATCATATTATTGCTGTAAAATACTAGTAATAAATTACTGTAAGTGTAGTTTTAAACATATACTCCTGTGTATTCTAGGCAAATGCAGCTAGCAGGAATAGGCTTCTCTCTTTTAGATCTACTTCGGATGAGATGAACGATCAATTTTGACTTTATCAGGAACGAATTAGCAGAGAAAAATTGTTCGTTAATGTTGAAACAGTAGCTTCGAAAGACACTAAGATAATTAATCATTAATTTGAGAGTAACAAATAAATAGGTAGTACTTCAGCTTGAGGGTTTATAGGTACATCTAATCATGGGCACGCCATTATCGCGGCGGTAAGACCCGTTATGGAGGATTGGCTCGAGAGGCATCGCGGAACCCTCTCATGCCGGTTGACGCAGGTGATCACCGGGAAAGGATGCTTCGGATATCACCTGTGTCTGATCCGTAAGGAGCCAACGCCTGAGTGCCACCACTGCGATGGCCGGACCGTAGACACAGCGCTCCACACGCTGGCAGAATGCCCGGCGTGGGTCGAGCAGAAGCGTTGCCTCGTGGCGTCAATCGGAGTGGGTATTCTCTCGCTCGGTAACATGATTGCCGCCATGGTACGGAGCAAGAGTTCGTAGAACTCCGCCTTCTCCTTTTGCGAGCAAGATATGCTTGCAAAGGAGATGGCGAAGCGGGACCGCAAGAGGTTTAGAGCTCTCCCGGAGCGTCAGGCCCGGCAACAGGCCAGGTACCCGCAGACGACTCAGCCGCCGGAGGTCGCATAATGACCTCCGTCCTCCATAAGCGCAGGCCCAGGGGTGGTAGATGAGGCCATCTGTCACGAGGTACGTCGGGGTATCAGGGATTTTCGTTCCTAGGGTACGCCTGGTTCCCCGACAACTGATATCCGAGACGGCGTGCGGTTTTTGGTCGCTTCGAGTCCGGCATAACCACCGGTGGATGGCAACCCAGGGAATTTCCGCACAGAAAAAAATCAAGTTACGTCTAATTAGTTCCTGGTGATGCATGTACGTATTAATAATACGCATATTCCTGAAATATCTTCTTCATTTCATTCAAAGTATATTTATTTGTTCAGATTGCTGAGTATCTTTTGTCATTAAGAGATAAACTAACTTACCATGCATGGTGTTTGTATTATATAAGGTTTTATTGAATTTGCAGCTTGTACCACATCATCATAATTAAGGATTCTCGGATTATCGGGATCAGAAAATTCATCAAAATCTTCCTAAAATAGACAAAGTCATAAATAAAAAATTTGCATATTATGTTTTATATAAACATGCTGCCTTTTGAAGAGATTCAACTATTTTCTCTTTTTTACATATTAATATTATATAATCGATACTGATGACGGGCAGCAGCGTCATCAGATAAAGCGTTGTCGTCACTGCCCCGGGCACCTCCGGCGAATGAATTAGGCGATGTACATTGGATGCACTCTGCGGCTGGACGATCGCCTTGCAGAATTGGAAGCGGAGGTGAGCCATATAAATTGGCATATTTTTGGGTTGTCAGAAGTCCGAAGATAGGGGGAGGAGACGATAGACGATAGCCCTTCCGGGCACCTTTTATATTTCCGACAGGGAGACCAACCATCCTAAGGTGGCGTCGGGTTTATGGTCAATAAATCGATCAGAAGCAGCGTGGAGGAAGTTGGGAGTATCGTCAAGGGTAGCGTTCCTTGTCTTAAAAGACATAGTTGAAGCTCTGTCTCGTATCAACACTTCGTTCACGGATGTCATAGGCAATTGCAATGCGAAAGCGGTAGCATATGAATATTGCGAATCCAGGGTAGGACCGTTCGGTTAGGGGCGCGAAATCACCGAGGACAAATTCTGGTAAAGTTCCTCGAGGCCCAGAGGCTTTATCTGGTGAACACTTGCTTTCCGAAGAAGCCCCAGGACCTGGCTAAACCCCCAAACCGCTACAAAGAACGAAATCGACTTCATCATCATAAGCAAACGGAAGTGATCTTCGACTCGTAAGAGGCACCCTAAATTTTTAAATTAGAAGAGCGGATGCGGCTGATGAAGTCGACTCTTAGACCAAATTAGCCCCAAGACGCGGCTGGATGTGAAAGCTTCCAGCTGGAACGGAACCGGTTTGCCATGTTGGAAGTAGGTAAACGGCACCGCCGACAGCCTGGTACGTGACGTCCGCGAGGTGGGTTCTAATCACTTACGACCAAAGACACACTACTGCACGGATGGCGTAGTGGTTGAATTGGTCACCTCACCCCTTCCTACTGCGCTGAGTGTTGTGGGTCCGATCCCCACATGGAACAACACTTTGTGTGGTCCACAAATTGCTGTTCTGAGTCTGGGTGTTCTTTGTGTCCGTTTCATGTATGTCGCCGGCGACACAGGATATATTACTAGCGCGGGAGTTGTCTTTTTAAATACAAAATAAAAAGCATTGGCGGTAAGTCGAGGCTCATCAGGCACCACCGTCACCTCTTAAACAGAGATTCTCGGTGAAGTCGAAAAGTTTTATGGGGATATACACTTCGCAAAACCCGCCCACCCGAAACTCACAGTGCGGATAACCCTCGTGACCAAACTATCCGACTCGGCCATCATAACTTCGATCGATAGAAGAATTCGTCAGGGCTGGGTGGCATATGGGTAGCTTCGTCATATCCTCGAGTCGCCGATCCCCCCATTGATAAAAACCAAGTCGCTTAACCCGTGCGAGCCGAGACGTGGACATTCACCGTTGGACCGGTCCAAAAGTTTAAAGTCGCTCAGCGTGCGATGGAGCGTGCGATGCTGGGTGTCTTTCTATTCGATAAAATTTGAAACGAAACTATTCGACAGAGAGCTTGAGTAACCAATCGCACAGAGAATCAGTGCAGACTGATGGTCGCTAGAGCCGACATGTGCTAGAGTGGAGACCGCGATTAGGCAAACGTAGTGTAGGGCGCCCGGTACGATGGACCAACTACTTGAGAACAACGGCTGGCAGTGTTTGGACGAGGATTGCCTAAGACTGGGATGGTTGGCGCTCCTTGGGGGAGGCCTTCGATCAGAAGTGGACGGCATTAGGCTGATGATGCTGATGATTATATAATTATGTAGGTACTATTAATAAACTCAGCCTCAAATTGAATAGTAAACCGATTACAATTGATTTTCATTAAAAAAAACATACAAGGCTGATCTTATCATTGATGGCACATAAATTAATTATGATGGCCATTTTCATTTATAAGGATTAAAGGTTCATCAGTCTCTCGTCTTTTAAGTGTTTTAATTTGCCATATCTTCGAGATGGATGGGTATCAGGTATTACCAGAAGTTCTAAAAGCTACACGTCTTTGGCTTTGAAATTTAGGGACGCGCTGATTAACGTAAGTCCTCTGAGAATTTGTAAGAACAAAGAAACTACTTACGTTTCGTCGGGTCATTTTGTAAGTAAGGTAGTTATTTGGATATTATGTATTTATGAATAAAAGGAAGGTACTATTGTATGTGTAGGTTGATGTAGCTAAGTAAAATGACAGCTTAGTTGAAGTTTTTGTCTTTTCTCTATAACTAAATACTGCATCTATGGAGGCTTTACGTTTTCTGAAAATACAAAGCATAAGAAGCGTTAAATCTATTCATAGGTATTATATGTCTATTGAAATATTCAAAATATTGTTAGAAAAACCAATATAAACAAGTTTTATTCCATCCCGTATCGTGTGTGTATATATTATTTGTTTCTTTTTTTTATATGTCCGTCTTACACCTTTTTTTTTTGTCAGTGCAGAAATCCCCTCGGATACACCGGTGGTTATGTCGGGCATGAACCGCCGGGGAACCAGGGCCCTAGGACCCCGGGCCATATACGGCCTGGAGATGGACCCCCTCGTGTCGTGTAACATCCATGAATATTATAGTATAAGAATGGATATATCGAAGGAACATTCAATCCATACCGGTACTGTCTGTATTTTACTATTTTGTACTGGGACACTACAAAATAGTAAAATACAGAAAAAAATAATAAAAAAATGAATAAAAAATAGTAAAAACCGTGGTCCCCTGCAACACTAGCAAGCATATCATTAAAAATAAACAAAAAAGTGTGATTTGTTTAACGAGAGTCCCGAACAATTTTGAAGGACCCACCTACCTAAAATACTATCCAATACATTGATACTCATTACAAATTGCCGAATGCACACATACAAATTAGGAAACCAGCACTGCAGAGAGAAGGAAAACTTGACACAAACCCTATACCAACCCGTCTGGCCAGCGTGGTATAGTAGGCCAAAACCTCCTTTCTAAGGAGAGGCCTATGTCCAGCAGTGGACTGTTAAAGGCTGTTGATGATGATGATGATGACACATACAAATAACAACAATTTAAAGACTTTAGAAATATATGGGATTTATTTTCAGTCAATAGTACAGTTTATGCAGGAACATCCTAATCCAGGTCCAAACGTTCCTTCCTAACGTAATCAATTCCTTATTATATCTTATATATAAAATTCTTGTGTCACAATGTTCGTTCCGACGGCTTGACCGATTCTCATGAAATTTTGTGTGCACTTCGGGTAGGTCTGAGAATCGGCCAACATCTATTTTTCTTACCCCTAAATGGTAAGGGTGACCCATTCCCAAATTTTTTTTAGGCAAAGCAACGTTTGCCGGGTCAGCTAGTTTTAACTATAAATCTGCCTACCAATGCGCGCGAACTTCTGAGAGAACATTCAAAAATTCGCAATGAAGGTGGTGATGGCTTCAACGGACTGCTGGCGCTGTGATAAATTGATGTTCCATGACCGCGTGGTTCGCGTGGACTGATCAGATGACGCGGACTTTTTTTCCTGTTGAGTTTTTAATCCCACCCACACGCCCACCACTGTAACTCCTGTACACCAGGATCCACAGCAGTGACCCACGAACACACCGAGTTATGACACTCGGGAAGTCCCAGGAAGAAATTAAACTGTCTTGGAACCCGCAACGAAATTAATCAGAAGAAAATTGGAGGAGTTGGAAATACAGTAAATCCACTTCCCTCCTTAGCAAAGCGGGAGACAAAATGAAGTAAAATGGGCATACACCCTTTTAAACAGGGAAGCACCACGGCCACAAATATTACGGGTCCTACGTGAGCTATGTTTGATTTCTATAATATGTATGGCAGAATCGCCTAAACGCACGGAAATTCACCCTAGTTGACACAAGATCCCCATAGTATACCGCCCCAGATGTCACCTGCAAGCTATTCAGCATTATATTACGTTTATTATACCAGACTACATTCCCAGAGGATATGATGAGCAGACTGTTCATAGTGAGTTAGGTGTTGAGCATTGACACAATGGTGACTCGACTAATTTAAATGAATAAAGCTTGCTCTTAAAGTTACCATGACCCGTAAGAAATTGAGCGACACAGTGATCCATCTCAAGCCATATCCTCGACAACCGTTCGCGAACAGATGGAAAGAATTGGTAAAGATGGCGCCCCTTGGATGATTCATCCCAGCGTTGTTGCCATTCGTCTATGAGGTCATTATAGACATCGGGCTGCTGTTGAAACAATCTTGTAATTTTACCGCGATCCTGTTGAGTTAAGAGAATTTTCTTCTGTTGGTTTTCCCATTGATTCATGAAAGACTATGAGAAGCAACAAGGTATGTTTTAAATATTACAGATATCCCAAGTCTGCCTTTTCTAACCTTCTAAATTGATTATGTATGTGCTAGATCTATACTATTATAAATGCGAAAGTGTGTCCGTTTGTCTGTCTATCTGCTACCTCTTATCGCTTAAACCGCTGATTCGATTTAAATAAAATTTGGCATAGATGATTGATTGAGTCCCGGGAAAGGACATAGGATAGTTTTTATCCCAGAAATCATCCTTTAAAGGGATGAAAAGAGGGATTGGAAGTTTGTTTGGGCAATCAATAACCGATGAACTGATTTAGATGAAATTTGGTGTAGAGATAGTTTGATTGTTCAGAAAGGATACTTTTTACCGTAATTATCGACACACACGTGGCCGCAGGCGAAAGTATATATGTAAAGATAAGTAAAACATTTTAAATTTAAATCAGTAGGTGTAGAGAGTATGTATTTGCTTCTGAAAGGACACACCGATAAATAAAACAATGCTCAATTGTTACTTCTGTATTCTTTCACTATATTGGGTCTCTTAAAATATCTTATCAAGTTAACAGCTATATAGATAGTTAATTATACGCGCGAACTTTATAATTTAAGGGTGGATTAGGATTTGGAATAGTTCAATTTTGCTAGAATATGGCGGTTATATAGAAAAACAGGTAAATATTACATTTTTTACATTTGTGCATAGAGGTTATTTAAGGATCTAATTGACTTAATTTAAAGCCAAGTAAGTAAAAATAAAGACAACAAAAATCAAATGATTCTTGTATATTACATTTATTAACACATTTTAATTTAAAAACGGAAGGAACTTAACTAGACTATTACCCGCAAATTTACAACTTACACAAATTTTTGAGGATATGCAACCAGAAGGCCAATTCTCGTAATAAAAGTTCGTCATATAAGGTATTTTCGTAGTAAAGTATTAAAAATCCAAAGTAATGTGATTATATCATATTGTAACCGAAAATTGAATCGGTAATCCGCTGTTTTTAGTAATACTTTACTGTTTTACTACGAAAATACCTTTTATAACAGTTGTGAGATCGAAAGTTGATAGGAACTGTATTGTGACCGAACTTTTATTACGAGAATTGGCCTTTGGAGAAGGCTGCCTATACACTAGCGATTGTCCAGGGCCTCAATTCTTTTATTTTATGTAAACATCAAGCTATTGTCTTCCCAGTGCACGCTATTGAGATGCCATTGAGACGCCATTGAAATCGGTTAAAATATCAGTATTCTACTAACATAAATTCACAATGTCAATAGACTGTCGATTTAAGAATATAGGTCACCAATGTTGATATTACAACATTGCCATACCTTGAAAATTAAATATATAATTTTCTTACAAATTTAAAATGTACCGTTTACCAAACTGTTACAAAGACTTCGACGAGAGGCCATTGGTCTTACATTGTTAGTAGAATAGGAAAAGTGCAAAACTATTACGACGACTTTCCATCGACAGATCTATTGATACAACATTAAAATAGCAGAATTGAGGCCCAGGTTAAATGTCCAATGAACGGAACGCAGGACGGACGCTGCTACAATGTGACGTCTGCTCCGCGTTTCCTTTTTGTTTCGGTATTATAATTAACAAAATAAAAATTTCTACTATTGGAATTCATTCTAAGAAAATTGTTTTGAAAAAAAATAACGCTGATTCGATACATTGTTGCACACAAAATAACATCATCCACACAAAGGGTTCTACAATTAGGATACCTATTTTAGGCATTATAATAAAAATTGTATGAGGATACAGACTGGACGTTGCTACAACGCAATGCATGGGTCACAATGTGTCAGCATTTGGGATGCGCATGCGTATACGTTCATCGAATGCCTAGACTGGACAAACAATGGTGTAAAGCAGTTCTGGATCGCACAAACTTATCGTTTATGTAGTTGTAACTTGTGTTTATTTCACGAAATACCCAGTTTACTTCTTTTGCCGTGAGGATCCTTACATACGCTGCCGTAACATCTTTTGTTGCTCAACAGGTCATTATCGAATACTGCAGTATCAGGATATTCTCTATCAATAATTCGTTTTAAGTCAAAAGAATGCTCCAAATTTCTCGATTCAACTACAATTTTCATCTGTAAAATGAAATAAATAAAAAAACTGTGTATTTTATTTTCAGGCTAGCAAGTATTTTTATATACTTTTGTGCTTAAACGAATATTTTATTCCGTTAACATCATACTCAGTAAGATATTTTTATACCTAAAAGTTCGATGTCACATATTAAGTCATTTTCTTTTTCCTTAAGCAAAAAAAGAAAAGACCAAATCACATTTAGACTTGTTTTCACTAAATTCAATTAGGGTAACTGAATAAAAAATAATAATTGTTTTTTTTCGTTCTGTTAAATGACATGGAATATGGACGACTGATTCAAATCGAAAGACTCCGAAAACTCAGTAAACATGTTCTAAACACTAAACGAATACTTCGGCTGTTTAATTATAAATAATATAAATTATAAAAATAATAATTATAAATTATAAATATTATAAACACATTATTCATTGAAGAATACCATGTTATGACATAACGCTATATAAGTGTTGGTGTAGTGTACACAGTGTAGTGTAGTGTCACAACAGCACACGTACACTTCACTGACATAGTACGTCACAATAGTTAAGCAAGTTAACAAAAGAATGTTAAACGCTCACATATTGTCAACTATAATCTAATTTGGTCTTAATCATGTAATAGAAGACAAACCTATTGCTGTTAACAAGGTTCTTTGTAATTAAAGATGAAATAATTGTAAGTAAAGTATAATGAAAGAAAACCTACCGGGTAAGATGGAAAGGCATTGAAGGATATCTGATATTGTTGGAACAAATAGAATAGTCGAGACGTGGACATTAACAGTTGGACCGGTCCAAAAGTTTAAAGTCGCTGAGCGAGCTATGGAGCGTGCGGGCGCGTGCATGCTGGGTGTCTTGCTGGTCGATAAAATTCGAAACGAAACTATTCGACAGAGAACTAGAGTAACCGACGTCGCACGGATAATCAGTACGCTTAAGTAGAAGTGGGCCAGTCATGTCTCCAGGCGGACTGATGGTCGCTGGAGCCGACATGTGCTAGATGAGGCACACGTAGTGAAGGGCGCCCTGTGGCAGGATAGATCGATGACTTGAGGAAAATGGATGGCAGCGGATGGATGATACTGCCCAAGACTGGGATGGTTGGCTCTCTTTGGGTGAGGCTGATGATGATGATGATGATGATGATGAAATCGCGGGTTAGGATCACATACCTGCACCTCAACAGACTGCTGCCGGGAAGTTCAACTCTTTTAACGCTTAAATTTATGAGCAATTTTTACATAAAAATAGTACATTTTTTTTTTTAAAGTAGGTACCTCAGCTCGACAGGTGTCGCCCTCTGTCCAACAGTTATCTATAAAGTGGGTAATTATATTGTAGCCTCTAGTTGCCAATAACTTCATTAAATCTGATGCAGCATTTGGCTTATTATACACACCGACCTGTTGACAAACATTGTAAAAAACGGGCATTCAAACATTCTTCTAACATATTATAAAAAAACTTATTTTCAATATTATTATAGGAATGGCCAAAGTCAAATTTAACAGATTACCTTAAACTTTACCAGACGTCCTTCAGCGGTCAAACCTCTCTGTAAGCTGCGATTGAGCATTAAACTGTCAACATTGCCTCCTGTGAGGAGACAGATAACACTGAAATGTAAAATTTAATACTTTAATTTAATACCAGATATCTTTGTTAACTATGTTTAAAAGTACATGTGGTCGGTTGTTTTTTTTTTATTTCTATTTTATAATTAGCCACGAGTACAACACTTTCCGCTTCCGTATGTATAAATAATTTTATATATATATTCGGCATACAAAAGCTTAAACAACCTTATAAATCTGTTGCAAATCTGCTTAAAATTGTAGGAGGTTTAAAATAGTTTAATACTTACTTTTTTTGTTTAAGTTCAGGTACAAGAAATCCTAAGATAGCTGCTAATGTGCAGGCTGCAGTGCCTTCTACTATGAATTTCTCTCTTTCTGCTAAATGTAACATAGCACGGGCTATCCAGTCCTCTTTTACGAGTAGCTAGAACATAACAAAAACATTAAAAAAAATGATCATTCAATTTTTCTAATTGATATAATTAAGGTTTTTTCACGAATGCGCTTCCTAATAAATTTTATAGATATTGAAATGCAATTAGCACCAAGTCACCAGTAAATAAGGCCTGAGACTAAATACAATAAGACTGGCTTGATGTCAAGTAAAATTACGTGGCAATTTAGCAGAAACACATAGCTCGTCATTACCGACAAAGATTATCACCAATCGCAAGGACCAAGAACAGTTGCGATCATCGAAATTCGCATCTGTAGTTGCTACACGTCTTTCTCAAACTTATATGAAAATTGAAATTTATTTTACTAACTTTCATAATTTCAAGTTAGAAAATTGCAGATGTTTATTTAGACTGCAAATACAAAATTTCTATGTATGATTTATTATAGGGTTTTATGGTAATGAACAGTTACAATAAAATAAAATAATGTCAAATAATATTAATAAGTAGATTACGAAAAATATTTATAAAAAACGTACCACTCTATCCAGCAAAGAATTTGCGCTGGCAAACGCGTTGACACCGATAACATTGACACTTAGTGCATTGCCAGCGAGGCTACCAACCGCTGTTGAGAGATTAGACACCGGCTCACCCTTCTCCAGTGACTTAGTCATTAAGCCCAGGTTCTCAGATTCAACACCCTGCGCATTTAAAGACGAAGATATAATAAGAATAATAACCACCGGTGTTTTAGTCCCCGTACCCGATGTCGGTGGCCTACTATTTTTTATAATTTTCAATATGTATTTTAAATTTTTTGTAAAGTGCAATAATGTTAAGTCTTAGAATAATAACGCATAGGAGGATAGTTTCATGTCAAAAAACCGTCGAGTTTGAGGCAAAAACCCAATTGATGTAGGCGTAAGTCATGCGTATTACTAGGCGATACGCACACTAGCGTACAAGTAATGTTGCTATCGGAATTAGATTTTCCCCAAAAGTTAGGCAATTGGCACTTGCACTCACAAAAAGGGTTTTTTTTTTTTTTTTGGATGAAAATCAGAGATAAGTAATACATATACTTATATACACAACTAAGCATTAAAAAAGTTTAATAGTAGAAATTGTTTTAAAATTATTATAGTGTTCCGACATAGATTACATCTTCCATAAATATATATTGTATGCGCATTAAAATTTATTATGACAACCTCGATAATGCAGTGGTAGCCTATGCGACTGCTATGAAGAGATCTCGGGTTCGATTCCCGGGTCGAACCAAATATTTGTACGATTTGTATATATTTGTTTTAAATACACCCAATACAAGCGTGTATCATGGTACACGTGGTACGCGTGGTATCATGTATAAGTACTTTTTTGTGTGTCGCGGTTTCTAAACCGTAAAACGGAACTTTAATTTTTTTGTATTAAATGGCTATGATTTTATCAATTACCTAATAAATATATTTCAATGATGTATAAAATATTATTTGTTTCTTAAAAAGTTGCTAAAACATCAGATGATTAATGGACGACACTTATCTAGCAAAACTAAAGAATAGGCTTAAATGCGTTCAATTTGATTATTCTACCGAATTAAAATCAAATTTATTTTATTAATACAGGCCATTCTGTGTCAAGGCTTCCAGTGCGAGTGAATTACATTAACAACCTATCAAAACAATACCTAGTAATAATAGTTTTTTTACGAAGACTTGTTATTATAGTATAGAATCCATACTTCTATACTAATATTATAAATACAAAAGTGAGTCTGCTGTCTATCTGTCTGTTACCTTCTACTTTACTGTTTACCTTACTGTTTGTTCTACTTCACGCTTAAACCGCTGCACCGATTCAGATGAAATTTGGTATGCAGATAGTTTGATTCTTTATAAGGGACATAGTCATTTTGAGCCACGGGCGAAAGTTACTCAACTATAATTAGTATAAATTATTTCATTTTAGCAAATTCTATGTTTTAGATATTAACTCTGCATAGTGAATTTATGCTTACTTACATAAACGAGGCAAGATGGTTTTTTTTGTTTGACAACGGTTGCAATAGCTGCAGCCAGAGCACCTGTGCCTATTGGCACTAGAATGGCATCGGCAAAAGGGGCTTGCTCCATGATTTCCAAACCAAGGGTGCCAAAACCAGCGAGGGCGTGCGGATGATCACGTCTACGAACGAATGATGTAGGATTTTTGTATCAGAATTAAAAGAAAACAAAGAACATACAAACATCAAAACATACACAGTTCACACGCCTAATAGCTAAACAAGTTACATGTGTGCTTTAGATATTTACTACTACTAATCACAATATTTCAATGTTGTTTCTTAGACCGGCCTTTCTTTTTCTCATTGCATACCACCTAATGCATTTTTAATTAATGTCATTTGTCTTATTATTGAAAACACTTACATGTTGATATACACCATTCCTTTCTGTTTTGCCAAGGCACGAGCATGTGTTATAGCTTCTGCGAAGGTGCTTCCGTAAAGAATTAATTTTCCATCCATACTATTAATTTTGTGTACTTTGGAAAGTGGTAGGGTAACTGGGGCAACTATAGTGGCAGAAATACTCAACTTCTTTGCATGGTAGCATAAACCGATTGCTTCGTTACCCGTTGCTGCGATAATTACTCCAAGTTTCCTTCTATTAACTGGTATTTTTAGAAGAGCATACAGTGCTCCTCTTTCTTTAAAACTGAAATTAGAAGGAGAGAAATTTAATTTGTTAAAGTTATTGACTGCTGGATATTGTTTACCAGCGATTACTTGTAGTTAATTAAATGCAATCAATCATGGTTTAATTTTTTATGCTGGACTTATCAAAAACCACGAAGGAAAGGCATACTAGTTCAGCGAAGTCTAGCTAAGCTACTTGCTGTAGTTATGATGGCAGTGATAGTCAAGGAGTCTTTTGGTGTTTCTCATCAATGATTCAACGTAGCTTGATTTTTCAAGTTATGTAACGCACACATCAACTAGTAATTTATCGAGAGTAATCTTGCAAGTCAAAGATTTCTTCTATTATGTTTTTGAACAAATTTAGGAAGTCTGAAATTCCGCACTCGATCAGCGCGGTGGTCTTCACTACGATGATGACGTGTACTGTTTTTCCTTTTATTTATTATTTAACAATGTAAAGGGAAGGTTATTTAGTATACTACTAACTTAATCGATATTTTAAAAATTGGCAATACTCTATAGGCACTTAGAACGCTTGGAAAAGTCTCTATTACTGCATTGCTTGAGCGAGAATCATATTTGTATTATAGCCTTGAAAAGCATTCACTATATTTTTGGTTAAAAGAAAACGTTGCAGGAATACCAAAAGAGGAAACATTAAGACTTACCACCCGCTGCGATGCAAGAATTCCAGTTTATAATAGATGTTTATTCCGAATTCTTCTTGCGTACGTGCTGGCTGCAATCATATTTGCAACAAAAGCGGTTGCATTAAAGTATTTTTTATTTAATTTTACTATAAAATTTATTTAGATAATGGAGATGACCATTCTTGTAGCTATATTATAAGTCCACTCGTCCACATATTCGAAATATGAACCAGATCTAGACTATCCAGTCTATCAGGTAGCGTAAAATGACATTGTAAGTACTGCAAAAGTAAAGTTACTAATGCAATAAGTAGTTTTTTTCTGTGGTATAAATACTGAAAACAGGACTGATGGCAGTATATGTTACTTTTTCTGGGTTCATAGGCTAAATACCACTGCGCTTGTGTGTAAAATTTGAAGTTTGTCGCTGAGTATTTTGATGTTGTTTTGCCCCTGTACTATTCTCGAATTTTGCATAGTATAATTAGGTAGACAGATTCTTCATAGGGATAAGTTATCCTCTAAGAAGGGATTGGAATAATGAAGAACCTCGTCGGTACATAGTCGGAGGTAGTTACTATATTATGAGCTTACCACGCATGGGGTTGCTTTAATATGTGGTTTTAATAATTTCGCAGCTTGAACTACATCTAGGTAATTTAGGATCCTGGGTTTTCTAGGGTTACAATATTCATCGATATCTTCCTAAAACAAAACATTGTATTTTATTGCAAAATTTTCTGTAGTGTTAGTTTTCTGTCTGTTAGTTCACTTTTTGTTGCTGCCATCAACGGTGTCTTGCTACAATATTAGTCTTTGAGTAGGTTGGATAGTAGGATTATTTTGAACCGGAGAAGGCTACTTATCGGATTGTTAAAAATATACACATAAATCTATATCACAAATGCATATACAAGGTGTAAGGGACGTTGTAACGAATACTGAAACAGTGTATTCAGACTACAGATTTGTCAAACCGCAATTTCTGAACCGGCATTGTCTGGAAACCGAGTTGAATCGGTTAGAAAATTTGTGCGAATCGGTTTCCAATGGTTTGAACCATATGACGAGCGAATGTAGCATACGAAAGTGATGCGCAACATGATTTGACGGGATCGATTAAACAACGGTTCGCCGAGTTTACATATAAGCGTAAAACTTGACATTGCCTATGCCAACCGACCGATGATTTTCGACTCAGAATGATGGTCAGAATACACTTTTTTTCAGTATTCGTTACACCTTCCCTTAAACCTGTATATATGTAAATAAATTATTTATATTCATTTATATATTAAGTTCGTCTTTGTACACTTAAAAATGTATTCTGCACCTATTAAGCTCAAATTTTGACACGATAAACAACCCCCTTCAAAGATTGATAATTTTCTATATTTCGCATTAGTGTTGTTCCTTACTTCTCATCACTGTTACCACTACAATACACTACTACTACACAATAGGGTACAGTAAAAGCGTGGCAGGGACAGCTATTTAAAAGTAAATTTACCACGGCGATATCAAACAATCCTTTTAGTGCATTTCACCACAAATGTGGTGATGGTGGTGGTTCCCACCAATACGTAGTAAGGTTACAACACTCAATTAGTTTTTTACGTGTATCTCATTGAATCACCACTTACTTTAACTTGTAACATATTGAGAGTAATGGAGTTATTTATAAATCTTTAACTTTTTTATGATTTTATAGGTTAATGGTGTGAATGTCAACTATATTGACGGTTTTTTTTGTAATAACGTTCTAGCTAAAGTTCTTCCAACATGGAGGCTATATCGAGTTAAGCGTGAGGTTTTATGTTTTCAAATTAAAATAAACAGAAAGTGAAAAGAAAGAAATAAACACTTTAAAAGTAAACCTATCTTAGACTGAAAGGGAAACTCGGCTGTATTGATCCTATAAATTTAATAATTATTTTCTTCAAACCACAATGTAATATAGTGAATTCAGTGTGCGATATTATTACATCATTAATCTGTTATTGGATAGTATGGCAAAGTACAATATTTAGATACAGATCTACCACGAAGAGTATACAGATTATTGTGTATGTATGGAAAAAAACATGTGTATGTTTTTATATTTACAAATATAAATCTTAATAAATAAATCAAAAAAACTAAAAAAATAAAAAATAAAACAAAATCTCAAGTCTTAATCAAGTATAAAAAAAAAAAAAAAAAAGAATTCAGTAATAAAAGTAGAAGAGTGTACTCACCATCTGGATGCCACATCTAGTTAATAATTTCAAGTTACATCTTTGGTTCAGTTGCTTGGATTCCCATTGTTTTCTGTGTTCGAGTGTTTTGCAAGTTCGTAATCTTACGCAAAATATATTTGACTACCCACTTTTATTTTATATTATATTCAAACGCTCAATGGATTTATTTTGTTTACTTTTACGTATGTTTTCTCAGTAAGTGAATTTTGTAAATTCTTTTGAGAAATAAAGATTCTTAAACCAAAAAAAAAAAAAAAAAAAACATTAAGGACTGTCCTCTTCTAAGCTTCAATTTCCTTAATTCGCATTCAATGCCTTAAGGGCACACACTTACACACGGCAGTCTGATCGCAAACTAAGCAGGGCCTGTGCTATGGTAGGTAGACTGCCTTGGAGGTGGAAGTGCTCGCCGAAGTATATTGGCGGATGGCTGAGTTCTGGGCGGACAATTACACTCTCCGCCAGTGGCCGCTCGCCGAGCCACGATGGCTCTTTGGTCGTCCCGACTAGAGGCTCCACGTGCTGGCTTTGCCGCCGTGCAGGCGCTCCAGCCGGTCATCATCGACCGGCTGACGGACCCTTTCCTTACGACTCACGCAGTCCTTTCCGGGCACGGCTGCTTTGGAAAGTACCTGCACTCGGTCGCTAGGAGGGATTTGAGTCCCGCCTGTCACCACTGCGATTGTAGTTAGGACTCGGTTCAGCACATGCTGGCAATTTGCCCGGCTTGGGCGCCGCAGCGCCGGGTCCTCATTGCAGTCATCGGGGGGGATCTCGCGCTACCGGTCGTTATAGGCTCCATGGCCGGTAGTGACAGATGTTTCAACGCGGTAGCATCCTTCTGCGAAGACGTCATCTCGCAGAAGAAGGCGGCTGAGAGGGCCCGGGAGGATGACCTCCACTTGGACCCTATTCGCCGCCGGCGAACCGGTTGCCTCATGCCGCCCTGAGTGTGACTAAAACAATTAATTAATTTATTTATTTATTTAATAACTTTATGCACATAAGTACAATGGCGGACTTAATGCCATAGGCATTCTCTACCAGTCTACCTTAGGGTGGTGTGGAAATGAGTGTGGAGGTGCACTACCCTTTGGTTGAGAATTATGAAGTGGACATAAAAGAAGTAATGTTAGCAATACTGTCTCGCACAGAAGGAGAAGAGAAAAAAATATGAGAAAAGCAATGAAATCATATAAAAATAACAACGTATACATACAAGAATACATACTTTCACATTCATATATATTGTGTTATATATACATACCATAATATATAAAGTATCACATTTGTGATGATTCCGCTACATTCCGGTCAACGAGAGCCCGCACCTTCGCCCTAAACGAATTACGACTGGTCGCCATTCTGATATCCTGGGGAAGAGCATTCCATAGAAGTACAGATTGAGTGAGGAAGGAAGAATGAACACACGCAGAAGTGTGGGCAGGGCATAAGAGTAGAAGATTATTTGTAGAGCGAAGGGTTCTGTTATGATTGGAGCACAAGAACTGGAAGGAGGATGTCAAGTATGTAGGCGAGTTAGGAGAGTAGAGAATAGTGTAGAGAGTCGTTAGTGCCCGCAGGTGACGACGCTGACGAATTGGGAGCCAATTTAATTTAAGACGAAAGGAGGAAATATGATCATATTTACGAAGATTAAAAATGAATCGAATGCAGTTGTTAAGAAGACGGTCGTATTTGTTGAGGAGATGTGCATTCAGGTCGTAGTAGCACACATCACCATAATCTATAACACCACTTTATGTGACACACAAGACACAACAATTCATAGGAGTAATTGTTGTGTAGTTCTAAATCATCATCATCATCAGCCCATCGTCGTTTACTGCTGAAATCGTTCAGCCTACCCAAAAAACAAGGGCCAAATATCCCTGTCTTAGGTAGTCCGCTTCCATCTGCTGCCAGCCATTTTTCTCAAGTCTTCGGTCAATCGAGCCGCAGGGCGCGCTATATAACGTTTGCCTAATCCTTTGTAGTTCTAAATAATTTAAAACATTCCTCAAGAATTTGGTCATTAAAGATAAAAAAGAACCGCGTTTGACAGAACGCCTTTATTAACTGAAATGTATATAATATATAAGTACATATTTAGCCATGGAAGAGCTATATTTGGGCCGGCTAAACTATTTCTAGGACATTCAAAGGCCAGCAACTCACTTGTGACTCAGTTGCAGCTGTCCATGGGTGGAGGTGGTAACTGACCATCAGGTGACATCTATAGTAGGGGAGCCCTAGTAGGGATTTCTGGATTTACTCGAGCGTGTCAGATTAACATAGGAGGAATACATTACACCCAGTTGAGTACCTCCACCAAACATGAGCCCTATATATAGGGGGGATCGTTTAGGGCTGCCCATCATATTAGTTAAAAAAAAAACGATCACAAAGTTCCAACAAAAACACATGACCTTGACATTTCTTTTTAATCTTGAAGCAAACAATGGAAGAAATTTTCTTTAAATATCTACATAATTTTTCGTAAATTTATTTGTACACACATTTTATAAAAAATCAAAATACTTCAAATCATCAGATTCAAAACACCCTGCAAAACTATCGTCAGATTTTTGGCTAGTATGACAGGGACATCAAGCTCAACCGTCTATATAAAATCTAACACGCTCGGGTATTTCGAAATGGCGATTTTTCGAATTTGCAGTTTGTATTTTCGATAATTCGCTACCAGCTTGTGTCACTTTAAAATCGTCAGACCTTTCAATGGGAGCATTTTTTGGCATCCAAATAACATATCCGCAAAATAACTGATGCGATAATATTTTTTCGATTTCCTCCCCTTTCATTTTTGAAAACCTGTAGAAGCTTTTCCCACCGCTGAAAGTGGAAACATTATACAACTTTTATTAATTCTATTACCTAATCTTTCAAATGCAATAGGTCCCCATGACGCTCGAGTAAAGCCCCATTTAGCATCATGGGCTCCCCTACTACTAGTTTCAAACTAAGCATTTGTACTATGAAAGCCAGATTGACTGATATTCTTTTTTTTTTGTAAATACATACATATTGTACATAGAAAACACGCAAACTCCGAAACAAATATTTGCAGATCATACAAACATTAGGTCTGACCCGGGAATCGAACCTGAGACCTCGGCATGCATACGCTACAACTGCACCACCGAGGCAGACAATACAATGCATAAAAATACAGAAACTAGCTTTTGTCCATGTTTGGACCTCGTGCAGAGTCTTTGCGTGCGATTGATAAACTCACATTTGTAATGTTAGGATTATCAGAAAAATGTGAAACAGAAGAGGGATAGTAAAATATAATTTTTATTTATTTCAATAGTTGATTATAATAAATCCGTATCAGAGTGATATGTACAGTGTTATAAAGGCCACAGCTTGGGGAAACATGGACACTTGGTAGTGCCACAGAACGGTACATCGGCAAATTGACATTTGTTCGGAAATAACTTCTCCATGACGCGCTTTAACGTACACGAGTGTTGCAAACCACGAGTTGAACACATGACAGTCATCTGGACAAATACAAAAACTTCATATTAATATTTAACATCTTGATTGAAAAAATACGTTTTGAATTGTTGCCACTTAATTAATTAATTGATTCCTTTAATTTTATTTTATTTTAAATAAGTGCAAACTTATATTTTGTTTATTGAACAACAGTAACTTGATTGTTGATGTCGAGTAAAAGTATGATTTGGCCGAACGCCTTCTCCGGATGCGGGAAAAACTGAAGACCAATTCTCGTGATATTAAAACATAACAAAACGAAAAGTGATTGAATTAAGACTGAGTCATGAATTGGCTGAAAATAAGTACATATTCTGCTGATTAAAAATACTTTCTGACAGTCTACTGTTGATCAACATTCAATCTCATAGAAATGTCAAACTTGACGTATAAACAGAGATGGGAAACGACTTACGTTTCATTCATTCGCATTAAAGTATCGCTTACTAGGACCAGCAGAATAGCGATTCTCACTTTTCTATCTTCGGTCACAATACGATATAATTACATTAGTGTCAACATTGGATGTTATATACTTTACTACGAGAATACTTTTTATGACATTTTTGTGAGATCGAGAGTAAATCTGAACTGAATTATAATTGAATTTTTATTGCGAGAATTGACTTTCAGAAATAGACTTCTGAAAATTTAGATATTAAATTTAAATCAAATCTAAGGAACTGTATAATTTATCTTTTAAATATCTTACGTAGGATTTAAATAAATCATCTTCTGTGCTCCATACGTTATCTGAGTCATAATGAATAATATTACATCCAACGTTTGCGATAATTTTCAAAACCTTATAATACTCCTTGGTATTATCATTCGGGAGCGATATCTAAAACGGTGATTATATTTTATAGTAATTGGCGGAGGTGTGTTAGTACATTGTATGAAACTTCAAGGTTATACACTATCGTGGGCAAGCTATGCTTTGACATAACTCGGAGTGGTACCACGGCTGCACAGGAAACTGGTGTTAAGTGCTGGGAGGGCCTCCCCCTCACAGGGCGGCAACGCTTGAGTTGCAGGTGGTCAATTACCATCAGGTGACTAGTCTGTGTACCGGAACACGGAGCGTGGGTAGGCCCCCTACAAGGTGGTCCGACGACCTGGTGTAGGTCGTGTGAAGCCGTAGGATGCAGGCAGCGCAGGACCGGTTGTTGTGAAGAGCCTTGCGGGAGGGCCTAAGTATAGCAGTGGACGTCTTTCAGCTGACATGATGATGATGATGACCCGTCTGCTCGTTTGCCCCCACTATAAACTAAATGAAAGGTGATCATTGGCAGAATTATACTTTTATAGATACAGATCGTCCTTCCACAGCTAGTCCGTGTTCTAGAGCCCGAGACAAGGGGATGCAGGCAATATTGGCACCGGTAACGATGCAAACCACTCTGTAATGAGTTACAATTATATTTTTATTTAAATTAAAGAAAAAAAACGTTTTCAACGTTATTTTTATAATAAATAGGTACATATATTGTACATAAAGAAAGTCTGAAAGATAATAATGTATTCTGATTCTTCTTGTGCTGTTACGGTTTCAGGTAAGTCCGTCAGTTAGGTAATGCTTAGTGTGTAGTAGTGAATTATTGTCAGTGTAGTCAAAATTAGTATATGCAGTTTTATATATTTATGCACTTACCAAATAAATAATACAAAGTGAAGCGAGCAATATAATAATGTACCTTTTATCCCGAAGTTCCGGCACTATGTATGGTTTAGCAAAAAGGGCTGCCAAAGCAACTGCACCTGAAACTTCTACGATATATCGCTCCTCTTCCGCCATTCGTAAAATCACCTGGTTCATCCAATTAGAATGGACTAATACCTGTAAACACAACGAACTATTTTTGTAAATGATCCAAGAAAGAGATTGAGGTAATTTATAGTATATGTATCTAAAATTAATATTGTGTAAGTATTAAGTACTACTGCTGTTTTTTTGTACATTCATGACGATCGGTTGAGTATTTAAGGTGTAAACAAACCACGGGACCGGGAGAGGTTTAGGACTCTCCCGGCCCGCCAGGCCCGGGAACGGGCCAGGTACCGCAGGCGACTCAGGCGCCGGAGGTCGCAGAACGACCTCCGTTCTCCATAAGCGCAGGCCTGGGGGTGACAGGTGAGGCCATCTGTCACCTTAGCAGAAGCAGGCCGGGGTGGCGGCGAGCGCGTTGCGAAGCGCGCTCGCTTCCAGGGAGCACAGGGAACATGGGGTTGTAGATGACCCGAGGTATGTCGGGGCACCAGGGACTTCCTTTCTAGGGTATACCTGGTTCCCCGGCTATTAGTACCCGAGACGGCGTGCGGTTTTAGTCGGTTCGAGTCCTACATGCCACCGACAGGTGGTATCCGAGGGGATTTCCGCACGGAAAAAAAAAAGAAAAAAAAAGGTGTGAACAAACCAATTCGCATTTATAAAATTTGTTAGGATTTTATTTAGGATTGCAAAAACTGGTAAGCTTACTAGGTAAATATCAAAATAGAGAAAAAAATCTTATGTAACGTACAACAACATAGCGTGCGTTTATAAAGAACATTTAGTACCTATTCTTAAGGAACATCAACCTGACTATTGTTTTAGCTACTTGAAGTATGTTTTCTCAGTTTTTTCAAGTATAAATTAATTAGTAGCACACATGAGGTCGCAGGTACACGCAAGCGAAGACAGACCTTGAATTTTTTTAACGCATTACAATGCGGTCTCGTAAAAACATTTTCGACAATATGTTACATACACTCACGCGTATAACACGGAAAAGGTAAGCAGAGGCTTCTTGAGTCTACATTTTGTCAACTATAAATTAAGTATCACTGTCCTATAGTAAGAGCAAGTCTACTGTCACTTGGGCACCATAGAAATTAGATAAGAAAATTGGGTGTATGTTACAATTAAAGAATGGAAATTAAAGATAAGAAAGTTATATTGCATATACTCGTACCAACGGATGGATTGGAGAATGTAAGGGGCTAGTGTCAGTTTCTGAATACAGATCAAAGGAAGCTTGCGGCAAGCATTTGTGACGTATTTACATGTTGGCACGTGCTTGTTCCCCACTACTCAATTTGACTGCTCAAGTTTATAATAGTTGAGCGGTCGGAAATCAACATTAAGTGCCAATGCTCTATTGGTTAAGCAGTAAGGCTAGAGGTTTTTTTTTTTTTATTTATTGCGTGTTTAGTGTCGCTGTTTATATTTTGAATAAAAGTATGTCAAGCCAAAGGCAATAGCCGACACAACTTCAACGTCCACGTCTGCTATGTTTGCCTGTCCGGAACACACTAACACACTCGCAAGCGTGTAAATGGTATTCAAGCGTTTGTAAAGGCTTGAAGCTTGTGGAAGTTTGCCAGCCTCGGCAAGCTTGTAAACTAGGCTTTATATGATTTTAAGCACTTAATTAATCACAAATTAAGTAAAGTTTAAGTAATTAAATATTGTTAAGTAATGAATTAATTTAGTAGCTTAAAACATACCATTTTGTCAATGAGAGAGCGTGCTGTATGAAACGCATTATATCCAGCAGTTGGCACAGCAAGCGGTGCAGTTATGCTACATTCTGTTGCATACGGCTTTTCATTATCCATTGCTTTAAAAAAACAACAGCTTTCGTATGACTCCACACCCTGGTAACAGAATATATAAATTAAAATGTCGTATACATTTACAATAAACAACGTTATCATACAGTCAAAAACTAGTTTGTATCTAACAGGTCATGAGTTTATCAAAACCTCACGTTTTAATTGATAAAACACTCGTATATTACCGATCAAGTATTCTTCTTATTATAGTTCGATTTTCTATCGATTTGTAATTGTAGTTAATTTGATCATTAGTATTATTATGTTGGGTATTTGTGTTTGAATTTAATATTTTATTTGGTACTTTATACGTCTACTCGTGTGCGCCCATATGATTTTATTGAATTAGTGGTATTTTTTGATAAAAAATGGAAAAAATTAAGGAACGAAGAAAACAATAATTTATCATGATTTAAGGAGCTTGAGTCGGTAAAGAAATTATTTATAATTTATGCACGCATTGGTTGCCTTTACTTTGTAGTTTGGTGTAATTTACTTAAAGTCTAATTTTAAGTGTATTGCAATAAAGTACTCTTCGTTAATGAATTTTAATTATTTATGTGTAAACAATCAGAGAAAGTTACATAAATCAGTGTGTCAGGCTTGAGAGTTTTGACTACTGTAGCTATGCCAGCCAGTAATCCACCACCACCAACAGGGATGAGAATCGCATCTATGTTAGGCAACTGTTCCATTAATTCAATACCGATGGAGCCCGCGCCAGCAATTACGTGCGGATGGTCATATCTAAAACATTATACATATATATCAGTATTGCAGTTCGTAATATTTATCGTTGTACTTAATTCAACAAAAGTGTGTTAAAAAAGGTTTTTATTGTAAACGTACATTTTATGGGCACATGTCATATCTCTGTTCATGATAAATTAAAAAATTTGTTTTGTGTTTTTCGATAGAATCATAACTGTTTACATTGTGCTGGGCATTAAACAATATATGTTGTCATAAGTGCATTACTTGTAGCCCATTTATTAAACAACAATTGTTTATAGAAAATACCAAAAACTATATTCTTTAAACAAAGTAATACTTTAAAAGTAATGCTTGAAAAGGCTGATGAACGAAGTAAAGGCAGTAACGATTTACCGTTGGGCTCTATTGTCTCTGTCTAGTAATGAGTCTGTACTATATGTTTTTGAAACGATATAATATTATTTTTTGTTTAGTAACGTTACCGTTTAATAGTTTTCTTTCTATCTTCGGCAAAGTTTTATCTTACTATTGTTAATACAATACAATTGAATTATGATCGAATTTCAACCTCTGAGTTGCGGCCACTGATTCTTACAAATGTATATTTCCAATATTTATTATTTACGATTACCCATTGATGTAAGTGCCAGCGCCGTGTTGCTTAATTAAATTGAATGCTTCTAGCCTGGCTTCTTCCAGATTTTGTCCAGAAATCACTACTTTTGCACCATAATCTTGTGTTCTTCTCACCGCGTCAACGCTTGTTTTGATGGGTAAGACAACAGTTACTTTAATACCCTTTTTCTTGCCAACATGCGCTAAGGCCTGCAATATTTATATAAATTACTATAGCACCTTGGTTATAAATAACTGAAGGTGCAGTGGACCAAACTGGTGCAATGGCTACTATGCGAAGAATCTGGTTCCAGTGTGTCGTGAATGAGAAAAGATCTCAGGTTATTTTGTGATATTAAAAGATAAAAGAAAGATACAAAAATCTGCATAGCACCCCTACTTGTTGACTTAGTTATAATTTTCTTGGGAATTTGGGTTTTGATAATTCTCCAGCAGTATTCTGCTACCATTAAAATCAAACACGCACACACACACATTTCTGGTAAATAAAAAATACGTAAAGTTCTAAAAAAGCTCTAAATTTGATCACAACTGTTTGTAAGACTTGTGGATATTGGTCATAATTATATTTCTTTCGACTTATACTTTTTCTTATTTTGAATTACCATTCCCCAATTTCCAATAGACGCAGTATAGACACCATCGGCACGTTCTTCATCAGATAACATGTATAAAGCGTAAATTGCGCTCCGTTCGTGAAAACTGTCAACAAAATATGGATAGAAGTAAGTAGATATCTAAGTATAATTATCTCATAATATTTCTACGAAATTGAGCAGTTTCGTAAGAGCCGACTAAGGGAGCAAACTAAGCAGGACAACAGCACTGTAAAGAGAAGGAAAACTTGATACAAACCCTATACCAACCCGTCTGGCCAGCGTGGTATAGTAGGCCAAAACCTCCTTTCTAAGGAGGGGCCTATGTCCAGCAGTGGACTAGTATAGGCTGTTGATGAGCAGTTTCTAATCCTAGCCTATTCGTACTTTTTATAAAGTATATACTTATACTTAATACTTTTTGTAAAACCATCCACAAAGTAGTCAAATTAGAAAATATTTTAATAAACTGTAAGCTGTAATATGTACTTAGTTTATTTCTATATTTACTTTACTTCAAATAATGATGTGATGTGTGTGATGATACACGTCCCTATGATGAATTTGAAACAACAATCCGAGGCAGTTTATATAGAAAATGCCGATTAAAATGTGTAGCTGTGAATATCTGCACTGACAACGCAATTCTTGTTATGTAACTCTTTGACACACAGCTCGTGGACTATTCATGGTATTACTGAACGAGTAAATCTTAGTTGCGATCCTTCCTAATTGAAAGTCTTCCTACTCATTTGTGGATCGAATAATTTAATTGTAGTAGTTACTATATATTTAACCTAAATACCCCCCTTACCTTCCACTTTCGTGTAAAGTCTCTATTTTTAAATATAATTCCATATCAAAAAGATTTTTACTTTTTGGCATCTGAAAGTAAAATACAATTATAATTCGCATAATAAATTTAAATTATAATACTAAGATTCATTATTTTGTGACTTTTTACTACAAAACAAGTTTGTCGTTGTATGCAATATTTATTTGTTCGCATTACTAATACAATCAACTGTACCAATTAACAAAAGTTAAGACGGAGAAGTTATTACATAGCTTTTTAAATATGGCGGTGTTGCCAAAACTGCAACTGATGAATAGTTTAGATAGAGAAAAAAAACTAGACTGTTTCATATTATCAGTCTCTTGATTACTGAGCTGATATTACTTGATTCGAGCAATCCTTTCCTTTATTAGATTTAAATGGGCAGTACTGTGCAAAGTACATATATATGTTTATAGGTAGTAGAATAAACTGGTAGAGAATAACCCATACTGCCCTTTTCTTCGTGTTGCGTTTGCGTTGTTATCAAACAGAAGCCAGCCGGCCGAAAGATTTGTCAATAATTTTATATTAATGTAGTAGTTTGAAAGTTACCAAAAGTGGAGTATTTTGTATTGTTTCTTTTATAACACTATGAGCTTTCACAACATCCTTATAAATTACTGATTTTGGTTGGTTTGGATCACACCAGTGGTCATAGTCTACTCTAGCGGTGTAAGGAACTTGGGTCTGAAAGAAAAGGACATTTACATGACAACAACTCTAAAATACCTTATATCCATATAAAGTTAATGATAAGACAGCCGATTGTTACCTTTGCATATTTGCAACTCACCTTTTTGTTTTCTTTAATGTGTGTACAATGAACACATAACAAATAAAAGAAAATATAACACAATATTTAAAAAACCCGACACAAAAAACAGTATAAAGCCCAAACATGACGTATATTCTGTAATTTTCTGAGGAGTTGGTTATCCCGCAGACTACTTGATGCAGCAGCAAGCTCCGGGTTACCATGTAGTGGAAATACGATCAAACTAAAAGTATAACAAATTTCAAATCAATCGGACCTGTGGATTTTAGTGAGATCCCTTCATCACCTAGGAAGTGAGCTGATGATTTTCAAAATTTATAGCTAAGAATCATCTCGATCACATCAGCTTTCGAACAAAAAAATCCGCATCGAAATTAGTCCATCCGTTCGGGAACTATGATAACAGACAGACACAAAAGAAATAACATAACAGCAATGTCGCTGGATAACACAGATTTCAAAATTCGCATTATCACCTCATTATCTACAGATTCCACTTTTAAATTTACTTGTAAAAGTCATATTGAAATTATTTTGTAAATTATAGTTACCCACGAAAGCAATGAATCTTGAAAACAGTTCCAAAGATGATTTTTGACGAGTGTACTACCAGGGTAATACTCGTATACTTACATAACCTTATGTAGCAAATAGCGATAGACGCTTCAGTTTATGTACCCTAATAACTTATTCATTATATGAAATTATTGACCATTTTCCTCCTTATTCAATCCCTACAGACTGACATCTATATGTATCAATCAACATTTATCTTTCATCAAACTACTTGCTATTTTAATTTATACTTGGAAATATTAATTTGTCATTACATAAAATACTGACATAAATAAATTAAATTGCAAACATTTAAATAGGCTGCCTAGCTTTCTGTTACTCGGTTCTTTGTATCTTATCGACCTATACTCACAATAGAGGCGATTTAAAGGTAGCAAACAATAGATTACTGTAGTTAAACATGAAAAGACTTACTGGACACCCTGTGTTGTTTTTGTCACATTTCTCACGTTTGGCGAGGACTGATGGCGGTAAACCAAGTGATGCTTTTCCGCATTCCGGTGGTACCGGTGGAGCGTAAGGTTTTTTTGGCATGTTGACAAACAGCTATTTTAAATTTACATGATCAGAAGAATTATATTTTGTGTGATTGAGCCATTAATTAATAATCTAGTTTGGAAATTGCGTTGTGGTTAGGGCATTACTATATTTTTTTGATGTTTACTTCATTTCTTGTCAACAAGTGTCATATATTTCGAAAAAAAAAAAAATTGTTTATTTGTAATGGGCCTGCCTGCCACACACTCGACGAGTGTCATAGGAAGTAGCGAGAAAAGGAGGCAGAGACGTAGCGTGGCAATACGTGCCGCACGTCATGTTCCTCGTCGTGCCCACCGCTCCCCATATTGTCGGTTTTTTGAGCGCGAGTTAAAGTACGGGCAAGGGCGAGAGGCTGGCCACATAATCGGGCGGTCGCAAAAAATTGCGAGGGCTATGACACAGATTTTAAACCCCCTTCCCTATCTAATACTATGAATACTTATACTTACATCGTTCTATTGCGATGAATAGATGTCATCTATCATCTCCGTTGGCGAGGACGACGACGATGTGTATTTCTTTGTGTAACATTGATATAATTAGCTAGCTTTCATCGTCCATTGTATAGCAAAGACAAATGACAATTTTGGAGCTCGCGGCAGCGCGAGAACCATAGCGATCAGCAGCGCGAGGAGCATAGTGTGGCAGGCCCATAACATGCGAACGAAAAGTTTATATATATTTTTTAAACCGTCTTACATTACCAATGTCTACACGGCGTGTTATTTTCACAAAATTCCTTTTGTAAATTTTTATTTGTAACTTGTTTTTGGTATGACAAAGAAGAAAGTAAGAGAGAGAGAGAAAGAGAGCTGCAGAGTAGAGTTTATGGTCTGATACTTTGATATTTTGGATTTAAAATGAAAATCTAATTTAGTGTCGTTAAAGTCTTAGTTATCTTTAAGGTACTTGGAGCCCTAAAAGTCCGACAAAAGTCTTCCTACAGAAATTCTATATTGCCTAGTATTTGGGTTGTGGAGGTTTGACAGTCGCTCCGGGTAAAAATTCGAAGTTCAGCCAGATCAAAGTAGACTTAAAGTCAAAACCTAATTTAAAAAAAGGTTTGGAGAAAAGAAAAAAATTAACATGTATAATATATAATTATGATAATATATGATATGATATGATAATTTATACATCTAGTATTATGGATTTGTCACCGCAACCACCACCACCAAACGCAGGTGAGCATTTGCTTTTAGAATTGGAGCTCTTTCACATTAAATGACTACTTGGTGTGTACTATTTTCCCTCCTCTTGTATAAATTTTTTGCCCTTCTTTGAATCATTATTAGATTATTTAACACCCACTTACCATGACTGTATCATCATGGGAGATTTTAACACATGTATTATTCAAAAATTACCATCGCTCTTCTAAGTCCAAAATCCTTATGCAGCGCAATTTTAGGGACATGAATTTCGAAACAGTCCGACAAGACGCTGCTGAAATCGATTGAAGTCTGCTGGTAGAAATGAATTCCATCGATGAAAAAATCTACTTACTTAATGCTAAGCTAAGCCAGCCTCTACGATATATAGGCACAGGCTTAAACATTTACCCTCACCAAGGGTAACAGACGATATAAAAGCTTTAATATCTAAAAAAACTGTAGCCAAAAGTAAGTTTAAATCTCGGCCAACACCTATCTACCGAGAAAAATATATTACCATCCGAAATCTCTGCAGTAAGGATTGTAGGAAAGTACAACGCCTATACATTCACAATTCAGTCGAGACCGGAGACCAGGCAAAAATTTGGAAGTTTCTCAAAACATTGGGAGTTGATAAGTCATATTCACATTCAAATTCCAACCAAATCGACATCGAGTTGCTAAATCAACATTTCTCTTCTTCAGTTCAATTTAGCCAGACCAGTAAGGTAAAACACCTTACAATATGTTTCCACTCTTCCAGCTCCTTATTACCCACCGTTCTGTTTTATTCAATTAACTGCTTGTGGTGTTGAAGAGTGTATTATGTCCATAATTGCTGTTGGAAGCGATTGCATAAGCCGTAACATGATCCAACCAATTCTTGATGAACTTTGCCTACCTACAATATGCCATATCCTAACTTACTCCCTTTTTGCCAGTACTTTTCCGAAGCCATGGAAAGAAGCACTACTTAACCTACTACCTAAAAAGAAGAATCCCACATCCTTCTCCGAGTATCGTCCCATTTCCATATTGCCTTTCCTTTCAAAAGTCCTTGAACGTCTTGTTCACACCACGTTAAATTTATTTCTTAATAAAAACCAACTCCTAAATCCTCTTCAGTCAGGTTTTCGTGCCGGTCATAGTACGGCAAGTGCGTTGATCAATGTTATTGACGACATCCGGCTTGGAATGGAAAATAGAAAACTCACAGTTCCTACAGTCCAGTCCTTACTGGACTTTAGCAATGCTTTTAAAAGTGTAGATTTTCACATCTTGCTGGCCATATTGCGCTCTATTAACATATCTCCAACAGTAATTGGTTTCAAACCCAACATTATTAACACGGATAGTGTTAAGGGGCTTTTCCATTTTTCTGCTATCCAAGAGCCATCCCGATTTCGTCAGTACTAACTGCAGGCAGGTCTTCGGTGTAGTGACGTATTAATGTGGCTCTGGAGTGCTCAGTTTCGGGATCAGGTCGAGATGCATGCGAAGCGTTTAACGGGCCATAGAAGTTTTCCACTTCCAAAAGGACTGCCGGCTTCGAAACAACGACTTCTCCACTTGTTGTGGTCAACTTTGTCAGGTGGCTTCTTCCAAGAGATTGTACGAACACTTAAAAGAGGTGATATAGTACATGGCAAATAAATAAAAAAAAATGCATTTTATCACACTATTACTCAAGGTAGCTGGGTTCTTATAATACAACAAGCTACGTAACTATTGGGTATAATTTTCCGCTTCAAATAGCTACTTGCACTAGTTCCATGAATGGAACATGTTGCAAAAGTTCCACGTGCAACTGGCTAAATGTTACTACTGGGAATAAATAAACAAAAAAAAAACATTTAGTAGTAGTGTAATTTGGTAGTGCGATGGGTCAGAAGTCATTATTAAGAAATGCTACTACCACTGGACCAAAAATATCTGGCGAAATGCAAAAAATGCTCAGCATCACAACTTTAGAACAAAGAACCTTTAAATAATGATTGGTGTTATTGGCTTTCCCCGAGACAATGTCATGCCCGACACATGTCTATTGTGCCGTCTTTCAGGATATACCTCCGATAATTAATCGTCATTTCAAATTCATCAGTAATTGCAAAGACAAAATCTTCAGTTTCTCCGAAGAGGTCTCCGAATCGTAGTCAGAATACAGACGCCAGTTGATCTACCATTCCATATCTTCCTACGATCTGTAATGTTAAGTACTGCAAGTTTGCGACAGTTTTTTTCATAGTTATCTAAGCGGAGATTCCGTTATCAACTGCTACTATATCCCTATACATACCTACATTAACAGAAAGGAATTAATTCCTAAGGTTACATGGCTCACGATTATGGAGGTTCTTAGCATTTAGAAAACCACGACCACCACTTTTTCATGGAGTATATATATAATCTCATCACCAATGAAATTGGATGAGATTATATATTCATGCATTCGGTACACAGTAAGCAATGTATGAACTTCCCTATCCAGGGCATCTAGTTCAGTCTGAACCCATCTAAGTATGCCAAAGGAGTAAGTTAGAACTAGTATTACCCAATCATTATGGGCCCTTACCTAATTACCACCTAACAAAAGACGATGACTAATAGGCACAATAATAAGTCCCAACTTTACAAGGAAGATATAAAAAATAATTTGATGCAGCGCAAAACCCTTTCATATTAATAATGCAAATCGATAAAGTTGAGACATATTACTATCCTACATTTGCACGCTTGCAATATAGTTTGAAAAAATTAAAAGAACTACCTAGCCGAACTAGAAAGTAATTTTCTATAAGATCAAAAAGAAAAATCATTTTATCGTAAAAAAGGCGTGGGGGCTGGATCTCAATATTTTTTTGTAAAAATATTTTATTGACAGATATTGTTAAAAGTAGTTATTATAATATTATAAAGTATCTTGAAAAGCACCCTACGCTTTTTTCGGCTAGCTACAAAAGCATGTTTAATTATTATTCTTATTATTTATTAAGACTAAAAAGTAACAAGTTAATTTATCACATATACTTCAGCACACGCCTTAGTACGTGGCAAAAGACACTGCCATATTTTTAGGTATGGAAAAAGCCGTTAATCCCGAAGGTAATGGGACAAATTACTTAAATTGCTGCATTGTCATCCATCTTTGATAAGTATGCAGTTTGAATTTAATTCGACGTTTTGAAGTAGGTCAAAATCACGTTCGAAGATCCTGATACATATATACACGCCAAGGTAATAAAAGCGTTTTAAAATTAGGTCGATTGGAGCATCATTATCTGATAAAAAAACAGCCTATGGTTTACCTAAGTGACTACCTAGGTGAATCATAGGCTGATTTTTGATAGGTGATACGGGAAATTATATTTTGCTCATAGTTCAACCTGGGTGTACAAACTAATTGTGCAATCCTGCAAGTGATGGAAGTGTTGAAATACAATAATGTATTTTGTTTTTTTGGATACACGAAGCAGAGAAGTACTGGTAAAGTAAGAAAAATCTTATAATTATAGTAAATCTTACAATCTTAGGAGAAAAATATCGACCCCATAGAAATCGTAATAATAATAAGACACTTATTATTACTATTCTCGGCCCTGATTTCCGATTCCAAACAATTGATCACATTAATGGAGGTACGAAAAGATTTTTACCTAATACCAGCTATTTAAAGCATCTAAATGCACTTTAATGCTATTAAATGGGATGAATAACCAAATGAAATAAGAAAACAATGGGTCTGAATACTTTATTAAAAAACGTTATAAGTTACATGGCTTAAGAATTAAATCTTATGCAGTTTGTACACACACTTATCACAGGTTTATAGAAAAGGGTCCCCCATCGTGTTTTATTATTTAATGTCAAATACTTTTCCCCTTGTTTACCGATCCCGGTTACCGATCGTGGTAAGATTTAAACAATTTAAGATTTGAACACGCACAGGAACCCATTTTTCATGATTTGAAAGATGCTTTTTATCTATTATTGATTGATTAGGAAACAGTTTAATGTTCAATACTTTTGCATGCACAGAGGGTTAGGTGCGAGGCAAGGACCGCGCCGGGAGGCAGGTGGATTTTGCAGTTTATCATAAATTGGTGGAAAGTAGCATTCCTTAAAGTGTTTTTTGATTGCTTGCATCATTTCTCTAGCGTGATCCCATCCTTTAGTTTCAACAATAGTTTTCAACTGTAAATAATAATATAGTGTTATGTATTTCTTAATTGGTCAATATATTTCTTGGTAATACACCTATCAGTTCTTTGGAATCTCCTGACAAAAGGGATGGAGTGGTGGAGTCTCTTTTTTTGTCCCGTATAAAAACGAGACCATCCTGTTCTGTCTAAAAATTGGGGGTACATTGCCAAGGAAGGTTGGGTTCAAGCAAGCAACCGGTTATAAAAGAATAATAATCAAATATTTTTGGTAATATTAATAATAATATTAATAATTTTGTTAATAATAAATACAATTGTGCAGAATCTAATTTAAATTAATCAAATTATTCTATTAACTGAGGTAGTTGCTTCGATATATACTCGTATGTTGTAATATAAACTGACATAGTTTTACTTACTTCACAGCTAAACACGTCTCCTTTGATCCAAGCTCTCTCAGGAATACAATCACGCACTGTAACACCGAGAGAAGCGAGTAATGTGCACAAGTCAGCCATGCCGCCGGGTCGGTCGACCACAATGACCTTAAATTTGATGAGCCGGCCCTCTGCAGCCATACCTCGCTCTAATGCACGTGCCAGAGTGGTGCTATCGATATTACCCCCGGTACATACACACACAACTCTGCAACAAAGACAGTCTGTATAATCAAATTGGATATTTATAAGTAACAACTAGTATTGTACAGCAAAGATGGGTTTTGTAGAAAAACTAGAAATATGTACGTTAATTTCAGTGTATGTTTGCTAAATGAAAATATGGGTGGTTTGGAAAATCTATTGGCTATATTCATACATGTAAAGGGGTAAAAGTAAGATATTATGAATAATATGACAATTAAGAAGGAAACTCGATTCAATTTTTTTTCTAGAAAAACATCACAACTATAATTTTTATATGCAAGTTTAATAAAACGATATTGCTAAATTTTCACAAATGAGTTCCTTCTTTCCATATTGTAACACAATAGTCATAAGTAGATTTAATAATATAAATGTATAAACTATATTTATCTACATCTTATTCTTGATCCGTGTGGTCACATTTTAAGAATACTGAGTGACACCACCCATGTTCATCCCGTGGGTGTGTAAGAGCCGACAAAGGGAGCACAAAAAGAGAATAAAAACTTGAAACAAACCCTATAATAACCCGCCTGGCCAGCATAGTATAGTAGGCAAAAACCTCATTTCCAAGGAGAAGTCTATGTCCAGCAGTGGATTGTTATAGGCTGTTGATGATGATGCTAAACTTACTTTTTTCCTTTCAGACCGGGAATAAGTCCTGCCAAGATGCTTGCGAGGGAGGTAGCTCCTGCTCCTTCCACGACATATTTTTCTTTTTCTACAATATGCATGATGGTACGTGCAACCCAATCTTCGTTCACGACCACCTGAGTAAAAGGCATCTTTGTTCATAAACGCCTAATTTATTTAGTTCATAAGATTAAACTAACGTACGATTGTAATATCTCATAAAAAAGTTGCAGCAGGAGTTTGTTTTCCAGTACATTACAGAAAGGTTAGTTCAAAAATATGAATGCATACATTAGAATTGAGAAGTTAAAGTTTTAATCACAAAACCAGCTTTTCTAATCATACTCATTACATTATTACATCCTTGCTTTCTTCCTTTGGTACACAATGAATTCAAATCAGAATTAGTATTGCTACTACTACTACTACTAATTTGAGATAGAGATAAAAAACTCTGTTTTGCCACAAAGTTTGATGACGTTTATTAAAATTAAATGCATTTTGATGTCGATATATGCATAAGTTTTATGTTAGAACTTCTTTACGGTGATGTCGTTACCAAAAAAAAAACTAGTCAGGCACCAGTCGAACTCGTGCGCCGAGGATTCCGTACCTACCCAGATTTTACATAGATTTTCGCGAAAATTTGTAAGTACCAAAATTTATCTTAATTTGCAACTTTTATTTTTTAGAATTATTTGTGCCTTTATTTGTACTGTAACACGTTTCTCTTTGCCCAATTTCGTGATTCTAGGTCAACGGGAATTACCATATAGGTTTTCGACCCAAAACCTATAGGGTACTTCCGGTTGACCTAGAATTGTCAATTTTGGTTAATAGCAAGGTCTTACAGCACAAGTAAAGAGAAAATTCTGAAAAATAAAAAAAGTTGAAAATTAAGGTAAATTTGGTACTTACAAGTTTTCGCGAAAATCGAAATTTGCCCATGGATATGGGCAAATTTCGATTTTCGCGTTCGACTTTATCGTGTTGATTCAGGACCTTGTTTCTTATACACCTACTAGTGACCATAAACCTTAGTATCTGGTATAAATTTCAACTTGCTAGGTTTACCCGTTCCTGAGAAAATCAGTGGTGACACACGGACAGACGGACAAGAAAGTGATCTTATAAGGGTTCCCTTCCCTTATAACCCTAAAAATTGTAATACACTATAGGAGGAATAAAAATATTACCATTTTATCTACCAGTCCCCCCGCATTGAGAGTATGAAAGGTGTTTACTCCGACTTTATTTACAGCTAATCCTTCTGCAATAGTCGAATCAATGGGTAAAAAAATTCTTTCGTTTTTCTTTAGAGATTCCGCCATACTGCATGTTTTATCTGTTTCAATTCCCTGGAAAAAGTAATATTTATATGAAATAAAGAAAGACTTAGAAAACTTTGACGGGCCTCTTGGGTCTAGTTATTAATGATCTTAACGGCTAAGCCAGAGGTTGTGGGTTCATTTCCCACCCAAGACAAATAATTGTTTAATGAGCATGATCATTTGTTCTGTGTCTGGGTGTTCATCATCATCATCATGATGTTATTTCTGTTTTTCTGGGTGATCAATGATATGCGTGTATTTAAAATACATTACTTGTTTACCAGCTGTTTAATCATCATAACACAGGTCCTGCCTAGTTTAATAAATCTCAAGCATTGGAAAGCAACATATTTTTTGTCGTTTCTCTGCTCAAAGTTAAGTTAGTTATTTAGTTTGAGTACAACTAGGAAAGACATTATGCATTATAAACGTCTGAAGTTGATGTCGAAGTAACCAGTACACCATGTAAAAATTGTAACTGTTCATGAGTTAGAATAAGCAGCAAGTTGACGGTTTCGTGCTTCTGTGACATAGAATAGGTATTCGTCTTGAAACTCACATATATTTCAGTGTCAGGTTTGAGATGTTTAATAGCTACAGCAACACCAGCCAAAAGGCTGCCACCCCCGCAAGGAACCAACACCGCTTGTACATCAGGTACTTGTTCTAATATTTCAATGCCTACTGTACCTTGGCCGTCAATAACGTGCGGGTGATCAAAACTGCAAATGTAAAAGAGGTATAGAATGTTAGGTAAGGACATATAGTAAGTATGGTCGAACGCAATACCTAGTATTTTTAATGTTTACTAACGCTTCAACGTATACCATCTGGACACTTAAATACGAATACATTATTATTCCAGTTTATACCGCTCTCCAAGCTACAAACATGTTTTTATACAACTTAGAGATGATTAAGGAATGGTTACCTAAATGTAGCGGAAATCATAAATTAAAAATCTGCACGAGTGGCTACAAATATTTCTCTTTCATCTCACCTGAAATGTTATAATCTCATCATTTTGAGATCTAATGTGATATGAACAGGAGTTCGATGTTATTCCAGTTTCATAATTTACATATGAAAACATAGTGTAAGAACTAGAAGTCTTACAGTTTTTGATTTTGCGACACAAACTAAGTTAGTGTGAACTAGGTAGTAGAATCCGCGTATCCGGAGTAGGTACCCAGTTCAACAGTGACTAAGAAAGGAGCAATTCGATTGAATCATATCAGTAACAGAAAAATAATAAATAAATTCTACTACTACGAACCTAAAAAAGAAACATCAACTAACCCGTTAACATATAACATATTTTTCTCCTTTGCCAGGACCATAGCGTGATGTTTAGCTTCCGCCATATTTTTACCATGCATCACTAATTTAGCACCCAATTTTTCGCATTTATTTACTTTAGTTACTGGTGCGAATACAGGCATGACGACAATACTGGGTATACCCATCTGCGTTGCGTGGAAACTGACAGCACAACCATGGTTACCCGCGCTGGCAGATATTACCCCGTTTTTCCTTTTGGAGTCATCGAGCTGCAAAAGGGTGTTACGCAGTCCACGCTCCTTGAAGCTAATAATTTAAGTAATCATGAGGTCATGTTAGGATAATTTCGATTATAACAAGCCTTCTAACAACTATAATACTATTCACAGTTGCGATCTGATGAAAGGCCAACATGTTTGTTATTTGCTTCACGAAAAGGGGGTCCAGTGGCTCGAGCATCTACCACCACGCACCCCGCATCCGTAACCCGCGTAACCCGCACGCTCCGCCGTGCACGCGGGCTACTCGGATTACGTACTTGCGCAGGTATAGACATGCGCAAGCACGACGCGTTCAACTGGCAGAAACCAGCGTCACGGTACTATTATAATACAGTAGTGTAACTCGGCCGCATGATAGAAATAAATGTCTACAGCCGCGCGGTACGTAAACATGCGTTAGGGCTGCCCGTCTCCAGCATTTTATTTATATTTGCCTACTTTCTGTTTCTATTTAGATTTGTGATTGTAAATATCCTTTTTATATAAATAAATGAAATACTTTGTATATTGAATAGGAAGTGAGCCCGCGATAAAAGCTGCAATAGCTTAAAAATCCTTCTATAGAATAAAAAAATGTGCTTTCTCCTTACGCGTTACAAAACTCCAATCCTTAGAAACTCCAACACCTACCTACTCAACTAGAATGCAAGAAACAGCTGACGAGTAAGTAACTTTTTATCTCAGCTTATTAACGTCTCCATAAATTAGGTACCTACCTACAACTCAAAACAAAAATTCTTTGGTCACCAATTAATTAATTATTAAAAAGCTGAACAGCTGACTACGAATGTTTTAAAATCACAACCCTCAAACATCTAAATCTATACGAATATTTTAAAGCTGAAGAGTTTGTTTGTTTGTTTGTTTGAACGCGCTAATCTCAGGAACTACTGGTCCGATTTGAAAAATTCTTTCAGTGTTAGATAGCCCATTTATCGAGGAAGGCTATATATCATCACGCTAAGACTAATAGGAGCGGAGCACCAATGAAGAATGTTTCAAAAACGGAGATAATTTATTACTATTGAGAGACGCAGAGGAAGTTTCGCGGGTCAGCTAGTATTATATATGAGTCTAGCTGTTGTTGTTAATACCGAGAAAATGAAACCAGTTTTTAGTGGTATATGTTGTTATAGTAGCAGCAGAAACACTTTGTGAAAATTTCGAAAACTATCTAATGACACACAGACGGTAAAAAATTGTTTCTAGTATTATTCATACACACATATAATAAACAAATATTATTAAAAATAAAATACCACGTCTTTACTTTGAATTATGCAAAGTAACAAAACACACATGCACCGAAGTTTTAACACAAGCGTAAGTAGGTAGGTACCTACCGTATCATGATTCATTCAGAACCGCATATAACTACCTATTTCACTCGACTCAATAACTTTCCGTTACTCTATTCGCTTTATTAATCCAAACACCTTTTTTTTTCGTAAGATAAAAGGAAATACTTATCCATTAAAAAGACACACATTATGTAGGTACCTACCTACTAGTAAGTAAAATTATTTTATAGTCTTACCTTTCAGTTTCCAGGTAATTTAAAAAAACTTATGTCTGGATGCGTTATTGACGAATTCATACAACCAAAAACAGCACAATATTTCCTACTCGTCATATTAACTGATTATTAGAGAAAAAATCGCGCGGTTATTGTTAAAAAAACAACACACCGTCCGTTCGACATTGCGGTACAGCCGTGATTGTCTGCGCCCCGAGCGCAACCCGAGATCGAGGCGCGTAGGTATAGCTCGCGTTTCGTCCGTTTGTATGAAGTTGGAGTACTGTATTATAATTGTACCGTGCCAGCGTGTTTTATTCTCACGGGATTAATAATGTTGGGATCAATAATGAGTAATAAATTAGATGTGGAACGATGAAACGACTTGTCGTTTCGTACTTTTGTACAAAACACACGGGTATTGGAATATGGAACCATCGACCTATAAAAATAAGCAAATAAAAGAGAACGTTTTAGAAGCAATTGAGAAAGAAATGGCTATTGACGCTCTCAGAAAAAATTATATTAATTTATCTTCCACAAAATTTATTAACTCTAATTTTAAAGCGATTACTTGCTCTACTTAGCTATTTCCACCGTGCACAAGCATCGTGGTACTGAACTGTGTCAAATCTGAAACGGTCAAGACGATACATATAACCCGCACGAGCAGCATGCCCATTATATCAACCAAACGTGCAAGTAACTCGTGCATGCTACTGACGCAAATAACCCGCGTCTTTGCCCGCTCCAGCTACTAGCACCGTGTAGAAGCACCCTTATGATCGAAAGAAAAAAATTACAATGTGGTTTTGTAATAAGAAAACTATTTTCAATAGTTTGTGTAATATAAAGATTTTTTTATTGAATTGTACATAAGATATTGCTTCAACAGGTACTCTATAAGGTTGAAACATTATGCGAGTGTCAAAACTGGTTGTATGTAATAAATTCGTTTATATTTATTTATGATTATTTATGATATGATATGAAATAATAATAATTATTTTAATAATAATAATTAGCCTGATGATGAGACCATGATGCTAAATGTGGATTTACTCGAGTGTGATGGGGCCTATTGCATTTAAAAATTTAGGTAATAGAATGAATAAAAGTTAAATAAAGTATCCACTTTCAGCGGTGAAAAAAGCTTCTACAGGTTTTCAAAAATTGGCAGGGTATTTTAAAACTGAAATCAAAATGCTTCTAACCGTAGAAGCTTTTTGATTTTTATAAAACGTGACAAGGGCATGAAAAAATATGTTGACATTTAAATAAGATTTCTTGCATTTTCTGCTCTAAAATAAAAATAAAATGTCAAGGTCATAGGCTTTTTTCTGGAAATTCGTGACCCTCCCACTACTTTACATCATGCTCAAATCGTCAGATTTTTTAAATACACAGTAATGTGTATGTAATTGACTTAATTTACCTTAATCTTACACGCTCGAGTAAATCCTCAAATCCCTACCCTACTACCTATTACCCTACTATTATTAAGATAATAAGTACAATGATTTATAATAAATTCCTTATTAATTTATAAATGAAATACATTTGTTATTTGTCCGAACTAGATTGAACCTGCATTACAAACACCTTCACCAATATAAATCTACATAACTACAATAATAATAATATTTGATAATCTACATGAGCAACTAACAGCATCAGTAGGTCAAAGTAATGCACTAAGGCAGCAAAATTTATATATATATTTTAAGTAACGCTCAGTTTGCTCATACGACAAAAAATTTAAATTATTTTATAATGTGTTTTACAGCTATATATAAAAAATTTAGCTCGTGATTACAAAATATAATAGCTCAAGTTGTTAAGTAGTTAAGGATAAAGACATAACTAGCAAACAAACTAACATTCGCATAATATTAGTTAAGATGAATTGAGACGCGTAACAAAATTAAAAAAAACTAACCTGCCCGTGTATTGGAGAAATTCCTGTTTTAAATATAACTCCATTCCAAGATCTTCTGACATCAATGCTCTCTACGGACACAATAAGCATTTCAAAAATACATCCAACTAAATACCTAAATGTTTCTCTTTTTCTAAGTAAACAGATCCGCCTAGAGAGATTTACTTGAATAATGAAATGTTATAGACCTATTTCAAGTTTAAGATTTTGCTCTCTTGAAGACAATCTAAAGAAAAAAGCGTCCCATTCTTTTGTTCTTATCTAAATATTACTCTACTGCAAATATATTATTTTGCTATGTGTTTTTAAGATGGCTGGCAGGAGCTGGATGCAAAAAGCCGAGGCGTGCAATAGGAGAGGCCTATGTCCAGCAGTGGACTGCAATAGCCTAAGGCTGATGATGATGATGTGTTTTTATTTTGTTTCACAAATTGCATTAAATCTATATTTAAAAATGAAAATGAATCGCCGAAAAGTATATATACGCATAACTTCCGTACGACTGCAACAAATTGGATATATTTTTTTGTGTTCGTTATTGTCAGGAAAATGTTTGTATAAAAGAAAATCAAAAAACTGAACGGATTTTTTTCTTTCATAATACGAAAAGCGTGTGGGTGAATGAGACAGAAGCTGTGAGAGATCTATACCAATATTATAAAGAGGTAAAGTTTATGAGTTTGTATGTCGGGATAATCTCAGGAACTGCGGCTTCTAATTGCAAAATTCTTTAAGTGTTGGATTGCCTTATTATCGAGGAAAGAGATAGGCTATATAACATCATGCTACGACCAATGGGAACCGATTACACTGCACAACAAAACTGCAACTTTTGTCTGATGATTGACTTTTATCACATGATGTTAACTAATTTGACGTCGCTGATTCTAGATATACCCACGTTTTTTTGTAACAGCTCTTGTTCACAAGTTATAGCTTTCACAATAAATTCGACGTATGACCCTGTTAATTTGCTGATAATAATATTAATGATTTCGTTTTTTTAATATAATTTATTATGGCGTCGTCAAGAAGAGTTTGTGTGAATGATCCGAATCATTTTTGTTGCATTTGCGGAGAGTATATGTTTAAAGAATACCGTTTGAATGTGACTACGTTCGTAAATGAGGCTTACAAAAATTACTTTGGTCACCCGCTGGAAATGAAAAACAAGCCTTGGATTCCGCAAAAAGTATGCAAAACGTGTGTTGAGTTTCTACGTTTGTGGACAAATAAAAAGTCAATAGATTTAGTTACGAAACGGCTATGATCTGGAAAGAACCCGTGAACCACCACGATGACTGTTATTTTTGCTTAAAAAAAACTGAGTGCAGAAAAGATAAAAGCGGGAATTTTTGACGGGCCACAAATAAGGTCATTAATAAAAGACTCAAATTTTATGAAAACTATGACAAATATTGAGAAAAAGGCATGGAATGAGTTTGTTTGGCTGGTACAAAATTTTTTGGGAGATAAGAAACATTCGGACTTTTCTCAACACGTGAAAGAACTAATGAGTCACTTTCAAAAGCTCGGATGTAACATGAGCATCAAGTTACACTTTCTTCACAACCACTTAGACTATTTTCCCGCCAATCTTGGGGATCTAAGTGAAGAACAGGGCGAGCGATTCCACCAGGACCTTCGTACGATGGAGGAACGCTATCAAGGAAACTGGAACGCTCACATGATGGCTGATTATTGTTGGAGCATTCAGAATAGATTCTGCCTTAACCTTCAGCAAGAAAATCGAATAAAAGAGTTTTTTTTTCCACTCAATATTAAATAAATTGCAATCTTCTCCAAATATAAAGTGTTTTATTATAAAAAAAAACGTGTCATATTTTTTTAACTAGAGCTGATACAGAAATTTCAATCACAGATTTGAAATCGTCATTGAAAATTGGACTTATCATATAACATAACCCAATCATCAGAAATGCTGTTGTGCAGTGTTATCAATGAAAAATGTTGAAAAAAAACATTCATCGTGGTTCTCTCAATCGTTACCCTAGGGTAAGCACGAGAGAACCGCCCAGAATAGGGCACGCCTCTGACGCCCTTAGAGAATATTGGCGGTCAGACCCATACGCGGTTACCGCACCGTATCGACGGAGGCGTCGTGCGCGTTGGCCGGAACACCCCCGTGGGATTTGGAGGCAAGTGCACGCCGAAGTACAGCGGCGGATGGCTGAGTTCCGGGCGGGTAGCGGCATTCGACAACCCCCGCCCGAAGAGATACGCGAGTGGAGTAAGGCCGCTTGCCGAGCCACGATGGCTCAAAAAAAAAGAAAACCACGAGGGAGCCTATATTCCTGTTGGTTTACCTGGCCAGTCAGTCTAGTCAGCTGGAAACTCAAAGGAATCTATACAAATAAATAAAATTGGAGTGTCTGTTTGTTATGTCAAAATAATAGATTTTTTAATGCTCACACGGTTATTTACACGATACCTATGCCTAAAAACCAGTTTAAATATTTTTTGTCGGCTGTCTGTTTGTTCCGGGTAATTTTCAAAATGGCTGGACCAGTTTTGATAATATTACTACCAAGTAGCTGTCTATATAAGGAGTAAGATAAGCTATTTTTCTCAGAAAACCCTATAATTTTATTCTTTAGATCGATAATGGCCACTTTCTAGTATAAAATAAAGTCGCTTTTTTGTGTTGTACGCTTAGATTTTTTTAAACATAGCAACGGATTTTAATGCGGTTTTCGCCAGTAGAGAGAATGATTCAAGAGGTAGATTTATATGTGTAAACATGCATATTATAGTAGAGAAAATCAAAGAATTTCAAAGATTTGTCAAAAACATGTTATGTGCGCTTAGCACACAACATGTTTTTTACGACAAATCTTCGAAATTGTAAACGTTGTCTAGACTTTACGAGATAGACCCAAATAATGTGCTAGTATCTATATGGCTATCTCCTAAGGATAACCAGAGTAATTATTTTAATCTTTTAAATATTACAAAAATACATGACGGAGGACCGATGTCTGGGTTGTTTTTAAATAGAGTGACATCTGCAAAGCTGACGTCACCACCACCACCACGACGATCCGTAGAGTAGTAAATAAAGACAACAGTAAATACAGTTAAGATGTATTCCAAGGTCTCACCAACAGTTTTACATAGATCCGTTCGGCTCGAGCAAGAATGACAGAGTACGCGCAATGCAGCTCGTTTTTATAGGACGCATTGTTCGCACGTATTTACATTTTGTTACGTTGTGTTGTATTTTTTGTTGTGTTTAGATAATACGATTCTTCAGGTTATGTCTTAACTATCAAACCTTCAATTATAATCCATTAGAATCTAATGTAAATCAATTAAATTATTTTTATTAAGTGAGGTAGTTTGTAGCTGCTCCGATATATATTATAAATATTACTTTACAGCATATCATTAAAATAGATACGGGGCGGGCCTATAAATATTGCATTTAAAGATGTCCTGCAGTATAGTGCTATCATAATAATAGTATAATTAATTATTTCACACTAACACCACATTAGAAGTATTGGTAGTATCTACATCCCCCCGTGCGGATCGCTAGTAAAATTATAAATCCTTTAAAAAAAACGTTGAACTGACTTCAAACAATACTAACAAAGTGCACTAAAAACCTAGTAACAATCGCGGTTGATTTGCTGTCATTATTTGAAGAGTTCCGTTGTCTGTCTCCAAAACTCATCATCAGATTTTTATGAATTGTAAATATTGTAATGTAATTGACTATTTTGGAATAAACCTCTTTCGAATAAGAAAATAATTTTGCAAATCCGTCTTTATATGACGGAACATACATAAAAAAAAATATATAAACACGAATAAATTGATAATCTCCTCCTTTTTGAAATCGGTTAAAAGTGGTCATTTCGGGCAAGTAGTTATTACTGGAAGTAGTCATTTTAGGAAAGTGGTCATATCCGGAAAGAAGTCATTTTAGGAAAGTTGTCATTATCGACCTAAAGGAAAATTTTGCGGGTACGCACCAAGTAGTCGTATAATAAAAATAAGAAATTAAGAACTTACTTTTAGACTTTCTTTAGACGAAATGTTATTGCAATTCCTTTGAGCTTCCAGCTACAATTACATGTTATGGAAACATAATGCCTCCTTCATTGTCATTTGTATTGCTTATTTTATATCCTTAGAACTACTGAGGTAAGTTAGCTAGTTAAAGGGAAACCGCCTATCGATTATAGGAATATCGATTAAGGGAATATCGATTAAGGGAATATCGATTATAGGAATATCGATTATAGGAATATCGATAATTGACTCAATCTCTACGAAAGGTGAACCAACAGGAATAGAGGCTTCCTCATCGTTACCTTAGGGTAACGCTTTGTTGAACCACGGGGCATGAGTCATCTTGCTTCAACATACTCCTTACCCCTAAAAACATTTATAAATAATGGTTCTGAGACGAGTTCAGACGAAGTTCAGATTTCAGATCATACCCTAAGACATAAATCATACCGTGTGCGTGGGAGAGCCAAGCTTTGGCATGCATGGGAAAGCTCGACCGTAGTGATACGACGACCTTACAGAAAACCAGTGAGTGACCCTGGTTTATTCGTTTGCTATTTTTATTATACCATAAAAAAACACACAATTAATAATATAGTATAATAACCAATTTACTTGATTATTATAGTTGTTTAATGTACGAGTACCAAGTACGTATTATTCAAGAAACAGGGGTAGAAGCGGGTTGGTAATTGGTTTTGTGTGACATAACAACGAAAAATTGTTTATATAAAACGAATTAGTTGTTACCTTGCATGGTGTTCGAACGATTTGTCCCATTATCCGTTGATGGGCTGCTAATATGCTATCAAAATCTGCTATGCGTGGATTGTCGGGATCACAATATTCATCAAATTCTACGTCCTAAAATATTTATAAAATTGTTTTGTTTTCTAATTATATATCAATAGCTGTACCCATGCTTCATTGTGGTTGTATTAGTGAGGAAGGAGGAACAAACTGACACAAAAAGTTGTTAAAAACAATCTTCGAAGAAGTGTACATCGTGTCAAAATTTGAGCTCAATCGGTGCAATAACTAATTAAAAAAATTAAAAGTTCTGACTTTGAGGGTACCGTTTATATGTCGATATATTCACATTTCCAAGAAAAACACAAACACAAACATAGACCTACAGTCTTAATCATCAGTAAAGTCGTCAGATTTGTTACCATTTTGGTTTATGGCCTATTCACCCCTGAATCTCGACCCTTTCAATAAAATTTACGCCTCATCCCTTTTTAGTGTATCGATTCGACCCTTGACAAGGGCAAATCGAATTTTAATATTTAAAATATAATTCTGGTGTATCGATTCGACCCTTAAATGATTGGTGATTGTGAATTGATGCTCTTAAAAACACATTTTAACTTATTTTGTGTCAACTGTACCTAACTACTATAAACACTTATTTAAAGGAACGCTTTGTTTGCCTCGGTGTCACACATATAAGATCCCTGAGGTCATCTGATATGTCTATGAAATAGAGCGCAGTTCATTTAAATATCAGGTAAATAAAAACTTCTTCCCTAAAGTCAACTAATATTAATTTAATTAAAATACTAGCGGGCAACACAGCCCCTATTATAACTGATTTAAAAATGAGATATTGATTAATATACCAGTACTTATATATATACGTACAGGGTTACTGGTTAAGTCGACCTAGAAACCTAAAGATTTTCTTTGACCAACATCTTAAAAAACCTATGACAGTTAAGTTGCAGCTGTGGTAAAAACATCATCTAATAAGGTATAATAGTCCAAGATATTATCAAAATTCATATAAATTAACTTAGATGAATGAGCGAGAGTATTAAGAATTAGATATAACCGTAGGTATAAACCAGTAGTACCCAGAAAAAACTTTGCTTCTATTTTTAGATACTTTCCTTTTCAATTCGTGACTAACTACATGTCAGCTTTTCTGTCTCTATTTTGAAGCTAAAGATACTAGGGGCATATCTAAAATGTGAGGGATCGAAATAGTACACTACGCCGTATATTTTAATTGAAGGGTCGAGATTCAGGGTGCGAATAGGCCATAAACCCTTTTAAACTGGCAAACTACTTGTATACCATTAACATTGTTTATTACATCTTGTATTTACAAGTTTTTTGTAATAATGTACTGATAGCGATGGTTGTTAGTGAACTGGTATGTTGCAAAAAGAAGCACAAAATACATCTTGCATTCTATCATAAATAAGTAAATTTAAATTGCGTGCCTGCTTTAATACATTTCCTTAGGTACAGATTAGTTACTTACGGTAGTGGCCATTGTGAACAAATTATAGTGTTTCCTCTATTACCAAGTGATGGCTGGATACTGTTTCCTCTATTACCTAGTGATGGCTGGATTGTTTGTTGTGGAAATAGTTATCACGGAGAACTTCACATATTGATTTTTTGATTGTTGGTAGAAAAAGGGAAAACAGTTTCTTAAAGTTACGGGACCGACATTACGCTGAATTTTTATAATACTGTTTCCTTTTATTTTTAAATTGCCTTTTGTTTTTGTGCTCCTGCAAAAAGGTTAGGTAGCATATTTGACTGTAACCAATTTTATAAAGAGTTTTATTTAAAGTTCTGTCTGATAAATCGGTTACACGCTTACAGTACGGTACGGTACAGCGTTCCCCTAACTTCAAAGTGTGTATTTGGTAATGGTAGTAATAAAACTCTCGATATAAAATGTTACTTTTAATTTTATTTAACTAGACCCTTCTGGTTTGGTTAATGGAGGCCAAGAGGCAAGAACCCCTTCTGTTTCGGACTGGTGAATGTTAAATATAACCATTTCACAGAGTTTTTTTTTATTTTTTAAGCCCCTTCGGGCCGTCACCTCACCAGGGTTTTTGGTATTGGTATTGGTTGTGGGCTTCGGTTTCCGCATTTAGACTCAGAGTGGTCCTTTATGCGTCGAGGATTGGTTGACTAGGTGAGCCAGCCAAGCTCCTTCCAGAAGCGCAGAAGCCTCCTGGGGCGTTCACAGGCTTCTAGGAGCGACTTTATATCAGGAATGATACTTGCCCGTTGTGTGGCCACTCCCTCGCATTCCAGGACTACGTGGACGGCCGTTTCTTCAGCTTCCAGACATCCCCTGCACAGGGGACTGTCCGTCGCATTGATTATGAATAGTTGTCGGTTCAGGGCTAGTTCCGACAACCATTCTGATTTCCGGTCTGCTAAGACTGATCAGTCTGCAGGTGAGTCGTGGTGTGACTTGATTCATCACCAGTTTGGACTGTCTGCAGCCGGGTGAGTTTTTCCACCTCCGGTTGTGTGCTTCACAGGTCCGTTGCCTGACCCAGCATCGTATTTGGTTAAACGATATGGGCAGGAGTGGGGTTGGGCCAGAGGTTGGGGTTGCCGAGCCCCTCCTTGCCAACTCATCTGCGGCATCGTTCCCGTGTGAGTTACTGTGCCCTTTAATCCATTGGAGGAGTACCCCATTGAATATAGCGAGCTGTTCCAGTGCTTGGTGGCATTCGAAGACAATACCAGAGGTCATTGTGTTGCCCTCCAATGCCTTTAAGACGGCCATGCTGTCGGATATTATTCGGATGTTGTAGTCCTTGATACCCCTTGACATGGCCGTTGTGGCATCGTAAGTTATTGTCACACATTCACATTGAAATATGGAACTGTGTTGGCCTAACGCTAGTGATATGTTTATATTTAGGTCTTGCGAGAAAACTCCGGCTCCAGTTCCTGACCTACTCTTGGAACCGTCCGTGTAAATTCGGACTTCGTTAATGCCGGATTGATCTCGGTCATTTCCATGTATCTGGATGTAGTATCTTCTTGTGAAGATATGGTGTTTTGGGATTCTATCGCATGGAGCTGCTATCACCAGGGTTTGCGGCGGGGTGGTGTGTCGGAATCGGACCGACTAAAACCACACGGTGTGCCACTCTGCGCCTGCAATAGGAGAGATCCGGCAACTGCTATTGTTAAGACATTCTGACCCCTCTTACCGCCTGTTCGCAATGGTGTGGGCACCACCTTCGGGTAGATTCTCCATTTAGGTGACGTTCGGCACACGCGGACGTCGCCTACTCGGTCGTCGTCGGCTGGCCGTTATGGCTATCCACCCACGGAGACACTCAGGGCGGCATGAGGCGGTGGTAAGCGCGCCTCCACCGCCCGGTTCGCCGGCGACGAATTGAGTCTGAGTGGAAGTTTTCCTCACGGGCCCTCTCCGCCGCCTCATTCTAAGAGATGATCCCTTCGCAGAAGGATGCGACCGCGGTGAAACAACTGTTGCTATCGGCCATGGAGCGCATGAAGGCCGGTACCGAGAGATCTACCCTCGCCAGAGACTGCAATGGGGACCCGGCGGACTGCGGCACCCCATATGTAACAGGTCTTCACTAGTGAGATTCGGAATTTTGGTGCATTGACAGCAGTTGTAAAGATAATCACGAATTAATTTTAGTTGATTTCCTCGGATTCCCATCCTATCCAGTTTCTGTAGAAGCAGTGGCGTGGAGACCGATATCAAATGCCTTGTCCAGGAATATACCTATTGTTTTCTTGCCGGCATCAATATTTCTAACCACATAGTCTACAAGCTCATGGACAGCATCACTCGTTGAGTTGCCTGATCTAAAACTAAATTGGTTGTTTGAAAGCAATTTGTATACCTCAAATATTTAACATGTCTGGCATTAATAATTTCAATTCCCTTTGTCTTTCATTTGATCTTTTTTCCTAATCTTATTTTTCTCTTAAGTGCCTTTTTACCTTTTAGTCCTTAATAACGAACATACTGGCACGCATCAGAACAATGTTGTGGTATATTTAATTATGCCTTTGTATTTATCTGTAAATTACAAAAGAGTGGCCATGAGTTTGTTTGCCCTTTATTATCTTAACCCCTTGGAAACGGGCGGCTGTAGATCAGCACAGGCATATCTTGGATTTTGTATAAGTATAATTTTTATTAAATTTATTTGCCTAATTATTTAACAAAACAGATATTGTTGCTATTGTATGTGTGTTGATCTACGATTTAAGAGTCTACATAAAAGACGATTTCAAACTTTTTTTAAAATAAAGGTATTTTGAATTTGAATTTGAATGATGCGCTCCAGGAGCTTGGAGATCAAGGGGAGGATGGAGATTAGCCTATAGTTAGTGACACAGACTTTATCGCTAGATTTGTAGACTGGTAGTACGACAGACTTGGAAGAAGTATATTGGGCCCAACTTTCTTTCTGGTATACTCATCTTTCCGATTTGACGCAAGCGCTTCGATATTTTTTAACATTAACTCTAAAGCCTGCAACAAGATTAGCCGTATATTGAGTTGGATCCGCTTTCACTATTGCCTTCAATTCGTCCTTGTCGTTCGTCATCTCAACATTTCCAGATCTAAAATGATCGAACCAATAATGAACCGTGATTATGTAAGCAGTGTTAGGTCCGTACATACAGCATGTTCCTTATTTTATCACAAAGCTTTTAACATCATATTCTGCACTTTATTTCTAGACGATTTGCAAAATATGAACAAAAAATATTCAGTGGTTTAGTAACAGGACATTTTTTTTGTTTTCGTAATTTGCAACATCATGTGTACATGCAGTCATAATACATTGACCTCAGGCGGCGATCAGCTGTAGGTAAGTTATATAAGTTGCCGCTTTTACTACACTCGAATCGAACGAAATATGTTGATTATTGCGTCATCACGATGAAGGACACGCGTTTTTAATTAGTTCATCCAGTAAGGACAGTCAGTCGGCCCTTCGCCACCGGCGAGTGTTAGTGTGTCTGTATCCTTGTAGATGCTCTCATGACAAATAACCGTAATAATAATATTGTTGTTGTTCATGAGATACATATTTGCTTAGAAAAGTTTTCTTGTGCTAATTGTTTTCGTCATAATACACGGCAATGGTGTAAACAATTAATGTTATCGTGTGCGCAAGACTTCGTAATGTAACAAGTCATGCTAATTTTATTTTGAAAAGCGACAATATTAGGTTCTGTGTGTAGTGTAGTGTGAAACTGAGTGAATTATCAGTCCTTTAATTTAATTGGGTTATCGGTATCAACATCCGTAATGCCGTGGGTGACCTTCACAGCCGCGGAAAATCCTGCCATGATGTTAATTTATGGGAAACTATCGAAACCCATCTTTTGCTTTACGGACAGGTATGGAGTCAATCGTGTATGTCCTACAGACTGCCGAATTTTTGTAAGGGCGGTACGAAGATTACGAGACAGCCAAAAGTACCTACTTTTTCAAGGAGTGACACGTACTGCCGGGTCCGAAGCTAGTCGAGCATTCAAAAAATAAACACGTGAATTAAATCGTATTCTTAATAAATAGATTTAAAAAAGCAAGTGAAGTGATTTGTAGGTAGGTAATAAGAATGTAAAGTTCGCCGGCTCGTCGCGGCGGCGGCGTCGCTTTGATGTCGCCGACATTGCGAAGCTGCCGTGTACAGTTCACCGACTCATGTTATCAATGGTGTTCTAATTCGGCAATTGTTTTATTGTATTTATTTTGTTCTAAATTTGCATTTCTGTATTTTCGTACTAATTTTTTTATTTTTTATTTTAACCGACGTATATTGAATCGTCTTATCTGGTGTTTCAGTTTTCGTTATAACCTTCATCACACAGTGTATATGAAAATTGTACGAATTTTCAGTTTATCCATGGCGTCAAAAACTACCACAATTTTACAAAAATAAAACACAATATAAAACAAATGACTCAATTTTAAATTAAAATAACATGGGTCTCGGGCCCTCGGACTGTCACCCCACCGGGGTTTGCGTAGGGGTGGTGTGTCGGAATCGGACCGACTAAAATCACACGGTGTGCCACTCTGCGCTTGTAATAGGAGGGAGCCAGGAACCTGGTAAGCCTTTGCTAAGGAGGGAAGTGGATTTACTGTATTTCCAACTCTTCCAATTTTCTTCTGATTAATTTCGTTGCGGGTTCCAAGACAGTTTAATTTCTTCCTGGGACTTCCCGAGTGTCATAACTCGGTGTGTTCGTGGGTCACTGCTGTGGATCCTGGTGTACAGGAGTTACAGTGGTGGGCGTGTGGGTGGGATTAGTCCCAATAAAACCTGGTAAGCCCGCCTCCGCCGCCCGGTTCGACAGCGGCGAATTGGGTCCGAGGGCCCTTCGCCGCCTTCTTCTACGAGATGACGTAATGAGGCCCGGTAATGAGGTCTGCTTCGATGACTGCAATGAGGACACGGTGCTCCGACACCCAAGCCGGCCAAATCGCCAGCGTGTGCTGAGCCAAGTCCTCACTGAAGTGGTGACAGGTGGGACTTAATTCCCTCCCAGCGACCGCCTCAAGGTACTTCCCGAAGCAATAATTCCCCGGAAAGGATTTGCGTCAGTCGGAAGGAAAGGGTCCCATGCTGCCGCCCTGCCGGCTCGATGATAACCAACTAGAGACTCCCATTACCAGCCCGTAATTGAGCCCTCCGCCGATATACTTCGGCGCGCACTTTCCAGCAGCGTCTCCTTTGCAGCAGCGCCGACCATCTTTGGAGAAAGAGTCTGAAATGTTCGTCGAAGAGCAACCCTTCCGTCTAGGATTGGCCACGATAGAGGCACCGTCAGGAGGACCCCGACGGAGCCCATGGAACAAGAGGGTCTCCGTCTTATTGAGGGCCACCCTAATAAATTACGACCAGCCCGGGAGGAGGCGACCTCAACGGGCTCAAACGTATCACATGTTTCACAGGATTGGTCCGAGAACAGACCCCAGCGGAACATCGCACGACACCAGTCCACCAGTCCACCACCATCTCAGTCACCAGTTAAACTGAGGTTGCCGCTGCATTTGAGAACTTTTTTACTAATATTCCTATATATGCCTGCCATGCAGAATCAATTTGAAAATCTAGTGTTAGTAGGACTGGGCTGACAGCTGGGAGCGATGTTATCAGCTATGCTGACGTCACTCTTTTTATAAACAACCCAGATATCGGTCCTCCGTCATGTATATTAACGCCTTATCTCACCTTGTCAAGGAGAATCACGAGATTGTGTCGTTTGCAGATGATACATCACTATTATTTAGACTAAAACGCACACTTGTTAATTTAACAGATGTAAACAGCACCATTTTGAAAGTGGTTCATTGGTTTGACGTCAGCAATTTGCTTTTAAATGAACACAAAACTAAGTGGATACGGTTCACTACGCCAAACGTCAAGCCGGTGAAAACTCCTATGATGATTAGGATGTCGGGTTAGACCTTGTGGTTAGACCTATGGCATTTTTAGGTATAACACTAGATTCTAAGCTACATTGCACATATTGATAAATTATCGAGTACACTCAGCTCAGTAGCATACGCAGTAAGAAAATTCGAGAGTTGACTGATGTTGATACAGTACAACTTGTTTACTCCAGTTAGTTTCAAAGCATAATGTTGTATGGTATTTTACTGTGGGGTAATGCAGCCAAAATTTAAACTATTTTTGTGCTGCAAAAGAGCATGCATGCTGCAAAAGTGAAATGGTAGCGTTTGAATATTAAAAATGCCTAAATCTTGAATTTTTGTTGACCATTCTCATAACAGAATTAATAGCCATAGAAGTCTAGGGATAAAACCGGCCAAGTGCGAGCCGGACTCACTCACGAAGGGTTCCGTACCATTATATCTACGTACCATCTATAAAAACGGCAAAAAAATCATGTCTGTTGTATGAGAGCCCCACTTAAATATTTATTTTATTCTGTTTTTAGTACTTGTTGTTATAGCGGCAACAGAAATACATCATCTGTGAAAATTTCATCTGTCTTACTGTCACGGGTCACGAGATACAGCCTGTTGACAGACAGACAGACACACAGACAGACGGACGGACAGCGAAGTCTTAGTAATAAGGTCCCGTTTTACCCATTGGGTATGGATTTTGGCTTTTGAATATTTCGTGGTTAAGTACTAACATTACTTACAATATTCTATAATGAACGACCACGTATATATGACTAAAATATAGACATAATATTGTCTTCTAGGTTTTTTAATTTATTTTATTTTATTTTGTATTTCAGCCAAAGCTATAAAAATCGATTATCGATAAAATGTTCCATTATACAATAAAGCCATCACGCATCCCCAGTCAATTAAACGTGATGGCGAATATGTCAGACATTACGTACTCAGGTCAAGTTAGTTCTTTAAAAAATCCTATCTTTTATAAGATTTATACAACAGACAGTGGTGTAAAGATAATTCATAGAAAAAATATTTTTTAAGTTTACTGTGAGTCAATCTTTTGAACGCTTAAGGTTAAGGTAAATATGTTTCTGCCATTGTTCTTTAAAGAAATTAACATAATGACAGTGGCATGTCAATATATATATGAAAATGTAATGTATGTTCATAAAAACAAAGGTAACTTTTCGAAAAAAAGTGATGTTCAAATACACATGATCTATAAATACCAGACATTCGAGGTCAACGTAACTAATTTTATAATAAAATAAAAAATAATATACAAGACCTACGTGTACACAAATTTAAGTACGCAATAAAACGTAAATTATGTCAGAAAGCCTATTATTGAATTGCGCATTACATACATAGAAGACAAGAAGGCTTGGGATGAATTTCTTAAGTAGAAATATGGTGTGAGATACTTAGTCTGTTTATAAATTTTTCATTTTTTTTATGTTTTCCTTCACTTTCATTTCTATTTCAACTTTTTTTTTATCTTCTTTACTTTTCTTTCTTTCTATAAAGACTAAAAGCTGAAAGGGCACTGAAGACAGTGCCCTTTCAGCTTTTAGTCTTTAATAAAGGATATATTGGCACACATCAAAACAATGTTGTGGTATATTTCAGAATGCCATGGTAGCGGAGTGCTTCCCTGATGCAGCCGAATGGTAGAATATTGAATGCGGTGTGGTGTTGGCAATGATCTCACCTCCTCTTCGGTCATCTATTATCTAACCTAGCCTTTAAAGTAAAGACTGAGTACGGCTGCATAGTTTAATAACTGTATAATTAAAAATAATAATTGTCATTGCACCGACAATGTGTAGACTTAACATTGACACTTAATGTACTCGTAATAGTATCAAGATTGGCATCAAACATTTCCATTTTTATAATTAATTTAAAACTTTTAGGATTATTTGCAAAATTAGGTATTTTTTTGCATGCAGACGGGATTGGCAGCGAGACAAGGACCTCGCCGCGGTGTTGGTAAATTGTTCGTTTTCTCTTTCAGTTCTGGGAAGAAGCAAATTTTGAAATGTTTCTTGACGGCTTCTTCTATTTCCTCGGCGTGTGACCATCCTTTGGTTTCTACAGTCATTTTAAACTGAAATCAAAATAATAATAATTATTAAGACTATATTACAGTAGGAAAGATCTGCCAGATTTCCGTAGGTATTTCTGTTTTTTTTCTGGTGACCAGGAGGGAGTTCTATCACATTACGAGCACCGTTTACTTTACTAAACCATTTCTGCCGCCCCCGAACGTATTTAATCTTTATTTTACGTGGGGTCATCTGATGGTAAGTGACGACAATCGCCCCTGGATACCTGCAAATCAAAAGCCACAAATACGTTCCCAGAATTAGGGTGAGGTTTGCCTCGGGTTTCTTCACTCATTCGGTTATCATCAGTGTTCTGTTAGGTCTGGTATCACTCCGGTTGAGCCGGCCCAAATATGCATGCTTCTGCTCATGCTCTCCTACGGCAAGGCATTAGCCAGTTAATTATTAAAGATACCCAAAGTCTGTTCAGGGCAGTTAGAATTACCTAAAAGGGCGTTTGTAATGTACTGGACGTCTGCTGGCCTAAATAAATAGAAGATAACTGTACATCTCTAGAAACGCGCCTATGTTCATTTATTTTTTTTGGTTATACTTACTTCACAGCTATACACATCCCCCTTAATCCAAGCCCTTTCAGGTAAACAATCACGCACTGTAGCACCCATGCTAGAGAGTAAGCCGCATAACTCAGCCAGGCCTGCCGGTCGTTCACGCACTGTCACCTTGAATTTTACCAACCGCCCCTCTGATGCCATGCCTCGCTCTAATGCTCGCGCCATTGTGGTAGTGTCTATGTTACCGCCAGTACAAATGCACACAACTCTGGAATAAAGAATTAATAAAGTTCAAAAAGAGACCTTACAGATTAGACATTAGCTGAAAATAGGTCCATTATTTTAAAGCAGCTTAAAGAAACGAATGTATTTATTTTCTGAAAATAATTCGAACAAAGTGTACTGTGTTTGTATTATTTTCAGAAAAGAAATACATCCGTTTATATACATACATACATACAAACACAGTACACTCTGTTCGTTAATGTTATGGTCTTGTATCCATATTTTATTTTTATTTATATGTAAAAGAGTATATTTTATCACATAACCTATAAAAATGAGTTTAACCACATAATCCCTAAATAACTTATAATCTAATCATTATGTACGTCCAAAACTATCTAAAACAATAAAGTCAAATCATTCGATGGCTTTTTTACTATATTTTAAAACTACCATACTACCACTTAATACTACCGGGTACTCTGCCGGCCCGGTGGTAAAAACTTACAATTCTAGTGGTATATGGATTGCCTATTTATAAATTGTATTGCCAGCGAATCTAATGATTAATGAGTTTAAATTATTAACTCACTTCTTGCCTTTCAAATTGGGAAGGAGGCCTGCAATGAGAGCTGCGACCCCGGTAGCTCCGGATCCTTCGACAACGAACTTTTCTTCTTCAACAAGGCGCATGACTGCACGCGCCACCCAGTCTTCGTTAACGACCACCTTTATTGAATAAATAACTTTAAAAAAAGTATCACCATAATGATGATATTTTTGTAATACACATTTTTTAATAATTGTTTTAGGGATAGTATTATTTCTTCTAGTATTTAGTTTGAAAAGAACTAAACGAGAAGTAAGTATACCCTCTACAAAAAATATTAAAAATAATGAGCTTGACTGTCTCGGTGGTGCAGTGGTAGCGTATAAGTATAGTATAGTCTGTTATTCAATATTGCTGGTTTACCATTTTATCCACTATAGGTGGTGGTCCTTTAATTGTATAAAAGGTATTCACTCCAACTTTATTTACGGCTAATCCATCTGCAATACTGGAGTCTATAGGCAGAAATACTCTTTCGTTTTTCTTCAACGATTCTGTCATACTGCAAGTTTTGTCTGTTTCGATTCCCTGGAAAATATGAAATGTGCATGTGGTCTCTACACTATATAAAATATGATGATAAAATGCTGTTAAAAATTAATTTTAATTTTAATAATTAAAAGTACATAAGTTTCATTTCAAGCTAGATAAACTGTAAAATTATCCTTAATGCCTGGAAACGCTAATTGGATGAGCCGAACCAGTAGTGCCGTCAACTATGAAAATAATAAATAATGGTTCTAAACTTACATACACTTCCGTGTCAGGTTTGAGATGTTTAATAGCTACGGCTACACCGGCTAGAAGACTGCCACCCCCGCAAGGTGCCAGCACTGCGTCTACTTCAGGCAGTTGTTCATATATTTCAATACCTACTGTACCCTGGCCCTCTAAAACGTGCGGGTGATCAAAACTGTAAGTGGAGAAAAGCAGATTTACTTAGAGGCATAACATATTACTAAAATGTATGGCCCACTACTTGAAAGATGGTAAGCAGTTTGTTAAGGTAGAAGGACCTAGACCTAAGGACCTATGCACTGATAATGATTAATGATTCACCTAGTGTTGTCTCTAACGCAAAATGCCTCATGTTTGCTCATGATTTAAAATTGCAACCTTTCTGTAACTGAAACTAAGAATTACATAGCGCTACAATATGATGTTGACGCTGTACTTGAGTGGAGTCAAAGAAACCAATTATCATTTATTAATAATAAATGGAAAACGATCACTTATTCTTGATCCCGTAATCCAATTATGCTGATGCACCAATGGGACGTGTCCTTTCAATAATGGATAGCAAATTAAATTTTCATGACCATATACTTAATACTTTATACTTAGCAGTGGACTATTATAGGCTGTTGATCTGATGATGTGATACTTAATACATGCAAAGTTTCATTATTAGAATGCCATAACAATTTTAGAACACTCAAGTTATAATACAAATATACAATGCCTATGTCCATAGTAAATTAGAATATAATGCAATAGTTTGGAGTCACCATTTGTCATTGTATACTAATATTATAGAAAAAAATGAATTGAATTAAAATAATAGTAGAGTATTTAGCGTGTATATAGGGTCATAGCAAACAAGTTAGAAACGAAACGTTAAAAATTGCCTAAAAATATTTTTACATTAATAATTCTATCAATGTAGAAATATGAGGCAATTTTATAGCTTTATAAAAGTAAACTTATGATTAAATACTTAAATAGGTTGGAAAGAAAATGCTGACATGCAAGATAGAGTCAGCGCAACGGAGAGGACAAGACACTAAAAAAAGACTCCAAAACTATTGTTTTAAAGACATGTTTCAACATGAGAAGAGAGCGAGCCGTAAACAATATGCCCGAGACCGAGACGAGCACAGGGGTCAGCGCAGACTGATAGATAGGAATAATTTTAGCTAACCTAGTGATGTTTGGAATGTCGATTTTTGTTGCCTAAATAACTACTTATCGCCGGGTGGTCATAATAAATCAAATACACATTCTTTACGACGTTTTCGATCGTATATCTACGTAAATTGTATAAATTCTTACTCAGATAATACGAAGATCTCACAGTTATGAATTCTATTACTAAATAAATTTAGTACCAAAACATCTCCGCTCATGTATACACTAAAGTAAAAAAATGAAAAAAATATAAAAAAAAATATTGCACAAATTCCAATGAAAGATGTACTCGTAATATAAAAAGAATAGAAAAATTTATTAGTCTAATATGCAAAAATATCTAACCCATTAAGGTACATCATTTTCTTTTCTTTTGCAATGGTCATAGCATGATGTTTTGCTTCGGTAATGTTGTCACCGAACAAAATTAACTTAGCGCCCAACTTTTCGCAATTGTTCACTTTTGTTACTGCAGCTAATAGAGGCATTACGACAATACTAGGAATACCCATCTGCGTAGAGTGGTAGCTGACGGCACAACCGTGGTTACCCCAACTGGCGGCAACAACGCCAAACTTCTTTTGTTCATCGTTTAGCAGCAAAAGGGTATTGCGCACTCCACGCTCCTTAAAACTAATCATTCTATTAGTGTTTTGTAATAATTTGATAATTGATGAGTTTCAATAAATACTTCATTGAAACGTTTAGGTTTTATGCGATAGGCGATAATGTTATTAACATTGTGTTGGGAACAAATAGTAGTTAATATTACAGTATTATTCGAATTAAGAATGCGTATAAGTACGTTTTTTAATAAGATTCGCTGCTCTAAAAACAATAAATAAGATAACAAGAGCAAATACAAAATTATTTGGTTATGAAAAGTTGTGACAAATTTTGAGTTTTAAACTAAATTTTTACTAATTTTATTACAAATAGAGTTTAATAACAGTGTATAACTTTAGGCAAGGTTTGGTGCGTTTTTCGTTTAGTCATTTGAATACTGTTTCGTATATCACGGTATCACATAAAACCTTTACGTAATAAACCATCTAAAAAAAAGCTAGGAAATTGGAATTTCAACACTCTTCATCAAAGTGCCTATTCAAATAGAAAATATCCTGGTTTTTTTTATAATGTTGACATACATATATATATTATAGAACAATATATAGTGCCTAGTAATAATAATAACAACTTCACACATCTCACACACACGGCAGCCTGATCCCAAAATAGACAGAGCCTGTGCTATGGTATCCGGTCTGCTTCTAAACTTAAATATTTCTAAATACATACGTAAAATTTGGGTAAATGTGTAAATATGTAGTGTAGGAAAACTACTGTTGTAACAAACCAATGCACGTGTAGTGTGCTAACATAGAGCATTGCATAATCTTTGCAATTACACACACATAGAGCAAAATCTTTGTTCTGTATAATTATGTACAGAGAACTACTTTAAGTGACTAGGGATTAGATAAAAGAAGAACATTAACTTTCCAGTGAATTGAAGGAATTCTTGTTTTAAATAAAGGTCCATTCCAAGGTTTTCGGACATTTGAGCTTGCTGCACAAAAAGAAAATTCAAATTAAATAATATTACATCAATATTACAAAGAAGTCTGCGAAATCAGTATTATTACCAAGAGGGGCGTTCGTACGATTTGTCCCACAATCCGGCGACTTGCAGCCAATATGTTTTCATATTCACATTTGCGAGGGTTATATGGATCACAATATTCATCGAAGTCTATATCCTATAAAATAAATGTGTATTATAACTGTCTAGAAGTTAGTTTAATTCTGTACTTGTTATGAGATTTGTGTTAAAAATATTTTGATTTCTATACACTTTTTAGGAAAGGACCTATACCAACCCGCGGTGTTGTATTGAAAACCTAATTTAAAACCTAAAACCTAAGTTAATATCAACAAACGCATATTAAACGTCAAGCTGCACACATCAATAAAGTTGGAAACATGATAAAAGAAAGCTTTTTTCTTTCGTATGGAGACCCCGACTATACGGGTTATAACATCACCAGAGTCAAGAATCCGGACTCGAGCCGATTAAATCACACGGCGTTCCGTTGCCAGTGAGTCTATTGCATCGGGATACCCTAATATGGGAATAACCGAGAACCGTTTCAGGACTGCTGCAAGGGGAACTATCAGTTTGACCTGTTATCTCCATGCCCGCACATATGGAGCTCGGAAATCGTTTAGCGCTCTCGGGCGACGGTAAAATAATACAGGAGTACGTATCGTATATACATAGTGTGAGTATGATATAGAGAAGCGCGAAAACTACTAGATGGATAAACCTGTGCACCAATACCTTTTATCAAATATAAGCAAACCGTTTGGATAGAACGGATGGATGGCCTCTGAATAGGGTCTCATAATTGCATGTATGTGTTCAATATAATTACGCATGTATATGTATCTGTTCTTCTTTATTGCACACTATTTCAGTTCACTACATTATAGTACCAATACATATATCTGTACATATTCATGATTACCAATTTCTGACTGACGTTTCATTTGGAGGTCTTATCATTCGCGTCGATCTCTTCTGAACATCCTTTTTTAGAATAATGCAATTTCGTTCTTACAGGTATAGCAGTATTGGGTATGTAAACGATGTAAGCTAAGAAAGTATAGCCTACATAAAATATAGAAACTACCACAACTATCATAGTTTATCATTTAGGAGTTTTCGGCCAATCTCAGTGACGAACGCGCCAGATCTTGTAAATAAACGTTTACTCTACAACCTCACTTATTTGCCGAAGGACTAAGGATCTTTGAGATTCTCGGATTGTATTCATGACCACTTACATCAGGTTTCATGTTGTTCTTGGAATTTTACTGCTTCCTTCACTACCCAATGCTGCTGAGCCTGCTATTAGTATAGAAGCATTACACGAAAAAATTTACATGTTGTTTTTTGTATTGCGGTAAAATTTGAAAAAATAAGTTTTGAAAGGTCGACAGCTCGACTTTCAAAGTCTGACATTACGCCTAACAATTTTGATCTATCATGGGGATGGCGGGCAAAATGATATATATACGTCTAATGTTAGTAAAAAAGTTAATAATTGAGTTTGAGATTTTAGTAACGTAATAGTTATATTGAATACATATCATTGTAATTTTTACGTTTTTATAAACAGTTTTTTATGCAATAAAAACTCCGTAATACATCTTACCTCCACCCTAAAGAAAAAATGGAAAACAAAAGGGAGCTTGTATAAGTTTGGTTATATGGTTATTTGGTTCTAAAATATCAGTCCTACTTATAAGATAAGAGATTATCGATACTTAAGAAGAAACTAATCGATATACAGATGCCAAATCATGCGTTATTGCTATCCTCACACTACTGTACTGTACCTTACCTTTAATGCACTGCACTACACTATAAAAAAAAGCCGTGTGGTGTCGTGGGACACCCGATAGGAACGAAGTTGTGACGATCGAGTAAAACTGATTCGACACGATTTCAATTACAACACATCACACACATCACATCAACAGCCTTTAATAGTCCACTTCTGGACATAGGCCTCTCCTTAGAAAGAAGGTAGAAGGTCAATTATAACGCCATCTATGAAAGCGGCTATTACCTACATATTTTTCAATTGGTTTCTAATTAAAACAATTTATACATTGGTAAAATCTCCTTGAGAAATGATTTCCTATCTATTCGATAGATGGCGCTGAATGACTGACAAGTGACAATTTAAAAATAAATACTGAGATAAAAAGTAATGATTTCCTATCTATTCGATAGATGGCGCTGAATGACTGACATAAAAGTGTCGTTACAACATTTTTTTTAGTCTAGCCCCCTTTCACAACACGCGATAAGGAACTTCGTTCCAAAATTATTTGCTATAAAATTTAAAATATTCAAATTTTTTAAACCGCACGATTACTACCGACCAAAATTCCACTAATTTTGGTCGGTAGTAATGGTGCGGTTTCCATCTTGCACCTTATTCCAATTTTCCCTCCTTACCCCTTACTTTTTCATTTTCTAATTTGCTTAGATGACATAAGTGACATTTAATATAACGAGATTTACTTACCTTTACGTTAAGAATATTGATCATTTACGATCACAGTAATAGGTGTTAAAAATTATTTCGTTTGCATCTATATTATATATAAAGAAATTAAATTGGTTGATGGTCCGTAAGAGTAGTGGTACCAAAGTTAATGCTACTTTAATAAAAAAAAAGTTTATTTCATCCACAACCGACTCAATGTACAGTGAATTATAAAAAATAGAGCAAAAATAAAACTTGTAGTTTGAGGTGGACTGGAGCCTAAACTAGGTCAATACCTTTTTTTTTTTTCGTGCGGAAGTCCCCTCGGATACCACCTAACGGTGGCATGTCTGACTCGAACCGACTAAAACCGAATTAGGTCAATACCTGTATTTCAGGACTCCAGGATTCACACCAATTGTTTTTAATATGACATGAACTATGCAGTGTCACCACCCCTATTCATCCCGAGGGTGTCGTATGAGACGACTAAGGGAGCAAACTGCGCAGGACAACAGCACTGCAAATAAAAGGAAAACTTGAAACAAACCCTATACCAACCCGTCTGGCTAGCGTGGTATAGTAGGCCAAAACCTCCTTTCTAAGGAGAGGCCTATGTCCAGTGGACTGTTAAAGGCTGTTGATGATTGATGCTGATGCAGTTTTATTAATTCTTGTCGACATGATGTGTGCAGATAGTAACCCTTGCTCAGCGCCAAGATTCAATAGTCAGAGGCCCTAGTATCTCGATTCTCTGGTATTAAATCTATGTTGAGATCGCCTATAATAGATATGCTTTACAATCCAGACAAAAGAGTCTCAAGAGATAGATTAACATGTTCTAAGTTCCTGTATGAGGGCGAACGATAGATTGCTATAATTGCTGTATCTGTTCCTAGTTTCAAAAGCAGACAATTACCATCCTTAAATGGTGGCTCCACTACATTGATTTCAATATTATCTTTGGCATAAACAATTACTCCATCATTTTGAAGTGAGTTACTTCGGGTGGTATAAGAATTGTTGCCTTCTATTTTAGGAATTAAGTATAGGGTTACAGGAAAGCCAGGTCTCAGTAAAGAGAAGAATATCAAACTCAATATTTATTTTATGTACCAACATCAAAATTCCTTCAAATTTTTTCGAGATACTCCTAACATTTTGGTTTAATATAAGTAATATTTTTGTTTGATTTTGGATTATGTTTTTGATTTCTTCAACTTCACAACTTAACGATTCAGACATTGATATAGCATCTATTTCTCGATTTATGTCATCATCCATCGTTAAATTGAAAGGGACCAATGTAGTCCATAACTAAAAGTGCTATCAAGGACAGAGACAAAAGTGTCACCAGTTTCTTTGAGATTTCAATTGGTATGTATCTGAGTTTAGTGTAAGTTTTGTGTGTAATTTAGTGTTAGTTAAATTATTGGTTATTGTAAATAGCTTTTTGGAATAACAGATGCTGATACACTACTCATCTATTCGCGGGAAAACGCAATGTCCACTAGTTGACCACGGGACCCATTTAGTGGTTAACAACGCGGCATCCACTCGTGGATCAGCCGACGTTCACTGGTTGACAACGCAGCGTCAACCTGTGGACCACATGTCGGCAAGGAGTGGACACCGAGCGACGAGGTAGTGCTTGTCGGGTATGGGTGGGTCTAATGAGCTGTGACCTTTAGTCAGCTCAAGGGTGACGTTGTATCCAGGAGAATTTAAACAAGTGGAAAAAAGTGCCCCGTTTCGTGTATACGTTTATTCGAGTTTATTCGAGTATGTTTATACTCGAATAAACTCCATCATTTTGTTTTGGACGTTAGTTTTAGTTCCTCAAAAAATGCTGAGAACAAAATATTCATAAAGTTATGATTTTTAAGACTATCAGTTATTTTGTAACGTCTTTAATCATCAACTTTTGGCAACAGTTCGATCAGCTAATTATTTTGAAACGACTTTGATTATGAACTTTAGGCGACAATTCAATCAGCTAATTTGTGTTGAAATGTCTTTGGTCATTAACTTTTGTCGACAGTTCAATCAGCTAATTGTTTGCAACAACTTTGATCATCAACTTTTGGTGACAACTCAATCACCTAATTTATGGGTAGGTACTTCGTTTTGTAACATTGTAGCTTTGTAGTTTTGTTCCAAATATCGTTCGTTAGTTTTGACAATCCGTTTTTGATCATCTACTTTTGTCATTGACTGTACCTATACATCAAATTTACATAAAAATTAGAGATATAAAACGCAGGGCCGCGCGAGACTCGGCTGGCCGTCGCGTGATAGCGCAAGGCAGCGATGGCCGGTGCGTGCCATCGCGAGCCGACGCAAGACATCGTTAGACATCTTTCGGTGTAAAAGGGTATGTGTGATTTCAGTTCACGCAGGGCCGCGCCTGTATTAAACCACCTTTATACGAGTATATTGCTTAGCAACCTCACTAACAGAATCGTGACAAGTTAAATAGGTACTTCTTCGAGTAGTGCCGGTGTTCGGTTGCCTTCAGAATCAGTCAAACTTCACCAAATGGTGAATATGAAGAGTATTGCATGAGCAACATCTATCGTGGGAGAGCCATGTTTCGGCACGAATGGGCCGGCTCGACCCAAGTGATGCCACGGCTTCACTTCTGTGAGAACACCGGTATTAAGCAATTCTTTCGTTGTCTTTAACTGAGTGAGTGAGATTACCGGAGGCCAAATCCACCCCTCCCGCTGACTCGATCGGGAAGGACTCCAAGGGCAGCAACGCACTTGTGACTTTTGAGTTGCAGGTGTCCATGGGCGGCTAGTAAGTAGTAGTAGTTGCTTACCATTAGGTGACCCGTCTCCTCGTTTGCCCCCTTATACCATAAAAAAAGTACACGAGTAACTGTAAAAATAAACATTCAAAATATACTGCCACGATAATAGGATAGAAATAAAAAAACTTGAGAGGTGTCAACGGACACCCGGATGGAACGAAGTTCCTTTCGTTTAATTAGTGAAGGAATTGTAATAAAATTTTATTTTTTTAAGTTATAATAATCTTTTTTTATTATTAACAAATATAATGTAAAAATAGAAAGACGAAACGAAAATATCTGGCTTGCTTTCTATAAGAGAGAAAGAGACAGACAGAGAAACTTACAATAGCTTACTATAGCAAAAAGTGTCGTTACAACTTTTCGTGAGAATTTTTTCCGTCTAGCCCCCTTTCACAACGCGCGATAAGGAACTACGTTCCAAAAAAAAATGCCATTGGGGTCGTTACCGTATTTAATACATATTTAATCGATTGTATAACCTGTATTTCTTGTATTTTACTACCTGTTCTGAGTAGAATAAATGTAAATTAATTTTCTACATGTTCTATTAGTAGAACAGTAAGGCTATACGGTAACAACGCGATTTTTTTAATTCTTGTTTTATCTTAAATAATGGCTCTCTAAGAGACAAAAATGTGATTGTTTTCCTAATTGTTCTATTAGTAGAACAATCGGTAGCGACCCCTTTTATTGCTGTCCTTTATTACTCTAGGATCAGATCCAGACTTAATATCAATAAAACTAACTTCAAATGACTTTCGAGTAATAAAAACGAATGAAACAATGATTAATAAAACAAAATAAAAAATAGTTCCATATATTTCCTGACGGCGGAAATTTTTATACGGTTTTAACGGTTATTTAGACATTATTGGATAGAACAAAGAGGAAAAAAGAAATACAGTTGTTACCGTATATTCCTACAGTTTGTTCTACTAGTTTTTAGAATATCTAGTAAAATAAATGAAGTTATTGACTGGACTAGAATGTAGACTGCGAACCTGATTCTATTGATAGAACCACCTAGAATATTTTTCCCTAGTTGTTCTATAGATAGAATAACCCGGTTTTATTTTCCTATTTGTTCTATTGATAGAACGACCCGGAATTAATTATACTACATTTTCTATCACACACATCACATCAACAGCCTTTACAAATCCACTGCTGGACATAGTATCTCCTTAGAAAAGAGGTTTTGGTCTATTATCCCTTTTCTATGAGTAAAACAAATGTGATTTTTTATCCTAGTTATTCTGTTATAGTTAAACCGACGTAAGCTTGGCCCTCCTGATGGTTTGTGGGACGCGGGGCGGGTGATGCGCTCGGCTATACATGACACGATGTACTAACTCGATATCTTCAGATTTATTTGTTTGAGATTTAATCTACACACGATGTAATAAAAATCGAATTTATTTCCATGTATTATAATGTCAGTGTATTGTAAGTTTTAATGATTAATTGTAAAATTTAATACTGTAAAATAATTTTAATAAAATCACCTTATCTTCCTCATGTAAATTATATTCAGATACAATTTCAAAATTAAGTAAAATAATAAATATTCTTAATTAGAACTTTAACATTAGAACCTCTGTAAGCCGAACTTCAAGTTTTTAAATCTTTTTGTGACGCAGAGTCGGTAGATTATCCATGTTGCAAAATAATACCGTGTGTAGCAGTCTTAAGAAAAGTAACACGTACAGCCATGCTTTCACGTCAGTCACTGTCGGCGGACAGCGACGCACTAGCTAATTGGTTGAATGCACCCCCGCCCCGCGTCCCCCAAACCATCAGGAGGGCCAAGCTTACGGCGGTTTAACTATAGAAGAAGAAACAGTTGAACATACGGTAACGACCCTTTAGAATACAGTGATTAATTAGGAACCATTCTTACTTAAAATGTGCCTATTGAGGTGCTCTTTTTAGTATTATCCTACCATCTGAGGCAGCTATTATATTAAAAAACAATTACTTATATTTTCCCATTTTTTATTTATTTACAAAAACTTGTAAAAAAAAGATATATTTTCGAGTCAAGAACTGTTTTGTTTTACAAGGACTCATTTTTCCACAATAAGACAGGTCAGGAATCAACTTCTGCATAATTTGGTTCAATATACGCTCATAGCGCTGGAAAGCACTATGTCTTCTCATCTGATAAAAAGCAGACTTAAAATTATTTCTTATTTTAAACACTTCTTATTGACTACTCCCGCCTACATGGCTGCGGAGCTCTGTTAACTCAACAGAAGAAACACGTATTTATATTGTAGTGCTGATTGATCACAAACCTAAAAACTAATATATGTTATCTGCGATATTAATAAAATCATTAACACGCCTGAGCCTTGCAGTTGCTAACAATAGGTCACAAATTAAAATTACGAGCCAAGCCAAACAATATTGCATTTGGGTTTTCTAAGTTGGTGATGGTAGGTACTTAGAAATCCAGTTAAGTATCAAGGTTTTGAGACAAATAATAGGGATCATACGCTAAAGATCAAACAAGCATAAAGTCAAAACCCACAAAAAGTCAAATACGCATAAAGTCAAAAAAGCATTAAGCCAAACACGTACTAAGTCTTACAAGCACAATTAAAGAAGGCAAAAATCAGAGACACCATTATGAAACAAAACATGATATATTGCATTATTTTACAATTAATTACCACTATCGTACGTATTTACTATCTATCGTACGTACGTATTTTAACTTGCCCGATAGTTAATAATCTAATATAAATCACATCTAGCAATTTAAAAGACTGTTCGTATAATAATATCAAATCTCACTATTTATTTTAGAAAGACGTTAAAAAAATATAAATTTTGCATTTATTGACCATTTACGAGTTTGACATTTGACAATAATAATATGTGTATTTGACATTTTGCAAAAACTTACATCCTCTTGTCATTTTTAGTGTTTGACCCACGGAGCAAACGCAAACAAAGAGGGCACAAGCAACTGTGATTCTAAGTAGGTCCTGACGTCATCACAGTGGGCGTGGCTTAAAATTAGTACACTCGTCATCCGTACTGTGCGCTTGTGTCGCAAAATGGCAAATCGGTATATTTTCGTGGTATTAAGAAGAAAAGGATGTAATTTTGTATTTTATCGGTGTTAAAATAATCCGGATAGACGTTTTGTTGTTATGTTATTATTATTATGTGTTTTAATTTTTATTTTCTCAGCTTTTTAGCTGGTTCTACCGTATTTACGGGCCTAAACTAAGTAAATACAGCATGTGGTGTGTACATTATGTTGGTGTGGTGTCATCTAACTGCTATTATTATTATTAATATATTAAAAGGAAATTGGCAAAATTGGGCCTAACCGTTACAGGAATCGGTCCTAAATGATTGTAGTATTGACTCTTTGTTTACAAACAAGGAAAGGAAACCTAATGAAAAAGAAATGTTGCCAATGGAAAAAAAAAATTTTTGATTAGAATTATCGATTATTGGGAATATTCCCAAAGAAGGGATGACTTCTTTGTTAACATGTGTTATTAAAGTGTATTGTGTCAATAAAGTCGGAGTCCGAGATGCAATTTGCGGGGTGAGGGAGTGTTAAGCTCCGCCGGTAAAGAAGATACCATTTGTCGTATCAACTCGGTTTGAGAGCACCTCCCCAACTGCCTCAGCCAGCATCTGAATCCTACTCATCGACATATCGAGCGAAGTCCAGTTTCGGGGTCACTTATAGGGTAAGGTCAAATTGGCCTCGAAGAAGTTCGGTGTGCTGAACAGATCGAGACAGCATTTCACTCCGGCCCACCGCCTTCAGCTCTATAAGGCGCAAGTCCGGCCGCTTATGGAATACTGTTCTCATCTCTATGCAGGGGCACATCAGTACTAGCTTCTCCCTCTGGACCGCATCCAACGAAGAGCGACTTGAAACAAAACAGCCCAAACATCTCCGAACGGCTCGATCCCTTGGTGTTACGTAGAGATGTGACTTCACTCTGAATTATCTATCCGTATATCATGAAGAGTGCTCCGAGGAATTGTTTGGACTATTACCAGCTGCAACTTTCCGCCATCATTTCACACGGCAAAATTTTTATCCTCATCACCTGGATAGTTGACGCTCCACTACTGTGCGCTTTTCGAGACACTTTTGCCCAACCAACCAATCTGTGGAACGGGTTATCGTGTGCGGTATTTCCAGACCGATACGACTTCTAAACCAAGAAAAGAGAGTAATCCTTCCTAAAAGACCGGCAACGCGTTTGTGACTCCTGAGTTGCAGACGTTCATGGTCGGCGAATCGCCGAATTTCGCCGAATAGAAAGTGACCATCGCCGCCGGCGATGGTCACTTTCCATCAGGTGACCAGTCTGCTCGTCTGCCCCCTCTGACATAAAAAATAAAAACCTATGGCTTTTGGTATTTTTAATTGGAAAAAAATCGAGAAAAGTCAATGTGTCATTAATTTTCGTTACAGGAAGAATAGCCAGACCACTTGACTGGGCTTTTTTTAACATATAACTTTTTTTAACTACATCTTTCATCATCCCAAAAAAAAAAGGAAAATGCGCATCACACATCCTCTTTTTGCAGTCCCTATATTAATTACTTTTTGAGTATCTAACAAGTAGGTACTCACATGACCAGGACAACAGTTATTCATTTCTGCATACACAGAGGATTAGGTGCTAGACAAGGTCCACGTCGAGTGCCTGGAGAAGTTTCAGATTTTTCGCTCATTTCTGGGAAGTAGCACTCTTTAAAATGTTTCTTCACGGCTTCTACCATTTCTTTTGCGTGTGGCCATCCTTTAGTTTCAACGATTACTTTCAACTGCAACCAAATTTAATTTTCTATCTGTCAATCAGTAAAATTCAAAAATAGCACGCACGCGGCATGCTAAAAATTGATTTAAAACAAAATTGTGTGTATTTTTTGTTAACAAAGTTCAAATTTTATAGGCGATTTATTATAATTGTTAATTATTATTTTTATTTTCAGAGCATTGATTTTATATTCGTCTTTTTGAGTTACACTTGGACTACTTCTCATTGTATTTAGTTACTAAATTAATTAGTATTGAAACTAAATATTCAGCTTAACTGTACTAGTACAATTATTAGCTGCTTGTTACTTACATCACAACTAAACACGTCTCCCTTGACCCAAGCTCTCTCGGGCACACAATCACGCATAGTTACACCTAAGTTAGCCAGCAGTCCACACAAGTCCGCCATGCCCCCGGGCCGATCAACCACTGTCACCTTAAATTTTATGAGGCGCCCCTCTGCCGCCATGCCTCGCTCTAGGGCGCGCGTGAGGGTTGTGGTGTCGATATTGCCTCCGGAACACACCATTACAACTCTGAAACAAAGAATTAAGTCTTATAACAAACTACCTTTCAAAGATTTTACTTAAAAGTACGTATATAAATATCATGTGCTTGTACCCACTTCCACCACTAATTCATTAATCACACCAACAATAAAGAATGCTTTTAGTTTGCTGATCAAAACACTCAAGTTGCTTTGACCCAAAACTTTCTACCTTTCTTATGGCTACAAGATACATACACTGCGTAAAACCTAGTTTTTTAAACGAATATAATAATAATAAAGTTTTTATTGACAACTTTCAAAGATTGCAGTGCATTGGTATTATAGTTGATACATGCTAAAAATTAAAATTACTAATATGCTACAATTATAGTGGGCTCGGTTCTGATCTCCTAACTACTCGTAGGTTACTTTATAACCTGTGTGATGGAGTGACAGTTCCAATCCCCCAATGGATTACAATATATTATGTAATATTACTATATTTGTATATTACTGCTACTTAAGGATGGTAACTAACAGTAAACAAAAAAAAAAACAAAAAATACAAGTATGGATGGACAGTCACAAGGAGTTTAGGGTTCAGTATGACAGGAATATGCTATCAATGTGATTTCGATGGATGGTTGAGAGACTGCACTGATTGGATGAGTAAAGAAGCTGGTTTTAGAAGTATTGAGTGTAAGGGATCATTGAGCTAGTTTCTAACTGGGACCAAGTTTCAGCTACAACGGTTATCGCAGTATCATCCGCGACGATTTTATGTTTGCATTCTGGATGTTAAGGTCGCATAGGCTATTATGAAGATGAGAAAACCCTGGGGCACACCACAATAAATAGGAAGTTCATTACTATTATTACAATTTATCTTAAAAAAAATCGATCGATTTGTTAGGTAGCTCTTGAATAGGTCTAATTGAACACCTCTGACACCCACTCCCGCGAGTTTTAATAACAGAGTAGAGACGGGTACCGCGTCCAACGCCTTAGCCAGGTTAAAAAATATGGTCAGGACTTTTTTATTGTTATTAATGCCTTATACTACGTGATGAGTTAATTCGTCGACTGCGTCACATGTTGATAACTTTCTGAGAAATCAGAATTGATGAGATGACATTAACTTATATTGTTCCAATTAATTAACCAATCTCTTACCAATGAACCATATTAAATATCGGGTACACTATTAACGCATAGGTATATGAAGAATAACTCACTTCTTCCCTTTCAGATTAGGGAAGAGTCCTGCCATGATGCCTGCCATGGCGGTACAGCCAGCTCCTTCACAAACAAATTTTTCTTGTTCTACTAGTTGCGTGATGGCACGAGCTACCCAATCTTCTTTTACAACCACCTGGCCATTAAAATGTTGATAATAAACCTTGAAGTGACTATCACAATTAGATCGGTAGTGAATACAAAAAGTATTACAAATGTAGATGTAAATACAGAAGCAGTTTGTTTTCAAGAAAAACAAGCTTAGCCAGATTTCCCTATTCACGCGACTTTCATAATAAAAACCATAGGGTGTAAATAACCAATATGTGCTGAATATTTTCAAAGTAAAACAATTCTACAAAGACCTCGTGTATGCTATAAACAAGTTTAATTTTTTGGGTTGAGATATTAAAATTATAAAATATCTATCACAATAACAATATTAATAAATTAATTAATTGTCTATTAAATTAATATAAGATGATTCAGGGTCAAATCAATGAATAATGAAATACGTTAAATCATTAAGATGCTAGTGCAGATGCTGTTAATGCAATTCAGGTAATGACATTTGCCAGATCAAGTCTGATCTCGGGACATAAAATAAACTAGCCCTGCTACAAACTGCGACTATAGGCACAGCTCCGCCCCTAAGGATCATACCGGAATGTTACAGGGTCTATAATCTTCTGCAGAAAATACTATTTCAAATTTCATTTAAGACATTATCACTTGTAAACACACAAACTAACAAACTAATACGCCTTATCTTATATTAGTAAATCTTAATAAGTTAATTAAATGATAAAAGTTAATACCATTTTATCTACAAGTCCTCCCCTGCTAATAGTGTATAAGGTGTTTACTCCAACTTTAGGGACAGATAACCCATCTGAAATTGTCGAATCTATTGGAAAAAATATTCTTTCATTTTTTCTTAGTGATTCTGTCATACTGCAAGTTTTGTCTGTTTCAATTCCCTGAAAAAATTTGTTTATTATTCTACCTTCTTAAATGGTATGGGGGAAGAAATTAGCATACGTGTCACCCGATGAAATGTGACAAACCATCCAGCGTGCAAGCAATGTCGAGCGACCTCGGTCGCGGCGACTTGCGGCGACTTACAGCTACGGAAAATAGTGCAGACTAGCGATAAGCGACTACTTGCGACCGATCTTTAGCAATTGACAATTGAAAATTCTGTTTTACGGATTCGAGCCATCAGAAGGATGGGAAGATTTAATATTCATCGAATTAATATGCTACGGTCTTTTTTTGGCGAATTTCATCACATATATCATGATCTCAGACAACATGAAGATAGATTTTACTATAGAATGAAAATAAGCATATTTGATTACATCTTACATACTATTAAAAAAAGAACACTCTTATATACAAAGATAAATTGATGTAGGTGATACGAAATTCACCGGGTCATTTAGTAATAAAATAGATAGCAAAAAAGTTGCGCTGTGCAATCGCAATCCAGCTCTGGCGACTTGCAGCGGACCAGTCACTGTATGTCGCGCGACATGCAGTTCTATACATTCTATTAAGTCGCCGCGACCGCAGACGCGCGACATCGCTTGCACGCTGCGCGAGCCCTAGGGGTAGCAAAACTATGCAGGGCCACAGCACTGCAACGAGAAAACTTAAAACGAACCCTATATCAACCCGTCTAGCCATCGTGGTATATTAGTAGTAGGCCAAAACCTCCTTTCTAAGGAGAGGCCTTTGTCCAGCAGTGGACTATTAAGGGCTGTTGGTGTGATGTGATGAAGTGACTACCGCCACCCATTGACAGCTGCTACTCAATAGTCACAAGTGCGTTGCCTCTCTTTGAGCTTTTGCCTGACCTCAATCCCATCGAGCACGCATGGGACATCCAGAGACGTGTTCTAGTGACTTGTTAAAATGCCATTAGGAGCGATTGCCACAGGTCCAGATAAACAATCTCATAAATTCAATGAAAAATCGTGGACGACAAGTTTTAAACAACAGAGGCGGCACACTTTATATTGTATTAAAAAAAAAAAACATTTAAAAAATGTCGCTATTTAATTTTGTAAAACATGAAAAGTTTAATTTAGTTATAACTTTATTTTATACTACGTATGTTACGGTACACATATTGTTAATTTTTGTGAATAAATGAACAATTGAATAAAGGATTTTGTTGTTTTAGTCACTAATGAATCAAAGAATTCTTAGTTACTATTTGTAAAATAAATGTAAATATATTACAATAGTAAAAATCGTTCAAAGTTCAGAACCATCCATGTTGCTTAGATTCTTTAAGTGTTTTCAAGTTTTCAGGTAATAACTTATTTTCAACTTACGTATACTTCAGTATCAGGTTTGAGATGTTTAACGGCTACAGCAATACCAGTCAAAAGGCTGCCACCCCCGCAAGGAACTATCACTGCATCCACATCGGGAACTTGTTCTACTATTTCAATACCTACCGTCCCCTGGCCCTCTATTATGTGCGGGTGATCGAAACTGCAAGACATTAAGTATAAAATTTTGTAAGGACACTGTGATTTCACTAATTTCACACTGATTGGTTTTTAGCAAATGAAATTGGAAAGAAAAAGTTGTCGTTTTACTTTACTTCTGTCCAAAATAAATAAATTACCTAGCTCAAATAAGGAAGCATAAAAAAATAAGCACACTGACCCATTAACGTATAGCATTTTCGTTTCCTTTGCCAAAATCAAAGCATGTTGTTTGGCTTCATCAATGTTTGCACCGACCATCACTACCTTAGCTCCGAACTTCTCACACTTTTTCACCTTTGTTACTGGTGCAGAGAAAGGCATGGCGACTATACTGGGTATACCCATTTGTGTCGTATGGTAGCTAACAGCACAGCCATGATTACCCGTGGTAGCGGCGATCACACCGATCTTCTTTTGTTCATCACTAAGCAGCAAAAGAGTGTTCCGTAATCCACGCTCCTTAAAACTAATGATTAAATTAGGTTGGTCATGTATATGGTCACGATATTATACATAATAATTTATTTTGTAAGTGTCTACTTTAATCAGGATTTATTAAAGGATAATGTTAAGAAAAATAGCACTTGCCACAGAGATTAAAGCCTTATCAAGAGCTCTGCATTTACTGTACTGACGGATTTTAATTAAAAATGTATTTGTTTATAAGGCTAATGGCGAAATTAAATAAAAAACAACCTTCCAGTATATTGAAGAAACTCCTGTTTTATATACAGCTCCATTTCCAGCATTGACGATGACTGAGCTTTCTACGGAACAAATTATTTTATTGTAAATCCAAACTTTCATTGAAATATGGCTCATATCTATTAGGTAAACAGGTAGTAAATACCGTGCATGCTGTTCGGACGACTTGCCCCACTATTCGTTTACTTGCAGCTAATATTCCTTCAAATTCAATCCTGCGTGGATTGTCCGGATCAGAAAATGGATCAAAAAATGGGTCCTAAAATCAGTTATTAGTTTTATTAAAAGTAGTTTAATGCCATTGGCAAGGATAAAAATTAAATAATAATTATGATTACCGATTTTACAATGTAGGGATCAATGTAGGGGTAAAAGTTCGAATTGTGTGTTGGAAAATTACGAAATAACTAAAACCAAACGGTCTTTTGTTTGGAGTCCTATTTATAGTCACCGTGAAATCGTAGTTGCGGTCCAAATATTTTTAGGCACTAGACATTATTTAAGAACCCCATTTTTGCAAAAAAACGTAGTAGGTCAATCTTCCCGAAGAAAATATATAGCAGCCTGTGGTGGGGTGAGGCGTGTGCGAAACCCGGCTGCCGGCCGGTACAAATCCAATGAAATAATTAATAGGTCAGTTGGCCGCGTCTTGTCGCGTTGGTGCATCCTTTGTGTTTACCGCTCGTTCTTCTGTGACGTCAACAGTGCAAATAATGTATTCTAATCGCGAGTATTACGAAATGGTGCGTTGTTACATTCGTAGTGGTGAATGATATAAATGAAGCCTAAATGGTGCACAGCGCTTGTACGAGTCGGAAAGTATACCACGACTCCGTAGACAAGGTATACTAAATCCATCGGTACCTAACCGCCAAACGATTTTATCCGCAAATAAGAGGCTGTTAGACTACGGACAGTTAAGAACCCCGTCACACGCAAGGGGTACTGCAAGGTCAAGACTTGCAATAGAGGTCGAAGAACAAGTCTTCGACTTCTTCGAACGGGATCCTCGAGGATCCCGTTCGAAGAAGCACGCACACGGGCCCGCAGCACAACGCTTCCGCATAAGCCAATATGCAGAATGGAAGCTGATAGATACCGCTGGCTTGCATCCTTACTGATATCAAAAAGTCCAAGACTTACAAGAAACAGACGCCTTAACTTGAGGACAATTCTGCGAGTGGCTTGTCGCACACCCCGGTGCCAATATTTTGTGGACAGACGTGGTTTTGTACAATCAACATAACGAACATTGGTGATCATATCATAACCCACACGTCGTTAGACAAGATCAAGACTACATTTTGAACATTTATTAAAATACACGTAAAACAGTAGCGGTAACAGTAGTTAACCTCTAATTGCTTTTTTTATAAATTATTGCACATATCACTAAATATTTATGTATTTTTTACTTATTTAAAACGTGCCCTTTAATTAAGTGAAGTTTTAGTATTTGGATGTTAGGATAGGTACTTTATTTCGCAATGAAATGTAGCGAAGTGTGATGCGATACCGATGAAGAGGTCTTTGACACTAACGCGCCTACTGATTGCAGTGTGTCTAAAAATTGCGAGTTCTTGAGACAATTTTGTGATGCCAATTACTCAATATGTTTGTACCATGTGGTAGGTACTAAACTAAAATGCGGGTTTCTCATAAATTTTAATAAAGATTCTTCTGGGTTAATGTGGACGGCAAATTTAAAGTCCCAGTATATTTTAGTAATCGATCCCTGTGATACCCGGCTTTCTTGAAAGACTGTTGAATAGCGAATGACGCCGTTGTGGTGTATGGGGAATCTTGCCCCCTGTCAGTCAGAGAGAGAAGAGGGGAGCGTCCTAGCTGTCTCCCGTTCCCTTTCTACTGCCTTCTCATTCATCACATCGCAAAACAATGCGATTTAGCACGCTCTTTTCACATATGCACAATGCGGCGAAAATGCAGTGTGCCTGTGCTTTATGATTAAATGAATATGCATTTGAATATGAGAAAGCTGTGTTTCTTAATAACTGTTATTTGAAAATTAAACATAAAAGTCTAATGGATTACATAAAAACAAATATTAATTAAAAATCTGTACACATTGATTTGTACTTGAATATGGACCAATGCAGAATGTTTGCAGAAATATATTTATGGTTCTGTTCTCGAGGGGTAGTGAGGTATTTGAGAAATTTATATTCAAAGCAAGCGAAGCCTTAGACAGAAGCTAGTAGTATCCGATAAAGTAAAACGAGGGAAAAATCCTAGTCCACCGAAAGCATCTTATTTGTTTATACTTACGTCAGGCTTAGCCATTTTGACTGGCTTTTACTGTTTCCTATATAAAATAATTAGGTGTTACATATGTTTTTTCATATTGTTTTTTTTTACTGTGGGGAGGACCTGAAAATAAAAAAAAATATTAGTTAAACATTTATACTTGACAAATTCATTTGACTTTGTTTTCTTTTCCTTTTTAATTTTGTATAAAGGACTTAATTGAAAGGAGGTTAAAACAAATATAATGCCCTGTTGCACGTTCATTTGCTTTGTAAAAAAAAATGATTTTTAAAACTGACCTAGTAAATTAAGAAAGTCGCCATGTTACGGGAAAAAAATGACCTTCATTTATTTTACTAGCTACTACTAGGATTAACTTTAAAACATAATTTACAACATCATTGCTTATTACTATGGGAATGCCTTTAATTGCATATTTAATTTCTAGCTCCATCTAGCATACAAATAAAAAAGCTAACACAAAAAAGTGTTTGTCTCTTTTTCGCTAGTGGTAATTTACGTTTCTAATTACATTTAAATGTTATTCTCTTATTTACATTTAAATGTAAAATAAGCTAAGCCATGTCTTAAGCCATTGTTGTTATAGATTCCATTTTAAGTTTGCACATCTTTTAGTAGTTTATCTATTATCGAAAGCGGTTTAATTTTATTTTAACAGTAAAATGTTTCTATTTTGGTGGTTCACAGGATATATTCCTAGGGCGGGGATTGTGTTTAGAAAAAGAGGAACCAGCCTGCCTGACGTAGTCCTTGTAGTCGTTTTTAGACAGGGCAGTTTATTGAACTTCTACAGTCAACAGGACTCATCTTGCATTATTAAAGTCTAGTTGAAACATTTCTGAGATTTTGATAACTCATAGTAAACATTTTATTAGCTTTGAATATTTTTATTTTCTTGATTCATAATGGTATTAATTATTAAATATTTACCCCAAGAAGTAAACAGAAGTGGAGTTAAAAATATTTTGTACGTTACTTACACAACACTTTTTGCGTTCCCCTCCACCGTATTCGGCGTCTATGCTTCTATATGTGTAAGTCTATATATTATATGGGTGTTTGCTATGGTATCATATAATATATTTTGGCTATCAACGATTCGAGCCAGGGTGCCCATGCATAGAGATTCTATATGCGGCCGGACTTGCGGCTTAAAGAATTGGAGGCGGTGGGCCGGAGTGAAATACTATCTCGATCTGTTAAGCACACTGAGCTTCTTAGAGGCCAATTTGACCTCAGTGGTTCCAGAACTGGAATTCGCTTGATATGTCAAGGAACTCTCACTGAAACCTCTGTTAAGTAAGTTTCAATGTGTGTTTGGTTTCAGTTTCACTGCTGCGGAGTACGCGTGCCCTTTAAAGAACAGGAAGGGATTAATGTGTTTCCTACAAACGGGGTCTTCTACGCCTTATAAGCCTTAGATGGCCCGAGGTCCATCTGGGTACCAAGGTCCATCTGGGTACCAAGGATTTCCTTTCTAGGCTACGCCTTTTTCCTTTACAACTGATACCCAAGACGACGTGCGGTTTTTGTCGGTTCGAATCCGACATCATCATCCCACGAAATTCCCTCGGATGTCACCCACCGTGATAGAATAAAAAAAAATGAAATTGCTTTTCAAAAAGTAGTTTATTAATAAAAACAAAATAACAAATAACTCGTTTTGAAACTTATCACAGAGTGTACTTCATTTATTTAGATAGGTACAGTTTTGCTCCTATGTTGCATGTTAACACACACACATATATATAGTTCAGTTAAACATTAAACAAGCTTATAACACAATCTTCCATAAATTGACAAAATAAAAAAGTTCAAGTCAGACTAGTAGATTAATTTACAAATATTTATACAAAAATTTCATTTTTAGACAATGTTAGGAAAACACTTCAGAAAATGAATACAGACGATGAAAAAAAAACATTTTTACAACATTTTATTAGCATTAGTAAAAAGGTGAAAAAATCGTGATTCATTTTTTTCTGACCCACTATCAAAGGTATCGTAAGTTCTAAATATCGTTTGTCTTCGTGTTTTCGAGAGCGAACCCTAAAACCTTGAAACTCCTAAAAATGGAACAATTATACGATTTAACGCAAAGATGTTTTAAAAAATCCACGCAAGACAGTGTGCGTTCTTATTTAAATAACAATGTTTTTGTAATTCACGTATACACCTGGTGTATATTTTAGGTATTTGTACTTTGCATTACATTGTAGAATCTCGGACTAAGTATCGCTTTAAAATACCTGTGCGACAATTAAAGAGTTACTAAATGACGTATTCCATTGTACCTAGGAACTTAAGTGTCACCTGTAGTATTTTTTTTTTGAAGACAACTTCCGCATTAGAAACAAAATCTTTACAAAATTTCAAGAAATGGACACAAAGAATACCCAGACTCAGAACAACAATTTGTAGATCACAAAGTGTTGTCCCATGTGGATTGTCCCATCTTACCCACAACACTCGTAGTTGTAAGCGGCATATCGACCGCTTTAGCCACTACGCCATCCGTGCATGTAAAAGTATTGCAAATTAAGTGTGGATAAAATAACTATGCTTTAATAGATGCATTGTGCTCAGCAGATTTGTAATGCCATTGGATCGAATACGCATATAAATAATCTCAAAGCGTATTCATCACGCACAATAACACTACTAAGTAACGCTATTAGATTATTTAAATTTCTTTAAATAAAAATATCACTTTTAGTGTACAGTTTGCTTAGACGCAAGCTAATGTGACACTTCGTCTAGAGATTCCGTGCTATTCCTCCGGGTAAAGGCGTCGTATTCGCCAGCAAAATCCCACTCGCGGTATGCGCTCGCAATCAAAGTGCGGAGTTCTTCCAAGTGTTCAGGCCCACGAGTTTCACATACCACCTTTACCTAAAACATAAAACAATAATTAGTTATATATTAAAAAGAAACTAAGTAATTACAGCTACAAAAAGAAGATTCAAATAAGTTTTAGAAAGTACAGTGAAACAGTCGGAAATGAATCATATCAAATCGCTCAAAATAATGATATGTTTGTAATCACATATATATTGAATTTGCCTATAACACACTACTCAATTATGTTTAGCTGCAACAGCCATCGAACCTCCCTCTCCCAAATTCCGTTTATTAAAATTAATTTTCTGTTGAAAATTCCCATCTATACAGAGACTGCCTAATTACTAATTTATAATTGTTTGTTTAATTAAAACTTACTCGAACACTGAAAATATCCCCGTGCACCCAGGCACGCTCTTGAATAATATCCTTGATTGAGACTCCGGCAGAGGAAATGAGCTTGCACAACTCCGCGATCCCTCCAGGCCGGTCACTGACAGTGACCTTAAACTTCACGAGACGCTGCTCTGCGGCGAGACCTCGTTCCAGACACCGTCCCAGTATTGTAGTATCGATGTTACCACCGGATAGAATACATACCACCCTAAAGAACATATCATACTTAAGAAACTGGTGATTCGCTGTGGTTCCTATTTAGGACTTTCCTTGGCCAACAAGGCCTGGACGAGGTCTTATCTCAAACTAACTCTTCAAAAAGTATCACCAGCCTACAACATGATGAACTGTAGTAAACTGTTTTTTTTTATTCCTTAATATTTAACCTTTAATATTTTTTCTTCAAAACAGAACTGGTTAAAACGGGACGTAGACTTGCCTGAAAAAAATATCTAAATGGATACATAAATCACGGAGATCTGAGGTAACACACATAAAAGATACAGAGTTAGCGCATTTTATTGTTTGAATTCGCTTAAAAATGTAGGACACACCCATTAGATCTCGTTGCTCATTTGGACACTGAAGGTCAAAGCTACTCGTATATAAATTTGCCTGACATGTTGAAATATATTAGGGATGATCAGTGTCATCACTTACTCAAGAAAACAAAAGAAGTAATAACTAACTTCTTGCCCACGAGTTCTGGAACCAGGCCAGCCATGATGGCTGCAACACACACGGCTCCGCCGCCTTCCACAACGTACTTCTCCTGCTCAATCAAGCGCAGAATCGCACGAGCGATCCAGTCCTCGTTCACAGTTATCTGTAAAAGAAATCTGAATACAATGTTTGTTTTTTATAGATTTTATAGAGATTAACTCACCACTTATTTTAAAAGTTATAACGTAAACATATAGATTAGAATATGAACCAATTTTATTGTACACCTATAACAGTAATATTGAATAAAATTATACATTTAATTCATTGAGAACAGTATAAAAAATAAATAGTATTTATTGGGTCCTTACATATGAAATTGGCGATTTGTACGGGTGGGATATAAAGTCATTTTTTTTTGTAAAATATATTTAATTAATCAAAGTATGCACCGTTGTTGTCTATGCACTTTTGCCATCTCATAGATAGTTCATTGATATCTTTACTAAAAAACCATGGGGGCGAGAATCAATAAACTCTTTGAAGGCGGTTTGGACTGCCGCATCGGAATTGAATTTTTTTCCTTGTAAGAAGTTTTCCGAATTCCGGAAAAAATGGTAATCTGTTGGAGCAAGGTCCGGGGAGTACGGTGGATGTCGCAGACATTCCAATTGTAGCTCATCTAACTTAGTGGTTGTTTGGTGTGCAGTGAAGCAGCAGTGGTCTAGAGTGATTGACCAATCTCGGTTGTTTAGCAGCTAGTTCTTCCTTCATGGTTTGCAGCTGCTGACAATAGATATCTGCCGTTATCGTTTGGCCAGATTTTAGAAAGCTGTAGTGAACGACACCGGCGCTAGTCCACCTAACACTCACAAGTAACTTTTTCTGAGTCAATTTTCATTTAGGGCAGGATTTGGGTGGGTCGCCAGCGTTCAGCCATTGCGACGAGCACTTCCGATTATCGTACAGTATCCACTTTTCATCACAAGTAATGATTCGATTTAAAATCCCTTCATTATTGTGTTGATTGAGCAAAGTAACGCAGCAGTCGACGCGTGTTTGCAAGTTCGATTCACTCAATTCATGAGGTACCCAAAGTTCAAGTTTTTTTACTTGCCCGATTTGCTTCAAGTGGATTAATACAGTTTTATCACTTACCCTGAATCCTGCAGCTATCTCTCAAGTGCTTTGTGATGGATCTGCTTCTACAATAGCCTTTAATTCTTTATTTTCCACTTTGGTCTCCGGCCGTCCACGGGGTTGGCTCTTAAGGTCGAAATTTCCAGAACGAAAACGTTGAAACCAAAAACGTACCGTGTTTTCTTTTGCGACACCAGCGCCGTACACGTCATTAATCCTTCGAGTTGTTTCTGCAGCACTGGTGCCACGGTAGAACTCGTACTCGTAAATATACCGATATTTCATGTTTTTCATTGTGCGGTAATAAGCGACGCCAAAGAAAAAAGTAATGAGGAAAAAACAAATGAATGACTGTTTTCAAAACTCAAATGTACCAGCTAAATGAATTTATAAATTTGAATTTAAAATTCTTAACCAAATAGGAGATATTTCAGATCAAAGTGGTCAGTACGACCTAACGCTAATTTCATAAAATACCTTATAAAGTAATTTGCAATTCATGTTTTGTTGGGTTTGCCGCCTTCGTCCACTTTGCAGAGACTATTAGTATTGGAATGAGTTTAGGAAATTGTGAGACTATACCTATATATTTTTATATAATGTGTCCGATTCTATAATGAAATCCCATATAGTATACAAGATTTTAGTATAAATAAATTTAAATCCACAATAAAACGTAAACTATGTCAGAAAGCCTATTTAACTCGATTGTGAATTACATAGAAGACAAGAACAATTTAATAATTTAGCAATCTAATTTAGGCTATTTCGTAGTGGAAATGTGATGTGGGCTAGTGTGTCTTTTATTTCATTTTTTTTTATGTTTTACTTCGCTTTCTTTTTTATTCCATCTTTTTTCTATTTCTTGTTTTCTCTTCATTGCCTTTTTACCTTTTAGAGTTTGTTGAGTTTGTTTGCCCTTTCTTCTTATAAGGCTCCACTTCTTGGAAATGGGCGGTTGTAGATCTAATGTAATAATGCTAAATATTTGACAAAACAGAGATTGTTGCTTCTGTGTGTGACAAGAGACGATTTCAATTATTTTTTTTTACGAAATTAAGATATTTTGAGTTTCGAATATTGTAATACATGATCCACGCGGCAAAAAATTTTCACTATGGTATTTGGCAGTCAAACACTGTGAGACACTTTTTGCCCTTTACAACCAATTTTCTGAACAAGTTATCGTCTGTGGTATTTCCGGACCGATACGACCTTCAAACCTTCAAGAAAAGAGCGTACTCCTTCCTCAAAGACCGGCAACGCGTTACTTACTTTTTCATTTAACAAAACACAGTATTGTAATACATAAAACATTCTATCATTTCTTATAGATAAGTACTTATATATTCCAGTTATATATTCTTAGTATATATTCTAGTTGAGCCTGTGAAAAAGTATAACATTTTTGGTAGACTTTTGCAGCGTAGCGTAGCATACTTAAACGCTACAAAAATCCACCAAAAAAATTTTTAATTAGGTAAATTGCAAATAATTTTTAAAAATTGTGATTTTGTGTGATTCTAGTTGCTCTTAATTTACTAGAAACATTTTATAGTACAAACTTCCAAAACTTTTTATTATTAAAATTATTTCATAGCATTTTTAAACACTATGTTATCCTTGTAATCTTGCTTTCTTACCAATTTGTCAACCATATTTTTGACGGTGGCGAACGCGTTGTAGCCAACAGTGGGTACAGCTAGACCGTCGGCCAGTGTGGATCTGATCTGCACACACACTGGTTCCTCGCTGTTCATTGCCTGTTTCATACTTGGACACTTTTCGGTCTCAACACCCTACACAAATAAAAGAAAATTATTCAAAACATATTTTAGACAACTTTTTACTTCATGTTGCTTTTCGAAAGACAGTCAAATATTTAGATTTTCGTTTAAGGCTTTGGCAGACAGCTAAAGCTACGTTATATCTGTCCTAGTTTAAGGTTTAGTTAGGCTAGTAATTTGTGAGAGATCCCGAGTTTGTGTGAGAGACCTGTGGTTTTTAAAAATATCAATTTATTATATACCACTAATCACTTCTTTCTTGTCACTAAGCCAAAATGATCAAATAGTAATGAATAAATCAAGGCGCGTGCGGACTACTATTGAAAATCACATGTAAATTACATAATTATTTCTTTCCAACGCCCCTGTATTTTTCAAGAAAATACAGAAATATTTTATTGAATAAAGTTAACCATACAATAAGCAGAAAATTACACAATGACTACATTTAACAATAATAAGTTGTAATGAGTAGTATGGCATTCAATTATATAAGCCCCCTGATCCTCAAACTAGGATTTCCTGTTTTTTGAGAATCAGTGATTCCGCCCTGTGCAATGCATTACAGGTAAACTTAAATTATTCTACATGAAAATGTAACATGGTTAGGTTGGGCAATAACATAGGTCATATGAGTCGATACACTTCAAATGCGCTTAAGTCACAGCTAGTGAACTTTTGAGAAAACGGTGTTGCTGCTGTCTGAGTTATCTTGTGATTTAAAGTAGAGTGCAATACTGCCAAAACTTTCGAAATAATATCCATGGGCAACACTATGAAAAGCAAAGATAAACCACCATCAGGTTTTTAAATAAACCGGTTTTTATTTTGGACATAAGCATCTTTGATAGTTACAATATGCATTTAAGCTCATTTGCAAGGAACTGACACTGGACTTAAGCGACTATGAAAAACCACAATGTGACTTGGGCTTTTTTGATGTAACTAACTAATAAAGGGACGTACTCGGGTGAGTAGATTCTAGGGATGAAAAACACATATAGATCAAAACAAAATTTATTTATGCATATCTTAAAAACTGCTAAAACATTATTTGCCAAACAGGTTTGTGAAATAAAACAAAATTATTTCCTCAATAAAATGTTACTTTTACATAGGAATGATAGATGTTATGAAGTGATTTTCCTAGATACCATGACCCTTTTACAACATAGAATCATTTTTTTTAATAGAAAACCTAATCAACTCAGGGCAGTCAATGCAAAAAAAAATGTAGGTAAGTAGTACCCACATACTCGTAATTAACCCATAAAAATAAGCACGAGGTGGTAATCGTCCTTCCATTACATAAAATCCAAGATTTCATTTGATAGGTATTCAGCATCATCATCGTCTTGTTGTGGCAAGTTTTCATTTTGAGACAATACATTTTTGTAATACTCTAAGTCAGGTAACTCTCTCCAGGCATCACCAAAATGCTTTTCAAGAAGTTTTTTAACGTCAGTTAATTTTTCACTTTAAACATTAAAAGATGCTTCTATTCTATCCGGTTGAGTTCTAGATATAGCTTTGCCACGTTTCGTTATAGCCTGGGGATTGCAAATATCATTTCTATATGAAATTTCGCCTCGAACCATGATTTTCTTGCGTTCTGCCCTTTCTATAATAATCCGCTTCGTTTTACTTATCTAGAAATGCAATGTTTGAGTGCTTTTTAGCACATCTCTGCTCGCACTCTTCCAATCGAAAATAGGTACCTCAGTTACTAAACGTCGAATGGTAGCATTTGACGCCATGATATCAATATATGTTTGAGGATTGCATATGGTTTCTAGACGTCTTATATTTTTTTCGGTGATAGCAAATACCCGATCTGGTGGAATAAAGCTATGCCCAGTGACAGGAAAAACAAACTCCACTTGTTCTATGCTAGATTGTGTACCATACAACCATTTAGCAACAATCCCAAGAAGTATGAAATTTTTGTTTTGGCCGCCGCAACCGTCAGCCACAAGCCTTAGCCGCTTTTTGCCATCAAGATTTAAATGATTCAGGCAATGGTATAAACATGATGAAATTTCATTAGCGCCTTTGGATGCCATGTCTTCTGTACACACATAAGCATAAACATTGTTTTTGGCGAGGTTAGCGTGAGAGTTTCCCTCAACAATCGTGAAGTTATAAATATATAACTGCCGAGAGTAATAAGCTGATTGGTCAGCTACTTTTGGCAAAGGTAAATTCTTCTGACAATCAAAAGACAAAATAAGGATTTCCGGATTATTTTCCTTCAATTTCTCGAAAAAGCATTTTGCTCTCATTTTGTGTATCCGAAACAGCGTACGAAATTTTTGTTTTTCAGTTTCACTTTGCTGTATTTTTAGCTTTTCTAACAGCTGCAGGCAGTCCGAACACACGTCTTGGCGTGGAGAACCGAACCCAATATTGAAGGAGGTATTAAATACCTTTCTGAAAAAACTTTTAGTCACCGAGTATCCCGGCATCGACTGGTCCTCATACATTTTATATAATTTAGAGATGTTTAGGCTTGGATCCAAATATATTCTCCTTTTTATTTTGCCTCTGCAATAATGGCTCTCTAACGGCTGAATTTTCATCACAAATTTCTGTACAGCTTCTCTCTTCGAACGGAAATCGAAGTATTTTCGGTCTCCACCACGTTTTTCTGATGGGGTTTCTCCTGTGGCTGCGTATCGATTAGAAACCCCTTTTATACGGCCCTGTTTGATTTTTAATATGCCACAAAATGCAGGCAGACAGACAGGAACTTTTTCTTTACTTTTGTGCTTACTAACAAAATACTGCTTTGTAAAAGTGCGTCCATTTCGAGAATTTGTTCTTGCGCGTTTCCTTTTAACAGGGTTCAAAACTAAATGTTGCAAAATATAATTATCTTGACTAATTTTGTTAGGATGACTGTAAAACCTTTTATGAAAGTAAAAAATGTCGTTTGAAGTTAACGTTTCACATTTGTATACAGCCTTTTTGTTGTGTTGACACTTCGGTTTTTCTGGCAAGGTTTTTGCAGAGTACCTGAAATTAGCAATTAAAAACTAACTTCAGATATTATATTATCAATATAAAACGCACGACCACCTGGGGAAAACGTAAGTGGTAGGTATATAGGATAGACAACGTCTCTGTAACTTAATGACACTATATTATATAAATTAAATAAATTATTGGTTAAAATATGTAGGTGATATACCTATATATTTTAACTAATAATTTAATTTATTGGTTTGGTACTTTGGCAGACGAAAAACATGAAATTGTGTGGAAGTTACGAAATATTGTCGCTAATTACCATAAAACCTTAACTAAAAATAACCTTCTTAAAAATAGTAAGTTAAGTAACTTCCTAATTAGTATTTCTATCTAGAATAGAATAATAGTAATTATACTTTCCATCTTATAAACATACATCAGTGAACACGGGGTTGGTGATATCTGTTTTCTAACGTCCAGTTCGGTCCTGTATTTGAATGGTATGAATTACCACGTTATCATGACACACCTCAAACAAAGTGAAATTAGAACAGTAAACTTACAAATCCTTCTGTTTTTTCTTCTGTTTTTCGTTGCGCCTCAACTGTGGCTTCTTTTTAGCTACTTCCGGTTTCACAACACTTATTTTTGTTTCCATAATTTAATAAAAATGCGAGCATCCGTTCCGAACTCCACCAGCTTTTGAAAACAATGGCGGCCATGACACTGCGTAGGGCTGTCTGTCATTGGTCGAATCGGACTTGGGTGAGTTTGATTTATACTGACATTGTGACTTAAGCAATATTGAAAGGAAAACTAATATTTTAAGCCTTATTTCAATGAGTAAGATTGGTCTTTGTTTGATTTGATCTGAACTGAAATGTTTATTTTCGCGCGCAAAATCAGGTATACCAAAAACATTAAATACTGACTGTAGTGGACTTAAGCACGTTTGATATGTATCAACTCATATATGCGTATGTATATGTGTGTGTGTGTGTGTGTATATATGTGTAAGTGTGAGTATGTGTGAGCGTGTGCGTGCGTTCGTGTGCTTGTTGTGAGTGTGCGTGTGCAAGAGAGTGTACGTGTTTATCTGTGAGTATGTATATCTACGTCTGTCTTAGCAAACTACAGTAGGTTCTCTGTGTCGTGGTAATCAAGAGAGTACTTACGGATGTTCGGTTGAATCTTTCGCACTAATATAATTATTGCAATATGATGCTATTTTGAGTATACACACACATATATATATATGAGTATACATACATATATATTTTCATCGCATATTCATTTTTTCTGGGGAAATTAATATTTGTAATATAATCTGAAAATTGTTGATTCGAATGAAAACTTAAAAAAATTAAACTCATGATGACCCATGAAGTTTACGACTATATTTGTTTTTTTTTATATATTTGTTTTTCTTATCCGACTTAAAAAACACAAAAGAAGAGGTTATCAATTCGTCTGTTTCTTTATGTTTGTTACGCAATATCCTTGTCAATAGTGGACCGATTTTCAAAATTATTTTTGTAATCGAAAGGGTATGCTCCCGAGGTAGCCTTTTTATGAGATCCTAGAGAAATCGCGGGAATCCCTCAAATTTTACAGGCCCAATTTTTTTTATAGGTTTTGTTTTGTTTTTTTAAGGATTAGGATATAGCATCCGCATTAGGAATAAATCCTATCCTAAGTATTTGCGTTTAGTAGCCGTTATGTCATATTGCTGAGCTGATGATAGAAGGGTCCTTGAGCTTTAGGAGTTAAAAGATAACTCTTTCAAAAATCTAATCATGTATTGACCTTATTTGTTCTTTCAAGATATTTGTTACGTGTTTGTGTTAGGTTACAGAGATATGTGCACAAAAGAGTAATATATGAGATTCCAAAACATTTAGATTAGATTTTCAACTTTTTTAAATTTTTAGAATTATTCCTTTATTTGTGCTATAAGACGTTTCTTTTTGCCAAATTTCGTACTTCCCGTTGACCTAGAATTGTCAATTTTTGTTAAGAGCAAGGTCTTACAGCACAAGTAAAGAGAAAATTCTGAAAAATAAAAAACAATTGAAAATTAAGGTAAATTTTGGTACTTACAAGTTTTCGCGAAAATCGAAATTTGCCCATATCTTTTTATCGTGTTGACTCAGGACCTTGATTTTTATACACCTAATAGGGACCATAGACCTCAGTATCTGGTAAATTTTTTTTATTGAAGTCGGTTTAACTTCAATAATTTGTTTATTATTATTCGTGTATGATTGTATTTTTCAGACGAACATCAAATTTGTTTTTACAAAATTTACAAAAAAGATACAAGGTTTCGAAAAAACAAAATGTATCTTTCGCAATTTTTAACGTTAGGCGGGCCCCGGCAAGCATAGATCAATAATTAAAATCAGTGTCAATTAGCCGCTGTTTAGCACAGAACACTTAGCGACGTTTATCTATCCCGGTTTCAGTCCTGAACACTAGTTGGCCGTGATGATAACAAAGTACCCAAAGTAGCCGGATGATGAAATACTTGAAACCACCATGACCACGATGTGATAACACTGTATGTGTGTGTGTGTATACGCTGCTTGTGTGTACATACACAAAAAGATTATTATCGTGGTCCCCTGTGTGTGTGTTAAGCTTAATTAGTGTTGGTCTACCCTTTAGCCTCGTTAAATTTGTGTGAAGTAATAGTTACAAGTTTATGCTGATTAGGAGTCATTAACCTTTGATTACGATTGACATTTACAAAATCGATAAAATATTTTTATTATTGATCGTTATTATTTTCATTTCCGACTAGCAGTGGCGTTGGCGAGGTGGAGGACTAATTAATTTTATCACATTTACACTCGAAGTCTGTTTGTTTGGTTTATTCCAAGCAGTTCCATTAAGCCAGTTCCATACATGGAACTAAAACAAACGAATTCGGCCTTGCGCCTATTTTTATGGTGGTCAAAACGTCATACAGATTAGAAAAAAACAGTTGCAAGCAATTGTCTACCCTAACGACATTTACCTATAAATGTTTTTAAGGGACTAAGAATGACTATTTGTGATCAGCGTCTTTTCACATCACATCACATCAACAGCCTATACTAGTCCACTGCTGGACATAGGCCTCTCCTTAGAAAGGAGGTTTTGGCCTACTATACCACGCTGGCCAGACGGGTTGGTATAGGGTTTGTTTCAAGTTTTCCTTCTCTTTGCAGTGCTGTTGTCCTGCTTAGTTTGCTCCCTTAATCGGCTCTTACGACACCCACGGGATGAATTGGGGTGGGGAATAGTCATCACATATACATTATAAAATATATATGTGGGTGAATTCGAGCTCCGATTGATCGCACAAGTCTGCCAAGTCTGCTAAACGTGCCAGGACTGTCACCGCCTCGTTCGATCGCATCGAAACATGAAAATAATTTCGTGACGATTGAGCTGAGTTTGGCAGCGGGAGGAAGCCAATAGGCGCTTAACCCAAATCGGCGCTCCGTTGAAGGCCATGGATAGTATCACCGCCCAGTATAGGCGACAAATTTCCTCCCGCAGATCACCTATACCAGAGAGCAGCCTCTGTAGCGAGCCCGCCACTCCGAGAACTCGGGGTATTATCAGCTCAAAATGCTCCTTTTGACTGAAGTGAAGCCGAGGTACTTGATATGCCGTTACCTCTGTTTACTCCATGCTAACGAGCGAGCGGGTTAGAGCTGCATCTCAGGCCGCAACCGTGGGACCATACCGCTAATCTTTTGGACGACACAAGCTACCACCTACTCGGCCAGCTCCGAGTATTCCTCGGCTTAGTAGAAGACACTCATTCCGAGTGGATGATTAGTTCTTGGGACCTCATTATGCGCTGGGTTCATGAAGAAGAGGGCCTAGGACCGACGCCCGGGGACATAAAATCTTTGCCAAATAACGAGCTTTTTAAGCATTGTAACGATTTAGATGTAGTACTTCAAGATGAAGAATGCAATGACATAGAATCTTATTATAGAGACGTATCTAACACATCTGTAAGTGCAGAAAGAAGTATTTCTACGTTAAAAATTGTTAAAAACTACATAAGAAACAGTAAAATCACCCAAATTCCAATTAAACCTTTTTTTTATATCTCTATGCTTTCTAATATTCTGCCATCGCGCTTTTTTTTTTACTATCATGAGTAGGTATATCGTGCCAAAGCATGTTTGGTACAATAGATGTAGGTACCTATTGCGAACGAAAGAAAAGAGACCTCACTGATGTGACTTCGCCCACGCCTAAGTTAGTTAACGCTACGCCTCTACGGACTAGAAACGTCACAATAGTTAATATTTTATCAACTTAACTGATATAAATAGTAAAATGTATTACGCAATCTGAAATGTAACAATTGTTAATTATACTTCTGATTGATCTGATCGGAAATGTTTGAGTCCACAATTTGAGTCTGGCTTTCCATTGAATGCGGTCCAGACGGAGAAGTTGGCAGTAGTAGTAGACGTAATAACTTTTTCATGTTCTCCCCGTAATATTATTTTGCTCTCGAGTTTTTCATAATGCATCTATTTCTATTTCAACAGGTGCCCATCAGTCAAGATAAAACTTAACCTTGATAACCTATATGCAGCGACGCGTTAAATATAGTTATATTTATTATTTTTGATAATGTTTTTGGACAAAATAACAATGAACCATGGTGTTGATGATATGAACCTTTAACAATAGTGATATGGTTGAACGTAGATCAGACCCTGGTCACAATATTATACTTAAACTTTTTTGGGTAAATTGCAGTTAACGTTTCTTAAGAGTTCATTATTTTAGTCTTTCGTGGTAAAAACCCAAGTATTTTTAACACGGACTAATACTATTTTTAAATAGCTTAGATGGTAGACTCGTAAACAATAACTAACTAAAAAAATATTTAAATCTAACTAAAGAAAACATACGTTATGTTATGTTGTGAGAATCGCAATTTTGTTTTTACATAATAATATGAGACATCTGCTGGTCCTAAAATACGATGTGAACTGATCATTTTTTACCTGTCTTAATGATAATAAGAAACTCTAAATTTCAATAATTTATTTGGAAAAAATCCCGTAGCTCCGAAACAATGTTACATTTGTATACCCCACTCCCACATACACCAAACGACTTGTTAGGGCCAGGGCTACAAAGTCTCTATACAAAATGTTCACTGTTACGCTGGCCTCTGAAGACTACTCAAAGTGTAAAACCAAACAACACTCTGGCCTGTGAAAGTTGTACTAGGGTGTATAATGACATATACACCTGGCGCTGAGCATGTTAAAATGTGAATAATTTATGTTTTTATGGAATAAAATGATGAAGTCACGATAAACTAAACCAATGTCACGACTAGCGTGCGACTAGACGAGCACTGATTGAACTAAGGAGCTATGAAGCTAACAGCTACGAAGAGCATAATTAAATGTTATATATTTACATGTAAATTTGTACATTTTGTTCAACATATTTTCTTTAACATTAGTCAGAAGCAGACTTCTTAGGCACTACTTAACACTTCGTACTTACGTAAATAAGCACATGTGGCTTGAGATGTTTGATGGCAGTAGCAACTCCAGCGAGCAGTCCACCGCCCCCAACTGGTACCAATACTGCATCTACATCACGAACCTGTTCCATAATCTCCAATCCCACTGTGCCCTGACCTGCCATTATGTGTGGATGGTCGTACCTATAAGGAAGAATTGGGTAACACTGATTAGTTTATTACTAGAGTTTTTCTCACTGGCCACTGTTACGGTCCTATGATTTGTATGGTTCAGTTAGATTTCCAGCTTCAATTACTGGGTTCAAGAGCTATTTAATAGAACAAGAATATTAGAAGACGTAACTGTACAAGTTTACATCAAATGGTTTAAAGTTTAAACCTTGTGTAGAGTTTACTTCTTTGTAAACTTTAAACAAAGAAATAAACTCTAAGTTTTATCAATAACATAAAGAAAAGAAATATTGCATTTCATCCATTTGAATCATTTGATTTTATGTAGGTATATTATTTTAACTACCCTAATACGAAGCAATATACGGTAATGGATAACATTTAATTTATTTTAGTGTTGAATGTATGACTTCTCATGTACCTAGATAAGTTCGGAAGATTATAACCTCCTACGTAGTTAAGTAAATTAAATTGAAGTCTTTGGGGCTCAGCCCTTACATAAACGACTCGAGAAGCAAGACTAGCCATAGAATATATCTACGTGTTACGTGTAAATCTGGGTAGGTACATGAAACGTTACCCATTTAAGACATCATCGCTTACCCATTAATATAAGTAAGTCCCCGCTCCTTTCCAAGGGACATTGCATGATGTTTTGCCTCCTTCATGTCATGGCCATACACTATGACGTTGGCGCCGTAGGAGCGACACTTTTCTATCTTCATGATGGGCGCGACGTTGGGCATCACGACGGTTGTAGGAATTTTCAAGAGTTGTGCGTGGTAACTAAGAGCTTGTGAGTGGTTACCAAGAGATGCAGAGATCACACCTCTAGCTTTGTTCTCATTTGAAAGAAGCAGCAACGCGTTTCGTGCCCCACGTTCTTTAAAACTGAAGAAATGGTAATATATGGTATAATGACAAATGAGTGATATTATTTTTTCAGAGAATATTCATAACGACTTCGGATGTAGCTCGTAATAATGAGTCACATCTGAAAGTAACAACGGCGCATTGTTAAAAATTATATAATTATGTTCGTATTTATTGTTGCTTTTAAGTATCAAACACATCTATTGTTCTGAAGGCATAAAGCGATAGTCAAGCCGTTTGTCCCTTTGTCATTTTTCTAAAGGAGCTGATGGGTTTACTATTCCTAACAAAAAGACATTTTAATCAAGAAAACTTCTTATTTTAGGTGAGTCCCGACTCGACATCAGATTAACCGGTGGCATCAAAGAACAGAAAGCGCCTTCCGTTGGAACATCCATGCATACAGAAACGAGATTTTCAAACCAAGTGACGCCGGATACGAAAACCCTTATTGTAAATGAGTCGTAAAAATAATAAACCTTTATTTGCGAATATGAGTACAAAAGTAGGTAAAGTTGTTACGCTCCTCCATACTCCACCTTGTGGCATGCAAATATTTCAAGATACAATTATTTTATGTATTACGAGTATAATTTCACTAAAACATAAAGTAGTAATTTAATTTTGTTTTAATAGCGGTATAATAAAATAATTTATTTTACATTATGTATAACGGATTATGAGGTACCAAGTTGTATCTTAATTACGATGTTTATTACCTTCCTGTATGTTGTAGGAAATCATTTTTGAGGTAAATCTTCATTCCAAATGTAGCTGACATATGAGATTTCTAAAAAATAAAAAAATGGTTTCATTAAGACCCTAGCTTAAATTACTAAATGTTATGAAACGTTTACGGTAAATTCTTTTTTGTAAGATAATAAATTTTGGTTCGAGTATGTTTATAATATAAGGACATACTATAATGGATAATCGTAGTTATTGTTTACATTTTATGAACTTATTTTCATCAACCATTACGTTTCTTTATTAATATTATTATTTTAAAAAAAATGGCATTTCCTTCCTTTGAGTGAACGGTGATTCGCATTAGTAAAATAAAACTTACCACGCATGGCGTTTTTACAATCTCACTCTGGATTCGGTAAGCAGCTGCCGATACATCTTCAAATGATATTTTTTGTGGGTTCTCCTTATCACACATAGGGTCGTACTCAACCGTCTGTAAAACCATGTTTATTGATAACCCGAAATAATACTATGGCATAATTAATGTGGATATCTGCGCACCGCGATAGTCCTCGACCACCGTCTGGGGAATGACTGCTTCGCAAGTAACGACATAATATCGCTTATTAACACTCTATTTATTAGAATAGAGCAAAGGTTAAAGGTGAATGTAGGTGATGGATAATATCATACCCTGACTATGTGTCTGTTAACTTTTAGATAATACTGGCATAAACCAAGACTATATGTACTTACTGTGGGCTCAAGCTTATAACACTCCATATTATCTGCGCACGTCTTATTTGGCTCTTAAAACAAAATCAAGTGACTGCGTCGAAGTTTAACCAGGAATGATGAATTGATGAGTTATGTATATAATTAAGTTATTGATAACATTACAACGTCATTTTAATACAAAACTGTACCCAAGGTTGTTTTATCATAAGTAGTTTTAATAATTGTAGCATAAATGTTCGAAATAAAAAAGTTTCACGTATGTTTACGTTATCTGAATATCGTCAGTATATGCTGCGTATTTTTACATATGTTATTTTAAAAAAAAATCATGTGCGAGAATTGTAAACTGTAATTACCGTGCCGTTAGACTGATGATAGTTTGAAAATCATTTTATTTCCTTATGCTAAATAAACTTCTTTAGCTATACACCAGATATCAATTTTGTAAAAAAATATATTCTATTAGCGTTTCAAAGGAAATCCTTTTCAAATTGTTTTCTTTCACCGTCTCCTCTTTTAAGTAGGCGTAGAACATTAATATACACGGTGATTTTGAAAGCGTTTTGGAAAAGAAAATTTTGAATTATTTATCAATAACAGAAGCTATATATAACGTTAATTTAATAATTTTTTTTTTCATCAAAGTCGATATTCATATCGTTTACAGAGAAAAAGTGAGAACCAGTAGTAGGGCTCTTCAATCACACGGAGGTAAATACTACAAATATAAATACTATGCGTTTTAATATCTAGTCACATAAAATCGTATTCGCCAATAAAAACAAAGCTACCGAGTTGCGCCGGAGTCGTCCAACCAATGACGTATGCCCCGTAGGCGCATGGGCGGGACTCAACCACAACTTGCTGCCAACTACAACTTGGAAGAGGCTCGGAGTTTGTATTCCCAGCCGGAGCATTTAAATGCACTACGGCTACGTGGAATTGAAAGCCCTCAAATTCCCTCCACACCTACCATCTTGGCTGCAACCATACGTCTTCTCGACCACGGACAATTTCGTGCGCCTACTCATGCGCAAGGTCAAGGACGTTTAAATTATTATTCGCCGAAGTGTAGTGCGTGCATACCTGGACAATGAGTTTAGTGATCGGTGAATAGATCGAGGAGGGCCTGTGCCTTGGCCACCTAGAAGCCCGGACTTAACGCCCCTGGATTTTTTCTTATGTTCGGAAATAAAAAGACTTGTTTATACACGGGAATATGAAAGCCGTGATGATTTACGCATTGCGATAGTGGACGCTTTTGATTAAGTGAAAAGTGATAGAGACACATTAAGAAAATTAAAAAACAATTGCATTAAACGTGGACGTTTGTGTATTGAACGCAGCGGACTCCATTTTGAGCAGTTGCTTCGATACAGAGAAGAGTAAATAGTGTAAATAAACTGTAAATAGGTACCTATGTAAGTTAATTATTCTGTAGATAGCTCCGATTTTTTAAATACGCCTGAAATATTTATACCTACAGTCCGTTGATAAATTGATTTGTTGTGGAAAGAACAATCATGGTTAATAATCGAAAAGAAGTTTCAATGAAATAGGTATTTCCGACGGTCCTAAGCCCGTGTAAAGTATGAAGGACAAATTGGAGTCTATCTACGTAAGTACTCGCTAGCTCGCGCCTATAGCTATACTTTTATCAGCTGTTGTTAGCGTCAGCGGTGCGCAGCGGCCGCCGAAACGCCCACGGACATGTTTCATTCATATAAGATAATGAATGAATGATCAGTCCTTTACTACTTTCCAAGTCGATCGAGTAAAAATGAATATTAAAACTGAAACATTTTTTTAGACAACAATACAATTGATTTAATCATTTTTATTGGTACTATAGATGATTCCAAATTAAAATGTTTCGTTTCCAAAACGCCTTTTTTTTTTTTCGTGCGGAAATCCCCTCGGATACCACAAGTCGGTGGCATGTCGGACTCGAACCGACTAAAACCGCACGCCGTCTCGGGTACTAATAGCCGGGGAACCAGGTATACCCTAGAAAGGAAGTCCCTGGTACATCGTTTCCAAAACGCCTATAAAATCACCGTGTATACTTACCATCATTCACGGCAAAATTTAAAATGGTAGAACAATATGTTGGAGATTCTCGAACAGATCGATCAGTTTTATAGATACCTACACGTCTCATGAATGACCAAGGAAATCACAGAACTTGTCTAATGCTATGTAATGTAAAGGTTCTTAACCAGTTTTCAAGTAGCAGATAGGCGACGGGATCCAATTCAGAAAGAGCTAGATCGTTTCTTTGACACCGTCATCGACCAATGTTTAATGACTAAATTAATGTTTAAGTTCTCTCGAGATTGAAAACCTACTTGATTTCCTGCCACCGGGAGCAGTGACCATGGTTTGGAAAAGGCTGCGCCAAGGACCGTATTCCTAATATGACATAATGGTTCAGAGGTGTGGACGCTAACATTCTGGCTAGTCAACCAAAAGTCGCGCAGCGGACATAAAAACGAGCTATAGGTGCGAGAACCAATTGCCATTGGATGAAACGAAATCAAAAAAAAAAAAAACCCTAAAGTGGATCAAAAACGGAAGATAGGAAGCATCCAGCCATCTGGATGAGAAAAAGAACGAACTTATGTCAGACTTTGGAAGAGACCTCCATCCACATATTTAGGCTAACTGATTTATTAATTGATTCGCTGTATCTTCACCCCTACTTCACACGGTAATGGTACCTCTACTATCCTATCTCTACCAATCTCTGTTAAGAAAAAAAAGTGAATTAATTAAAATTCTAAAAGTATCAAAATCACTCAGTCCAACTACTTCCCGGTCTACTCTTCGACGCACTTTAAAACTTGGATTGCGTTAAAAATTTCAATTTTTTCGTCGCATATTGTATAAGTAATGAGGAAATCAATGCTATGAAGCTTTAGTAATAAGTAGTTAGAGAATCTCAGCAGCGATTAGCATAATATCGTCTAATTTGTAAGTTCATATTACTATTGAAATAAAAACGAGTGTGCTTTAGACCACACGACTAAAGTAAAACTTTTTGGCTATGAGAGAAAAAGAGAAAGAAAATGTGTGCTCTCTCTCTTACCCAACAATAACATACGAAACGTAACTCTCTCTTTCTATCTTCACTAACTTATATCCCCCACTCGTCACACATTTACCAGGTCTTACTCTCCCCAGGTCAAGCGTGCATAAAGAAGTTTTATTCATTAGATTCCCGTTAAGTAGAGTAGTAGCAATTTTTTGTAAATCTGGCATCATAGTAGGTTTATATTTATGTTGTAGTTGTTACAAGTGTGTTTCAATCATTTATCAATCTCAAAAAAAGGTATTTGTAATAGTCTCTCGTCACAGCACGTCAGATATAAAAATGAGGTTTATTTATTTGTTGTCTATTAATTTGTAGTAAAAGAAAATAGTAGATAATAAAACAAAGTAATCTTGCAAAAAACATGGTCACACTGAATAGATTTCATTTTATGACATTTGGCTTAAAGGTCTTATTACCAGGCCATAAAAATACAAAAAAAAAAAAGTGACATTCTGCATTCACATTGACAGTTAACACTTGATTGATAGTCAAAGTCAAGCAACAGTTTACTTATTGTTGATTCTGTCTGTCTATGAATGTAGAAAAATTGTTTTGAAGAGTACTTATAGCTTAATATTGTGAAAATTATACTTCCACCATGCCATACGCTAATCAACCTTCTGTACACATAACGGAACTAACAGATGACAACGTAAAATTCGTTGTCGAAGATACCGAACTTAGCGTCGCAAACAGCATGAGACGCGTTTTTATAGCAGAAACACCAACAATGGCTATTGACTGGGTACAACTGGAAGCAAATTCTACTGTACTAAGCGACGAATTCTTAGCTCATCGCATTGGTCTTATTCCACTTATATCTGATGATGTAGTTGACAAGATCCGTTATTCCCGCGATTGCATGTGTGCCGACTTCTGTTCTGAGTGCAGTGTAGAGTTCACACTTGATGTAAAGTGTACTGGCGATCAGACACGACATGTTACAACTGCTGACCTAAAGTCTAGTGACCCTAGAGTGGTACCTGTCACGTCGCGTCACAGAGACGAAGATCAAGCAGATTACGGGGAAACTGATGAAATTTTAATTATTAAGCTTAGAAAAGGGCAGGAGCTGAAGCTAAGAGCTTATGCAAAGAAAGGTTTTGGCAAGGAACATGCAAAATGGAATCCAACTGCAGGTGTCTCATTTGAATATGATCCAGATAATATCATGAGGCATACATTGTACCCCAAACCTGATGAATGGCCTAAGAGTGAACATACTGAACTGGATGAGGATCAATATGAAGCTGAATTCAATTGGGAAGCAAAACCTAACAAATTCTTCTACAATGTTGAATCGTCTGGAGCACTCAAACCAGAAAACATAGTACTTATGGGAATTGTAGTATTGAAAAATAAACTTTTAAATCTACAAGTGCAGTTAGCTCAAGAAGCTCAAAATGATGCATTAGCAATTAATTAATATGTAGTTTAGGATTCTGTAATTAAATAATTATGATATAATTAATTCATTGTGTTTTATTATACATATATTAAACAATTACAGCAATTAAAGGTATTAATTTGGTTTACAAAATGTACTTTTGAATTATCAGTGAGTCAGAATAAGTCAAATGTAACATTTGTAAAGTTACTTATTCCTATGCAACAGAACTAACCAGAAACTAAATATATATTAAACTATTTGCCAATGTTTCTTTCTCGTGTCAATTGCTGCATTGCCTATAAGTATGAATATAAGTGAGGACAATTTAAAATAATGAATTATACAGTTGCACATAATTACAGGTACAAATGTCTATATAATTACTTCATGAGTAGTGCTAAAGTTAAACTAAACAAACTTGCTATCTGATAATACCAATGCTAACTTAGGAAAAAACTATATTTTTTTAAACTGCTGCTTTCAATTAATATAACCCTAGCAATTTTATTTATCTACACAAAATCTCCCCACATACAGACGAGAACATAGTTGATTTAACTAATTATATACACATCTTTGCAAGTGCTTAGAACTCAACTCTTATTATTATGTAAGATTTAGTAAATACTTTTTTCAACAGATGTACAACTTAAATAAATATGTATATCACTTAGTATTCCTGAGATCAATTATTTGATATCAAATCTGATAAGAAACTGAGTATTACCAATTTAACATTGTGAAGTTTAATGAGATTAAGTCATTTCAAATGTGATAAAGAACCATGATTTGATCGTTAAAATTATATTAACTACATTAATGTAGGTAGTACTATTGCTCATTTTATATGCACTTCATATGTGTGGTTAGATATTTGAAAACTCATTCATGTATCAAAAATAAAATCTCAAATTTATTTAATAAGCGATAAGATTTAGATTACAAACAAGTACATAAACGAAAACAAAAATTACTCGATAGTAAAATTACAACATAATATACTATATATAGGGCAACAAAATATATTTATTATCAGCAAGAATTTTGTTAGTTTCAATAAATATTTGCTTGAGGCATACATCATGATAAATGATCATGAAACATTTCACATCACACACATCATCAGCCTTTAATAGTCCACTGCTGGATATAGGCCTCTCCTTAGAAAGCAGGTTTAAGAAACATTTACTTCTTTAGAATTGACTCCAGTCCTTGAGATGAATGTAACAAATTTGAAAAAATATTAATCTACTCCTTTTTTGAGTCTTTTAGACTCTAGACCTCCACACTTTATAAAATAAAAATTTGTAGTGAGGATGGATTGACGCGGACAAACATGGACTGAGCCAACAAATCATCTCAATGACTTACTTTTGCACTGTGAAAATGAAGGTATAAATCAGTACAAACAACAGACTATTACTAGGCTTCTATAAGAGCTTCTATAGCCTTTTGAAGATTTTTGATTATTTTTTATGTATAAATTTACTTTTTTGTTAATAGCCTCTGAAAATAAATATTTTACTGTGTCATCATATTTATTATTTAGACCTTTAGTCTACTAAAATTAAGACCACTAAATTAAAAGACTTTTTATGTCATTATCTGCAGTCGATTTGAAAAATTTGATATTACTAACTTATATTAGTGTATTATCTATGGATATTACTACGAAACAAACAAAATTTACTTTACTGTTGCTCAAATTTTATTGTGACATAACAAAAACTAGTGATGTGACGACTCGACTATTGAAATCGGTTTGAGCATGAACCGAGTTGAATCGGTTTGCCCGTGGTCTAAACCGGTTGCGCCGTGTCATAAGATCGCGCTGCACTTCGCGTCGTACCATCGAGCTCGCAACTCCTGCTGTACCGACCGAACAAAACTGATTTATCTAAAAACTGATTCTGACCCGAGTCGACATGACACTAAATCTTTATCAATTTACTTACAAGCACAAACTATATTATTATGTTCCTACAAAATCGAATACGGTTAGTGAGCGTTGTTTAATAATAATTTAATACAAAAACCGATTTACTAACCGTTCGGAACCAAAATGAGAAAAAAGAAGGCATGACAATCGTGTTACTTGACTGGGTAATTTGTTGTACTACCAAGCAATTCATACCGTCGCTGCGTTGGTCGTCGGTTAGTATAGGTCACTTTATGTAAACTTGGTTGCAAACCATGTTGCACATTTCTTTCGTATGTTACATTCGTTCGACAACTCGTCCTACGGTTAAAACCGCGGTTTCTTGCAATTTCAACGGTTCGATTCGGTACTGAATCACATGCATTGTCTAACCGAATCAACTCGGTTTGCCAAATTTCCAGACCGTACATTTCTAACAAAAACATCTCCTGTTGACGTTTTCAAAGATTGCCATTACATTTTTTCTAAGCAAATGTATATTTTTGGAATTTACAAACCATTCAAATCAGCAAGCTACTATTGTACGACCAGATTATGTGAAAATAATAAAATTATCAAGATACCTCAGTCCTCTTCAGATATTTCTGCATTTTCTTGTCTATTATTAGCTAATAATACTTGCTGTAGGCACAGTGGAATGTTTGTAGCTTCACTTATTCAACTAAACTGACTTGCATCATAAAGAGTGCAGTCGTTTTATGATTGATTGTGAAAGTATATCCTTCAACAATACGAGGTATAGAAATGATACAAATAGAGAATTTCATCGAGTACAATATTTCAATTTTATTTAATTCATTAAAAATACTTACTATGTTTTAAACGTTTGACGACCATCACGGGTCTTTTTACGAGAGTCCCGTGATGTTGTTCAAACGTTCGATGGCGAAACAAGCACCGCTCAGATAGGGTGCTGTTGCTTGCTTGAATTAAAATTACGTGCGCGCTCTTAGCACCCTCAACATCATATCGGACAAGATTGTTGTCAAAATGAAACATTGTTGCTCAATACACATTGTACATTTTCTATGAGTGATGACTACACATAACAAATAAAATTATAATCACGTAGACTGGGTCAAAGTCGATGTTACGCAAAATTTCTTTAGGTCAATTTGTACTTAATTAAAAAGTTATGAAAATGAAGTCTATTATTGTACTAAGGGGTTCTATATTCAGCAAAATTATATAAGAACTTTATAGCGATTTCTTTTACTGTGCCCTCTGCTAACGAGAGAGATACCTAGCTACTGTAGACTACTGTTGTCCAAAATCCTAGTTATGAGACGAAAAGGGACAAAGAGAGGTGACTGTACCTACTATTAGTTCAGTTTTACCTAGGATAATAGAAATAGGGGGAGTGGCGATTTGCGCAAGATGGTTGGCAGGAGCTGGATGCGAGAAGCCTAAAATCAATCAAGATCAATGGCCAGCAGTGAATTGACGATGATGGGTAGAAATATTATTCATCATCATCATCATCAACAGCCTATACTAGTCCACTGCTGGACATAGGCCTCTCCTTAGAAAGGAGGTTTTGGCCTACTATACCACGCTGGCCAGACGGGTTGGTACAGGGTTTGTTTCAAGTTTTCCTCCTCTTTGCAGTGCTGTTGTCCTGCTTAGTTTGCTCCCTTAGTCGGCTCTTACGACACCCACGGGATGAATTGGGGTGGTGACAATTTGTATTCTTAATCCGTCACCACACGGAACGGACGAAATATTATTATCCTGGGTAAAACATGGTAGAAATATTAAGTAAAAGTTATAAACTAGAACCTATGGTAGCAGATTAAGTACTGCGGGGATATGTTGGAGGCGTGATTGCACCAAAATACGATTGCGTCGCATGCACAGTGTACATCGTCGTTCATGCAATATGTCCAATATTCAAGTACTTAGTAGCAAGATTAAGATTAAAGTGAACGAAAATTAACAAAAATATAATACTTCGGCATTACACACAGATAAGTTTAAACAATGAAAGTAGCAGTCATGCAAATTATTTCAGTATTTTCAGTATACAGGAATTATGGAAAATATCCAGTTGATCAATTTTACCATTCAGCATATTATCTTGCATGTACCAAAGGAGAGTTTACTCTCCTTTGGTACCACATACCACATACTATTGGCTCGTGCATCCCCTAGGCGCCCGAGATCCGAAGGGATTTTCGATCCCATCACCAAAAAAAGGGTGAAGATTCTAAAAGGTGAGTATGAAACGCCCAATACTACCTATGCCAAATAAGCGTAATCTAATTTTAATGTGGTGACGGAATCAGAATATGCAGTGTCACCACCCCTATTCATCCCGTGGGTGTCGTAACAGCCAACTAAAGGAGAACACTACGCAGATAACAGCTCTGCAAAGAGAAGGAAAACTTGAAACAAACCCTTTTTTTTTTAACGTGTGGAAATCCCCTCGGACTGTCACCCCGCCGGGGCTCTCATTCGGCGGGGCGGTGTGTCGGACTCGAACCGACTAAAACCACACGGTGTGCCCTCTTTGCGCTTCCAGTTTAGGAGGGGTCCAGGTAGTTATCGCCTTCTGGACCCCTCCCAGCGCCGGCCCGCTCCTGTTGCGGGCTCCGTCTCAAAATTTTTCCTCTCTTTAGGCGACGTCCAGCACACGCAGACGCCACCCCCTCGCGGCTGGCCAACTAATGCGGGTGGAGGGGAGAACCCATCCCGTCCACCCGCGGCCACACTCAGGGCGGCATGAGGTGCAGGTAAGCGCGCCTCCGCCGCCCGGTTCGCCGGCGGCGGATCAGGTCCGAGTGGAGGTCGTCCTCCCGGGCCTTCTCCGCCGCCTCCTTCTGCGAGATTACCTTCTCGCAGAAGGTTGCGACCGCGGTAAAACAAACCTTCTCGCAGAAGGTTGCGACCGCGGTAAAACAACTGTCGCTACCGGCCGTGGAGCGAATTACGGCCGGTAGCGAGAGATCTGCTCCGATGACTGCAGTGAGGGCCCGGCGCTGCGTCGCCCATGCGGGGCAGACCGCTAGCGTGTGCTGGGCCGAATCCTCACTGCAGTCGCAGTGGTGGCAGGTGGGACTCGATTCCCTTACTTTCCGAACCGCCACCCACACCGGTGCACCATAAAGCGCCATGGACCGGACAACCCCCGCGTACAGCCGCCTCGTGGGAACACTGGCCCCTCCCAAATTGGGCAAAAGTCGCCCTAGGGCGGAGGCAGTGTCCACCAGCTTCGGACCAAGCTGTCGGAAGTGCTCGTCGAAGAGCCACCTACCGTCTAGGACCAGACCCAGGTACCTCATCTGGGCCCGGACCGGTACGAGGACCGAGCCGACCTCGATTGATTGGCGGGTGGACCACGGCGGGGCCCATGAAATAATAGGGCCTCCGTCTTATCCAGGGCCACCCGTAATCCCAACGCCTCAATGCGCCCGACCACCTGGGAAACTCCCGTGGCGGCCAGGCGCGCCGCCTCCTGGAAGTTAGCCCCCCGGGCCGTGAGTAAGGTGACATCCGCGTAGCAGATTACACCCAGCCCGGGAGGGAGACGCCCTCGTAGGGCCCAGTCGTACCCGATGTTCCACAGGAGAGGTCCTAGGACAGACCCCTGCGGAACACCGCACGACATGGCCCTGCGTCTCAAGTCGCCCTCTCGGTAACTTGAAACAAACCCTGTACCAACCCGTCTGATCAGTGTGGTGTTGTAGGCCATAGCCTCCTTCCTAAGAAGAGCCTTAGAAAGGAGGTAATGGCCTGTAACCTATGCCCAGCGGTGGACTATAAAAGGCTGTTGATGAATTTTTATAATCCTTTTTAAATTTGGCGATAAAATGCAGAAAAAGTATTCAACACTCAGCAGGAGTTAGTTGTGTAGCAGTTAGATATTTCTTAATAAAATATCATGTGGCAATGCCAAGACATATCTACCCCAAAGTATAAATTAAATAAACCACCTGCTTAAAACGTAGATACACATCGATTAATGAAAACAATAATTTTGCATCACTCATGTTCCACCATGTAAGAAAGTTACAATGAAAGCGAAATCAAAACCGCGGAACATGAATAATGCCAAAAAAACATTGTAGAAATGTGTTTTTTCTATTATGGGGATCGATTTTTTTTTCGACATTATCGAAGGTATCATTAGTATCTACTATCGTCTATTTTCGTTCTCGGGATTGTTTCCCTAACATTCTGTATGATCCATTATGGTAGACATTGTACAAGACACTAGGATTCATCGTTTCCTTATTGTTTATTGTTCTATAACCTTTTTTCATTTCCTACTTTATGATCAGATACACCATAAATTATATTAATGACGTCAATAACTATATTGAATCCATCCTTAGGCTTTACATTTTCTCAATACATTTTTAACCAATTTACATATAAAAAATTACCAAAAAAATGCCTATTGTAAGGGAACTTTCTTAGAGTGCAGACAGCGTTTCGGAAGGTTAAAGATAAAAAAAAAGTGTATTCCTCCTATAAAATGGCACAAAAAACTTATGATCCAGTCAATTATGATATCGAGAATGCTGAATCAAACAGGTGGAAAAAACAATTCGAAATGTTTGAGGTGAGGCAATTAGCAACAATATTAGAAATTTCTGTAATCACCATATTTTATTTCAAATCAACATTCTTGACAGAAACAGGGTAGCTGAGAAAATTATTTAGTAAGTTAAGAATTAGAGTCCACAAACAGCACCCGGCATAACACAATTACAATGCAGGGAAACGATTATAAAATAAAGACATTACCTTATATATAGGTACAGGAATCTAGTCAGGGGTATGTTAATAATAATTTGTAGTTAGTAATCTGTTGCAATTCCCTTTAATCCAGGCATGTGGCAAAAAATCGAATCCTGACAATATAAGCAAAATCACATTGAAGTTACAAGACATTCAGGACGCACATACGAGAATAAAAAATGATGTTGTTCACACCCCAGTTATTGTAAGTACATTCATAATGCCGTCATGTAATCATTTCGTTTATGCAAACAATACTTTACATATTTGGCTACTAATAGATTTTGTTTAAACGTAATTTACCTATATCAGTCCTCCTCCTCTTTGTGTTGTTGTCCACGCCGCTGATCGAGGTGACCTCTACAAAACATCCTTCCATCCTTCAGCCTCTCCACCTATTGTGGTCCTCAGCTGTGCCTATCGCTTCGCAGACATTTTCGTTGGTGGTGTAGCGAATCTAATCTGTCCAGCACATATGCCTCCTCTGCCGTGATAATCCAATACACTGTAACTTTTGAAAACGACTTTTGACTTTGAAAGCTTTGTTACAGTTTTTTACCATGTTAAAACCCTAATTTCAATACAGTACAGTATTTTTAAGATTATTGTCTCTTCTACACTTTAGAATAACAAAACTGTTGATCAGGGGTTACTAAACCGACGTAAAGAAACTAATTGAGCGTTGTTAAAGCAAAACACTGCAAGTCGAGTTAGTCTTTTGGATTGGCCTTCAATCCTTCCTCGTGGCTGCTTTCCCTGTGTTTTTGCAGATCACTGCCCCCTTTGGCTAAATTTTAAGCGGATAAAAGAACGCTTTCGTTTTTTCAAGTATAATCGCTTAGTAGAAGAATTTGTTATTTTTACAAACAATTATGTTATAATTTATTATATATATATTAATTATTATAATATATTAATTAATATGTTATAATTGTTTGAATAACTTACTTAAATATTCCATATAAATCTCATGTTGTTTCCAGGAAACCAAATACATAGGAAAAGATTTCTGTAATGTTTTCCTGAAATGCGAGAATTTTCAACATACTGGAAGGTACGAGTTCAGATAAAACTGATTGGATGACGCTCACTAGCGATTTGCCGTAGAATAATGTTTACATATAATTAAGTTTACAATATTTAATAATTTTTAATTACAGTTTCAAAGCGCGTGGCTCTTGTAATGTTCTATCTTCTATGTCCCCTTTTGAGAAAAGTAAAGGTTGTACAGTATCGGGAAGCCGAAATTTTCTCTATGCCATATCATACTACGGCTTTAGACAATCCGTACCCATTAATGTGATTGTACCAACAAACTGCCCTATTGCTGACAAGCAGAGGTTCAGAGAAAACTTTGCAATCGTCAAAGTGCATGGTAATGATATAAATGAAGCTAACTTGCATGCACTTACGTATTCGTCTGAAAGTGGATCAACTTATATACACGGGTAAGGCATTTCTTTCATATTTATTAGCTTTTGTTATCTACGTTCTAATAAATAAAATGTGATGAATCTGTTGTAAATTGGAGCATAGATTGCAAATTATTCTTTTTTTTTTCCTTTAAAAAGACAACTCCCGCACTAGGAATATATCCCGTGTCGCGGGGGACTTTATAAACATACATGAAACGGACACAAAGAACACCCAGACTCAGAACAACAATTCGTGGATCACACAAAGTGTCGTCCCATGTGGAGATCGAACCCACAACACTCGGCGTAGTAATTTATTATGTCATATAGGGGAGAACAGGGCAATGGGCGCCTACTAAGGGAAAGTTTTGACAAAAACCACGTTTATCAAAATTCTTGTAATTTTTAATTATCAACTCTGACCTTTATTATTAAAGAATACTTTAATCACAGTTATAATCAACTACAGACATGTATTAAGGTACAATCATAGTTTTACAAAAAAAGTCAGGGGCTCCTATTACCCGACAAATGCGGCTAATGAGAGCCCATTTAAGTAAATATGTAATTATTAATGAAAAACAAAATATCCAGACTTTAGAGATTCAAACAAATATAGGAATCTGGACTATCACTGCCAGAGCACTCTTTATGGGCCCAGTTTCCGCAACTTCTGCATCTGTACCACAATCTCTCCACTTTTTCCAGTGTCTAAACAAATTGTCAACAAGTCTAAACACAAACTTTTAATTATATAATTACTTTTAATCTCTTTGGTTTCTTTCTTGGTATGTTTTTTTGTGGTTGTTCGATTCCTTTTACGTGGCATCTAAAACAAAAAATAAGGTATTTTATGTCTCTTAAACGTAATGAGAGCCAAGCTAGGCTACCATTGGCCGCTAACCACAATTTTGAAAAGTAACACCATAAATATGTAATTCTACTTTCAATCACAATACAACTAATTGGACTTGTTAGTAAATTAATCTAGGGATATAATAAGCATAAATACAATAAAATAAGAATACAATTTCATGCTTACCTTGATCCTGGCAATTGTCAATTTTTTGTAAGCGTGGAGCAAAAAACACGCAATCGTCCCTCGTGACCAAACGAATGACACTAGCAGTTCGAGCGCGTCAGGCGTAGTTTGTGGATAGTTGACGGAAGCAGCCAAGTGCTTACGATCGCGCGAATGTTCATGGGTTCCGTTCAATCACCATAGCTACCATTGCCCGACCGCTCTCATTACCCTGCGTTCCCCTAATGTCGATCTTTCTGTCATAGTATTTTACACCGTATGTAATGGAATATTATTCTAACAAAAGTGTGTTAATTATAAATCAACCTTTATTATTTCATCTAGATCAGATCGTTTGGACTTGTTGGCTGGTTACGGCACCCTAGGCCTCGAGTTGCTTACTCAGATGGACACTATGGACGCCATACTGTGTCCAGTGGGTACGGGAGGCCTCGTTGCAAGTATTGTGCTCGCTGTCAAAAGCCTCAAGCCAAAGTGCCTGATTTACGTATGATTTCTTAAGATAAACTTTTTTCTGAGAATTTGGCGTGTACCTATATATATTATTTATATTGCAATCCTCCAGTGTAAAGTAGGAACCAACCAACCTATGTGAATGTATAAGTATTTTTTTCTTTCTATTGTACCAAAAGAATATCACAATATGAATGCTGTTAAGCTGCTGAATAATTTAAAAAATTAAAGACTAACTAAGAATAAAATTGTAACCACTTAACACGAATAGACATGACGTAGGTAGAATAGTCAAATGAATGACTAATCAATTCCCATTGCAGATATGTAAGACATTTCAAATAATTTACTATCAAATAATTTACTACCTACTGCTCTTTTTTAACATCAGTTAATCTAAGTTTTCTGCCTTGTATTAATTGGTTATTCTTGTAAGGCGCCAGAGCGTCTATACCTACATGTCTATTTATTTTAAAATGTAAGTTGCTAGCTATTGATCCAGGGATCGCTCATGTGGTTATTTGTATTATTATGTTGTGATTTTAAATATGTATGTATGTATGTATGTATAATGTGTATGGGTTCTAGTATATGATAGGTTTCTGTACGTGTATTTGATATTATAACTACAAACAAACTCTAACCAAAATGCTCCTTCCTGTTCTCTCTGCATCACCCAAAGGTTGCCTTGGTAGAGAATGCCTAAGGCATTAAGTCCGCCGATGCACCAAAAGTGCATGATGTATGATTAAATAAATTATTTCGTGTCTCTGACTTTGAAAGTGACAAACTTCCATACAACCGTTCAGCCCTTATTTTAAGTACTTAGGGGTGAAATTTTAAATTTTCTTTCAGGGGTTTCCACGCGTAAGAAAAAAAGGCATTTCATAGATTTTGAATTAGTATAATTTTTTATTAAATTATTTTTGCAAACTATTTGACAAAATAGAAATTGTTGCTATTGTGTGTCTTGATCTACGACTTTAGAGTCTACATAAGAGACGATTTTCAAACAATTTTTAACCTTTTATGAAACAAAGGTATTTTGAGTTCGAGTTAGTCAGATTGATGTGTTGTTTCCATGATAATTGATCATTTTTGTATTTATAATTTATGTGTTTATGTATGTATGTGTGTAATTGTATATGTTAATTTTATATATTTTTGAATAAAAAATACTTTATAACTACTATTACAACCGCAACCTCAGTGGACCCTTCACCTTACTATCTTTCTACACCACCCAAAGGTTGGTTGGTAGAGAACGCTGTTGAGTTCGCATGTACATAAGTGTATAAAGTTGTAAATAAATAAATGAATGCCTAGTCCAAAATTCATTGTCAGATTCCCAAGCTCATCTGATACCTTATATGATACTTTTCATAAGTTTTAATTGAAGTATTTGTTTCATATACTTATAGGCATACTAATTTGTACTCTCACACAGGGTGTCGAATGCGCTGCTGCCCCAGCAATGACAAAAGCTCTACAGGAGAAGAAACCAACCATGATACAACCTAATTCGACTGTTGCCGACAGCCTCACCAACACGATTATCAGCAACAATGCTTTCAATATCATTAGAGGATACATAGATAGAATGGTTTGATAATTATATTTTTTTTCCAAATATGAGTTAATTACCAACTCGGCACATTCTTACTTTTGACAAACTAAAGGCATTGTAGGTCGAGGTCAATAAAAAAAGTAATCGAAGTATTACGTATATTTGAGGTATACCTAATATGTTATTTAATACATTTCGGCGAATACGAGAGTTCAGCAAAACTAAAAGACGTCAAAAATTCCAATTTAACAATAATTTGACAGTTACTTGATTTAATTGAACGGTGACACTGTTAGGATTTGACTCCAGACAGTCAATGGACCGTTCTCTTTTGAAGGCTGTCGAGTAGTTGGACCATATAAACGATACAGCTGATTCACACGTTTAGTTAAAATCAATACCTAATAAAATGGATGATAAGAATTTACTTGACGATTGATATGGTTAGTAAAAAATAAAATGCTAGTCCTTGGGAAGCGCTTCAATTTTTAGAGGAAAACTAACTTAATCTGGCCGAAAAACTTAAACTTAATAAAATAGCCACCGCTTTATCCACCAATGCCATTATTCAGTATCATTTGATATTTTAGATTACAGTAGAGGAAGGATGGATTTCGAGAGCCATGATCAATATAATGGAGCGAGAAAAGATGATAGTTGAGGGTGCAGCGGCATGTCCTGTTGCTGCTATCATGGCTGGAAAAGTACCCGAACTTCGGGGCAAGACGTAAATACTTTTCTATGTAATATACTTTTTTTTTTTTAAAAACGACGTATAATAATAGAGTCAAACATAGTCAGAGACGTGACGTTAAGGAAACGTTGAAGCGCTGCCGAGTGAACCGGTCTTGACGGTTTGCTTGCATAAGTCACCGTCAACTTTGACAACATGAGATTATGAATGATTATACTACTGTAAAACTGAAGAGGTTTTATTTAGGTTTAATGTACTTATTAACCAGACTTAGAACAACAATTTGTGGATCACACAAAGTGATGTCCCATGTGGGGATCGAACACACAACACTCAGCACAGTAGGAAGCAGCGTGGCGACCGCTTAAACCACTACGCCACGCGTGCAGTCATAATAATATGACACAATACATTATGGCATCAATGGATTTGAGGACTGTTTGTAGTTTGTAGCCTTTGTGCAGGTTGCATGTAAATCTACTATTATTGGATATAACATGTTGTATGTTAAATAGCCTTAGGCGTTGAACTTTTAAAAAAAGAAAGACGCAAGGCTCGGACTTACCGGCAATACCTAATTCAATGTATGTAGGTATGTAAAAGTAACAACATAGTATAATAAGTATCTACTCTAAAAGTGTAAACATTAGTGACCTTATACGTTATGCGTCAGTCAGTTGTAAAACGCTCAGGTTCAAAATATCATATTCCTTACCCCAATGGATAACGAATATGACATTTTAAACCTGAGTGCTTACTTACACATATATTGATTTAAAGAAACTTATTGTTTTTGCCAGGGTTGTGTGCATCTTAACGGGAGGCAACATTAACAGTAGCCGCGTGTCCCGAGCGATCGACCGCGGAATGGCTGCGGCGGGTCGGCTAGTGAAGTTCAGCGTGACTATACCCGACGTACCGGGTGCTATGGCCAAACTGCTATGCCGAGTTACTGAACAAGGGGCCGAAATCAAGAGCTTCGTCCCGGAGCGTGCCTGGATGCGACGAGATATCTTTAGTGTTTCTGTAAGCACTTCATACTGTAGTAGAGGAGCCCATGATGCTAAATGGGTATTTACTCGATCGTGATGGGGACTGGGCGATTTCTGGTGTGGCAGCCTGCTCAGTTGAAATATTATTGTAAAGTTCATTTTTATCTATTGAAGGAGATAATGGGTATGTCGGATACTGAGCAAAAATTATAACCAGTTATAACGACATTATGACAACGGACAGCAATACCGAGACGGTGTTAGAGCCACAAATCAGCAAAAGTGGGAAATACATGCTTTACTCCAGTTAGACACGGTACACCATATTGACGATTTTTGTTACTTTGGCTTATCATCATCATCAACAGCCTTTAGTAGTCCACTGGCTGGACATAGGCCTCTCCTTAGAAAGGAGGTTTTGTCCTACCACACCACGGTAGCCAGGTCGTTCAAATTTTCCTTCTCTTTTTCTTAGGCTTATGGATAGTAAGATTATATTTTGTCCGCTTTTCTTACCTTATTATCTTCAAAAAAAAATGCGCTCGGGAATCTCAAGGTTACGTGCTTACCACAAGCTCAAATTATCAGATCATTGAAATACAAACTTTTCAGCATGTATTCAATTGTATAATTGTGTAAGTTCAATTATTTCTGACCATTCAGTAGTAAGTATTCTAATCTGATCAGCTGCCCTAGACGCTGGGCCCTAAATTTAGGGTTCATGTACGGGGGAGGTACTCAACAGGGTGTAATTCCTTCTTATATTAATCTGCCAGGCTCGAGTAAATCCCGAAATCCCTTCTAGGGATTAAATGCTACGCAGTAGGGGAGCCTACTGCGTAGCATTGCCAAGTATATGGATTTCGAAACTACATTAACAGTGTAGCGTCCGTTTGAAACACCCCTACAACAATACAAACGGCGAAACTTACCTGTTTTGTGCTTTTATTGTACCTATTTTTTTTTTGTCGATACATATGTTTTAATGAATTTTATGTTTGGGTCAAGTCAGAAGGAGCATGTCACAGTCACACAGCATAAAATTGATTTTTTTTTAGTGCTGAGTACACCCTTCATCATCATCTCGAACAGCCTTTAGTTGTCTGCTTAGTAGACTGCTGGACATAATATACAACACGCTTCAAAGATAGTTTTTATATATAAAGGAAAATACGACCAACCCAACTGTGCAACCACAATGTGCCACAGCGAAGCGTGGCAGGGTACAGCTAGTGTATAATAAATCTATTATTTTTTTAATTTTCAGGTAAATATGCTACTCGAAACCAGTGACTTTAACCATGCAAAAGTATTGGAGAAGAAGTTGAGCAAGGATTATCCTCATTCACATTTTATCATGTTATAATTTTGTGCAGTTTTGTGAGAGCATCTATATGATGAGCCTATTCTCTTATGTGACAATTTAAACATTTGACAGTATAATAAATATGATTTTAACTAAGGTTTATATCACTCTTCTCTTAGGCCTCTCTTGTTGACCCGGTTTTGATGGCTCCCTTTGCCTCTTTTCACGGGTTAAGTAGATTGCTACTGTTTGAAATAAATATTTTGCACTACTAGATGTGTTTAGGTGCCCTTGAAACTACCGCACGAAAAAAAAACAAAAAAAATGTGCTCTTGAAACTAGCAGAAAGGAAGGTATATGTAACTTTCTTTCTATTTCTCTCAAAATATTAATATACATAATAAATCACTTTTTCGGTCGAAAAGCAGCATACACAGCAGTCATTCAGCATTTTAGGTTGAACCGTATTATATGATGAAAAACTCACTAAAATTTATTTAGAGAGTTAGGCCCAAACCGGCACGATACGAATATAACATTTCGAATCCCGAATATTTTTACGATTTTATTTACTGCTGACGTGAAATTACAACGTACGAAAATTCAGTTTTTCGTATAAAGTTATAATTGTCAAGTTAAAAATAAAGGGAAGAAATAAATAAAAGTTAATGCTAACTAATAAATACACTCACGCCTGTATCCCCGATGAGGTAAACGGGTGGCCTGCGATTGGCGAAGAGTTCAGTGCGGGCCTTATTAATCAATTATAACCTCTTAATAGATTAGGTTATCATATTTAATAGAATAGACGTGTTCGGTGATTACCAAGAATGAACGCCCTTTGCTCCATGGAATGCTCGCTGCCTGCTGAGTTTCTTTTTTGAGGAACTAAAAGAATGTGCATGTTTACAGTTATAAGCTGTCTTTATCAATGTCTATTATAGATAAATTATACTTACGCAGACATAAAACTAATGATCGTGCTCGTTACACAAATAGGTATTTGTCCTGGGTGGGAATCGAACCCACGAGTTCCGGCCTAGCAGTCAGGGTCACCAACCACTAAACCAACAGGCCAGTCGAATTCCAATGATATTCTTATTAAATATGGTTGTACTCAGGGTTGGTCGTACTTTCCTTTATCGCGCGACGCGGGCACGGAAGCGGGGACGCATTTTAAATCTCTGATATCTAACAAGATATTCACTAATGATGGTAAAAGGCAATTTTGATTAACATACAGTGAAATATTATATTGTACAAAATAACTTCATTGTATTGTCTACACAGTTTTGTAAGAAATTAGTTATAATAGGTACTTTGATTAAAGTAGCACCTAATAAGTTACAATACTACCACGACTGCGTTTGACTGCACGGATGGCGTAGTAGTTTAAGCGGTCGCCACGCCGCCGAGTGTTGTGGGTCCGATCCCCACATGGGACAACACTTTGTGTGATCCACAAATTGTTGTTCTAAGTCTGGATGTTCTTTGTATCCGTTTTATGTATGTTTGTAAAGTCCCCCGCGACACAGCATTGTGATACGAAGAAACAGAAACATACTTCAGCGCCATACAAAGACTACACACCGAAAGACGGAGTAGCTACTAAATAAGAATTGCTAATCCTGTATCGCGATATGAAGAATTCCTTCGCAGATTACCATATATATAACTTCCCAACATCAAATGTTGGGCCGCGGCCCGCCAGGCATGATCACCTCGCCTGGTCGGAGGATCCTCCCTTTGTGTTGCAGGGACATGACACCCGTTCCTCCACAGGATATATTCCTAATGTGGAAGTTGGTTTTTATTTTATATCGTATTTTGTTTCTTTTCAATTTGTTTATTTTTATTGATTTTGAATTGTACAGTATTTTTATTTTACTTTTAATTTTTAATTGTATAGTTGTCTTAAAAAAAACAATACTACGAATTTTTTAATACTGTAAGTTACAATTTATTTTGATCTTTGTCTTTAAAAGCATATAATTTAAATTTACGGGTGTTTAATAATTGTATAATAATAATCTATCTTGTTATTGTTTAATTGCTAACATACTTACATTGCTATTTTAGTCCTTCAGGCGCTTAGTGCAAATTCTTATTTTAAGTCATTTTTTGTTAATGCATACCTTTCTCTTGGTTTATTTCATTGAAAAAAATAAAGAACATAAAAGGAACATTTATTTGATTTATATTTTAGAACATTTTGAGCATCCTACCAGAAAATATACAGGTGGCCGGGCTGCAACGTATACGGTGCAGACCGGCCACAAACAATTTCTTTTTAAACAAGATATATTTGTGGTATGTACATTTAATCTATTAATTGGTACAGCAAGAACAATAAAAGAACATTTAATTGATACGTCTGTAAATTACGAAATCGACTGTGGCCGGGCTGCAACGGAACACACAAGATTGTGTACTTACCTATCCTAATAAATATCACTTTTTCTCTTGTAGACAGGTTGTGTCTTTCTATTAGGAATTGCATTTATACTTAGTTGTAACTGCAGCTACCGTTCCAAAGAAAAATGTGCAATTCTGTCGATGGATCATAATCTAGGAGGTCTGCCAATTGTTATCTACAATTATGCAAAAAATAACTCAAAGATCAAATTGTCAGTATTTATCTACTGGCTGACTGCCTTTTTTAACTTCGAGTCATAAATGTTGCAGAAGTCAAGCGGGTAATTTCTGCTCGCAACTTGTCAAATAAATTTCAATGTCAAAACCTATGTAAACGAGATTACTACAAAAATAGAAAATCTTTAGTTTCCAAATTTCCGTAATTAAGTCATAACTATTGTAGTAAAAATGGTGAGTTTAAGTTATAGGCCTTTCGTAGTACCACATCCTTCTAATAAATATGACACTGAGTTTAGATGAGGAGTTTATTTAGCAAGATGTAGAATACAATACCTGTAAATTCAAGATTCTTTTATATTTATTTAATTTTCACATACTTTATAGTTTGGTGGAACATCAAAAAATCAAACACGGTTGATCCTTTTAATCGTTATAAGTATTTATGTAGTGTAAACAAAATTGTAACATAAAATGCTATTTCAAATATCTATAGGTCGCGTGTCTGTTGCCTTTGTGGGAGGGTTATAATATAATTGAGTTTGATTTGTTTTATAATTGAGAGAATATAATTGAGAAGAACTGGAGATCTGAACCCCAAACTTCATCAGTGCTGAAACCCCATTAACACTGTGTAAATGAAAAATTTATTTAAGTTTATCATATTTTTTTGCTGCAGGAAGAGTTGCAAAATAACTACCCGCACGTCTTAACGTTTAATGAAATAAAAAAAGCTGCAGAAACGATAGAGGATGGCATTATCCATACTCCTCTTTGCGTGAGTCGATTGCAATATCATGATTTTGTAAACTTAGCTATTTTTTTTTAATAATTTAATTAAAAAATATTTAAATATTTACATTGGAAATGTTAGCATATTATGCTATCATTCCCAAAAAGTCTGAAACATCATTTACTACTTATTATTTTTTATTTTGTAAACTATAAACTTATGTTACGTTCGCGGAAAAGCAGTAAGAAATACCAACCACAGCATTCAACTTGTTAACTGACACGTCATATTATGTACCTTCATATGTTTACTACTTATATAACGATATAATAATAAGATAGTAAATTAATTATAAATGAGGCAACCTAGTTATACAGGTTGTTTAACTATATACCTACTTACCTACCTAATCTACCAATACGATTCTTTTCAGGAGGCTAAAATGACTAAATTCATGGACTATAATGTATACCTAAAGTGTGAAAACTTACAATATACTGGAAGGTATTTACGACTATATATTTTGCTTTCTTTAAAAACAACTTAGGTCATGCTGTAAAAAGTATGACGTCTTTAACATGCGGTTATTCAAAAATTGTAGAAGCAAAATCATTTCTCACGAGTTATTTTGAGCTAAAAGACCAAAATAAAAGAAAGTACAAATTAATTTCAACCACTTAATTACACAGTAATGAAATTTATGATATTTCGGAAGGGTAGAATTCTATGGTAGATGTAACCGTTGTGTCTTTCTTGGTAAAACAAAGTTTCTAGAAATTGTTTAGGTTCTATTGATACAATAATTCATCGTTTTTTTTATAGTTGCGCAGAACGTGGAATTCGTAATGCTTTAATTGGTTATGGTAACGACATAGCAGCCCATGGGGTGATTGTGCCCTCCCACGGAAACATGGCACTTGCAGCAGCATACCACGGCGTTAGTCTCGGCATACCGGTACGTAGCAGTAATAGTCCCAATAATAAATACGTATGTAGTAGAGCAAGACAATCGAAAAGGATTTTTCCGTTTTAGATTCGATAGATTTAGACTAAATCAAGTATTATTATTTATCATACATAATACTTTATTTGGTCGTTTGATTGGTTAATAGTCTCTTTTGTAATATATGGATTTTCTAGTGGCTGAAAGACATACATACTCGCCATTATTCTAGTTTGTACATGCGTTTTATAGCAGCCCTTCTAGTGTTGCTAGTTTTACGTAGGTTTATGAAGTACCTTTTCAAGAATTAGTTCAATCCCAAGTACCCTACTATTACCTATAGGTGACGGTAGTGTTACCCGAAAATACTCCACCGTCCCACGCACAGCGGTGCTCAGAGCTTGGCGCGGACGTGGTACTGGTCGGTGATACTCTACAGGATTCCACTTTTTACGCGAAAAAAGTCTTACGGGATAGTCATCAGCTATTGATAACGTAAGTTGCTAATATATTATATCTACTAGCTATTTCTCGCTGCTTTCATGTCGTGTTTGTAGCTTTGAAAATTACGAACTTACATACAACCAAAAATAATTCCTTAGTGAATGCTTATAACATAAAAAGCATAAAAAAAGTTCCTGCTTCTAACAAGATTTACGAACGCTTTGTACTAGTATGTAGTACCTACACAAATGTTAGAGCTTAAGAAGAGCAGTGAAGAGAATTATGCTGGGCTGCCTCTATTATATTACTTGTTGTAGTGAATATGGTTGAAGCTTAACTCGCCTCTCCAGACATCAGCTGAATCTCACTTTCGTAACACAAATTTTCTTGTCAATTGTAACACAATGTAATTTGTGGAGATGCAATGTTCATTGCTTTATTTTTATTTTTTTTAGTATAATAAATATTCTCTTTAATATTTTAGCTTGTTTGACGATGTTATCTTTTGGACTAACGTACCACAAGGGCACTTTTTATTAATGAAACGTTTATTTATCTCACTTTTGTAACACAAATTGAGCGATACGGATGGTCTTTGTATAATAATCTTTTTAATATTTGAGCTTGCTTGACGGTGTTCATCTTTTGGACTAACATACCACAAGGGCACTTTGGATTAATAAAACATTTTTTTTTGTTGTTAATAATTGTTACCAATGGTCAAAAATATCCTCAGTTCCAATCCAGTATTATTAAAGTTAAGTGAATTATTTAATTAAATACCTATTACACTACAACAGTTCAGATGACCCCTATGTAATGGCTGGCTTAGGAACGGTGGGTGTGGAAATCATAACGCAGTTGCCTGAGACGGACGCGGTGATTGTGCCCGTAGCGAGTGGTGCACTCCTGGCCGGTGTGCTCATCGCTTGCAAGAAACTGAAGTGCTCTTGTCTCGTTTATGTGAGTTTATTGTAGGTACATTGTGAATTTGTTTTCAGCAGTATTTTTGCCTCGGGCATTGAGAACCAAACCTTAATATCTGAGAATACCTTTGTCGTACATCGCACTTAATTGCAGAAAGTGCTTCGTTTGCTCATAGCCCAAATATTTTTCTATCTAAATCTTTGTTTAGATAAACTTTGGTTGTTTTTCTGACAGTTAATTTGGGATATATTCTAAGTTGATATCGGGTATAAATATTTAGAAACAAAAAGTGTGTGTATCAGCTCCGACGCACGACTGCAGGTTACTCCTTAACAACGATTCGGCTGCACACTAGTAGGTATACAAGTTGCGCACAAAAAACGTAAAGAGGTCATTCGAACACTACATTTTTGTGTTCACATTTTTTTCATATCGGGCGCTAAGAAGTAAACTCCAAAAACTACACCCCAATACACAATACAGAAATTGTAATTTAGGATACAAAATAACATACATTCATACTTCATTTGAATATACCTAACCATCTTTTCACAGCTGACAACATAAAAGAAACATTTAATGACAGTTCAGTAGTTGAGATGTAAATGCTTAATAAAAAAAAAACTAAAATACACACTATTTATAGAAAACCTTTGTAGATATATCGAGGACCGATGACAATACACTAATTTAAAAAAAAATAGTTTTAAAAAACTAAATAACACGCTATTTATAGAAAACCAAACAAAAAAATTGAAAATAATTTTTAATAAATTTGAAAAAAAAGCGTGGGGTGCTTTTTACTATTGACAACATTTTCTATAAGTAGCGTGTTTTTTAGTTTTTAATTTTTTTTTTATATTTGGATTTTAAATTAGTGTATTGTCATCGGTCCTCGATATATCTACAAAGTTTGAACGAATTCTGACCGTTTAAAGTCAGTCAAAATCACGCCCAAAGGAGTCGGTTACAAACAATCATATAAACATACAAGTGAAGCTAATATGAAGCGTGTAAAAACTAATATGTACCTTTACCTACTTTAAATCGCAGGGTGCAGAGTGCTCCAAAGCGCCGAAGATGATGAAGGCACTGCAATCCGGTGGACCTGTCAACGTTGCTACCTTTCCATCACTTGCTGACGGACTCAGCGCCGCAGTCGCTGGTCCAAACGCTTTCGCTACCATCAAAGGCAGGCTTGATCGCATGGTGAACAATATCACAAAATACTAACACAACATACTATTTCTTATAGAAAACTTGACCTCATACTTAACTAACTTTCCTTGAATTAGGTTTCCGACAGCGAATTTCTGCTGAAATCGGAGTAAAAGTTTCACTGTATACTTATATCTAAGACTGTAGCCCGCGACTTACCGCGACTTACTAAAGCGAATCTCGAAAGTACACTAAGAAGATACCTAACTATAGTCAAACCACTCGTCACAAAATGTGAAGTAAATATTAGGAATAAGTATTCATCTATCGTTAAAAGAGTAGTAAGCCTTAACTGTATGTTTTAAAAAAACAGATGAAGTCCTTTCGCGTTAAGAAAATTTTGACGCATCGATCAAGTCCCGCACCCTGATTAGAGGGCCTTGTGTAAGTTTATTCCACATCAACTCGGTCGCGACAGCGAGCGCGTTTGGCGTTGTGATTGGTAGATTTCAGTGCGGGCCAATCGCCACGCCGAACGCCATCACCGTGACGAGCGAGTTGATGTGAAATAAAGTCGCACTTGGCCCCTTAACGTTCCAAACTTCCGTACGAAACGATAATTTCTTGGCACCTTGCGATTTACATTAATTTAGAGCATTACTTTGCAGCTGGTAGTAGATGAGATGTACATTTCTCGCGCTTTGATATCGATGTTGGAGTGCGAGAGGCTTGTCGCAGATGGAGCTGGCGTTTGTGCTATTGCAGCGGTGATGCAAGGACTTGTGCCTGAACTCCGAGGGAAACGGTCAGTCCAGTATCTACGAGTTTCTTCTACTCTGCATGGAAGCGTTTGCCTACTAAACACCTACATGTAAACTATGTATAACAAAATCATGTTTTTTTTCAAGTAAAAGTTTACTGGTATGGGTGGCAAACGAGTCGACGGGTCATTTCACGGTAAGAAGCTACCGCCGCCCATGGACATCAACAACTCATGAGACAAGTGCAAGGATTATGAGCAGTTTACCATATTTCGACATATAAGCTATACTACTGTAATATTTAATCAAAATCCCTTCAGTACTCTGCGTGCGAGTAAGAAACATTCATCCATACAACTTAACTGTCACGTTTATAATATTAGAAGGATATTAGTGTCCGACCGTAGCAGGTTTTTTAGCCGATACCTGTATAGGTACTGGAATGCAGTCAAAATTAGTTTTCAGTTTTCTTAGCCCTATGTTGCCTATATGTATGCCCTAGTGGTTTTAGGTGGTGTGTTACCTACACACCACCTAAAACCACTGTAATAAGGTAGACACACGGCATCCTTTTTTAAATAAGAGAATGTATTTAGGTAGGTACTAAAAATTCACCTGTCTAAATTAACTAGGTACCGCGGCGTACGGCATACGGGTAGCCGGGAAAGGATTGGGCGAGGTAGCTGACTACGTAATTGGAACGGACTATAAACGATTTCTCGAGAAACGTTCTCTAATAAGACCTAAGTAATACCTAAATCAAACATAATCTCTTTTATGTGTTACTTATATATAAATAAAACTAAACAAAACGAAGCTCTATAGCTAATAATAGCATTTGAGATAAAACAATGCTAGTTAAAAGTAAAAAGAAAACAAATACAAAATTATTTATGAGTAAAACACAGCTAACAAGATGAGTCAGTTGTGGGAGAGCCATGCCTCCAGGCTTGACCGGAGTGATACCGCGGACTAGATAATTTGGCCGGAACCGAAACTTCGGTCGGTCACTAGAGGATATAAAAGGACGCCAAATGCATGACTCGTTCGAGGTGCCTAGATGGTTTCAGGCCGGCCCTGGGATTGGACTCGGGGAACCTAATCCACTCGATAAATTGCAACGAAAGAATTGTTTAAAATTGTTCATAGTTTATAACAAAAACCGTCTGTAGTCTGACTAAAACACATTTTACCACAATATATTATTAAAGGTGACCAGCCTACTTAAATTTATCTATATATATGTATAGAGCGGTGTGCGTCGTGAGCGGAGGCAACATCGACTCTGGGCGACTGGCACGTACTATTCAACGGGGTCTGGGCGCTAATGGACGACTGATGAGGTTCGCCGTAGCCCTACCCGACAATCGCAGCGGACTAGAACAACTTGCAAAGATTATAGCAGAGGAAAGCACGGTACTCAAAAGCTTAGTCACAGAACAGATGTGGGTGCACAGCGATGTCGCGACAACTTGGGTAAGTGAATCACTTTGTATGTATGACAATGTAATCATTTAAGATCATCAAATCGGGGGTGGGTTGGCGTAGGAAGTGTGGCCGTGTTACAGGCGCAGAGTGGCACACTGTGTGGTTTTAGTCGGTCCGAGTCCGACACACCACCCTGCCGCAAACCCCGGAGGGGTGACGAAGAAGTGTGGCCGGCCGCACTTCCCACGCCAACCCTCCTTGAACCACGCCTGTTCATACATGCATGATTAGAAAGACAACTAATCTATAGATCAACTGTTCTAACTAGTTTTGTAATTACTTTGTTTATTTCTGTCAAACAAATACAATCAATATGTTTACCATAGAAAAGCTTTATTAAAAAAGTAAATCACCAGCCCATCCCTGACTGAAATCATTACATTTACAGGCTAACGTTGTGGTAGAGACTGTGAACGACGAGAATGCGGTCAAGTTCAAAGATCGTCTGCGCGACATATTCCCCTCGGCCAGATTCGCTATCACCGACATAGACGAAAAACACAAAGTCGGTGTACGATAAAATTTATTGGCTGAAGGGGTATTATGTGAAAATGTCTTGTATGTTTGACATTTGTTGTATTTGATGTGACAAGGAAACTAAATAAGAAACTGATTTTTGTATTTTGTTTTTATTTTAGACTTAACTTAAGCAACAGGGTCATCGCCTTTGGTGGCCCTCGTGTAGATCACCTGTCCATGGTGCTGTACCACCTGCTTAATGAGGCCTGAAACAAAAGAATAAATGACATTAATGATCCATTTAATGCATAATTATTATTATATGAGGTGCTCTTTTTCAGACTCAATATATCAGTTTTTACTGTCATTGTAAATCCAGAAAAATTAACATCATAAAAATAAATTGAAAGATGATTAAGCATTGCATCATGGCAAAAAAGTGTTAGGCACAAATGTGACAAAGGCAGACTTAATGCCTTAGGCGTTTTCTCCCAGTCAACCTTAAGACAATTCAGAACTAAAAAATGAGAAATTTATGACATGTATTTTTGTGAACATGTATAATAAGTATATTTATATTAATAAGTACCCTGTCTTCCCATTTATAAATCAACTAGCTGTGACCAACAGTGCTACCCATTCATCCCATGGGAACTCTTTTACCAGATAATAGTAGATTACGTGTTAATGCAGGATTTCAGCTATTTTTTCAGATGATGGTTTTTATTTATTAAGTTAGTAAATCCAGTATCCAAATTGGATACTGGATTTTGTTTACAACTTTAGAAAACTAGCTAAGGTAATAAGGTGCTCTAATACAAAACTTTTTTTGATCTTTTGAGTTTAACTACTCCAACAGACTTGAATCATCATCATCATCATCATCAGCCTATCGCAGTCCACTGTTGGACATAGGCCCTCTCGCATTGCACACCACTTAAAAATTTAAAAGACTTGAATGCACTTAAAAAATTCATGAATTATTTGTGCATAATTGTATACACATTCAAGAATGCTTATATCTGAGATATAACCATTTGTTATGAAAAAGATAATATCATAAGATATTACTTACAAATAATTTATATCGCATAATAGCAGACAATTTTATCAAATTAATTTAAATTCAATATATTTTAAACTAGTCAATTTTGTTTCTTGCAGATGTAAGATAGATCAAACAACCTCAAATAAGTTGTTAATTCACAGACTAATGCAAATAATAGTAGTAACTTAAGAAACCTGAACCTATGAATAAAATCAACAAGCTCAATTCAGTAACTTACATCTAGGAAGTAGTTAGGTGGTTTTATCAATAAAAGTAAAATATACCTTTCTCTCGGAGTTCTACTAGTGCCCGTCTTGCTAAGGAGCCACGAATCTTCAATCTCTCTGACACAACGGCCGGTGTTATTAACTTATATTGTGGCACCTCTTTGTACAATTTTTCGTAAGTGCCTTTGTCGAATAATACCTGATTATTAAGCTTATCTCTCACTTTGCCTTTTGACCACTTCTGCAATGCAAAAAAATATTGGTTTAATCAAAAGGAAAACGAAAATCAAAAAGTTATAGAAGGTAAATGATGCCATCAGCCTCAATATATCAGTATTTACTCTCACAAAGTTCAAGTCGCAATTAATAATCATCTGGCAAAATATCGTAGGGATCAACAATTCCAATAGTAGTTGTTATTCAATGATTTTACGCACTTTGTTTTCTTACTAATATAGAATCACACTTAGAAACGTTTTGACTCCTCGTTGTAACTCTCACACGCACACATAACCTCACTTCAAAAGAGGAAATTGTTTACCTTCTTCTTGGCTTTACCGCCGCCAGATCCTTCCTTCTTCTTTTGGGTTTTTTGGGGCTGTTTGGCCGAAGCCTTAGTGTCCTTCTTTGGCGGCTGCAATTACAAAAACATTGAAGACAATTAAGCAATGCCACGAGGTTCCATACTAAATAGACCCGAAAGAACTCTATGTGAATTTACAAGGTCCGAGTTTACTTTTTATTTATATATAGTCATTTATTAATATAATAGACATAAATAAGTTTAAAAGTAACAAAAGACAACGATAAAAATGAAACTCTTAAGAACACGGCACATTCACTCACCATCTTGAAACCGGAAAGAAGGTTGATTAAGGATGCAAGTTGATTGATGGGATTTTGTCTATGGTACAGTCAGTTTTGACGTTTTACGATCATAAACAATAGAATGATTGAAACTAAACTCCAGCGTTTAGGTATAGACAATTTCAAAATGTAGATTTTTTTATATTTAAAATTCAATTTATATTATCTTTTAAATGTGAGTTTATTAAAGGTATACCTGTTCAGTGGAAAATTAGCACTTTATTATAGACGTATTGAGCAGAACATAATGAAAAAAGAACTTGAATAGTTTGCCTCAAATTCAAATCACTTACTTACCAAATTATTATTCGCTTTCTTTCAATAGATCTATGTAATTAAATTACTATTTCATATTTTTAAACAGACTGTCAACCAGCGGATTCTTTTGTTGCTTTTTACTGAGTGAGTGAGGTTACCGGAGCAGAAAACCCTTCCTTCCCGTGATTCTGGGGAAGGACTACGGATGTAAAGCAACCGATTTAAAACGTTTTAAACAAAATTTTGCAGTTTTGCAATTTTGCAATATTTTTATACCCGCTCTACCCGGGACGGACGAACGGCTTGACAGTCGTTGGGCCCCCGCATTTTAAACCTCTAATATCTTCTAAAATATTTATTTTAATGATATGCTGTTAAGAGCAATTTTAATCTACATTAAACGCACAACTATCTAACGTATTTAATTATTGGATAAGGAATAAAAATGTATTCTTTGAAATAGCTTCGTAAATAACCCATTTTTTTTTTGTAATATTTAAAAGATAAAAATGGTTACTGTGGGTTATCTTCAGGACATAGACATACACTATCGCCCACTTTTTATAATCTTTTTAAGAAAGATAATTCCGTAGTAGGTACGATATTTTGGTCTATCTCGTAAGGTTTAGCCAGCGTTTGTTACGTTGCCAGAAACGTGTTTTTTTTCGACAAATCTTTGAAATTCTCGGATTTCCTCTGCTATAATATGCATGTATTTTACATAGTAAACCTTTCTCCTAAATCATTTTCTCTATTGGTGAAAATCGCATTAAAATACGTTGCTTAGTTTAAAAGATCTAATCGAGGGAGGGTTAGGTTTTTCGGGTATATGTATGTAGACTATCAGTTGCAGCCCAGTTAATAGGAGCAGCATAACACCCCGTACTCTGTACCTACGACTCCTCAACAAAAAAGCCCATAGCCCTCTGAAAAAAAAATTGTATCAACCCTGGCAATACAGGGTTGGATGGGATCCATTGAGCAGTGCTTGAATGAAGTATGTACTATTGCATCTGAAGGCAACCTGAACTCGGACCAAAAGATGAAAAGAAATACCCTTTGCCGTAAAGTAAAACAAACGGAGTTGCCCAAATGGCTGTTCAATATCAGTCACTCAAACAAAAAGCCCTTAAAGCACATAGTTCTTGATAACACGCAGCTGAAACAGAAGATCTTCTGGATTACCTAACCCAGATCAAGCAGGCCATCCAGTAGTCAATTTTAAAGCAGGTACCAGCCGCGCATCTTTTGCTGATAATGTAAAGAAAGGATCCAGATCCGTCCTAGCAGTCTTAGCTCGGTAGTTATTCATCCTACTGATAATTCCAAAATCTACCAAGGGCTATGGTGCAGAAATCATAAGCCTTGAAGATTCAAAACTGCAAGTTCAAGGCGTTCGTAAGATCAGGAATGGTGGTTTTGTCTGTACTCCAGTACTGAGATGAAAAAAGAGATAAAAAAGCTCAGGCAGACTACCCAACTTGCCTTAAGGTTGAGGAAACATACAAGTGCAAGCCTCATATCATTATTATAGGAGTTCCCACAAAATGAAGAAGATTTCGGTCGTGAAACGGAGATGGGGAACCAGGTAATCAGGTAACGGTGGGCAATTGAGAATTGAAAAAAGATATGTTAGTGCACGCAGACTAGAGCGTTGACGAATTGGTAGCCATTTCAGTTGGGAACGTAAGGCAGGCTCATGGTCATACTTGCGAAGATTAAAAACAAATTGAATGCAGTAAATTATATTTTGATCTAGCCAGACCGACCTCCACTAAAGAAGTCGGTCTAGCTTATTGAGAAGCTGCATTCAGGTCAAAATAACACACATTACCATAATCGAAAGGAAATTTAAGAAATTTTCGATACGTATCTATTTAGTTTTGTAAATATTTGACAAAAGAGAGATTGATGCTATTGTGTTGATCAATGACTTTAAGAGTCTACACAAGAGACGATTTCAAATAATTTTAAAGATTTTATGAAATAAAGATATTTGAGTTTGAATAATTAATGACTGCATAAGCGTTAGTTTTAGTGGGCAGAAAATTCGCGAGACGATATGAAGCACGAAGACGTGTAGTGTACTTTCTGGGTCCGGCTATTAGTACCCGAGACGGCGTGCGGTTTTAGTCGGTTCGAGTCCGACATGCCACGGTTAGGTGGTATCCGAGGGGATTTCCACACGGAAAAAAAGGGGATATAGTTACATTGTTAAAAACGACTGTTACTTAACATCTGTTTGCTTCCAAAGACGATCACTTGACATTTAGCTGGGTTGACCGAAAAACCAGTGGGGTGCTATTCTACCAGTAGTATATTAATAAAACTTTTTTATATAAAAAAACCTTAATCAATCATTCCTTCATTATTCATGCATAGTGGATGAGAGATATGAGTGTATTTTGCATCATATTGTGATTGAAGCTATTTTAGGAATATAATTAATTTAAAATGTAAGCCTGGTTTTAATATTGTTGTCATCTTTTCTTGGGGCATGCAGCTATCGAACTAGTAACAAGGTACTAAATATAATTTGTATTTTATTACCACGGATAGAAAATATCTGATGCGTAATAAAACTATATTTTAAAAAACTGGCTTATCCGCAGCCTTACCAGCTAGAACCGCAAAATTGTATTCTTGCACGAAATTAGAGGTTCAGGGTCAGTTAACTATGGAAACACGTAGAAATGTGAAAGTAATTCTGATATCACATTTATTATATAAATAACAATTAGGTGACCTCACTTTAAATTTATTTCGTGTAAAATTGTAGCACACAATATTACTTTGGTATAATATATTGTGTGTATACCTTCAAGCACAATGCCACAAATATACCGTCTATCATGGTCGTATAAAAAAAGGCGGACATAATCTCGCTAACAAACAACTGTGTCCCTCATAGTCGGCCATACGTACAGGGGAATGCACATTACACACATTAGTCGGCCATTACGCGCGTGAACAACGAGACATCGAGACACGTTACGCGGCAAGAAAAAAAAAACATCATGACTTGCGTGGTAAAATGGTGTAAAAACCGTAGTGACCGAAGGAAAAAATATCCAGGAATCACGTTTCATAGGTAAATGAATAATTCAATTACTTATTTCCAGATTTTATACATTAAAATCAATTTGTATTCGTTTGAACAAAATAATTCATTTGGAGTCCAGTGTTGCCAATATTCACGTGTGCCAATTACCCTACAATATGGGCATTTTTTAGTTTACTATTAAAATCAATATATTAAGGTTAATTATGTAATAGTTACTACTGGGTACTTTATTTTATTTTCCTTTCACTAGATTTTCTAAGGAAAATGAAGTATGTACGATTACCGAAAATTGGTAATCGGTTATCTAGCAGGTAGCATTTGCCATTATGCAAACAAACATATAAAGTGTGAAAGTTGCACTGCACGGATGTCTACTGAAGAAAAATTATATTTTCATAAGTAAATATCTTTAAAAACCAGAGGAGGCTTACATTTACCATCGAAATATATGTTCGATATTTGCTGCATTTGCGAAATTACGAAAAATTATAAAAGAAAGCATCACGTTATACATCGAAAGGCAACATAAATATATTATCACAAAAATTCAAGAAAAAATTGTATGCAATGAAAGCATTTTTTTAAACTTGGAATCCGAACATACTTTTTTTTTATATGTTGACAGTATTTTTTATGGTAAAAATTTAGGTAACTTGGCAACCCCAAAATTCACTCACACATAAAGAACCCGTCCGCCTTTTTTTATACGTCCATGCCGTCTATGACACAATATTTTTTGTATTCTACTAAAAAAACAAAAAGTTAGAATGTAGCCTTTCAACAAAAACAGAAGGCTTGAGCTATCAGCAATATAATGGCTTAATTTGATTTAAAAAATATAAACAAATTGAAGATACTTTGTTTGCCTTTATTTAGTAACATCTATACATCTAGCGATACTGTTATTTGGTAGCCCTATTGTGTCTAAAGTGCAATTTTATAATAAATATCATTAAAATCATCATCATCATCATCAGCCTATCGCAATCCACTGCTGGACATAGCCCTGTCCCATTGCACGCTACTTAGATCAAAAATATATTTTACAAATTATCCACCGATTTATTTAACCTAGTAATTTTATTATCATACTGTGACAATATCCAATACAAAATCTACATTTGCAACTGTAACGATTCATAGTACTGCAATTCTTCACTAGTCACTGATGGTCTGAATGATTCAACTCCTTCCCACATTTCGGAATTTCCTAGTATCACTGAATCTGGACTAAGTTCACTCTCCTTCAATAGACCTGGAAATTAAAAAAGAAAATAGTCTTTAAAATTCAAAGTGATGAAGGATACTGTTTATTATTGTGTAACTAGTTGAGTAATATTTATACTTTGATATCGTCCTTACAATTTCGGTACGTGCTGAGATTTAAGAGAGAATTTTAATATTTGTACACTATTCTTTATTATTTGAATATCTACTCCTATGAGAAGAACTTGTTCGAAAAGTTGGAAAACCAAGGTGAAATTTTTGTGTAGAATACTTTTTCGAAAGTCACGATAACGAATATTTTAATTACAAAAATCATTGGATAAGTATGAAGCCTCTCTAAAAACGTTTATAACAAAAAGAATGATACATAATGTAGATAAATATATTTTAATTAAAAAACTGTATGTTGTAGTTTCTTTCATAAATACCAGCATGTAACTTAGAAACGAGAGCCCGGACGGCTGCAGAGCGCGCCGTGGACACCACCTGCAGCAGGTCAGCGCCCGTGCAACTGTCTGGCAGCGCCGTCGCTACCGTCTCCAGATCCACTTCCTCTCGTAATTTGTAACTGCGCATACACCATAGTTCATAACCACCACACACTCGTGAGGGACATGACATAATATGGGAGAAAGATACATATTATTATACCTATGTAACTATAATAATAATATAATATTATTAATATTATATTATTTAGACAGATACCCAACTAGGCAGATATTATACTATAGTAACCAGACTGCTGATAAACATACTTAAATATTTCTAAATACATATTTTACATAATACTTGTTTGTAGACAAATTACAACCAGACTCAGAACAAATGATCGTGTTTATCGAAATTATATCTCCTGGGTGGGAAAATCGTTAATTATATTGTGTATTTGTCTATATAATTATTTATAGAGTTTAAATGACTATAACACACACAATGTGTAAGGCACAACAGCATGCGTGCCGTTGACGCTCAAGAATTCAGACATATCTGTAGCACTAGCACAACACAGAAACAGACTATATGTTTTATTCAACAAGAAACACTTTTTTTTTTGTTTTATTTTACGTGTAGAAACCCCCTCGGTTCGTCATCTCACCCGGGTTTGCAGTGGGGCGGTGTGTGGGAATCGAACCAATCCTCTAATAAGAGAGATCCGGGAACTGCTGTTATTAAGACATAACACCCCGGCCGAGCCTGGCCCATATGTGCATGTAGATATAAAATATACTTTTCAAGTAGTATTTAATCAGGTCGAATCTAATACCACTCATGTAATTTAAAGTGAGTTAATATTAACTTACTTTCTACACAAAGCATTTAACACGCAAGTTTTTTCTTGTGGGCCATTATAGGGTCCTACATATATCAACTTGTCTAATCGTCCGGGACGTAACAGGGACTGTTCGAGTAGATCCGGCCGATTCGTCGCTCCCATGATAAAGACGAAACTTGATGTTTCTGCATCTGAAAATGAAGCGTTTAATGATTAATTATTATTATGTCAACAAGAAACAAAGGATGGCTTATATAGTTTCATTTCTTTTAGTTTAAAACAGGCATGAATCAATCAACCAATATATTTAAATAATAGTTAAAAAAACAATTACTAGCTGATCCGCGCAACTTTGCATCTCTTGTTTTTTATTTGCAGCATTTTTTACTAATGCTCGGCTCCTATTGATCATAGCGTTATGTTATATAGCCTATAGCCTCCCTCGATAAATGGGCTAGCCAACACTAAAATAATTTTTCAATTCGGACCATTAGTTCCTGAGATTAGCGTTTTTAACCAAAACAAATTCTTCAACTTTATAATATTAGTATACACGAAAAAAGTGTATCCTATAGTGATAGAAATCCTGTAAGTTAATATAAATAAATTTACCGTACCTTCCCCCTGGGTAACACCGTCGAGTTCTGCGAGGAGTTGGCTGACGACGCGGTCGCTGGCGCCACCTGAGTCTCCCGCAGCTCCACGTCGAGGAGCCAGCGCATCCAGCTCATCCAGGAATACGATACACGGCGACGACGCACGCGCTGACTCAAACACTAACACACGAACAAATATTCATAAGTAAGTACATCTCAAGTTACAAACTAATAACGCTGTAAAATAGTAATTTTATTTAGACAGAATTTATTCTCTGATATTTATTTAAAACTAACAAGAGATTTGTGTGTTAACGCAACCGTAAATACGATATTTCAGTAATTTTATTTTTTATTATTATTAGGTACACCAACAATTGAATACAATGACATGAGATACATTCATTACACCTATAACCTAGTGTAACCCACACTCACACGATCATCTATTTGTTAAAAGGTTTAAAATTACAAAGAGATCATAATTAGACAATATGATGAAACCAAACATAATGATGGTTTTTATTTTAAAAATATATTTAAAAATGAGATTTACAAGGCTAAAGTCACAGTAACACGGATGCTTTTACAAGATTTTGTAGATAGTACTTTTGAACCTACCAAGGGAGTCAGTAAATATAAATGAGATCACTGCAGCTGTTTAACAATTTCAAGAAGTAATAGAAGGAAGTAATCATTACTCTAAACACTACAAATTATAGTATTGTAAGTTTTTTGTAGGCCCGAACCTCCTTTCTTTGGAGAGGCCTATGTCCAGCTGTGGACTAGTAAAGGCTGTGGATGTTGATGATTAAGTAGTTTTTAAATAACAATTAAATACTCAATCTACAAACCTTTTCTGACATTCTCTTCTGACTGTCCAATGTACATGTTGAGTAACTCCGGACCCTTTACACTAAGGAAGCTCACATTTAATTCTGTGCTGACAGCTTTGGCCACCAGCGTTTTCCCACACCCAGGTGGGCCGTACAGCAAAATGCCTGGAATATTGTATATGTATAATCAATAAAAAAATTCAACAATGATGTAATTTGAGTAAAATCCCGCTCAATTAAAGTAGAATAAGGAATGTAATTTTGCAGTAGACCCTCAATAGGTCAGATTCCTAGGTTTAAAATAAATTATTTCATCTGTACCATTAAATATGTTACATTTAATGGTACAGATGAAATAATTTATTTTAAAGTAGACCCTGAATTATCCTCCATTATCAATTTAATCTTTTTATTGATTTGATATCTTGAGTAACATGAACATTAAATATAAATGATTTGAGAATAGCTACGTATGACGTCACGAAATAGTATTTCATACAAAAATGTACCTCGTCTAGCGTTTTGACATTTAAAATAGATACTGGTTTGGCTTAACAGTCATCTACCCTACAGCTCGTATAAAAAAATACATAAATATATGGCCTAAAATTACCTGCTCAAAGTGAAAATAAGTAAGTAGCAGTTGTAAAAGAAATAAATGTTTAATGCTTGGTTAGGATTAGGGATTGCAAAACTGGAGTTATTTTCAATCCAGCTGGATCCAACCACATGCCCTGTCTATTTTTCCTGATTGCATTAGGGTACTTATGTATGTATGTACCTAATATATAACTGTACCTATTATAGTAGTACCTATAGTACCTATTATATAACCTATGCTATAATAATAGTCCTATAGTTAGCATATATTTAGCCAATATCCCCGTCTTCTCTACATAACCGTCTTTAAAATTGTATGTGAAGATTATAAGAATAATTTACAGCAGAATTGATATTTTTTTAAATATAATATTTATACAATATAATTACCTGATCTTTTTAAACTGGAATTTTTAAACAAATGCGGATATTTTATAGGAAACTCAATGGTCTTCAATAATTCTTTCTTTAACTTTTCTAGCCCGCCTATATCTTCCCAATATACTTTTGGTATCTTTGGCGCGTCCAAATGTTGACTCTGTAGACTTCGAATAGACTCTGTAAATGGAAACGGATACTGTTTAAAATAAAAACAAAAATATAGAAAATACATGCGACTAGTGACGCGTCTGCTCATTTTCGACTTCCTATGAAGTAAAAAAAGGCAAGAAAAGCCAATCTCCAGTCAATAAATTAAGTTTTTTTACCCAACTGCCAAGGAAGGGATATGTTTTTCGCGCGTATCTTGTGTTTGTTTGTAAATTTCTTTATTACCTCGTATCTTTCAAATGGCTGGATGTAATGTCTAATGGATGTAATGTTAATGTATTGTTTTATACGTCTTAAAAATTCAAGTGTCCTTAGATGGCTTGTTGAAAGAAAAACAGAATTGCGGCTTTTTGGCGCAATATAGTATTAGGTTAATAAAAAAATAAATACCTAACTAACCCTACCGAGTAAAGTATCAAAATCAAGAAAATTAAAAGGAGATTACAAAAATATATGTACACACCTTAATTTTTATATGTATATTATAAGAAGATATCAAAACAGTTTTTCAAAAATGTTAACCGTTAAAAGCTGATAGATTAAAAATAAGTTAATAAGAATAACAAAAAATTTACCAAGAGCTGAATTGAAGTCTTCCTCAAGTACTATGTACAAGTCAGGGTCAGGAGGTAATTGATTGTAACTATTGTGTTGATTCAAATAGGACTCTCTTATTGCAAAATGGAATAGAGTATCCAAGTCTCCATACATAAATGTTTCTGTTTTAGCAGCAACTCTCTGTAACACCTCTCTTGCAGGTTTACTGAGAGAGTTTAATTCTTTGTTGTTGCCTAACTGGATTAAAGGCAGGTCTTCACCGTCTATATTCAACTGCATGACCGTTGCAAACCATTCAAGCATTTCATATCTCTGTTGAGCGTTTAGTCTAGGTATATGGAACTTGTCTAAGAACATTCTAAGCACATTTGGCTTCAAGTCTTGTCTCTCTGTGATAGCAATAAATATAATAGGATGCTTCTCGTAGTTCTGATAAAGATCTGTTATTGTATTCATGAAATATTCTAAAACTCTGCAGTCTTCATTATTTTCAGGGTCTACAGCAAATACCTGGAATTTTTTAAATTTTGAACAACATACAATAGCCCTTGGATCAGCAACTAAACAACTGGGCCATCAAGTGTTTATATAAAGGAACTTGTGGCCAACTATTGGACAATAATTTCTTTTTTTTAAACTTCACTGTTTCGACAGTATATCTAGACATTAATATCAATCAATGATCTAAGCAATAACTTTTAAATAACATTCGCTTTGGCCTTTCGTAAAATATATAAAGGATAGGTATTTTGTACCACTAAGGAGGATCAAGCAACTACACAGTTCAGTCAGTCAATCAATCTATAACCTCTTGAGTACATATAAAGTACCTTATCTCAATATGTATGTTGTGAACCAAGGCAGCCTAAAAGATAATCCTACTCATAAAGATAACATATTATCTATGTCGTTTTTTAACATTTTAACAAAAACAAGTTTGTTTAAAACTAAAACAATTTGAACAATTAAAATAAGAGGTAATTATTCATCTTTGTCTTCAATATCGCTTATTAGTGTGTTGGAATAAAAATTCACAATAATCCATCCATGATATTTTTTTTTTGGAATAGGGGGAAGAAAGGTTATTAGGGGAGAAATGGATTTAGGGCCTCCTGTAATCACACTCACTCTGTGAAATATAATGAAAGGTTTCCTGTGAGGCCTTGATAACACTCTGGTAGAGCCTGTGTATGGTTCTCCAATGATGAAAACAAAAACTCTATGATCCAATACTCAAAAAGGGTTAAAAAATCCTTAAATCCTAAAAGATTATGGCTAATAATTTTCTTAAGGAGACATCCTACTATGTCAAACGTGGTACGAAAAAGAGATACGTAAAATATAGGCACAATACATACACATTTCACCGAAATTCATCAAAAATGAACAATCACAATAATTTCTTATTACTTAATACCATTTATCATTTAAACTTAAATTGTGCCTTAAGAGTACTATTACTTACAATATAGTTTATGCTAGTTACTTAGTGAGGATTGTAGACAAATAAAATAAACATACATATTAATTTTAATGTTACACACACACACCTCAAAATTGTCCAATAGTACCAGGGCAGGTGCAGCAGCCTTAGCCTTCTGCACTGTTGCATTGATTTTACTTTCCGTTTGCTTTGCAGTGGAACTCTGTAATGCATTGCAGTCTGTTGGAAGACAGTTCAAACCTAGTAACAAATTGATTTAATTTTTATATATATTTATAAATATAGTTTTGAAGGTTACATACAAGATGTTTACATACCATTGTATTTAGCTAAAATTTTAGCAAGCAAATGTCTTCCAGATCCTATTGTACCAGTAAGGAGAAGCATTGGTATAATTGGACTAGACATTGATGCTGATAATTCATCTGAAGCAAAAATATAAAACATCAATATATTTGGTAGGGAGTAAAATGATCTACAAAAGATATAATAAATAAAAACTGTTGCTGACAAATACAGAGTAAAGATTTACTATTTACAAAATCGATCTCAGTGGCGTGCAATAGGAGAGGCCTATGCCTAGCAGTGGACTGCGATAGGCTGATGATGATGCATTTCCTGGTGCAAACTATAAACAGCCCCAGATAGTGATTGTGGGACATATCATAGACAATAGTTTAAAAGATTACTGTTTTTAATTAAAAATATTATTTTTATGTCATCTTGGGACAGAAATGTGTAACAAAAAGCCCAAGAAGCTCACTATTTGATTTAAGTAATAAGCGCACGTGGTATTAGGTATCAGATGCTACATCATAGACATCCTAAAAATACAGATCATCAGAAACATGTAGTAGGCGCTATACAGCTATTCACCAATAAGAAACTGAAGTATTATAGATCACTAAAATACATTGTCCTAAAAATGTGTAAGTAATAATTAGAGACCGGATTATATGCATTTGCATATGCTTTTGCTTATTTAAGCCATTCTCAACGGTAATAGCATATTTTACCTAAGATCTAGTTATGATGCATATTATCGGTACATTTACAATATTTTTCAGAGTGCAGTGCATTCACCCTGTACTCCGAAATGCGATAATATCGCGCATTCGACCCGGAACGCAGAGTCAGTAGCCGCGCGCGTCTTTGGTTTTGACAGTTACGATAAAAAAAATGTCATGTAATGTACTTATTTTCGCCAATCAAAAAATAATTTACTCATTGTATGCTGATTTTGAAATAAAAAAATTTAAACTAAGTTTACTCTTTTTTTTGTTCCTAAAATTTATTATTTAATTTTGCATATTTTGCCAATTTTCGTGAATATTTCAAGCATTTTTCATGCATATTTGCAGGCATATAACAAGCTTTTTATGTTGCATATAATCTGGTGTCTAGTAATAATAAAGTTTAATAATACATATATTAATATATTATGGGGCCAAGGGTCAATTATTGTCTTTATATTGAAGCTTGTAATGTAATATTTAAATAAGTACACCTATTTGTGGCAACTCCTATGTTATTAATGTAAAGCAGCATGCAGTATGCGGTACAAAGACAATAAAATTATTTATTAACAAAAAATGCAATTATACATTACTCATTTCTCCTGATAAAAAAGGCTGAATTGTTTCTTGCATTTGATTAAACTTCTGTTTCAATCCTGCTGGACATAAATGTAGTATTTGAAAGCTTTCATTTTGTTGTAATTTAAAATATTCATCCTTAGGTTTCAGACTGTGTATACTTTCACCTAAAGTTAATTGAGTTACACCTTTTATAATGAAAAATGCAGTGACTGCACTGTCTCTTGTTGAGTTATTTATATCATTTACATCATTTGAAAGTGTTTTACATTTGAAATATAGTCTTTCCGCAGATCCTACTAGGTCTAAATATTTGTAGTGATATTTTGCAGTTATTTCTGGAGTAAGGTCTATGCTAAATATATCATTTACACTCATTAATTTTGGTGTGTCAAAATGGTTGTTTAAAACCTCTTTGATGAAGTCATTCTCTAAATCATACTCATTCACAATGAGACTAACTTCAGCCAATGCTGCTATTTTTGGAGAACTATCCAAATTGGGCATTGGGTGAAAACTTACAGTTATATCTTTGACCATGTTCAATCCAAAACAAGATATTATGTTATGGTATTCACTCTCATTCGTAAATGCTACATTTTGTGAGACACACTTGGATCCCACGACAGGGACTATTCTTATATTATCAATTTGGCTTTTTGTTGTGCTATTCCAGAGCTTTTTGTGTAGTTCTGACGTCATAAAGTGAAAATTATATTTCGTTGCATTGTTACTACTACTTCTTTCTCTATGTTTTCTTTTTTCTTCTGATGTTAATTTCAAAACCAGCCAAAGTACTCCATCATCTATATAAAATAAATTTTCACTAGCTAGTTGTATAAACTGCTCTTTTGATATTATTATGCATTTATTTATAAATACGGGAAAATTTTCTTCTAAGATATCTTCTACAAGTAATTTTGCTATATTGACCGGGATCATTTTTAACTCAAAGATATCCATACTGTGAAGGGTTGAGTTTCTTTTTTGACACTGAATTCTATATTTTATCACGAGAAAAACCAGAAAAGTGTAGTAGTTGTACTTTGGATAGACAACTTTCAAACAAAATTTTATCACCCATAGTTTTCGTAAGATTTGTTCATTCATAGTAACTTCGGCGTCTTTTTAAATTACAAACCAAATAACAAAAAAAGCATCGAATTATTCGTTATAGATTATTTCTCACACATTCTTTGGTAAATCAATGCATTGTAATGAAACCGTTGAGTGAATTAAAGAAATAGAAACTGATTTAATGTCACTATGTCAGTGGATGAGTGGACATTTGATAGCAATGACACTTGTGACACTGTCTTATCTATAGATATATCTCAATGGTCCTATCACTCATATCCATAGAGACATAACCATAGAGAGAACACTCGGTACAGCTGCCTGTAAGTTGAAAGATACAGGCAAAGAGAGATGGATGCCCGATATTTCCCTTTGTCTCTGTTTAGCAAAGCTGCGATTGGCTACTTAATAACCCAGCAGCCAAGGCCAGAAAGACATAGAGGGAACTAACCACCTCTCTCGTTGCCTTTATTGGGTCCTATCAGATTTAGAAAATACGTTCCATAAAATTAACACTTTCGTTCAGAAATAAACCGTAAATTATATTATCTCCTGCTCACTGTTTAGTTACTTCATCGAATTTCGTTTTTTATTATAATGGTATATTTATGGAAAGTGTCAGTCGTTGCTTTTTAAAACGAGTGAAAAGATTTTGCATTTTGTTAAAAAATTGTCATTCAAATGTGTCATTATTGCCTGTATGCCGTCTGTATGGACAGGTTGACTCAAAACTATGATCCTTTCCTCAAAAGGCCTATCCAGACCCTATACTGTACTCGCACAGTTTTAATTAACTTTGTTTACGGACTTAAAAAAAAAAGACACCTCTGTGGTTTGTTTCGGTGTTTCTTCCCAGAGTGAGTCTTAGGAAATGCCGGCTCCTTCTATAAAGTCCGACTTGTAAAAATATCTGAAAAGATTTACTTACAGAAATAAATATCATTTCATTTCATTATAGGCTGATTATGCTTTATTTATTATTTTACAACTTGTTTTATTAATGGACGATAGTGTAGCTAAATTGGTCAGATCTGTCTACCTTCAACAAAAATAATAAGTATCTCTCTTGTTAACCATTTCTTTATTTATTTTATTAAACTGAAATAATACATATTATATAATATTATGATATATGTCTGTAAAGTGTAAACTTGTGTTTGACCTTGTCTAGCTTTTTGATGTTAAAATTGTATGCAATAGACCATATGGTCGAAGATGCTTGCTGTATTTTCAAATTGTATGTATTATCTCATTTTTAGAATATTATGTTTAATTTGTGTTTAGATTAAGCGACAAATTTTGTGATTAATTATCATTACATACACGCCATGTCAGAGGCCTGTGGGATTCCCAGAGGCGACTTAATAAGCTCTGACACTAGAGGGTGGCCACAACACACGCAAAAAAATTACATACACATACTTGTGAACACCTTTTGTCCCAAATGAATATATAATCCAAAAACACATTTATTCATGTAAAATTAGTATATAGTTGCTTATAATATGAATATCTGATAAATTATAATGAATATTATGCTAAATAAAAAAGTCAAATACTAATGTTTCTTTTATTACACTGTTCCATAAATATTGCTTTCAGCATTTTATGCACAAGTACAGTGTGTTTCTCGATAGTGATGTCGTTTAGATGTCAATTGTTTTTGCTGAGAAATAATTGACCATCTTGATGAACACTATCGAGAAACGCACTGTACTTGTGCATAAAATGCAATACAAAGTATCTGTTTTGAAATTCCCGCCCTAGCTTCTACTGTCTAGTTTTGGTGGGCGGAGCATAGATGGCGCCGGCCGGTAAGGAAAAATTTCCTCATAAAAATAGTATGGAGTCGTTATTCTTCCCCTTTAGGGGTATATATGTTCTGTGGTCATTATTTTCAAAGTCCCGTTTTTACATGAAAATATCGAAATAGCGACATTGAGTTAAATAGATCAACGAATAGCGACAGGTTCATTGCAGACTAAAGCTAGAAGCTTTTCATTGAAAACAAAATGTATTTAACGTGGGCTTCATTTAATAACATAAGAATGCTTATGATGGCTTGCATGCCTGTGGTAATATTCTATTTGATTTGGTTGGTGAATACTTCAGAAGGGATACGGAGCGAAGAGGGAACTTTATTAGATCTGGTTTGTTGGCCTGATGGAAATGCTATACCTGTTATTATTACATGTGGGGCTGTAATTGCAGTTGTTATAGAGGTAGGAATGAGGCCTTCATGTTGATCCAGATATTTTCATTTAATTCTTATTCTCTCTGTACATTTCAGCTATATGGATTGTATCAGTTGTTCAAGGCTGGCCTTCCTAAAAAAGAGTACGATGTAACGAACGGTCTTTTTTATTATGTATGGGCTCTCATAATTACTATAATTATTTTTCTGGCCATTATGTTTTACTCCGGACTTCAGTCGACTATAATACGAGGTGCAAATTTTAGCTTAAATATTAATGTGATTTTAACTGTAATGAAAGTACTTGGTGGCGGGGCAGCCCAGTAGCCTACATAGGCGCAGAAGATCCATTAGTCAAATCTTTGATTTCCTAGATAGTTAAAAGGTTTTTAACTCTTAGCAGTAATCTGTCCAGAGTTATACTTACCTAATTTTTTCTAATCACATCTGTAGGTAGATAACTCAAAAATACTGTAACGGATTTGGCTGTACATTACTTTTCAGTACCAACATACATGTTCAGCTCATTCGAAATTGATAATCACGTCAGTTTTAAGAGATTAGGATTTCTGTCTTGAGTCCTAGTTGACGTTGTGTGTTAGATATCCGAAAATATTATTATAATTACAGTTACTAGCTATAAATACTTATAAATTTACTTAATTTACTAACAGACCCATATTTCACTTAAATTTACCGCAGCCAAAATAAAGGATGGCATCACGAAAGCTATGCTCAGGTATTCAAGTCACCTACCTTCTAAGGTGGCTATAGATAGACTTCAAACCAGATTCCACTGTTGCGGCCGCGTCGCTTTTCAAGAATGGTTCTACATTCCTTGGTACGCTAACGGGGAACGCATTGACGACAAAACGTTGTAAGTAAGTACGAATACATGAGTTAGTAAGTGGTAACTACGAGTATTATGAGGTGCGATACTTAATCTATTTATATCTGAAGGAGGCGATATACGAGTACCAGCGAATACAATAGCAACTTCCGTCAGATTTACACCTGTATCCAGTTCCTCAAAACTATTCAATCACCTTACAGAGGTTTATTTTCTCGCAGTGCCGAAGAGCTAATGTTACCTCCGTTTTCCGTTCCTCCTGTGTGCGTTTAATAGGTACTCCCGAATGAATCTAGAGTCATCATACTTACTATATATAAACCAATATTAATGAGACTATATACAAAATAGACGAGAAGGAGACCTCGCTTTTATATACACTTTATCAGCATTTTGCCGTCCACTGCTGAACGAAGCCCAAGGAGCGCCAACTATCCCGGTCTGAAGGCAGTCCGCATCCATCCGCTGCCAGCCATTTTTCTCAAGTCGTCGGTCCATCGTACCGCGACCATCAGTCCGTCTGGAGACATAACCGGCGTATAGGCTGATGATGATGATGATATACACTTATTCTGTTACAATCGTTTTTCAGTTCAGATCACAAATTTGTGTCAGACAATGTGCCCTACAGCTGTTGTTCCATGGATGTACTGTACCCTTGCATCCATCACGGTGTTACTCAAATGGGCACTATATACAAGTATAATCCTACGGTATGTATGTCACTATTTGATGAAAACTTGATGCTTAGTTACATGTAGTTTACAATAATTCACATGTATATTGTAATTTATTTATTAATTTTTAACTTTATGCACTTGTGTACATCGGCGGACTTAATGCCCAGGGCATTCTTGACCTTAGGAGCCAACGCCTGAGTGCCACCACTGCGATGGCCAGACCGTGGACACGGCTCTCCACACACTGGCAGAGTGCCTGGCGTGGGTTGAGCAGAGGCGAGACCTCGTGGCGGCCATCGGAGTTGGAGTTCTCTCGCTCGATAGCCTGATTGCGGCTATCGTGCGGAGCGAGAGTGCGTGGAACTCTGCCGTCTCCTTCTGCGAGCAAGTTATGCTCGCGAAGGAGACGGCAGAGCGGGACCGGGAGAGGTTTAGGACTCTCCCGGCCCGCCAGGCCCGGGAACAGGCCAGGTACCGCAGGCGACTCAGGCGCCGGAGGTCGCAGAACGACCTCCGTCCTCCATAAGCGCAGGCCTGGGGGTGACAGGTGAGGCCATCTGTCACCCTAGCAGAAGCAGGCCGGGGTTGCGGCGAGCGCGTTGCGAAGCGCGCTCGCTTCCAGGGAGCACAGGGAACATGGGGTTCCCACACGGGGGGGGGTCGTCTACTCATCTGTAGATGACCCGAGGTATGTATATAAACAGCATACCTGTTATCTATATTTCAAAACATTAATTTTAATTCATGTACTCGTAGAAAGAACTTCCTTATTGCCTTTTTTAGTCGGACATTGTTTGAATTACTCTAGAGCATTTCTTTTCGGCTAGTATTTGGGTAACTGTAAATCAAAAATCTTCCTTTTTTCATTTAAAAAAACCTCAACCCTAATCAAAAATATTGATTGTACAGCTAAATAGTTACCTCAAAATATTATTATTTTAGCAACAATTTGAGTTCGTGACGCATCGCTATTATTTAAAAGGCAGACCGATAACCTAACCATAATCAACTATGGATACAGCTCGTTTCTAATAGCGATTCGTTTTCTTGTGGGGTCGCAGTTCTAACCTAGGTTTCTGGAAACAGCTCGTTTCAGATGGGGTGGCCTTAAACCTCAAGAAATAGGTTTTTGGCTTACTAAGTAGGTACACCACGCTGGCCAGACGGGTTGCAAAAATAGTTATTTTGTTATATGTGTAAGTATTGCGTTTGTAAGTTTTGATTAATTTGATAGTATATTTGATATGAAAATAATATATTTTAGTGCATTGGCCAACTGGCATTGGAGGAATAAATAAAATATAGTATTGATGCATATTTTCGTATTAATTTTAGTACTAGTTTTGTTAAAGACAATAATTTTTTGATGAAAAAAATATTTAATTGATGTAATTAGGTTGGCGGATGATAAGATTTTTGATGTGCATTTGAAAATAAGTTTTTCTTATCATTGCCGGTTCTGCGAACTGCGGACTGCCAATCGCTATTTTGCCTCGCTTATGAAATAAGTTAGGCGGTTACTTAGGTCAAGACGACTTTCTAAATAAAAGTGATAAAGTAAAGTTAAATGTTAATAACATCATCACAATAATGATGGGCCTGTTGGTTTGGTGATTAGTGAACCTGACTTCTAAACCAGAGGTCGCGGGTTCTATTCTCGCTCAGGCTAAATAATTGTGTGATGAGCACGAATCTTTGTTCTGTGTTTTGGTGTAACTTATTTATCGTATCTATAATATGTTAGTTTTTAGAAATATACTTATGAAAAAGCACAGTAGGTAAAGTACAGGTTCCACTTAATTTGGGATTAAACAGCCATGTATGAGATGTGTTGGGTTATTATGATTAATAAACGACTATAGATAGATTATACGTTTTAGATGTTATATAACAATAATAATATAATTTATTGTCATAATTATTAACAAGCTCTTTAGATAATAATAATTACATTCAAGCAAAATAATGTCACATAGAATACAGCAACTGTTAACATTTCAACACCATACCCAAAATTGTTTCTTTACTAGATTTTCCCTACTAATCTTGCTAAATCATAAAGAGTCATACAGTAAAGTACCTAAATTACTAGAGGGGTGCCACTGTGCCAACGGTATCTAGACACAGGGCGCAGACCCTGGAGTGGCGCAGAAATAACCAAAACATCATAGAACGAATGTAGATGCAGATCTTGCTTTCAACAGTATCCCGATCATTAATAATTCTGTCAAGCAAACAGCAGCAACAAAAAATAGATGATAATATTATTTTTATCTACATTGTGCATTTTATTCTGAAGAGGCCAGTAATGTGAAAATATTTTATGTGGAGCCCTCACAGAGTGGCGGGCTTGCACTGAGTGTATAAAATGCAAGGTTACAAGTCTGGTTTTTTAATCTCTGTTTTAATCTTTCAGACACAATTGACTATATGGAATGCTGGTTGCGAGGAGAAATTGATTAGTGAAATGATGTCCGTCTCGTGGCGGTTCAATGCGGTCATGGCTCTAATAATAGTTGCCATGGTATAATTATTTACAGATTAATGATATAAAGAGTTTAGTAAGGAACGTTAATATTTAAGATATACATTTGATAAGGTTCATATCAGATAGGCTTTAAGAAAGAAAGGAAGCAGCGTCTTGGCGGCTTTCTTCTACATAACCTAATAGGTAGTGCGGATAATATGATTTCATAAAAATTAAATTAAAGATCTCCTACTTTTACTGAGCATACTTTTTGAAATTGTACTTAATACAACTTTTATCTCAAACCATTTTGTAATCTGACAGACTACACAAACCAGGGTGGCGAGAAAATCTTACGCCTTTTTTTTCATAGTGAAGAAACCCAGCGTGCACTATTTATAGTTTATTTTATTGTGATTATTCTCAGAAACCTTTTAATATTTGGTTCTTGTCCTTACACAGATCATGCAAGTTGTCGCTGTAAGATATTTACATACAGCCTACAGAAGTGGCCTACATATTGGCAATAGGATCACATGTCGAGCCTATTTACTGCGGTCCGTATCTGATACGGAACAACCCAAGCATGCCTTCAGGAAAAAAGTGTTCACGAAGAAGAAATTCCATCAAGCACGTACTTTACAATGGGTCTCAGTGTCATACAGGCGTGGACATAAAAGATACACTTCTTCAGCTTCAGACGGTAATAGCTCGGATGAGTTATTGAAACCTATTTACGAATAGGTCCTAAGTGGGTATATAATTTAGTAGATTTTAAAGTTAATAAACCCATTTTTTTTATTAATTCGTTTCTCAAAACGAATAAATTTTTCATTAATGTTTGTCTCCTATTGGTCATAACGTGATGTTATATAGCCTTCCTCGATAAATAGTATGCTGTTCTGGGGCGGGCCCACCTTAAGTTTTGTAAATTTAATCAGCAAGAAAAAACACTATATTGTTTGTTTAAGAAAGACAACGCCCGCATTAAGAATATATCCTTAAAATAATATATCCTATATAATTGTAGTTGTTGTGTTGTGTTGTAAAAATGAAATCAATGTGGGCCTGCTGAAGAGTATGCTCTTCAGCGGGCCCACCATGATAATTCCGTAATTCGGTTAATTAGTTACCTTAAATTCGTTTATGAAACCATAAAAATGTACATTAAATGCATAGAAATTTTTCGTACTCTATTTCATATTTAGTTTAGTCTATACCAATTTACGACCACTTTTAATTTCCTTCCAGAACATTAGAGAAGCGCCTGGTAGAAAGGTTATGGCAAAGTCTTCTTTAGCGTAGTTCATTATAAATGTCTAATGAAAATGCTTCTCTTATGTTTCCGACGGAAATTTGAAAGTGGTTGTAAATTGGTCAATAAGAAAACATTCCATTATGTTTACATTAACACACTAGCAACTACATAGTAAGCATTTCAATCATTGAGTAAAGAATATATTTATCCTCACAATTTTGAAAATATTCTTCAACGTTATGACGTGATTTTGATTTATTTCAATATGACTTATCATCATCAACAGCCTTTAATAGTTCACTGCTGGCAATAGGTCCAGCAGTGGATCCTTCTTCCTTAGAAAAGAGGTTTCTGCCTCTCTTAAGAAATGAGGTTTTGGCCTTTCCTTAGAAATGAGGCTTTGGCATCTCCTTAGAAAGGAGGTTTTGGCCTCCTCTTAGAAAGGAGGTTTTGGCCTACTACCTATACCACGTTGGCCAGACGGGTTGGTATAGGAGTTGTGTCAAGTTTCCTTTGTCCGTTGTAGTTTACTCACTTAAGGTCATAGCTCATTACACCCACCCGACACCGGACCAGCATCACCTCAATACGGATGAACGCCGGTTAACCAGAAAACGATACGACAGACACCTTCGACGGAGAGCTGTGTGCCGCCAATACATCACACTCGCGCGTGAACCACTCGCGGACAGCTTTTCTTATATGCCGAAACTTCCCGTTTTGTGGTTAGGTACTTTGTTCTTTCTTAGTAGTTTAAGGATGAAATGAGAAAAATGTTTATCTCCTGAATGGTAATCAATAATACAGACTTAGATAAAATATAGTTTATTGTAACTAATAAGGTTTAAGGCTCAGACCTAATTTATTTCTTCCACTAAATGAATATAACGCTTAAAAATATAAATATAACATCAATATTTATTTCCATGTGAATAGTATTTTAACTGATTATGAAACCACTTTGGTTTGAAATATGCATATGCACATGCATTCTTGAAGTAGGTATTCTTCACCCAACAAGCTTTCATAATTCATAATTTATATGAATTTGAAACTAATTGAATATCGATTTAAGTCATATTAGCGGCCCTTTATGAAGATGTCTATTTTTCCATAATGAAATATCAAAGTAATCATGATGAACGGCCATAGGTATATATGTATAACTATTTTTCATTTAAAAATTTCTGGATCTTGTCTGGTTCAGCGAGTTCCTTTAGACGGTGAAGGTTGTCCCACCATAGCTTGAGTCTGTGACGACGTATCATGTTGAACCAAGGTGTAACCGGACCTTCCAATGTCGGTAGATACCTTGGAAAGACATAGAACATTATGAAATAATGAATATGATAGTAGACGATCCATCTGGGCCTCAATTCTGCTATTTTATGTTCACGCCAAGCCACTGTCATACCACTGACACGCTATCAAGATGCCATCGAGTGGCCATTGGCATCGGTATAAATATCGGTAGTCTACACTAACTCAGTGTCTTTACAGTGGCCATGGAATGGCAGTGGCTCATCAGGTGTGATATCAAAAAGATTGCCATATATGGAAAAATAAATAAATCATTTCCTCAAAAACGTACTTAATGTATTTTTAAAATTTCATTTTTCCCAAAAAAAAAAACGTCTTAACAGCTCCTTTTCGTTTTTTAAAAATGTTTTATGAAACCATAGTATGCTATTTTTAAACCATTTACACTGGATTTTAACTTGTTAAGAGCACCAAAATCGAATTGGAACGGAAGCCAAGTACTATATTCTGGTTTTGACGAAAGTTATGGGCCGGTCTGTCCAGTTGCAAACTAATCATGTCTTTCTATAGTTGTTATATTTTCTGGGATACACTTGATGTGCCATTATTCCGTTGTTAAGAAGGATATCAGAGACGTGGTTGGGTAGATTACCATCGCAGTGCAGTAAAACTACTGATATTGCAAGTTTTTATGGTCTCTGTCTGTCTTTTTGTATACAAGAAATCTTGAGTAAAAAGCCCTTAATACTTACGAGTTGAACTCAGCCTTGGGCACAAAGCAATATTCTGATATCTCATTAGAATTAGGTTTGACCTTGACATCGCTTTGGAAAAATAATATGTGGTCGATCTCATGTTCTCCCCACACGCCATCACCAGGATCGTGATAGTGCACGCGCGTCATGAAGGTGAACAGCTCTGGATCCATCTAAATGAAGTCAACATAGATTAACGTTGTTATTATAAATTCACACTGTTCTTTTTTTTTAAAGACTAGTCCCGCATTATGAAAAATATTCCTGTGTCGCGGGGGACTTTACAAACATACGTACATACACAAATTGTTGTTCAGCTCGATAAGAAGCAGCGAGGTGACCTTAAACGTAACTACTAACTAAACCACTACGCTATCTGCGCAGTCGAGAAAGTTACTTTTAAAAATAATATATTGTGTACAGTATACTGAGTTAAAAATATTTATTGCAGGTGCATAAATATAGGAATTTCAAATGGATAAGATCTATACTCGAGATTGTTTTGAGATTGATTGATTGATTGTGATTCATTTTAAATATCGAATGCATCAACCAACTGATCACTGTTTCTATGTGTCGTTTATATACTTTAATTTTGTGTACACCCTCAGAAATGAATCTATTTCGATTTTAGTAAGAAGAAATGAAATGTGGAATACGGAGCTCCATGCATTATCACTATTTATTGATCACTCTTCGTAGTCTTCGTACATTATGGTTGGCTCCTTTTCACAAATGTTTGGTAATGTTGCATAGTCATGATTAGCTTTTCCAATAACCGAAAACATAAAGAATTTAAAAAAACTGGGTTTTTAATATGCTTTGTTTTTATTTACTGTTTATACAGAAAATAAGTAACCAAATTACACACATATTTTAGTTTCATTAAACTTTGTAGTTATAGTAGTGTGTAAGACAATCTGCAACAGTAGGGTTAATTAATTAAAATCGTGAAATAGAATATAATTATTACCGATTCAAGAGGTATGCCCAACTCATGATTGAGCCTACGGCGTGCAGCTGTTATTACATCCTCGGGTTTATCATCTATGTAAAGAGGGTGACTGCAGCAGGCATTAGTGTAATACTCTGGATAAGTTACCTAAAATATGTCATAAAATGATTAACACCCAAAGAAATATAGAGGTTCTATCATATCTGCATTATCTGGAGAGGGCAGTGTTCTCTCTGATCCAGTAAGGTCAGGATCAGGGGTTTTTGCTGGTCAGCATTCAAGAGTTGCAGTGATGGAACTGTCTAATAAATTTATTGATAGTGTACATCAAAAAAAGAATCTGGGGAAAGATAATAAATGCAGCTAAAAAAATACGCATATATACTCACTTTGTGAGGTGATCTCCTTTGCAAAAGCATGTCACCTCTCTTGTTGAATAGAAACACACTGAAGGCACGGTGTAACAATACTTTACCATCTTCTCCAACTTTATGACACTCTCTTTTTGTTGCAGTTCCTACAAAATTATCTTTTTCGTCCACTAACAAACATATGTCCTTGTCGAGGGCTTCCAACTATAATAATATTATATTAATTTATAGATACCACATAGACATAATATTAATTGTCATTAAGTTATTGAGATGATTTTGACTACAGCACAGGTCTTCATTTCAAGGATTATGATAATATAAAAGAACATTTAGACAACAGTTGAACATTTAGTCGCATGATAACATATAAAATATTTTTACTTATATAATGATATAAGTAGACAGTGGGATATGCTTATGTGAGGATAGTTGGCTCCAGGGCCGCCGTGTACGGGTATGCAGAGCGTGTCATAATTTGCATGTCTAATATGTTTTTATTATATCAGAACAGTAACATCCACTGATCGGAGTACGAAAATAAACGCAAACTTTTATAAGCTTCTGATTAATAATTAAAAAAGTAATTTAATTCACTCAAGACGCGGGCGCGGCGGGACTCAATTTCCTCCTAGCGACAGAGTGCAGATACTTCGGCCAGCCGCGAGGAGACGACGTCCGCGTGTGCCGGACATCGCCTAAATAGAGAATGTACCGGAAGATGGTGCCCGCTCCCGTGCGGGCAGGCGCTAGGAGGGGTCCGTATGTCCTAAGAACAGCAGTTCTCGGATCCCTCCTATTACAGGCGCAGAGTGGCACACCGCGTGGTTTTAGTCGGTCCGATTCCGACGCACCACCCTGACGCTAACCACAGCAACACGGCCCGAGGGAACGTACGTTTCCACACGTAAAAAAAAATGGTAACCAGACTGCCGATAAACATACTTATATATTTCTAAATACATGCATATTATAGATAAAGTACACCCAGACACTACAAATGATTGTGCTTATCATACAATTATTTGTTTTCACCATGACGAGTCAGACCTAAGCGAAGAACGCCCTGCCGCCTGCTGCATATTCAAGCAGTTTTACTCTGTACTCTGGCCACATCCAAAGTTCGTTGTGTCGTTATGATTGACCGGGATTGACTATTAATAGCAGTTCTGGCTGAAGATGAAGAAAGACAAATACGAGCTGATACGTTGTGTGTGAGTGAGTGAGATTATCGGGGCCCAAAAACTCCAACTCTTGATCCCGGGATGCAACAACGTGCCGCGGTATAATTGTATCGAAATAAAGTAATATGATTTCTAAATTTATAAATGATAATATGATGATAAATGAGGATAAAAAAAACTTGATCAGAAATAATATCCATAACCGCACGGAAAAAACCCCACCGCTTAACAGGCATTGCACGCGCGCCCTCAAGCAGCTAGCGGCGGAACTGGTAGGCTCTCCATAAGGGAAGCCTTCGTTCAGCAGTGGACAACAATAGCTTGGTCAGAATGATGTAAAATTTATTTACATTTTATATACATTTTGGCAATTATGCAGGTAGAGAGTAAGCTTCTCTTTAATAATTCTCATCAATGCAACAACAATATGCCATTGAAGGTTGGTTGGGTACCGCTAGTATTTCAGAAAAAACTAAGGTACAATATTATCACTTGGGGATTATATATCAATCTAATAAACATTTTTAAGAATAGAACAGACCTGTACAGGTTCAACAGCTTCTGGGTCCTCAACTTTAGGCTGAACAGGATCAGATGCAAATAATCTTTTTTCCACTCGCACAGAGTTCCATAGCGATCTTGTGAACCTCCGTACCAACATCTTAAACAACCAAACAAATAATGAACATTTCAATGCTCAATGCTGAACATCAATACACTACAAACAGTATTATAATGCTAATCATAGAGATGTTTATCTTATTTTTTCATTTTCAGGACAATGTTTGAATAACATTATCATAGATCTTTAGTGTATGAACTGCGTGGATCAGATAAGTGTTGTTGACTAAATATGTGTTTTACTCATGTGTGTGCCCAAATCATTTATCCTTAACAATAATATAATAATAATGTTCCCACACATTTCACACACGGCCGTCTGATCCCAAACTAGGCAGAGCCTGTACTATGGTAACCAGACTGCTGATAAACATACATATGCATTTATAAATAAATACATATTTTAGATAAAATACACCCAGACACAGAACAAATGACCATGCTCATCACAATTCTTTATCCTGGGTTGGAATCGAACCCTTGACCTCTGGCATAGCAGTGAATGTCACTAACTATTAGATCAATCGGTTTGTGTAAGTTTCAAAAACTCAAAAAGTTCTACTCCGATTAAGCTCAAATTGTGACATAGTACATAAACCTTTTCAAGGTTTGTTTCTATAATTTTTTTTTGTTCTCGTCAATCTTGTTCCTCATTTTTCATTAATGCCATTTTAATGTGCAACAGCGGAGTGTGACAGGGTACATCTAGTCCTTAATAAATATTCAATGAATACCACTAACAACAGTGTTTATTGTTAACTGACTGTTTATCATCATCATCATCATCAGCCTATCGCAGTCCACTGCTGGACATAGGCCTCTCCCATTGCACGCCACTTAGATCGATTTTGGGCTGTTTATGCTATGTATTTTGGATATGACATACTATGTTTAATTTGATTAATGTTAAAATTAGAACAAAACTAAAAATAATTTAAATAGATTACATAAACTATACCAAATAAGTGTAATTATTTGTACGTATAATTAATTCAAAATATACAGAAGGATAGGAGATATCTTTATTAAGCCCGGTAAAATAGCTCCGAAACTAGAGCTCTATCACCGTTTGCGTAGTAGTTTAGTATAACATGCAGTGCCTATTAATAACGTTATCTTAAAGAAATCAGTGCGATTTCCAATAATGATATCAAACTAAGTCCTACCATCTATTTGTGCGATTTAGAAAGTTAAATATCATGTTTATGCTTCGGCCATATATATATTTGTGTATAAAATTATGTTAGTAAGAGTAACGGTAAATTCTGTGAATAATGTAACTATGAATATATAAAACATGGTTTCAATTACTTTTAAGGATTATACCTTTATTAAATATCTTCGTAGATTTTAATTAGCAGAAATATACTAAGAAATAGTTGTTATAACATATTCCGACATTTATAAATAAAGTGACACGACTTAATGACGGACGGTAATCACTGCGTTATTCTGACAAAAGTGACAAAAAAACAGATGACACAAATGTTGCCAGATATGACAGTTGAAAGTAGCGGTTCTAGTCTTTGATCAAATATACCATAGATCAGATTCACGTTCTCAAATAAAATTAGGTCAATTAATATACCACTAAATATGCGAATGCTCATCAGAGAGTAATTTGTCCTAATCCTTATAACGTGCTATCCATATACCTGTAAATAAATGTAGTATTTAGTTGACACAAAAATTGCAATATATTATAACGTCTCGTCTGTCTGTCGTTTCTCACTACTTCCCAACATAATATTCAGATCCATGGTGTATACGCCAGTAACTACAGAAGTCTATAATAGTAATAGTGACTAATAAGGTATTTTGCTTCAAGTTTGGACATAGCGAAGTCTTGCGATCGGGTGTGGCAAAAAGTGCTTCTCTCAAGGTTCCCCCCTTCTTATGGGCTTCCCGAGAAATTACGTAACTGGGTCACCAGTTTCCTTGCAGGCAGAAGCATTAAGGTTGTCATCGACGGTGCTTGCGCCGACTTGAAGTCAGTAAATTATGGTGTCTCGTAAGGCTGTGTGCTATCACCCACACTATTTCTTCTGCATATCAATGATATGTTGCGAACTAGTTGCATCCATTGCTATGCAGATGATAGCACAGGAGATGCCCCCATATTTCTCGAGAAAACGTCATCGAGAGTCGAAACAAACTTTTGTCTGAAATTGAAACTTCCTTAACAGAGGTTTCAGTTTGGGGTCGACTGAATCTAGTCCACTAGTATACCGCAAAAAAGATACCGTTTGTCGTATCGCCTCGGTTCGAGAGCACCTCCCTAACTGCCTCAGCCAGCCTATATCCTCAAAGGCCGACAATATGCTTGTGACTCCTGAGTTACAGGCGTTCATGGGCGGCGGAAGTCGCTTTCTATCAGGTGATCCGACTGCTCGGTTGTCCCCATATGTATTCCATAAAAAAAAAAACATGTAACAACCAAGAGACATAATATAGGCAGTAAAATGGTTTACTTGCTGACTACTACGCTACGCCATGTAGCGGTTTAGACGGTCAGCCAGCCGCTTCCATCTGCGCTGAGTTTTGTGAGTTCGGTCCCCACATGGGACAACACTTTGTGTGATCCAAAAATTGTATTTATGAGTTTGCTTGTTCTGTGTCCCTTTCATGAATGTTTGTAAAGTCCCCCGCGCCACAGGAAATGTCCCTAGTGCGGGAATTGTATTTAAAAATCAATAAATTCTGTTGCAAAACGAGGTTAGCCACTGTATGGTGTATATGTAGTTAGGATTACCATTGACCATAAATGTCATCACACGAATTTAAGGATTTTTTAACCCCTCCTCCCGTCCTTATCACAGGTTGTCACATTTTTAAAACCCTCTCCTCCCTGATGTGACGTCACATACTTTTAAATTTTATGCATGTATTTAAAAATAATTAAAAGGAAACAGTAGGTAACTTTTATTTTTTTCTTATTTTAATTAAATAACTTTTAATAAAATCAACAGAAAGTTCAATATTTTAGATAACAGAGGAAACGAACGACTAGTTGTAACAGTTATTTTTTAGTATATTTGTAATGCGTACGGTCTTGTTAAAAGCGACACCTATTGGCCGCGTTGCATTGTTGTTGATTTATCTAAAGTAGTTTATAACTACAGTATTGATCTTCTGCGTTCACTGTCGGACCACTAGATGGCGTTTTTGTTTGTGGATAAGTCAGTATTGATCTATCATGACAAATTGTATAGGTATTGAGAGTGTTCTGTTATGGTAGGAAGGAGTTACTTTTGATCTTGGTCGGGTTAATCCTCGTCGGTAATTTAAATGTCAAAGTAAAATGTTGAGTAGGGGTTAATTTCTGGATGCTTCGGGAACCGAGGATATATAAGTCCGGCTTTCAGCCACGGGAGACACTGCTATCTCGTGCCTTCCAATCTTAAATAGTGTTTTGATTGCTGTGTGATTTGATTTTCGTAATATATTATCTATTCAAAAGTACCCACTAAAGTAGTGAGTATGGTCTTAATTTTTTTTCTTAAACCTATTTGTTTCTGGAACCTGATTAATTATATGAGTGCTAATCCATTCGTAGGGTCCCAGATTTCGGGGTCAAGACGGTCAGTCTCAGACGGCGTGCTTGCTCGTTTGTGGCCTTCTGGTTCAGACTCAAGTTTCTCGGTACCCTCTGGCAAGCTGGTGATTGCGCGGCTCACGACGAAAGCGGACAGCCGTACCCAAGGGTTACGTACTTACTTATAAACTTATAAATGCAAATTGTTTAACTTTTATCAATATCTAATATAAATAGCCGACTCGGGCGGAAGAGGAAGTAACCTCCTGGAGTGAAGACGAGGAGGCACCGAGCACCATCAGCTCGGCTCTGACGCGCTCCGCTGCGGGTTTTCTTATACCCTCTGTTTTTTATTGTAACCTTAATTTTGTTTTTTTATTTTAATATACATGTATGTATGACTGAGGTGTAAGTTGTTTTCCTCTAGTGAATCCCGTAGGTTTCCCACACGCACACACATCTGTTCTCTTAAAAAGGCGCCCTGAGGTTATCTCATCAATCTCTCCACTGGGTCAGCCGGTGAGTAGTCCGCCTGAGAAGAAAAGCGGCTACATAGTTAGGAAACAATAAACCACTCATAATGTTGTAAATGTTTATTGAAGATATTAAACTTAATCATCTTGTGTCCTTGGACTTTAGACCCACTCTTTCATATTAGCTGTTACTGGTATATCAGGCACTTCATTTTCGTTCTGACGTACATCAGGAACATCCTTTGTGTCAACATTGTTTTCTTCCATCCATTAAGCCTTGTTATCATTAATTAAACAAAAAAATTCTCGGACACGTCCAGACACAATTCTTTGAGGTACAATTTTTGTCATAGGTAACATCTCTTGTTTTTCATACGATTGCTTGTGTTGATTAGCGGTTTTATATGAAGATAAATATAGACCACATATGCTAAATGATCTTTTAAATATGTATGACTCAACACTAGGGCGATAACTATCATATGGAACTTGTAAGTAATAATGGAGCAAACTTAGCCTTGTTGTCATCACTTCCTACGCCTACTACTTAATTTTTTTTATTCACAAATAAATTTCGCGTTTTAATATTTTAAATTTTAAACTGTGACGACACCAAGCTTTTGACCCCCCTGCCCCTTGTCACACAATGTCAATTTCCGGTGATACCCTGCCCCTTTTAACGTGTGACGTAATTTATGGATGGCCCCTTAATACCAAGTTGTAAAATGTTAAAACTCACAGTAATGCAATCAATAAATGTGCGATATTGAACTATGTTTAACTTGATATCTGGCAGGGTTTAATAAAGAGATTAATTTGAAGATTACTGTTAGCTGCTGTTAGCCATACATAATACATATGACCATAACGATGGCTTCCAGGCTATTGAAAAAAATCATTATTGGCTTTTACTATTGTAATGCAAGTGCCAGAAGTTCAAAAAACCTTTTTTCAAATAACTTCAACAAAGGATTTATTTTCCAGCTCTTAAAAATACTATTATATTATATATAATAAAATTATCAGCTGAACAACTTTTGTAAACTATTTTTTTTGCTACAATGCTGTTTCCAAGATATTGCGAGATAACTACAAAACCGGTTTCAAATTTAATTTGCAGTAAAAAAGTATCTTCCCGTCTTCGTCTATTCTAATTTTTTTAGACCAATCACCTTCAGTTTCTGCTAGATTTCATTAAATTCCATACAGAATCCAAATGAAAACCTCTGGCACCCCGACTATTACTATATTCTCATAATATTGTTAAAAATCATGTGTGTAAAATTGCGTTTCTTTTTGCATACCTACTTTTATTTACTTGTACTGACTTTAAGAGCTCTCCTTTAGCCGAATTTTGTGACATTAACAATGGAAAATCAAAACTTATAAACAAATAGCTGTTTATTTTTTGTGAAATGCAAAAAAGGTCTATGAAGCTGTATCTCTTAATTGTGTTGACTTCTTCGAAGTTTGATTTTTATACAGCATAAACAGACCGCAAACATAAGTATTGGACATTCATTGCAAAACAGATAGAGAAACAAACAGGCAGACAGATGGACCCCAAAGTCATCCTATATACTCCTTTCTTTAGGAAAGGAACCCTAAAAACGGGCCATGGCCATGGGATGGCATGTTTAAGCGAAATAGTCATAAAAACCCAGTTATATTGACTAAGATAGTCTCATAAATGTTCTACATGTTAACTGTCCTGTGCAACTCTTGCACCTAGGACGTTCTTGCCTTAGAGCATACTATCTCAATTCTGCTGAGGTAATCTTCCAGTAGACTTTTTATAATAATAGAAAACCCAGGCACTTAATTTTCCAAAAAATCTCATAAATATGATGTTGCGTGAATTAAACAAATGACGTTTGGTTCTTCCGTTACCTGCTTTTAACAAAGAAAAGACAAAATACATCATTAGATGTTTCCGCATTCTCATACTTATTCTCTCTTGATTTTCTTACCTTATTTAAAAGAAAGTTTGGGATAAGCATTCTCTTTTCACTACCACACACAAAAAAGTCTTACAAAAGGGTCATGATGTATTGCAAAAGCATTTATGAGGCATGCAGCACGGTTGTCTAACCCCAAATAGGGAGAGCCTGTACTATTATAACCAGACTGTTGATGAAAATACTGAAATATTTCTAAATACCTGCCTAATATAAATAAATTACACCCAGACAGAACAAATGATCGATCTCATCAGAAAATTATTTGCCCTGAGCGGGTATCGAACCCATAACTGGCTTCACAGTTAAAATTACCAATCACTAGACCAACGGGCAAGTCAGAGATTACCTGTCTATTTAAACACTTGTGACGTGATGTCACTTGTGCTTTTTAACATATTTGGCACTAACACTAACTACACTAACTAGCACTAACTTTCAGAACTCTGAAAAATAAAAATAAAAATACTAGCACGGTGTTATTAGTGGCAGTTAACCGTCCATGGTATCGGGCGTACTTTTTAATTCGAATAATGCTTTGGCTTACCTCCTTTCTTCAAACTTATGTTATTGCCATCTGAAGTCAGGAATCAGGATTTAGTCTATATTGAGATTGATACTATTTTTTTTTTAAATAAGATAGTGAGTAACAGTAGCCAAAGTACGTTTACATTTTAATTAACAGTTCATAAAACACAACACAATTATTTACTCGTCTGCGTAAAAAGAAATACTTATCATATTTTTCGAGTGTATTAAGTTTATTAGTCACCCCCTAAAACCTAAACGGTTTAATAGATTTTTCAGGGGTCATTTGAATAATATCGTATGAAGAAAAACAAGGAATAAGTGAACCATAAAAAAATGCTTTATGAACAACAACAGCAATTGAAATTAATATTACTGCATAATTCTGCAGTCAGCGGTATGTATTAAATTTAATCACATATACTATACATATATTTTGTACGTACAATATCTTATATCATATAACCATGTATCTAGCACACAACATTTTGTATAGATGTACCTGTAGCGCTTAAGTCAGGCAATGCTCTTCTAATTTCAAGTCTTACTTATGAATAGTCTAGTCTATTAGGTGGTTTTTTAATGTGGATACGACAGTGAGATCTATTTTTATGTTAATTATGTTTCCTTGTGTTAAGGAGCAACAGGAAGGGTGAGTCGATCTCAAAATAGCTTTGTCCAACAACACGGGACTTGAACTTTTGACTACATTCATTATACATCTTCTCTTTGTGTTTGTTGCACCTTGTAGTTATATTTTGTTGAACTAGAAATATTTTAAAAGCACGTTAAACTCTACAGCAAGTACTTTTTGAAAAGTTACAAACTTCTGTGTGAAAAAATGTCCAATGTTAAATTAGCAATAAGAGTTAGACCATTTACTGAAAAGTAAGTTTTGTGTATTATGTATAATAATTGTGTAAAATTTATTTTTACGTGTAACATTTGGAACAAATTAATCAGATTAATTCATTCGTATTTTTAGAGAATTACGATCTGAGAAGGACCGGGTGGCTGTGGTTGGAGTTTTAGATGAAAACACAGTTACAATAACTAACATCAAAGTGAGTTGTCAAATTTTATTTATTTTAAATATTCTAAACATAAGAATAGCAATAAATATTTAGAAATTTAGTGCAAAGGCCAACTACATACCTATATAGGTAATTGTACTTTTCAAATTTAAACTTTATCGTCTCGTACTAGCGTCACCGTAATTAAATCTAAAAAACAGTGCCCATACAAATATTATTACATTAGCTTTCATTTTGTGTTTATTTAATACGTATTATTTTTTAACTACATTTCGAAGTCCCACATCTTGTGTAATAGATAAATAATTTGATCATTTTAAAAAGACGGCCATAAATTCGAGTTAAAACCTATTTTTTCCTAAAAACGTTTTTCTAAAAACGTCTAAAGTTTTCCTAAAAACTGAGTTTGAAGTAATTAGAAAATGTGCTATAAAATAGGCAGGCAAAATGGAACGTCATTATGCCTGCTTATTTGTAATGTAATGTAAATGTAATGTAAATAGGTACAATGTACTTACTACAGATTTAGGTAGGTATATCCTACTCAACTAAATTTGAGAATACCTATATCACACATAACTTTCAACATTTCTTGAATGTTCTTCAACTTCAATATAATTAACATACACGATAGGGAAACGCTTAAAATTGTTATAAGCGCAGTGTAAGCCTTAAAATAAATAAAGTAGGTACGAAAAGGAAGTTACTCTTTAAAGTAATCATGTTTTTTGTGAGACTTTTATTTTAATACCTACCATTTTACTTTTTTCTCATTTTCGTTAAATTGCCGGAGGTGTCCAGCAATTTTTTTTGGGACATTTCTTATTTTCGACTTTCGACGAATGCAAAAGACGTAGTTAAGGGGCGCAGCTGGTAGGCTATGAATGCTGAATGCACCCTGCATGCGCGGTCTAATAGCTAAATATGTAATTTTTTAATTTTAGTATTGATTATTATTCTGCCTCTTATTTAGTTTATTTCTTTACCCATGAAATGGTTTCGCCATGAAATTACCGAAAGTCTTCATTACTATCTATTTCCTTTACAGGTAAGTCTCTCAGGTGCTGGAGATAGTCGCGAGCGCATTCGACGATATCATGCGGACTATACCTTTAATAGTTCTTGCCCTGTCACACAATCCGCTAACGCTTCACAAGAGAAAGTAAGTTATTTCTTCTTCTTCTTCAGCTTATGCTTGTCCACTGCTGGACATAGGCCTCTCCCAATGATTTCAATGCGACATTAGTGGCCTAATTCTTTCTCCAGATTTTGAACTATTTTAAAATATTAAACGTGCAAAGTTTACAAGTTGTGCTTCAAGATTTTTCAGTTTTGTTTTTTCCTGTGATAGGTTTTTGAATGCATCGGTCGATCGGTGATATCCAGTGTCTCGCAGGGATGTTCGGCATGTGTGCTGGCGTACGGACAAAGCGCTACGGGGAAAACACATACAATGTTGGGCACTGAGGCGCAGCCCGGACTGATACCGAGGATTTGCAAAGCTTTGTATGAACAACAATCTCAAACCTCCGAGTACACGATCAGGTTAGTTTATTTACGTAGATCTATTTGTATATTTACATAGATCTATATTCTGAAATAAAAAAAAAATTCTTATCAGCACAATTACTAAAGGATAACACAGAAGAATAAAGTTTTGTATTCACTAGGAAACAATTTATTTTAAGTGCAACATAAAATATACGCGTCCTGTGAAATTGCCGGCGATGCATAGGAGAATTAAAAGTTGCAAGCATCCATCGCCAACAGTCTCCACAGTTTTTTAATAATGAGGACTCAAAAATAAGGCACAAAAGCATTAGTGTGTACAGGGCAACGAGCTACAATGTACCACGAAATCATATCAGAGTCATATCATTTTCAAGTCAGCACATCTATCCGTCACATGTCCTCTAGCAAGCAACTGAATAAATCATGGCTTTAATTAAACAAACACTTTTTGTAAACTATAATGTAGACTACGTTACATTACGTAGAGGGTAGAGCTTATTGTCATCAATCAGACACTTTGAACATTAAATTAGATTGGAAGGCCATGGCAGTATTAAGTATATTAATTATACTGATGAATAAGGTAAATTGAGCAATAGTTTGAGCAAATCAGGGCTACATACCTAAATAAAAATAAAATATTTCAAATTCTAAAAACAACGTGTTTTTTCGTTTTTAATGGTTTTGGTAATAAGTAGCCTGCCCAATTTTATCTTTATGTAAATGCGTTATAAAAATCAATTATCTAATAATACCTACATAAAGCTAAACACTACAGTATTCAGTATAGTTAGGTATTGACCTGTTATGGCAAAGCAGGCTCGTTGGACTTAGTATAGACCGAGTGGCAGACGGCTGCCAATTTGCCACTAACAATTTTTAACCAAGATCTATATAGATACATAAAAGGTTATGCTTTGATAGGTAGAAAATATTTTGATTATGTAAAGAACCAAACTAAAACATGCATTTTGCATTTTGCACTGCATTATCGATATTATTCCCTTCGATTTGTTGAATTTTCCACAAGCCATTAGAATCTCAACGTCCATTTCTAGAAGCAGTTTGTTTGGAAAGTAAATTGTTTGAATCATTTATGCATTCCGTGTGAAGAAGCCATAGGTGTGAGCTCACGCGATACGTTGTCAAAATGAAACGTTGTCGTATCATTATTTCATAGCTGAAATATTTTTCACGAGACATGATTGCAGACATTAAAAATTGTGCGTATCTTTTCAGTTCGTAGGTTTTGCGATTTAATAAATTAACGATATTATCGTCTGTGATATTGGTGTGAAGGCTGTTCCTAAATTAATATCATTTTATTGAAAACTAGCTGACCCGCGCAACTTCGTCTGCGTCTCTCAATAGTAATAAATTTTCTCCGTTTTTAAAACATTCTTCATTGGTGCTCCGCTCCTATTGGTCTTAGCGTGATGATATATAGCCTATAGCCTTCCTCGATAAATGGGCTATCTAACACTGAAAGATTTTTTCAAATCGGACCAGTAGTTCCTGAGATTAGCGCGTTCAAACAAACAAACAAACAAACAAACAAACAAACTCTTCAGCTTTATAATATTAGTATAGATAAGCTGTTGCTTATAGGATAATAGCGAATTTCTATACAAACAGAAACCTTCTTCTTCGTTGTCCGTCCCACACGTCTGAGTTTGTTGGCTCTTCCTTTTCCTTTCAGTCCGTTCTTCTTTGGAATGCGCTACCACTCGAAATCAGAATAGCTTCCAATACCTTTTCCTTTAAAGTAAAAGTAAAGCAGTATCTGGTCAAACAACTGGCAGAATCAACTTGCTCATGATTTCTTTTTATTTTAATACAAAATTGTTATCATTATCTACTTGCGTGTGTATGTATGTATTTATATACTTTTATACAGTTTTTATGTATTATAAGGTATGTACTTATGTGTAATGTTAACATATATAGGTGTAGTATATGACAGATTTGTATATGTGTATAATATATATTATATCATTTTGTACTAAGTATAAATACAATATTTAAATACACGAGAAACAAATTGTTTAAAACATCATTATACCTACAACGCACACAATTTCTTACAGAATTAGTTGCTAGTAAAAACTTTTTTATTGTTGTTCCAACACTCGGTTAATATATTGAAAGTTGTATTCGATTAAGTTTGAATAGTGATAAAGAGCCACCATGACTTTCTGACGTCAAGGTTGGAACGTCACGCAAGCCTTTAACACCCTACGATCATGGTTTTATCTTTGCTGTTATCTCCCTGCTCGTACATGTATCAGTTTTATAGCCATGGTACGAGTACAATGATTGGAAATGTATCTATTTGTAAACATTACAACACTATACATACCGACTCTGATAAAAATATTAGTAGGCGTTCTTAAGAAATGCATGTTTTTTTCTTATGACACACAGAGACCAGATATTCAGAATCTTCAAAGAGATACGGAGAACATTCGACACACTGCTGTTAAAATATTATCGTTCAATTATAAATTTTATAAGGCTAATCATCATTTTATAAAGCTAATCAACGCATAAAATTATAAATCGGCTGCCTATTCTCTTGTTAACTAATTTAAAAATCTTAAAAATATGATTAGACAATGACTTTAAGATTTGAATTGAAGAAGGCATTTTTTAAATCGGTTTAGTGATTGTGTGTATGTGAAAGCGTAATAAAACAAATAAACAAACGAGTAGACAGGTCACTTGGTGGTCGGAGTCCTGAGACTCGAGAAATCAAAGACCAGAAATCCCAACTCCGCCAGGTTCTCGCAGAGGAGTGGAAGGAACGACTTGGGCAACCGAGCGCTGGGCATGCGGCGTAATCGCGGCGCTAAGACCCGTTAAATACATTGGATTAAATACAGAGGATTGGTTAAAAAAGCATCACCGAACCCTCGCATAAAGGCTGACGCAGGTGATCACCGTGAAAGAATGCATCGAGGATCACCTTTGTCTGATCCAAAGTCCTGAGTCCGACATAACCACCGATGGGTGCTATCCGAGGGGATTTCCGCATAGGAAAAAAAAAGTCACCTGGTGGTATGTAACTACCATGGGCACCTACATCTCAAGTGCCCAAGTACTTTGTAGTCTTTTGAGGCTCCCGACACCTAAAAATGAGAGGAGCCTTTAGACTCTGGTTATCTCACTCACTCTGTGAAAAGCAACTAAGGAATTGCTTATCAGCGGTTTTCTGTGAGGCCGATAGATCCAGCTTACTTATGGGCATAGCATGACTCTTCCACGTCCTTTTCGTTTCCAGTATCTGAAAGCAAATACAATCTCAAGAATACATTTTATTAGTCAGGCAGCTAGCTATCAGTCTAGAAACAATAACAATATTTCGGACATCTAACACACAACGCCATCTAGTTTCAAACTAAGCAGAGCTGGTACTATAAAAGCTAGTTATATACGTGTTTTTTAAATGAATGCAATAGTTTAAAAATAAAAATATCACATTGTGCGTTTGTAAAATTGTAGTCCCTCAGTCGGTTTCATGGGCTACTGGACCGTATAAAGTTATCATAACTAATAATTAATATAAAAGGAGGGTGGGTATGTTTGTTGGTTTATTTGTTTGTTTATTGTGTATGCTCTCTAGATTTAATCTCTTAACCCATCATTATGACATTTATATACACGTTTCAACAAATGTTTGTGTTCATCACACATTTCTTTGTCCTGTGTGGGAATTGAACCCATGACCACTAGCTTAGCAGTCAGGCCCACTAACAACTAGACCAACAGGCCCGTCGATAATTTGTCGATATTAAAAAAAAAGTAAGTATTCATGTTAGATTAGTCTCCGGGTCTAGTGGAGCTGTGTAAATAGCTTCTTATTCATATTGTATATCCTGTAAAAAACTAGCCATGGATTCAATTTCATGTTTGTTAATTTGAAATAGTCGGTACCTATAATTACCTTACTGCTCTTTAATAAAATTCATGTCTAGTATGACACAAATGTATTCGGCATTGGCTTTAGTACTTATATTTAAGCCTTGTAACATTTCAATATTGTATTACATAGTTCAGGGCACATCAGGGTAGTGCAGGGTGTCTGTTAGTATTACGCTCAGTAAGGCTTCAGTCCGGCAACAGCCACCACGAGCGTACCGCCCAGAGGTGTCGCGACCGCCCGCCTTTATAGCTTATTCGCACATTGTGAAAAGACAATCATTTTGGAAAATATTTCAGGTGAGTCCCAGACTAACCGGTAAACTATACGCCTATTAAGAGTTTGTATATGTATGTTTAGATAATGATTGTAAGCGTAGTAGGTACTCAGTGTTGTTTTTGACCGATTTCAAAAAAATAAGAGTTTCTCCATTTAGGTTTTTTGTCTGTTACCTCAGAGAGTCTACTGTTTCTTTGGGTGGATATACTTAAATATACCTAAGATGGAAACTTAATAAATTAAAAATACAGTGTACCAATTCATTAAGATGTAGGCGCGTTGAGGTCGCTGATATTTCTTTAATTTTGTTTTTTATAACTAGCTTTTACCCGCGGCTCCGCTCGCGTGGATGTCTGTTATCGTGGTAAATAGTAGCCTATGTCCTTCGTCAAGAATCAAACTATCTGCATGCTAAATTCTAAGACGGTTTAAGCGTGAAGAGATAACAGGTAGACAGACACACTTTCGCATTTATACTATTAGAATGGAGTATGGATACGTTATGAAAGAGTAAATGTCTTCAGCGAAAAAAAAAGTGGCAAACATTTGGCGCCAAAATACTCGTATACTAACGGTATATTTTCGCGTCAAAAAAGACATTTATTAAAATCAATTAGGTGCAGGCGTTTAGTGGATACCAGCGGAGAACATTACGCATTAGTGTACGAATATGAAGCACATTAGGTATTTATGTGTATTTATATGTATATGTAAGTTTATGTTACTTTTATGTATTAATTGACACAAAAAATGACCCTCTGTGCACCTACCTTACAAGATTTCTTTACCACCCAAAGGTTGGCTGGCAGAGAATGCACAGGGCACAAAGTTTGCC